TAAAGTGCAGCATCACCGTGACTCCTGACGTGTCCAGGCATAATGAAGCTGAATTAACTGTTCAGGTTCAGCACGAGGCTCTTGGTGTTTGTGAACCTCTCATTGAGAAGTTAAAATTACACGTTACGGGAGGTAGGTGTCCTCTCTGTCTCTCGTGCTCTGTGACAATGTTTAGGATATTGTAATGATTTGCTCCCCGATGGCCCAGCAGCTGAAGTCACTGCTCAGAACAGTGTTGAGCTTCTCAGGTCAGAAGATCTTAGGTTCGAGTTCTGGTCTGAGATGATCTGAGCTGACCTGGGGGCAGTAGCTGTGCTGCTCCATTTGGTCTCTGGGGCCCTGTGTGTATGAACTGTCTGGACTGAGACATGAGAAACCCTGGTAATTAATAAAGAATATAAACAAAGCTCACCTCCCGATCAGCACCATGGGTATAATTCACTTCATGGATGTTAAGTATATAAATATGTTTGTCCCAATAATAACCCTTTCTGAGCAATAACTTTCTCTGAAATTTGTCTCCACAGGTGAATCAGCATCTCGCCAAACACAACACAGTGGGAGTCAAATGAAGAGGCCTCACCATCTGCTCAGAGCTACAATCCTTGTCCACGTAACTACCTATCCTACTTGCTGTCTTCCAGTTCTCCACAGTCACTTTGTTAAATGAAGCAAACTTTTTTTTTAATACTTACAAGTTATGATGAGGTGTTTGTTGGACTGAAATGTGCTGTTTTTGTGATTAATCTATTGAAATTTCCTTTGGTTTAGGAGGTGGAAATGTTCAATCTTCCAGCCGCCAGATGGATGGTTTGTGAAGACAGTGCGATTGCCAGTCTCTCCCCGTGTGTAACAGCCACAGTCATCGTCATGGCTTTCGATTCTGACAACCACAATGTGACTATTGATCAGCTTTGGCAGTTATTGGAAAGTGATGAGAAATGTATCAGTTTTGCAGAAGTATAAAGAATCACTGTGTAATGATAATTCTGTTAAGAGCAAAGGCTTAACGTGTCGGTGCTTTGCTTCTGTCTGTTATTAAACGCTCGCAAACTAGTTTTGTTTTTCACTATGGTGCTTCGCTGCATGTTTCTCAGATTCCTGCTCCCGAGTCAGTCAGTGGAAAGAATCCCAAACCATCATACACGTCACAGTCTGTAAAGCCATAGACTGTGTTATGTGACGTGGGTACAGTGCTGTCCAGGGTCGTGCTGCCAGGGACATGAAAGGCGCTCGATAAATGTAATTTTGTTGTTGTTGTCGTTGTTGTTACGGATGGATCTGGTTTCGTGAAGGTGGCTTCCCGTCAACGCTGAACACAAGCCCTGACGCTGTGGGGAAAGGTGCCAATTCCAGGCTGTGATCTTCTGACCTGGAAGAGAAGGTAATTCAGCCCTTCTCACTATCCCAGGACAACAAGACCAATTGGAGCACCCAACTGCTGCCCTGGCTGCGATCAGTGGACTTAGCCCTGAGCAGGAAGTGTGACCTCCTTGTCTGTGTGCTTCAGGTTGTATTTTGACTCATCGGCTATTGGAAAGTGATAATTTTTTGATCGAGTGACTGTCACAAATGAGATGTGCCCAGCCACCATAATAGTTGTTTTTTTCTATGTTCTGTTTTGATCATGCCATCCCATTTTCCTCTCCCCTGTCCCCGGTTCTCCTGTGGCATATCCAAGGTTCCATCCTTGGTCATCTACTTTTCTTTGTTTATGCTCCGCAGAAATTGGTCAAGTTGCATGTATATGTGGTTGACTGTTTCTCCTCCTCCAGCTGCAACTCCAGGTCCACCGATGTTCTGTCCACTTGCTTGTCAAGGGATGGAGGAGAGTCAACTTTCTGCAGCTGAATGTTGACAAGACAGAAGCCAAAGTCTTTAACTCTGGTTAACATCTTGTCACATGCAACTCCAATCTTCTTAAGCTCCCCTGCCTATCCTTCAGCCTTACTGAACCAATGTGTAACCTAGACATCAGGTTCAATCCTTAGCTGCCAGTCACTGACCAGGATCGCCTTTCTCTACCTTCCACATTGCCCATCTCTGACCGTACCTCAAACCCAATTTTACAGCTGAAATCCTATTCTTGCATTTGTCACATCGCGCCTCGCGCTTCATTTTACACTTCTAGAAGACATGAAAAAAGCTGTATCAAATGGAAGGCTTATCATTATCCTTTAAAGTATAGTCACTGAGTATTTTGACTTGACAGCAAATTTGTGCTGAAACATCATGGTTGTGTTGTTCTTGCCATATATATGTATTATATAGCATTGCTAAGCTTCGCCAGAATGAAACATATATTTGTAATCACTTTAACATTATAGAGCAATTAAGTCAACTATTATACTGTTTTATTATGCATTTTGCATATAATGGAAGTTTCTTAACCTTTGGAGTCCTGTAGCTCAGTGGTTAGAGTACTCGCGTTGCAAGCGAAGGACCTGAGTTCAATTCCAGGCAGAGGGCGAAACCTTGGGCAAGTTTCCTTACTCCACACGCCTAATAATAATCCCTCCAAAAAACAAAAACAATAATTAAATTGGTCATTTTCAATCTACGACTGTTTGTGGGACATTGCTGTGCGCAATTGGCTGCTGCGTTCGCCCACTAATATACAGTCAATTCACTTTACAGTGTGTTCTGTGAAGCGCTTTGGGACGTCCTCCCGACGTGAAAAGCGCTATATCAAATGCAAGGATTATTACTATATTATTATTTGTTCTGCTGTATCTAAAAGTAGGATTTAATAATAATAATTGGGATGTAAAAATGGAAGTTTAGTCAAAGTTCAGTACGAGGTGCCTGAAGAAGCAGTTGGCTAAGACAAGTCATTCCTCTTCCAGAGAAGGTAACTGATCACCAGCATGATCTCTGAATGAGTTGCTACTATATTATGGTCTCTTATAAAGTCAACATTGCTGTATCTGACTGTGCTTTTATTGGCAGTTTAACTGGATTCACTATTATTGTTGATTAATAAAGTCTATAATTTTTTGAAACCATTTCAGGCGTGGTTATTGTCTCGCAAGTGATCCTACAAACTGCTATACTTTGAAGTGAGGTTGTATTGATAATTTTGTGACATTTCTCGGTTTGGACCTGATGGATATAAGTTATCCTTTCCTTGGTTCATTGGTTACGTTAAAGAGGAGAAGGGATGCACTACAAGATGATCCATGTCTTGGGTGAGAAGTGGAACAAAGAAACAGCGTTGATGTATGTGTTAATGGGATGGCCTTGGGTCACAAGTGCAGAAATGGTCTTGTGTCATAATTGGAGAAATTGGAGCCTCCTAATCTCATGTCACTGGTTTACTTGTGCAAGCTGTGCTTCCTTATCTAAGTCCCTTGTTTACCAATGTGATCAACATGTAGTCACGGGAGAAGGAATGTTCTAATGATAATTATTGTGTTATAAACCAACCGGTGGTGTTGCAGCTTGTGAATTGAAGAAACGGCTAAGCAAGCAAGTGGGAATAAATGTAACTTTTGTAACTGCTTGTCTTCTGAACAGTCTTGTGAGGAAGATAGAAGACAAAAATACAAGAATACACACAAAAAGAATAAAGAAATAGAAGTTATGCTGTTCCCCAACATTAAAATAACTCTGTATCACGCACATTGCTGTACTGTGTAAAGATTTCTTAAACGTTTCCATGAGCTTGCTTTCAGAAAACATAAAAAGACTTATGAGTCAATAATTTCATTTAAAATAATACAGAATAAATATAATTAAGATACTGTGACAATTTAATTCAACAGCGCACAGCAATGTCCAGCAAACAGCCATGGTGTGAATGGCCAATTTCATCTGATTGTTTGTTGGCCAGAACACAGCGAGACAGACACTCCCTTCTCTTTTCGAGTCATGCCAAGGGATCTTTAATGTTCACCAGAACAGGCAGACAGGATGTATTTATTCTGTATTTATCTTAACATCTCATCACAAGAGAGATGGCAACCCCTGCATTGCATTGGAGTGTCAACCTTGACTGTGAGTTTAAAGGCTTGAGTGTAACTCACAATGGAAAGAACATCAGAATGCTGCACATTGTGGCTGTTGAATGCATTCATACATGTTCAGTTTGTGGCCCTAATCTCTGGACCCCTGTGCGTCGAATCACTCCCCCACAGCCACCACCCACCCTCTGCTTAATCTTTAAATCCCACCTGAAGACTTATGGTCACCTTTGCTGCCTCCTTGCTCAGCGTCCAACTCCCCACTGTGCAGTGCTCCGAGACACTATCCTGCAGGAAAAGGGTGCGATTTTAATGCAAGTTGTTGTTGTGGTGGTGGTGCCTGAGAGTTCTTCAGTTCCAGTTTCAGAGAATTCTGTGGCAGGAAATACACAGTCACTACACTTTACGGTAAAATCCTGTGAAGCTCATTGGGACATTTTGACCGACACATGTGGAAATCCATCACCATGGTTAAGAGTAACCGAACCAAGCCAAAATTTCCACGCATTCCCACCTACACGTGGAAATCCCAGAGAGGGATTGTTGGAATGGCACACGCACTCTCTCCCTGGATGGTCGCATCATGGTCCCTCATTGCGGGAAGTATGAGACGCAGGTTGGCAAGAGCCAAGGCTTGGGGCCCCCAGAGTGTGCGTTGGGGGTAACCGCTGGGGTCTAACCAGCTAAATCCTGCACAGCTTGCCATCGATATTGCGGTCTGGCCAAGCTTTCCCGCTGCTTGTCCAGCTCGGACCACCCTCAGCGTTAGACAAGGCTTGAGGTGCTCCAAAGTGGACGCGCATTAGCCATATTGTTGGAAGTGCGGCCACTCCGAAACCGGGCAGGAGACGGGCAGGGTGTCTCCATCCGCTTGTTGGATGGGGACCACCTGCGCCCATTCATCCATCAGCACAAGGAACCTCTCCAGAGAGCCAACGTCCCAGACTGTGCCCCTCTGTGGGGCGGCGATCCCGGGACCCGGAAAGAAAGCGATCCTTTCGCTTTGAGCGAAAGCGAAAGCAAATGCTCAGAGATTTCCGGGACGGAGGCGATCTGTGGTGTCGGCAGAAGCCCGGACAAGGCGAGAGGGATGGAGGGGCTGCGTGTGCTGTGGCCGCCCGCAGCCCTGAGCCTGTTGCTGGGGTGTCTGGTCTCACCGGCAGGTACGGCAAAGCGCGTCCCCGGAGGGCGGTCGGTGGTCTCCGCCCTCTGTCTGCACCGTAACCCTCAGCTCGGGGAAAAAATCCGCCTTTCGCTATTGTGCGAAATCACACGCTCAGACTCCCGGCAGTGATCGTGGGTGGGGGGCGGCTGTGTTTCAGGGGATTTTCTGATGCTCCAATGATAATAATAATGATAATAATATTAATAATATTAATGTTAATAGTAGTGTTACATTGGGCTTCTTGTCACCATTGGTTCTCACCCTAAAAGCTTGTTGCACTGTTTGTAAGTGCGGTACTGCCATCTCCTGAGCTCCGGGAGGTGATTGCTGTGGAGGTCCTACAAAATGTGCCAACAATCTTGCATTTGATATCGCGCCCTCTCACGTCTTTTGAGACGCCTCAAAGCGCTTCACGGAAAACATTGTAAAGTGGATTTTGGGGGTGAAACACGGAAAGCCGATGGCGCACAGCATTGTCCCACAAACTGTCGTGGATTGATTGTGTGACCGCATTATTTTTTAAGAAAGGGATTATTACCCCCGGGAAGCGATTTAGGGACATTTCTGATAGTTCTCGCCTTGAACACAGCACCTTATCAAGTCTTTGAAACTGAATCCTGCTGAATGTGAGGTAGTATATATAGGATACGAGAACAGCAAACACAAATACTCTACGGATGGGGTTGAAGTTGCCAAAGGGGGAAACTGAAGGAGATCCTAACAAACTTAATTGTTCTTTGTACCAAGGTTCCTTGGATCTTGCCATATTTGAAAGCCTGCTGGAAGCCTCGGCAAATGAAGATGTGCTCCTGACCTGTTTGGTGTCCGGCTGCGATGCTGGTGTTAATGTCACGTGGTCCTTTAGGAATGGAACCGACATGAGGCTAGTGTGCAGTTCTGATGGAAGGACAAATCACTCGTGCCGACCTGGAGCAAGACCGTGGGTCCACGAGCTGCGAACTGGCAACGCTGCGCTGTTCCTTTCAAACGTGCAATTTGATGAGGAGGGAGAATACACCTGCACCGTATTTTGCACATCCAAAAGAACTGAAAAGACCTCATTGTTACAAGTGTCAGGTAACTTTTTTTTAAATGCATCTTGTCCCTAATAGCTGTTTTGTTGAGATGTGCATTACATTGAATTGTGCTTGTGAAGCATCTGAGAGTCTGGATCGACCACCTGTTGAGACGCACAATAATTTACACTGATGTAGAAACTTTCACGTTAGGAAACCTTACAAAGACTGAGCAGGAGCCTGAGCTGTGGGGTGAGGTTTTGGCGGGAGGGGGAGCAGAGAGAGGCAAGATGGCTGAAAGCTCAGTCACAAAGGTAGGTATTCAGGCGGGACTTGAGAGAGGCGGAGGAATTTCGGGAGAGAGTTCCAGAAGGAAGGGGCAAGGTATCTGAAGGATTGCCTGCTGATGGTGGGTCGGAGCAGGTGAGAGGGAGGAGGATGAAGCGGGCTGGAATTGGTAGAGCGGTGGGAATAATCAGGGTATTAGGGTTGCAGAAGATTGGGGAAAAAAACGAACAGTGAGAATGAGGAATGCTATTCTGTAAACACATGACAGAACCCAATATTTGTTCTGGTCCCATTTCAGGAATACTTTGTTCAGATATATACAACTTTATATTGGATTGAGAGCAATGCTTTCATAGAGAACAAGGCAACAGGTTCAGGGATACAACAACAAGAAGAAGCAAAAAGGGGCACAATTTCAGGGTTGCAATGGGCAATTTGAGGTCAGACACTAGGATTTTTTTTACACACATTAACAATTGAATTGGGTTACCCAGCAGATGGTTAAGGCAAGGAAGCTCAACCCATTTAAGAAATTAAGTGCTTGGAGGGTAGGAGGATGTTTTTATTGTAGGGATGAACAAAAGGTTCTTCTTCATCCAAACCTCTCTTATGATTTAAATGTATGGCCTGATTTATGTAGTTACAAGAAAACCTTTATAATCCCTACAGCTCAGCCAAAGGTCAGCTTGTCTCCACAGAAAATCCTCATCACCAATGGCTCAGTGGGCTTTCTGCGATGTGAAGCAACTGGATTTTATCCTCATGATCACCAGATCAGCTGGGTCAAGGTATCGCGAGGCAGTGAGAACGACATTATTTCATCAGATTTCAGCACGGAGTATACAGTTGCCAACAGGGATGGAACATTCAGAGTTTCCAGCCAGTTGAGGATCAAACCAAACCTGGATGATGATGGTAATAAGTACAGCTGTGTCGTGACACACAGAACACTCAATGATAATATTGCACTGGAGGCAAAGCTGACTGTGGAGGAACCTACTGTACTACCACAAATTGTTGGAGGCATCAGTGTCATATCGTTGATTGTGTTGCTTAATTTGGCACTTTTCTGTTGCTGTAGGAAGCAAACTGAAGGGACCGAGAAAGAAGGAGGTAAGAGTCAGTTATTTGACATTGAAACGGTTGTGTAATATCTGTTGCTACAAACAACCGGACTCCCACATAAAGGCATATGGAGGCCGAACATAAGTTGATTTCCAACAGGGTTCCTTAAGAAGGAAACTGAGTGAATATGAACTCCTTCCAATAACCAAATGGTGTCTTACTACTGTGAATACTGCAAATTAGAACCCAATATTGCATGGGAGAAACTTGAAATGTCTTATTCCATTTTGTTTGAATTCCCTTTTAGTTCCTCCTCGGATCAGTGAATTGAGCAAACCCGACCACTTCGCACATGGTGTGGCGTCTCATATGAACTGGGAAGTTTCTGGGTTCACCCCCCGGATGATAACCATTGCTTTATTCGTGAGGAGAAAAGGAAAGGAACCACAGAAATTATTTGAGTGGAATTTGAAAAATGATGAAGACCCACTAGAAAATGACGAGGAAGCTCTTCTCTCCAACTCGTCATGTGTACTGGACGGGAATAAGAAAGAAGACTCCATTACTGCTGCAATCTCAATGTGCGTTCAACTGGATGACGGGAGCTTCAGTGTGAAGTGCATGATAACAGTCTGTCCTGATGCATCAGAGGATGATGGTGCTGAAGTCACACTGGAGGTTAACCACAAGACCCATAGGAAGCCGTTCACTTCATCCGTGACGTTAGTCGTTGATGGAGGTAAGGATTGGGTTCTACACCCTTCTCCCACCCAACAATCCCAGCATATTGCAACATAGAATCATAGAAATTACAGCACAGAAGGCTATCCAGCCCGACGAGCCAATATTGGAGTCCTCCCCCACTGCCCACACCACACACACACTAAACATTATTTTGGAATATTTCAGACTTTTAACTTCTGACAATAAGCACCCACATCCAGAGACCAAAGTCTTACTGGGTGATTGTGTGGTATGGGATGGGGGTAGACGAAACGGTGGATGAATAGGGTTTAGCTCAACCTGAACTGGCACTCAAACACTGTATTTGTTACAGCCAGGCTGGTTCACGTTAGCCCAATACAATCGGTTTATTTGGTCAGCTGAGTGTCTGACAAGTACGCCTAAGAGAATCCAGACATAAGTGAGAGTTCCACTTATGTATGCCACCAAGAGATGGAAATTTCCCTGTGTCTGGAATAGAATATGCACTCTCTCCCTGGAGGGATGCACCTTGCTTAACTCACTGTAGAGTGTCAGGCAGTGGTTGTCCAGAGAGAAGTGTGCATTGGGATAACTCCTGGATTCACAACCAGTATTATCTGAGAAGACCATTTGCCAGCAGTTATCCCAATGCACATTGTGGGGTCCCATTTGGCTGAAGTCTCTAGGAATTCTATAGCATGTTTCGAGTGTTCATTAATATCAGCCTTACCCGTTTATGTCTGTTTTATAGTTGCTCCTACGGTGACTGAAATTGACTTGCGTCCCGAGATTAAACATAGTGAAGTGGCCAGTCTGAGTTGGTCAGTCACCGGGTTCACTCCAAAGCCCATTTCCATTGTTTTCTTGCTGAAGAGGAAAGGGGAGCTGAAAGAGAAGAGGCTGTTTCACTGGCGTATCCCAGAGAAGGGAGGAATAGATGACGAAGCAAAGATGGGGAGCACTGCTCTCACAGACGTGAGGGATCGCTGTGAAGAAGATGACGCCATCACTTCTGTGACACCCCACTGTGTGAGGAAGAACAATGGGACATTCAGTGTAAACTGCAGCATTTGGATGACTGCTGATATGTGCAGGGATGATGGAGCTGAGCTAATTGTCGAAGTGAATCACAAGGCTCTTAAGATTCCTCTCACTACAACTATGACATTACATGTTACAGGAGGTAAGAGCTGCATTCATGTATGTGTGTTGACATGTGTTCCGAAGTGCGTAGTTGTACGATGAATACATGCAAATGCTGATATAACGAAGTACAGGTATGCCTAAGGTTGTGGTTTTTGATGATATATAAAAATGCAGCTTATCCCCATTCTCCAGCACTTGTCTGGTGTCCTCTGCAGTTATTGAGTGATTATTTATGGGTTGTCGCTTTGGATATAATTTTGAATGAGAGTTTGTCAAACTGAGGCATGTTATAGAATTACACTACAGCGTCCATTTAACACACATTATTGTTTTCTAGTTCCTCCCACAATCACTGAAATCAAGAAACCCTCTGAGATCACGCCCGGGGAGCTGGCCAGCCTGAGCTGGGCAGTTGTTGGCTTCAGCCCACGGGCCATCTCCATTGTTACCTACGTGAAGAGGAAAGGGGAGCAGGAGAAAAAGAAAGTCTTTCATTGGCGGATCCCAAAGAAAGACGAGGAACCACAGGAAGCTAAGACGGCCAGTGTTCCCCTCGAAAATGTCACAGAGGGCTGTGAGGAAGATGGCTCCTTCACTGCTGTGATGCCCCACTATGTGCGGAAGAATAATGGGATGTTCAGTGTAAACTGCAGTGTTTGGATGTGTGCTGACCTATCTAAGGATGACGGAGCTGAATTAATGGTTCAGGTTGTCCATGAGGCCCTCAAAGAGCCTCTTATTGAGTCTGTAACATTACAAGTTACAGGTAAGTTCTGCCTCTGAGCGATGTCCTTGCCATCTCTCACGCATCGCTCCACAGTGTTCAGCTAATGATTCTGACAAGATTAAGGGTTTATACAATCCTGCAAATCAATGAGAAAACTCTCCAATGGATATGCTGTGTGTGAAGTTGTGCTTTATTCATTGACATTGCAGGCACAATGTCAGAGATAGCTTATAATTTCTGCATTTTTCTGTCTTCCACAATTCTTACTATGTGGAAACACACTCATAAATCGACCTTACTTACTCACGATCTCTGTCGTTCGCTTGCTCACTCACTCCATTTGTCACTCATTATCTTTGTCACTCACTCATGATCTGTTTCTCAGCCGTCAACTCTATCGCTCATACACATTCCCTCGCTCACATACTCACACACAATGCCAATCACTCTCCCTCTCTGTCACCCACTTATTCAATCTATCAAACTCACATATTTTCACCCACTTGCTTAATTTTTCACATCCACACACACATAATCACACATACACACACAGAGACACAACACACATACTCACACACATCTCTTGCTCAGTAGATTTGTTGATAAAAGAAGCGTTTCTCTCATAATGTGAAACAGAAGTTGTTAGAGATCTGTTTGTGGATTACAATGTGTTGTTTGGGTGATTAACATATTGAAATTTCCTTTGGTTTAGACGGTGGGAATTAACTTTCAGTCTTCCAGTCGCCAGACGGATGGTTTGTGAGGATAGTGCGATTGCCAGTCTCCCCCTTGTTACGCACCTGACACATCCACTGAGTGTTCACAAGAGCTACGGTCATCGTCATGGCTATTGATTCTGTAAACATCCTCCTGACAACCCACAATGAATATGAATATTCATCAACTTTGTCAGTTGCTGAAGAGCGAAGAAATATATCGGTTTTGCAGAATTATGGAGAATTACTGTGAATTTTGTTAATTTCCTGAAGGCGATTTGTTTGACATGAAATTTGCTTTAATGTTTGCTGAGAGCTGAGTTAATGTGTAAGTGCTTTGCTACAGTCTGTTATTAAATGCTCGCACACTAGTTTTGTTTTTCACTGAGGTGCTTCAGCTGAATGTTTCCCAGATTCCTGCTCCGAGTCAGTTAGTAGAAAGAATCCCAAACCATGATACCCATTACTGTCATTAAATGCACAGACTGTGACCTGTGAACAACAACAACAAATTACATTTGTATAGTGCCTTTCACGTCAGGAGGACGTGCCAAGGTGCTGGAAATGGGGTACCATGGTGTCCATGGAGGTGCTGCCATGTTATGTATGGATCTGGCTTTGTGAATGTGGCTTCTTGTCAACACTGAGCACAAGCCCTATCGCTGTGGAGAATGGTGCTGATTCCAGGCTGAGATCTTCTGACCTCAGTGAGTGATGCTTACCAAACTCCGGATGTGTTAGGTACACGGTTGCAAGAGCCAAGCCTTGGAGACCTTGGACTGTGACATGCGTTGGTTTACTGCTGAAGCTTAACCAGCTAAATAACCAGCTGAAGGTGGACAAGCAGTGGGAAGCTTGCCATTGGAAATGCCGTCTGGCGTGCTTCCCACTGCTTGTCCAACTTGGACCATCGTACCCATGAAGGCTTTGGCTTGCAGGGTTAAAAGCAGTTGAGTGGGAAGAATCCCTTCCCCACTATCTGGTCTGCCCCTCAAAGTCTTACTTATAAAGCAGGCTGTCTGGGCTTTCAACAGCAGTTCCACGGAATACTGCAGACCCACCTGGCTCAGGATCTGCACGACTCAGACCACCGCAGAGGGTTGACTGAATTCCGACATTCTGTTGCCAACAAGTCACCTTGGAGCCACTTTCAGGAGGACAGTCACTAACTGACAAGCATGAGTTTGAGCCCTCGCAAGGTGGATGGCAGGGAGCAGGAACTCTTTGCTCTGAGGGAGCAGCACAGCTCAGCATGAAATGCATCAAGAGCATTGCCACCATCTTCCTGTCCACAGCACAGACACACATCGAGTAATGGTTCCGCCAGTTTGGAGGTCAGAGCTTGAGCAGCAGCAGCTTACCTCTCTACGTACCAATCATGGTGGATTTCAAGCCCTGGATATATATGAACGTTTGTTCACAAACTCAAATTCCTGGTAATGCCTTCCAGCAGTTGTCACCCTAAGCTGAGAGTTTTCTCATCATCTATCTGATGGATATCTGTCTTCAGTTCAGGGCGAAGACCTTTACAACAACTTGCACTTTCATAGCTTCCTCCACAGATTGTAGCGTCTCAGAGCGCTTCACAGAACAGCATGTGATGTATCAGCCAAGTCCAATGCTATCCAACTCCTGTCACCTGTCTTACTCAGCATCAACTGTTTATTGCAGGTCCTCATGTGAGGAAGCGTAAAATTGGCGTGCTGCGAAGATCACTCTGGCTCCACTGTGCCCAGTGACAGGTAAGCGTAGGCTGGAACCTTCCTTACTGACAGCCTCTGTTTATCACAAATCCATCTCATTCCTTGATCCTGATTTTGCAAATGGGCCAGAGGAAGCCTCTCCACACTAATCCCCAGAGGTACAGAACCATAAAGGGGAAATGTTTTGGACACATGTCCTACACGCTAAAAGTTTGACATGCATTGGATGTTCAAGAGAGATGAGAACAACCAGAGTGCCCTTCGCTCAGGACGGTCCTCCCTATCTCTGTGACCTCCTAACCCTCTCTAAACCTATCCGTTCACGCCGCTCAGTGGGCTCCAGCCTGCTTCACGTCCCCCACCTTGTCCACCACACCAATGACATGAAGGCCATCAGCCTCACTGCCCCCACCCTCTGAAACTCCATCCCACGGTCCCTCTACCTCACCCCCTCTCTTGCCTCTTTCAAGACCCTCCTCTTTGACCATGTCATCGGCCACGCCTACCCTCCCTGCCTTTCACCCCTCCTGATCGCAGCCACCAGCTCGGGTGCAGATCCCTGACTGTCCAGCACCTTGGGATGTCCTCCTGACTTGAAAGGCACTATGATATTTTGTTGTTGTGGTCCCTCAGGACAGTGTCGGGGCAAAAGCCGGTGTCCACCACAACCCTCTTCTATGTTTCAATCCTCCAGGTTAATTGATCATTCACCTCGTGGTCGTGAATCTCAACTTACTGACCGTGCTTACTCAACGTGGCTCTGTTGAGCTTCCAGTGTGTAGGAACCCGGTTGTTAGTCGATCGGGGGATCACTTTTCCGGGGGTAATAATGCCTTCCAAGAAAAATAATTTGGTCGCTCGATGCACGACTGTTCGTGGGAAGCTGCCGTGCGCAATTAGCCGCCGCGTTTCGCCCACAAAATATACAGTCAACTCATTCCACAGTGTATCCTTTGAAGCGCTTTGAGACGTCTCAAAGACGGGATAAGGCGCTGTCTCAAAGGCAGCGATTGTTCTCACAATCATAGCATTAAGAAAGTTGACCTGCAAAGTGCTTTCGGACCCTATTTTTCCCTGTGGTTTACCCACTCCCCACACCACCAACTTTTCTTCTCTTTTCCTTGAAATGACAATAGCGCATTTGAGCTTTAAACTTTAAACTGTTGGAGTGCAATCGCAGCGCTGAGAACATAACCCATTTCCGAGAAATCACGAGACAGAACGAAAATGAAAGTGCGGCTCAGTCGCTGCCGTTGGAAGGAGGAGAGAGACCGCGTTGGGGGTCACAAACCCCTCCACGATGTCCGCACCCGGTGGAGCTTCCGAGGGGACGACCCTCCTCCTGATCCTCTGGGTTTCCATTGCGGGATCAGGTACAGAAAAGGCGCAAACGTCAGTGACGCTGATCCGCCGCTGAGCGAGAGATCGATTCCCCGTTGCGCTCCTGAGCGGCGCTGTCGGGAGCGGTGCGGGTTTCTGCAGCACTTTATATGTGAAGCAATGTCCGGCTGAGTGCTGGCGGTGGGGTCTTTAACTCAGTGACCCGCGACTCTCCGCAGCCCGTGCGGATTGCCTGGTGTGTGATGTGTCATATTAAGGTCCAGTGCAGTAACTGGAGCAGTAACATTGGGAACATCCGAGAGCCTCAGTTATCTGAGCCCAATCTTGTGAAGCGCCACTGTGTCTGAGAGAAGGGGTCTCACTTCCCCAACTGCCGCCCAGTGCCCAATTGGGAGTGTGTCTCCAGGAGAAGTCGTGTCAACTTGTACACAGTGAGCGAAGTCAGATGCGCAGCCAAGAAAATTGGGAAAATGGCTTATTACGAGTTTCTCCGCACTCGCAGCAACTTACATTTTTATTGCGCTCTTCACGGGGAGGGTGGGGGGGAGGGGGCGGTCGTGTCTTGGAGCACTTAAACAGCGGCGTGGTTTCACGGCAACCCGGAGAGGGAGGGGAGGCGACCGAAAGCACGGTCGATGAGGAAAGTCTTCGGGTGCGATTTGAAGACGGGCAAAGATGAGGCAAAGCAAAGGGATTGAAGTAGCGAATTCCGGAGGCTCGGAGTGTAATGGCTGAAAGCACGGCCGTCACGGGTTTAGTTGAGGGGACGAGACCTTGCAGCTGAGCTCAGGCGGTGGGTATGGAGTGGGGTGTAAGCGGATCGCAGAGGTAGGGAGGGGGGGGGTCAGAGTCGGAAAGGATTCGAAAGTGAACGCGAGGATCTTGAAATGGATCCGTTCTGCAACAGGCAGCCAGTGGAGTCATGCAAGAACTGGGGAAATGGGGGTTGCGGAGTCTCAAACGGGTGAGGACACGGGCGGCAGAGTTTTGACACAAGCCCCAATCCCTCATTCTCTGGATAACCTGCAGGGTATAATTCCATAGGCACTGGCTGTGCTCCAGTGCTCTGCCCAAGTGGCCGTTATCTGCACGTGCACACCAGCATGTTGTTTAACATTGTCCTGATTGGTATTGTCACCAAACCCATGAGGAGGACGAGATTCCCTTTCTCCATTGTTCTTGAAGCAGCAGCTAATCCCAAACCCATGGCTTTTAACCTGCTTCTAATCTCAGATACTCAGACCTGGTATTCTGGCATTTAAAATGCTTAACTGTCATTAATGTTTTGGAATGCCTCCTGTTTTTACACAGATGCATTGGAGATGACAATATTTAAAGACCAGCTGGAGGTCTTTCAGGGTCAAGATGTTGTCCTTGATTGTAAGGTAACCGGCTACACTCCGGCAGTTCTCAACCTTAGTTTCGTTGCTGTTGAGTGGAGATTTGTCTCTACTCAACAACTGGTCTATTCATTTAATGGAGGGTTTATTGATGCACTCAGACCCGGAGCAACAGTAACAATAGAAAACTTGAAGAGAGGCGATGCCTCGCTACATCTCCCAAAAGTGCAGATTGAAGAAGAAGGAGAGTACAAGTGTATTGTTTATGTGACCCCATCAAAAGCAGAAAAGAGTTCGTCTGTGAGAGTGTTAGGTAAGTACAGTGAAGCATCTCGCCGGGTGTGTGTGTTATTGTGCGGCTTGTAATACTGTATTTACAGGATTGGTTCAGATGAAGGTAGCTCTTCAGGCCATCTGAGCGTATCCATTCCAGAAGACCCATCCTTCCATCAATTCATCAAGCTATTCTAGTGTCCTGGCCTCAAACACCTTTCCTTGCAACCTGTTCCAGTCATTAATCAGCCGTTAGATAAAGAAATACTTTCTGACGTCTGTCCTGAAATTACCTTTTGCAACTCGTTGTCGGACTCAAGCACCTTGAAGTGCTCGGGGTCGCTAGCCTGCGTGAAGGGCGCTATATTATACAAAAAGGCAAATTGTTGTTGTTAAATCTATATCCTCTTATTCTGCCATCTTGATACATCATAAAGTAGTTCTGGCTTTATTTTTTCAATCGCATTTTGAAATGTTTTCTATATTTTCCCTCTAAGACATCTCTCAAGACTTTATTGATAAAAAATAAATATGAAGCAATAACAACAAAAACAACTTGCATTTAAATGGCGCCCTTCACACTGGGTAGCATCCCGGAGTGCTTCGAGGATGCTACACATATTAGACTGTTGCNAAAAAAACTATGCTTTCTTTAACAAAAACTGGGTAGTCCACTTGGGGTGGGTGGGTGGGGGGTAACACCAGTGTAGGCCTGAATGGGGAAATGGACTTTGCTGTCTCCGAGGCACTGCTGTTGTGATTGTTTGTGTGTGTCTCTCTCCTCTGTTTGTCTGAGTATGTGTCTGTGTCTCTCTCTCCTCTCTGTGTGTCTCCCTGTGAGTGTGTGTCTGTGTGGTGACAGGCCTTGAGAAGCAGGAGGTTCTCAGGAGAAGCAGGAACAAACCCAAGTTTGTTAAACAAAGCAATAATTTTTTTTGCAACAGTTTAATATGTGTTATTTCTTCATGTTTAGTTTTCATCAATGAAGTGAAAAAATGTAGGTTGCCTGTAAAATGTACCTCAATAGCACCAATCAACCCCCCCCCCCACCGCAGCCTTGCAAAATTTCCCCGCAATTTTGGGCAAATATTTCCGCAATTTTCTATTGGCCCTGGTTATGATAGGGTAAATAGTAACTTATTAATTCCACTGGTTGGTGAGCCAGTTACAAGAGGATACAGGTTTAAGATAATCACAAGACGAATGCTAGAGACGTACACAATTATGAAAGGGTTTGACAGGTTAAACAGGACAAAGCTATTCCATGAGTCGGGGAGTTAAGTGACTATGTGGTATGGTTATAAGTGTCATAAGAAGAGTGATAAGAGAGCTTGGGCAAACATTGTTTGCTCAGAGTTGTTGGGATGTGGAATGGCCTGCCAAGTAAGGGGGTAAGACTCATAAAAAGAATGAAAAGCAGTGTCCAATGTGGGTTTCCAGAAGATCATATGAGAGGCTTGAAGGGGTTCGGGGGAATGACAGGGCAGTGGCATTCAATGAATGACTTGCACTGAAAGCTGGAGAGAGGCTCGATGGGATGAATGGCCCCTTTCTGTAATGCAAATGTCCACGATATTGTGAATTGAAGGGGAGGGTAGAAAGAATGCTCTACCCAACAGCTGCTGTAATGTGGAACTCTCTGCCATTATCCATTCTTGAGGCAGAGTTTGTAAATTCTTTCTAAAGGGGGATTAGGTGCTTGAAAAACAACAACAGTTTGCAATTACATAGTGCCCCTTGAACAAGGTAGCAACCCAAGCACTGAAAAAGAGGAATATTGAGGGAGTGATCTGGAAAGTGTCATTAGGTGGGTCATGGTGATAGGAAGTAAAACAGCAATGCAGATTTGATGGGTGACTGGCCTGTTTCTGGCCTGTAACATTCTATGAGGCATCTCAATAACATGGTGAGGTGCTCTATCAAATGCAAGGATTGTTATAATATTATTATTCCATGATATTGTCCTCCAGATTCCACTCAGGGATTTCTAAAGACAAGGTGGAATTCCCAGCTTCCTGTTGCTGAGGCTGGAGTAAATACGAGTTGTCAGTGGTGTGTATGTTGTTTGTAGAAGATAAAAATGCTGCTTCAAAGAGAATATTAATAGAGGGCAATTTTGTGATCTCTACAGCTAAGCCAAAGGTTACCTTGTCTAAACGTCACTTCACAATCAACAATGGTTCGGAAGGTGCTTTGACATGTGATGTTAATAGATTTTACCCAAAGACTCACGGGATCCGCTGGGTCAAGGTATCGCGTGGTGTGGAGACGGAGATTACAACAGGAATCATCACACAAATTGTAGCTCACAACAGTGACAGAACATTCAGTGTTTCCAGCAAGTTGAATATCAGACCAACCCTGGATGACGATGGTAATCGGTACAGATGTGTGGTGAAGCACAGAGCATTCAGTGATAATTTTACACTGGAGGCAGAGCTGACTGTGGTAGTTAAGAAACCACAGGAACCTGCAGGAAATGGGCCTGGAGCTGTTATTGGAGGTGTCGTTGGCCTGCTGGTGATTGTGCTCCTTGCTGTAGCGGCATTTGGCTTTTGGAAGAAATGGAATCAAGGTAAGGATCTTCACAGTCCTAAAGTACAATGGCAAATGTGGCGGTGAATTATTGAACATTAAATGCTCTTGTGCACATTTTCTCTCAACAGAGAACTATCAGCCGACACAATGATCAACTGAAACAGATATTGTGCTAATGACATAGCGAAAGGCTGTGTCTAGGCCTCCGCTCTCTGGAATGCTTACCCAAATCCCTTCTAAAAACTTACCTGCTTGATTGTGCTTTTGGTCACTGTCACCATTCCCCTGCTTTCTCTTGCCCCTTTGCTCAGTGATGGACACTGTAAAGTTCCTGTAAAGTGCTTTGAGAAAGTATCAATGTTGGCAAGGTGGCATATAAGGGCAAATTCTTGTTATAAATGTGGTGATCATTACGCCGGTATCTTTAGAGAATTAGAATATTTGATTCTAAGTTTTGTACGTTTCACAGCTCCTCCCAAGATCACTGAAATCCACAAACCCGCTCGCTTTATACATGGGCAGCGTGCCGATCTGAGTTGGGAAGTTACTGGATTCAAACCAAAAGAGATAGAGATTGTGGTATTACTGACGAGAAAAAGAAAAGAACAACTGAAGTTATTTGTCTGGAACTTCACAAAGGATGAAAATGTGTCATGTCAGATTGAAGAAGGTGTTCCCATCGTAGATATAAAAGATGGATGTGAGAGGGTGAATTCCTTCACTGCTGAGCCCCCACGATGTGTTCAACTCGAAAATGGGACCTTCAGTGTAAAGTGTCTGATAGGATTCTGTCCTGATGTATCTGAGGACGACGGAGCTCAAATGACTGTAAAAGTTCATCACAAGACTCTGAAAACGTCTCTCGAAAAATCTGTAAATTCGAAGTTGAAGGTAAGAATTGCATTGTGCAACCTCTATCCCCCCACCCCCGCCCAGCAACACCTACATGTCGGTGTTCAAACATTCGGAATATATAGAATCATAGAAATCCAGGGTTAATAATCCCTTCCAACAACAAAAAATAAAACTAATTTGGTCACTCAATCCACGACTACTGTGTGAAATTGGCTGCTGCGTTTTGCCCATAAAATATAGTCAATACATTTTACGGTGTATTCTGTGGAGGGCTTTGAGACGTCTCAACAATGTGATAAGGCGTTACATCAAATGCAAGAATTATTATCATTATCATTATAATTACAGCACAGAGGGCCTTTCACCCCATCACACCTATACTGGTCAAAACACAAAATACTGCAGATGCTGGAAACTGAAACAGAAACAGAGAGAGCTGGGAAAACTCAGCAGGTCAGGCAGCATCTATGGAGAAAGGAAAGTGAGTCAACGTTTCGTTCTGACGAAGAGTCATGGACCCGAAACGTTGACTCACTTTCCTTTCTCCATAGATGCTACCTGACCTGCTGAGTTTTCCCAGCTCTCTCTGTTTTTGTTACACCTATACTGTTGCTCATTCCTCCACTCGAGCTATCTCCTCTCATCCTACTCTTCTCTCTTACCCGATCGTATTGACATGCTGCTTCAACACTTCTTCAAATCACCTGGAACATTGTTACTGTCTCAGCTCGGATAGTTACCTCGTGACATATTTTATGCTCCATTAACCCTGTGAGTTCAGGTGACAGATTGACTCAGTTGGTAACACTCGCCTTTGGGTCAGAAGGTTGTGAGTGTTTCAATTGGAATCTGAGAACTTCCCCTTCACCCCGAGCAATATAGACGCCACCTAACTCTCTCTGTAACTCTCACTGTGTGTTGCTCTCTCTTTCGCTCTGTATTATTCTTTCTCTCTCTCTCAGCTTTGGAGAGAGACGAAAGTAGATTGTGGGGGGAAACAGACAGAGAGTGTGAGGAGACATAAAAACACAGAGAGACCGTTTGTGTCCATACCACTTTTATACTTTGGATCATGTCATCAGGAGTAACATGGAAGCTCCTAGATGTCAGTTTAGAGCAGCCTGAGAACTCGTCACATGCTGTCACACTGGAAGTCAGTGGAAGAGGCCCTGGGGAGAGGGCCCTGAGGAGAGGACACGGGCAGAGGGCACGGGCAGAGGGTACGGGCAGAGGGCACGGGTATTGGACACAGGGAGGCAGCTCAGCAAGCAACTAAAAGGGCTCCTGACGCCCAGCCTGATATTGAAGACCAAGCGGAATCCAGGGGCTCAATGTGAGACCTCAGTGTGAGCCCCTGGATTGATTTTATGATCTGTAGCTGGACACAGTGCGGCTTGTTACAGAATTACAGTATAATGTTGACCTGCTGCTTGTGTTTTACAGTTCCTCCCACAATGACTGAAATCAAGATGCCCACTGGTATTGTGCACGGTGACAAGGTGGCTCTGACGTGGGAGGTTAATGGCTTCAATCCACAGGCCATTGAAATTGCTGTATTGGTGAAGAGGAAAGTGGATCAGGAAGCAAAGGAACTCTTTCATTGGCAGATCCCAGAGAAAGAAAAGCAGACAATCCCATCAGATATTACCCCCAGTGTTAAGGAGATTACACTGATTAACTCCTTCACTGCTGAGGTGGCAAAGATAAAACAGACAGATACAGGGACTTTCAGTGTGAATTGCAGCGCTACCATGTGTGCTGATGTATCCAGGGATAATGGTGCTGAATTCATTGTTATAGTTAAACATACGGCTCTGGAGAATCCTCTCACTGGATGTGTAACATTATATGTTGCAGGTAAGTTCTATCTCTGTGTGGTCTCCTCTCTCTATGTGGCACTTATATCTGTGAGTTGCAGTACAGGCGTGTGACTGTATGTGTCCCTCTATCCTGCAATCAGTTGTGAACCAATGGTTATTTTTGTTGTGACAGTGATGTATTGTCACATAGGCGACCATACCTATGGTCGCTTCCCCCTCCCCCCTGTACCCATGCTCAGTGTACGAACCCATCACTGTAAATCACTCTGACACGTTATCTGACTTGAGTAACTTAAACAAATCTATTTTGAAATCCTCACACTTGCCTACAAATCACTTCTTGGGACGCCTTGGGATGTCTTGGGACGTCCTCCCGACTTGAAAGGCGCCATACAAATGTAATCTTGTTGTAATCCTGTTGTTCTTGCCAGAGCGCCTCTCTACCTCTCCAACCTGCTCACATCCACTCCTCAACCCGCTGCCGTCATTTGCTCAGGTCGTCTACATTTCCCTTGACCCCCTGTATGAAACCATCGGCAGCCTGGCATTCAGCAACAATACCCTGAACCTCTGGATCTCCCTACCTCAACCCTCCACATTGCCTCCCTCTATCCCCCTTCAGATCATACCTGAAGAGTTTTACTCTCTGACGCTGCCTTCCATCACCTTCCCTCTCTCCCCACCTCAGTGTCAAACTACGCTATTGTTAAGCACTCAAAAACGCTCCAAGACACTACACTGCACGAAGGCTGCTGTGCAAATGGAAGTTGCTATTGTTGTAATATTGTGTAACTCTGAAGTGTTGCTGCAGGTTTACATTGTAAAGTGTGTGTGAGGCAGTGCGGTGTGTCCTGGAACTGGATTTAATCTTTATCTGCTGCTTGTGTTTGTTTTATAGCTCCTCCCACAATTACTGATATCCATCTGCCCATTGACATGACACATGGTGATTGCTCCACTCTGAGTTGGTCAGTGTCTGGGTTCAATCCACGGCCCATTGTAATTGCTGTATTACTGAAGAGAGGAGGGGAGCGGACACCAGAGAAACTGTTTTATTGGCAGACGATAGAGAAAGAACAACCTGCAGGAAACAAGCCAGTAGGCATTCCAGTTACCTCTCTCACACAGGATGTCTCCATCACTCCCTCGATGGCGGTGATTACACAGAGAACAACTGGGACTTTCGGTGTGAGGTGCGACGTTACCATGTGTGCTGATGTATCCAGGGATGATGGCACTGAGTTGATTGTTCAAATTAAACACGAGGCTCTGAAGGGATCTCTGAAGGAAGCTAAAATTGGAACATTACACGTTAAAGGGGGTAAGTGCTGCTCTGTCTGGTCTCCTCTTTCTCTCCCTCACACATAACTGTAGAAATATTCAGGTGAAGCAAATGATTTTACCAACGAGGAGAGTTTGAAATGAACAGTTAATCTCCAGAGGGAGAGTTGAAGCTGTTTGTGAAGGGAGGCTTTATTCAGGGCTCCACAATCACATGGTCAAAGGGGATTTATTATTTTGTAGATTAGAAATAATCTGGTGATTTCTGACAAATACATAATATTAAAATATAATATTTGAAACTATTATATATGCACTGTTATCTCTTGTCCAGAAAGTTGTGAGTTCACATCAGGACCTGAACTTACAGTCTAGTGTAGGGATTTGTAATAAGGAAATGAGTTGATAATATCTTATAAAGAATTTGGTTGTCGACAATGGTTTCAATTTCAAATAATAATTTCCTTTATTACAATCTCGGATGACGCTGCAGTGTGAGCTGGGGGAGCCCTACAATGCTGGAGTCTTTCAGTTGAGATGTTAAACCATGATCCCGTCTTGGTGTTCAGCTAAATGTTAAAATTCCCAAAGCATTAAAAGAGAAGGGAATTTCTCCCAATGTTTTGTCCTCTACCTCTCTCTCCCTCTGTGTGTGCATCTCTCTCTCTCTCTCTCTTACTTTGCCACTTTCTCTCTTCCTTTCTCTTGTATTCAGTTGGGATAAAATTATTACAGAAGTTCTTAAGTCAGTGGTTATACACATACTAGACAGTATCTAAGTTTCTAGATAAGGCAGTAACTAATTCAGGAGAAGTAGCAGTGATCAGTTACCCTTTCCCTGGGAGAGCTCAGGCAGTCTCTTCTCAGTTTCTTTTCCTTCATCGCTCGCTCGCTCTCTCTGTGACTCTTGTGTTAGCAGCTCATACTTATACACAGCATGTTTCTGCAATGACTCAACTTTAACCCCAAACGTGCCAAATCACAGCATGTTCCCAGGTCCAGTGCACATTGCAGAAGTTACAAACAACCATGCCTTAAGTTCACTTGATCTTGCTCATAGGCTGTAGATGTATCAAGAAACAGTATCTGTGTGATAACAACAACAACATAATTATATTTGCATAGCGCCTTTCACGTCGGGAGGACTTCCCAAGGCGCTGGACAGTCAGTGTTTCGGACCTGAGCTGGGGGTCAGGATTGGGGAGGGTAGAGGGCAGGCGGGAGAAGCAAGGTGATTCAAAACATGGTCAAAGAGGAGGGTCATTGAAGATAAGTCAGCTTTTTAAGGTCAGGGAGTGAAGAAAATCAACATCTGTGAGATAAATTAGCTCATGTCTCCTGAAAGTCGTTTTCCTCACACATAACTTTCAGTTAAACTCTTTCCTTACACTAGGATGCCACTGCAGTCTGTACTGGGCCTCAATCTTTCACTCCCTGTGTTTTGCATCACTCTATGTCCCTCTTCCCTCACTTTCTCTCTTCCTTTCTCTTGTATTCAGTTGGGATAAAATGGAGAACTTTAAATTATTTATTTGTCGAAAGGACAGTGCACCCTGTGCGGGAGCAGCTCTTGCAGGTTACTGGAGGCTCAGACGGGCTGTGCGCTTATGATGGAGTTTAACATCATTCTAAAGCTCCAGCCTGGGGCCCTCTGCCATGACGTCCAGGCTTTTCACTGGTTTCTGTGGATTTGGTTTCCAGTTTGTGTTTGACACAGAAATAGATTTGAATGTTTACATCGGGTTTGTCATTTTGTTTTGTAGTTCCTCCTAAAATTACAATTCCGAAACCCAGGAAAATGACACATGGTGAGAGAGCTGAGCTGCAATGTGCAGTGACTGGGTTCACTCCTGGGACGATATCGATTGTTTCCAGTCTACAGAGGAAAGAACAGCCACTAAGACAACTGTTTCACTGGGAAATTCCAAATAAGAAAGCATTTCGAAGTTCAACAAAATCCTTTCATCTTGAAGACAAATCAGATAGAAACAATAAAGATGCCGCCATCACTGCTGAGGTGCCCAAATGTGAACCTGACACCAAAGACGGAACCTTCAGAGTAAATTACAGAATCGTTATGACTCCTCATGAGGCCACGGATGATGGAGCTGTTTTAATTGTTCAGGTTAATCATGAGGCATTGCCAGTGCCTTTCACTGAGCATTTCGGAATAAACATTGCTGGAGGTAGGTTCAGCCATCAGTATTGTGTCCTCTCTGCACCATGTGCTCTGTGACAATATTTAGGATAAAGTAACAGTTTCCTTCCCGATGATCCAGCGACTGAGGTCCCCATTCAGTGAAGCCCTGAGCCTCTCTGGTCAGAAAGTCGCTGGCTATGTGCAGCTCTGGTCACTGATCTGTTTATTTTGGACAGCCGGGTGTCTGGCATTTGAGAAAACCCGTCACCGTGCTTCAGGGTATCCAAACCAGATAGTTTACATATGGAAACTTCACCGTGTTTAGAATGGAACGCTCACAGTGGTTATGCAGCCTACTTACCTAATACCAGAGAGTATTTGGTGCAGGTTGGCAAGACGCAAGGCTTGGGGACCATTGAGTGTGCGCTGGGATACTGCTGGAGCTTAACAAGGGAAACGCACATAGCTTGCTGTTTCCAGGTAGGACTGCACTACTTGTTAAGGCTTTGGCTTTCAGGATTACCAAGATCTGAGTGGGTAGAATCCCTGATTCCAGTCACTGGTCTTCCTGTCTGAGGCCTGTCGACGAGCCAGGCTGCTGGTTTATAATCAGCAGTGCTCTGGATTGTTGTGAAGCCACTTGGATCGGGAACTTAACTTCCAAGACTGTTCCAGAAGATTGACTGGATTCCAATATTCCGTTCTCAAGCTGTTCAAAAAGAGAAGGGAGTTTGTCCCCATGTCCTGGCCAACAATCCCCCAAATAAAATGCATCACTTACTTCACGGCTGTTTGTGGAACACTGCTGTGTGCAAATTGGCTGACACATTCTTCCTTCAAATACACAGTCTTTGTACTTCACTTTAAAATCCTTTGAAGCACTGTGAGACATCTGGATGATGTGGTAAGGTGTTTTATCAGTTGCAAGGATTATAAAGATTATTAGCATCTTGTAGCCAGCTCATCTCAGAGGAGACTCCGCCCACCAACGCTTCCCCCCTCCCCCCAGGTGCACTGAGCTGAGGTGGGGCAGTAGCTGTGCTCCTCCATTTGGTCTCCGTGTGTGAATCATCTGCCCACATTGATTGTCTGGGCTGAGACATGGTAATTAATAGATGAAATGAGCAAAGCTCATCTCCTGATCAGCACTGTGGACATCTCTAACCTTCACGATATCGGGCAGATCAGATCTTTGCAGCTGGAAAGTAACAGCCTTTATGCACACCGTGCAGAGGATATAAATAATAATAATAATCCTTGCATTTTGATATTGCGCCTTATCACATCGTTGAGACATCTCCAAGTGCTGTAGCTCAGTGGTTAGTTCGCTTGCCACTCAAGCGAGAGACCTGGCTGAAATGTTGAGCAGGTTTCCTTACTCCACAAGCCTCTGTTTACCTTGCAATAAGCAGGAACCTATTTGTTAGTCGATTGGCGGATCGCTTTTCTGGGGATAATACTTTCTGAAAAAAACCCAATAATAATTTGGTCACTCAAACCACGACTGTTGTGGGTCACTGCTGTGCGCAATTAGCTGCCGATTTTTGTCAACAAAAAGTAGAGTCGATTTGCTTTGCAGTATATTCTGTGAAGGGCATTGAGACCTCTCAAAGACATGATAAGGCGCTATATCAAATGCAAGGATTATTATTGTCTCAAAGCGCTTCACAGAATGTACTGTAAAGTGAATTGACTGTACATGTTTGTGGGCGAAAGACTCTCAGAGTAACAATATAACAGAATGTAAATGATACAGGACTCATTTTTGTTTCAGTTTCACTGGGTGCTGTGTTTATGTGTCAGCCTGGTGCAGTTGGTACCGCTCAAGTCAGTTTCCCCACATGTGACTTTCAGTTAAACTCTTTCCTTACACTCGGATGCCACTGCAGTCTGTGCTGTGCCTCTATCTCTCTCTCCCTGTGTGTGGTGCATCTCTCACTCTGTCCCTCTTCCCTCACTTTCTCTCTTCCTTTCTCTTGTATTCAGTTGGGATAAAATGTAGAACTTTAAATTATTTATTTGCCCAAAAGACAGTGTACACTCTGTCTGGGAGCAGCTCTTGCAGGTGACTGGAGGCTCAGACGGGCTGTGCGCTTATGATGGAGTTTAACACCATTCTACAGTTCCAGCCTGGTGCCTTTTGCCATGACGTCCAGGCTTTTCACTTGTCTCTGTGGATTTGGTTTCCAGTTTGTGTTGACACAGAAATAGATTTGAATGTTTACATCGGGTTTGTCATTTTGTTTTGTAGTTCCTCCTAAAATTACAATTCCGAAACCCAGGAAAATGACACATGGTGAGAGAGCTGAGCTGCAATGTGCAGTGACTGGGTTTACTCCTGGGACCATCTCGATTGTTTACAGTCTACAGAGGAAAGAACAGCCACTAAGACAACTGTTTCACTGGGAAATTCCAAATAAGAAAGCATTTCGAAGTTCAACAAAATCCTTTCCTCTTGAGGACCGATCAGACAGAAACAGTAAAGATGCCGCCTTCACTGCTGAGGTGCCCAAATGTGAACCTGACACCAAAGACGGAACCTTCAGAGTAAATTACAGAATCGTTATGACTCCTCATGAGGCCACGGATGATGGAGCTGTTTTAATTGTTCAGGTTAATCATGAGGCATTGCCTGTGCCTTTCACTGAGCATTTCGGAATAAACATTGCTGGAGGTAGGTTCAGCCATCAGTATTGTGTCCTCTCTGTACCACGTGCTCTGTGACAATATTTAGGATAAAGTAACAGTTTCCTTCCCGATGATCCAGCGACTGAGGTCCCCATTCAGTGAAGCCCTGAGCCTCTCTGGTCAGAATGTCGCTGGCTCCGTGCTGCTCTGGTCACTGATCTGTTTATTTTGGGCAGCCGGGTGTCTGGCATTTGAGAAAACCCGTCACTGTGCTTCAGGATATCCAAACCAGACGGTTCATATATGCCAGTTACGCATGGAAACTTCCCCGTGTTTAGAATGGAACGCTCACAGTAGTTATGCATCCTACTTACCTAATACCAGAGAGTATTTGGTGCAGGTTGGCAAGACGCATGGCTTGGGGACCACTGAGTGTGCACTGGGATACTGCTGGAGCTTAAAAAGGGAAACGCACAGAGCTTGCTGTTTCCAGGTAGGACTGCGCTACTTGTTAAGGCTTTGGCTTTCAGGATTACCAAGATCTGAGTGGGTAGAATCCCTGATTCCAGTCACTGGTCTTCCTGTCTGAGGCCTGTCGACGAGCCAGGCTGCTGGTGTATAATCAGCAGTGCTCTGGATTGTTGTGAAGCCACTTGGATCGGGAACTTAACTTCCAAGACTGTTCCAGAGGATTGACTGGATTCCAATATTCCGTTCTCAAGCTGTTCAAAAAGAGAAGGGAGTTTGTCCCCATGTCCTGGCCAACAATCTCCCAAATAAAATGCATCACTTACTTCATGGCTGTTTGTGGAACACTGCTGTGTGCAAATTGACTGACACATTCTCCCTTCAAATACACAGTCAATGTACTTCACTTTAAAATCCTTGAAGCGCTATGAGACGTCTGGATGACGTGCTAAGGTGTTATATCAGTTGCAAGGATTATAAAGATTATTAGCATCTTGTAGCCAGCTCATCTCAGTGGAGACCCTGCCCACCAACGCTTNCCCCCTCCCCCCAGGTGCACTCAGCTGAGGTGGGGCAGTAGCTGTGCTCCTCCATTTGGTCTCTGTGTGTGAATCGTCTGCCCACATTGACTGTCTTGGCTGAGACATGAGAAACCCTGGTAATTAATAGATGAAATGAGCAAAGCTCATCTCCTGATCAGCACTGTGGACATCTCTCACCTTCACGATATTGGGCAGATCAGATCTTTGCAGCTGGAAAGTAACAGCCTTTATGCACACCGTGCAGAGGATATAAATAATAATAATAATAATCCTTGCGTTTTGATATAGATATACAGTTCCAGCCTGGTGCCTTTTGCCATGACGTGCAGGCTTTTCACTCGTTTCTGTGGATTTGGTTTCCAGTTTCTGTTTGACACAGAAATAGATTTGAAATGCGGTTGCCAATTACTCACAGCAGTGTCCCACAAATATCGTGGATTGAGTGACCAAATTATTATTATTATTTTTTTGGAGGGATTATTAACGCTGGAAAGTGATCCTCAATCCACCATCAACAACCACATACTGCTAAGTAAACAGGTGTGTGGCGTAAGGAAATTTAGATTTTGCACTGTACGAGAATTGAATCCGAGTCCTGTTGCTTGATACACGTCAACTCTAACCAATATGCTACAGGACTAAAATAATAATCCTTGCATTTTGGTACAATGCCTTATGTCTGGAGGACCATCTCAAAGTGCTTCACAAGATTTACTGTGAAATGGAGTGACTGCGTATTTTTAGGCAAATGTGGCAGCACAATTGCACACAGCAATGTCTCACAAAGAGCCAAAGCGGTGAATCAANTTTTTGAGGGCGATTGTTGGTCAGGACACCGGGAGAACTCCCTTCTCTTTTTGAATAGTGCCACAGGATCTTTAATGCCCAACTGAACAGGCAAACAAGACTTTGGTTTAACATCTCATCCAAGGGTCACGTCTTTGCAGCTGGGAAGGAACAGCCTCAATGCTGTCAACACACTATGCAGAGGACATAAGTACTCTGAGTAACAATATTACAGTGTGTACATTTTGCAGGATTAGTTGTAGTTGTGTTTGGGGGTCGCTCTGTTGTAGGTTGATGGAGAAGTGATGAGACTCTGTGGTCATGGTCCCGCTCAGCATCAGTCTGCAGCATTGTCTGCTGTTCTCTGTAATAGTGTGAAGCTCTTTCTGAAACTTTGCTAAAGATTTAGATTATAAATTGTGCGTGAAGCAATGTGAGAATTACAAACTACCATGCTTTAAAGTGACTCACATTGCTTATAGGCATTATAAGCAAGGAAACAGTATCTGTGAGATATGTCAGCTTTTTACGGTTGGGGAATGGACAAAGGCCTGTGAGGGAAATTAGCTCTTGTCTCCTGAAAGTCAGTTTTCTCACACACAACTTTCAGTTAAACTCTTTCCAAGGATAGCACTGCAACGTGTCCTGGGGGAGCCCTGCAATGCTGGAGGTGCTATCTTTTGGTTCAGTTTTTGAACCACAGTCCCGCCTAACTGTTTAGCTAAATGTTAAAAATCCCACAGCACCATCGAAAAGAAAATTGAGTGTCTCCCATTGTCTATGTCTCTCCCTCTGTGTGAAGATCTCTCCCTCTCTTCCTGTCTCTCTTTGTCCCTCATTCCCACTTTTTCTCTTCATTTCTCTTGTATTCAGTTGGGATAAAATATAGAACTTTAAATTAATTTTTTGTCAAAATGACTGTGTGCTCCCTATCTGGGAGCAGCACTTGCAGATTACTGGAGGCTCAGACAGACTGTGAGCTTATGACGGAGTTTAACATTATTCAACAGCTTCAGCCTCGTGCCCTCTGCCATGATGTGCAGGCTTTTCACTTGTTTCCGTGTATTTGGTTTGTGTCTCACACAGAAAAAGACTAGAATGTTTATATCAGGTTTGTCATTTTGTTTTGTAGTTCCTCCTAAAATTACTACAATTGAGTCCACGCCCAAGCAAATTAAACACGGTGAGAAAACCGAGCTGCAATGGGCAGTGACTGGGTTCACTCCTGGGAAAATGTCGATTATTTCCAGTCTACAGAGGAATGGAGAGCAAATAAGGCAACTGTTTCATTGGGAAGCTCAAGACAAGAAAACATTTGAAGGGAAGACAAGTGCCTTTTCTCTCAAAGACCTATCAGATGGACGCAATAAAGATGCCTCATTCACTGCTCAGGTGCCCGAATGTGAACAAGACAAACACAAAGGCGGAACCTTCAGAGTAATGTGCAGCATCACCGTGACTCCTGATGCGTCCACGGATAATGAAGCTGAATTAACTGTTCAGGTTAAGCACGAGGCTCTCAATGACCGTGACACTTGCATTGAGAGAATAAAATTACAAGTTCCTGGAGGTATGTTCTGCTATCAGTGTGGTGTCCTCTCTGTCCCACCTGCTCTATAACAATGTTTAGGATATTGTAATGATTTGCTCCCCGCTGGCCCAGCAGCTGAGGTCACTGCTCAGTAGTGTTGAGCTTCTCAGGTCAGAAGCTCTAAGTTTCAAGTGCTGTTCTGGGATCTGATCTGATCTGACCGAGGCAGTAGCTGTGCTGTCCATTGCTGCCCGATGGCCCAGCAGCTTAAGTCACTGCTCAGTACAGTGTTGAGCTTCTCAGGTCAGAAGCTCTAAGTTTCAAGTGCTGTTCTGGGATCTGATCTGATCTGACCGAGGCAGTAGCTATGCTGTCCATTTGGTCTCTGTGTGTGAATCTCCTGCCCACGTTTGCTGTCTGAGCTGAGACAGAAGAATTCCTGGTAATAAGTGGAAAATATAATCAAAGCTCACCCCCTGATCAGCACTGTGGTTATCTATCACTTTAAGGATGTTAGGTATATAGATATTTTTGTCCCAATAAAAACCATTGCTGAGCAATAAGCTTCTCCCAAATTGTCTCCACAAGTAAATCAATTTCAAATTCCAGTTTCCTTTATTAAATAAGTTCTGAAGACAATGGTTATACACGTACCAGACAGTATCCAAGTTTCCAGATAAAGTAGTGACTAACTCAGAAGTAGCAGTGATCAGTTACCTTTCCCCTGAGTGAGCTCATGTGGTCTCTTACTTCTCAGTTTCTTTTCCTTGGCCTGCCTCTCTCTCTCTTTCTCCTCTCTCTCTATCTTGTGATTAGTAGCCCATACATATACTCAGCCTGTTTCAGCAATGTCTGAACTTTAACCGCAAATGTGCCAACTCACAGCATGTTCCCCAGTTCAGTGCACATTGCCGAAGTAACAAACAACCATGCTTTCAGGTCACTCTTCTTGCTTATAGGCATTATAAGCAAGGAAACAGTATCTGTGAGATAAGTCAGCTTTCTAAGGTTGGGGAGTGAACAGTGAATGGCCAGTGAGAGAAATTAGCTCTTGTCTCCTGAAAGTTGTTTTTCTCACACACAACTTTCAGTTAAACTCTTTCTTAGGATGACACTGCAGTGTGTGTTGGGGGAGCCGTGCGATGCTGGAGGTGCCGTTTTTGGTTTGGTTGTTGAACCATAGTCCCGCCTAACTATTCAGCTAAATGTTAAAAATCTCACAGCTCCATCGAAAAGAAAAGGGAGTGTCTCCCAGTGTCTATGTCTCTCCCTCTGTGTGAAGATCTCTCCCTCTCTTACTGTCTCCCTTTGTCTCTCTTTCCCACTTTCTCTCTTCCTTTCGCTTGTATTCAGTTGGGATAAAATGTAGAACTTTAAATTATTTATTTGTCAAAATGACAGTGTGCACCCTGTCTGGGGGCTGCTCTTGCAGGTTACTGGAGGCTCAGACGGGCTGTGCGCTTAAGATGGAGTTTAACTTCATTCTACAGCTCCAGCCTGGTGCCCTCTGCCATGATGTGCAGGTTTTTCACTTGTTTCCGTGTATTTGATTTGTGTCTCACACAGAAAAAGACTAGAATGTTTATATCAGGTTTGTCATTTTGTTTTGTAGTTCCTCCTAAAATTACTGCAATTGAGTCCAAGCCCAAGGAAATTAAACATGGTGAGAAAACCGAGCTGCAATGGGCAGTGACTGGGTTCACTCCTGGGAAAATGTCGATTATTTCCAGTCTACAGAGGAATGGAGAGCAAATAAGGCAACTGTTTCATTGGGAAGCTCAAGATAAGAAAACATTTGAAGGGAAGACAAGTGCCTTGTCTCTCAAAGACCTATCAGATGGACGCAATAAAGATGCCTCATTCACTGCTCAGGTGCCCAAATGTGAACAAGACAAACACAAAGGCGGAACCTTCAGAGTAATGTGCAGCATCACCGTGACTCCTGATGCGTCCACGGATAATGAAGCTGAATTAATTGTTGAGGTTAAGCACGAGGCTCTCAATAACCGTGACACTTGCATTGAGAGAATAAAATTACACGTTACTGGAGGTAGGTTCTGCTATCAGTGTTGTGTCCAGAGAGAAGTGTGCATTGGGATAACTAGAATGTTAATATCAGCTAAATGTTAAAAATCCCACAGCACCATCGAAAAGAAAAGGGAGTGTCTCCCATTGTCTATGTCTCTCCCTCTGTGTGAAGATCTCTCCCTCTCTTCCTGTCTCTCTTTGTCCTTCATTCCCACTTTTTCTCTTCATTTCTCTTGTATTCAGTTGGGATAAAATGTAGAACTTTAAATTAATTATTTGTCAAAATGACTGTGTGCTCCCTATATGGGAGCAGCACTTGCAGATTACTGGAGGCTCAGACAGACTGTGAGCTTATGACGGAGTTTAACATTATTCAACAGCTTCAGCCTCGTGCCCTCTGCCATGATGTGCAGGCTTTTCACTTGTTTCCGTGTATTTGATTTGTGTCTCACACAGAAAAAGACTAGAATGTTTAAATCAGGTTTGTCATTTTGTTTTGTAGTTCCTCCTAAAATTACTGCAATTGAGTCCAAGCCCAAGGAAATTAAACACGGTGAGAAAACCGAGCTGCAATGGGCAGTGACTGGGTTCACTCCTGGGAAAATGTCGATTATTTCCAGTGTACAGAGGAAAGGAGAGCAAATAAGGCAACTGTTTCATTGGGAAGCTCAAGATAAGAAAACATTTGAAGGGAAGACAAGTGCCTTTTCTCTCAAAGACCTATCAGATGGACGCAATAAAGATGCCTCATTCACTGCTCAGGTGCCCAAATGTGAACAAGACAAACACAAAGACGGAACCTTCAGAGTAATGTGCAGCATCACCGTGACTCCTGATGCGTCCACGGATAATGAAGCTGAATTAACTGTTCAGGTTAAGCACGAGGCTCTCAATGACCGTGACACTTGCATTGAGAGAATAAAATTACAAGTTCCTGGAGGTAGGTTCTGCTATCAGTGTGGTGTCCAGAGAGAAGTGTGCATTCGGATAACTCCTGGATTCACAACCAGTATTAACTGAGAAGACCATTTGCCAGCAGTTATCCGAATGCACATTGTGGGGTCCCATTTGGCTGAAGTCTCTAGGAATTCTATAGCATGTTTCTTGAGTGTTCATTAATACCAGCCTTACCCGTTTATGTCTGTTTTATAGTTGCTCCTACGGTGACTGAAATTGACTTGCGTCCCGAGATTAAACATAGTGAAGTGGCCCGTCTGAGTTGGTCAGTCACCGGGTTCACTCCAAAGCCCATTTCCATTGTTTTCTTGCTGAAGAGGAAAGGGGAGCTGAAAGAGAAGAGGCTGTTTCACTGGCGTATCCCAGAGAAGGGAGGAATAGATGACGAAGCAAAGATGGGGAGCACTGCTCTCACAGACGTGAGGGATCGCTGTGAAGAAGATGACGCCATCACTTCTGTGACACCCCACTGTGTGAGGAAGAACAATGGGACATTCAGTGTAAACTGCAGCATTTGGATAACTGCTGATATGTGCAGGGATGATAGAGCTGAGCTAATTGTCGAAGTGAATCACAAGGCTCTTAAGATTCCTCTCACTACAACTATGACATTACATGTTACAGGAGGTAAGAGCTGCATTCATGTATGTGTGTTGACATGTGTTCCGAAGTGCGTAGTTGTACGATGAATACATGCAAATGCTGATATAACGAAGTACAGGTATGCCTAAGGTTGTGGTTTTTGATGATATATAAAAATGCAGCTTATCCCCTTTCTCCAGCACTTGTCTGGTGTCCTCTGCAGTATTGAGTGATTATTTATGGGTTGTCGCTCTGGATATAATTTTGAATGAGCGTTTGTCAAACTGAAGCATGTTATAGAATTACACTATAGCGTCCATTTAACACACATTATTGTTTTCTAGTTCCTCCCACAATCACTGAAATCAAGAAACCCTCTGAGATCACGCCCGGGGAGCTGGCCAGCCTGAGCTGGGCAGTTGTTGGCTTCAGCCCACGGGCCATCTCCATTGTTACCTACGTGAAGAGGAAAGGGGAGCAGGAGAAAAAGAAAGTCTTTCATTGGAGGATCCCAAAGAAAGACGGGGAACCACAGGAAGCTAAGACGGCCAGTGTTCCCCTTGAAAATGTCACAGAGGGCTGTGAGGAAGATGGCTCCTTCACTGCTGTGATGCCCCACTATGTGCGGAAGAATAATGGGATGTTCAGTGTAAACTGCAGTGTTTCGATGTGTGCTGACCCCTCTAAGGATGACGGAGCTGAATTAATGGTTGAGGTTGTCCATGAGGCCCTCCAAGAGCCTCTTATTGAGTCTGTAACATTACAAGTTACAGGTAAGTTCTCCCTCTGAGCGATGTCCTTGCCATCTCTCACGCATCGCTCCACAGTGTTCAGCTAATGATTCTGACAAGACTAAGGGTTTATACAATCCTGGAAATCAATGAGAAAACTCTCCAATGGATATGCTGTGTGTGAAGTTGTGCTTTATTCATTGACATTGCAGGCACAATGTCAGAGATAGCTTATAATTTCTGCATCTTTCTGTCTTCCACAATTCTTACGATGTGGAAACACACTCATAAATCTACTCTTACTTACTCACGATCTCTGTCGCTCGCTTGCTCACTCACTCCATTTGTCACTCATTATCTTTGTCACTCAGCCATGATCTGTTTCTCAGCCATCAACTCTATCGCTCATACACATTCCCTCGCTCACATACTCACACACAATGTCAATCACTCTCCCTCTCTGTCACCCACTTATTCAATCTATCAAACTCACATATTTTCACCCACTTGCTTAATTTTTCACATCCACACACACATAATCACACATACACACACAGAAACACAACACACATACTCACACACATCTCTTGCTCAGTAGATTTGTTGATAAAAGAAGAGTTTCTCTCATAATGTGAAACAGAAGTTGTTTGAGATCTGTTTGTGGATTACAATGTGTTGTTTGGGTGATTAATATATTGAAATTTCCTTTGATTTAGACGGTGGGAATTAACTTTCAGTCTTCCAGTCGCCAGACGGATGGTTTGTGAGGATAGTGCGATTGCCAGTCTCCCCCTTGTTACGCACCTGACACATCCACTGAGTGTTCACAAGAGCTACGGTCATCGTCATGGCTATTGATTCTGTAAACATCCTCCTGACAACCCACAATGAATATGAATATTCATCAACTTTGTCAGTTGCTGAAGAGCGAAGAAATATATCGGTTTTGCAGAATTATGGAGAATTACTGTGAATTTTGTTAATTTCCTGAAGGCGATTTGTTTGACATGAAATTTGCTTTAATGTTTGCTGAGAGCTGAGTTAATGTGTAAGTGCTTTGCTACAGTCTGTTATTAAATGCTCGCACACTAGTTTTGTTTTTCACTGAGGTGCTTCAGCTGAATGTTTCCCAGATTCCTGCTCCGAGTCAGTTAGTAGAAAGAATCCCAAACCATGATACCCATTACTGTCATTAAATGCACAGACTGTGACCTGTGAACAACAACAACAAATTACATTTGTATAGTGCCTTTCACGTCAAGAGGACGTGCCAAGGTGCTGGAAATGGGGTACTGTGGTGTCCATGGAGGTGCTGCCATGTTGTGTATGCATCTGGCTTTGTGAATGTGGCTTCTTGTCAACGCTGAGTACAAGCTCTATCGCTGTGGAGAATGGTGCTGATTCCAGGCTGAGATCTTCTGACCTCAGTGAGTGATGCTTACCTAACTCCGGGTGTGAGAGGATGTGTTAGGTACACGGTTGCAAGAGTCAAGCCTTGGAGACCTTGGACTGTGACATGCGTTGGTTTACTGCTGAAGCTTAACCAGCTAAATAACCAGCTGAAGGTGGACAAGCAGTGGGAAGCTTGCCATTGAAATGCCGTCTGGCAGGCTTCCCACTGCTTGTCCAACTTGGACCATCGTACCCATGAAGGCTCTGGCTTGCGGGGTTAAAAACAGCTGAGTGGGAAGAATCCCTTCCCCACTATCTGGACTGCCCCTCAAAGTCTTACTTATAAAGCAGGCTGTCTGGGCTGTCAACAGCAGTTCCACGGAATACTGCAGACCCACCTGGCTCAGGATCTGCACGACTCAGACCACCGCAGAGGGTTGACTGAATTCCGACATTCTGTTGCCAACAAGTCACCTTGGAGCCACTTTCAGGAGGACAGTCACTAACTGACAAGCATGAGTTTGAGCCCTCGCAAGGTGGATGGCAGGGAGCAGGAACTCTTTGCTCTGAGGGAGCAGCACAGCTCAGCATGAAATGCATCAAGAGCATTGCCACCATCTTCCTGTCCACAGCACAGACACACATCGAGTAATGGTTCCGCCAGTTTGGAGGTCAGAGCTTGAGCAGCAGCAGCTTACCTCTCTACGTACCAATCATGGTGGATTTCAAGCCCTGGATATATATGAACGTTTGTTCACAAACTCAAATTCCAGGTAATGCCTTCCAGCAGTTGTCACCCTAAGCTGAGAGTTTTCTCATCATCTATCTGATGGATACCTGTCTTCAGTTCAGGGCGAAGACCTTTACAACAACTTGCACTTTCATAGCTTCCTCCACAGATTGTAGCGTCTCAGAGCGCTTCACAGAACAGCATGTGATGTATCAGCCAAGTCCAATGCTATCCAACTCCTGTCACCTGTCTTACTCAGCATCAACTGTTTATTGCAGGTCCTCATGTGAGGAAGCGTAAAATTGGTGTGCTGCGAAGATCACTCTGCCTCCACTGTGCCCAGTGGCAGGTAAGCGTAGGCTGGAACCTTCCTTACTGACAGCCTCTGTTTATCTCAAATCCATCTCATTCCTTGATCCTGATTTTGCAAATGGGCCAGAGGAAGCCTCTCCACACTAATCCCCAGAGGTACAGAACCATAAAGGGGAAATGTTTTGGACACATGTCCTACACGCTAAAAGTTTGACATGCATTGGATGTTCAAGAGAGATGAGAACAACCAGAGTGCCCTTCGCTCAGGACGGTCCTCCCTACCTCTGTGACCTCTTAACCCTCTCTAAACCTATCCGTTCCCGCTGCTCAGTGGGCTCCAGCCTGCTTCACGTCCCCCGCCTTGTCCACCTCACCAATGACATGAAGGCCATCAGCCTCACTGCCCCCACCCTCTGAAACTCCATCCCACGGTTCCTCTACCTCAACCCCTCTCTTGCCTCTTTCAAGACCCTCCTCTTTGACCATGTCATCGGCCACACCTACCCTCCCCGCCTTTCACCCCTCCTGATCGCAGCTACCAGCTCGGGTGCAGATCCCTGACTGTCCAGCACCTTGGGATGTCCTCCTGACTTGAAAGGCACTATGATATTTTGTTGTTGTGGTCCCTCAGGACAGTGTCGGGGCAAAAGCCGGTGTCCACCACAACCCTCTTCTATGTTTCAATCCTCCAGGTTAATTGATCATTCACCTCGTGGTCGTGAATCTCAACTTACTGACCGTGCTTACTCAACGTGGCTCTGTTGAGCTTCCAGTGTGTAGGAACCCGGTTGTTAGTCGATCGGGGGATCACTTTTCCGGGGGTAATAATCCCTTCCAAAATAAATAATTTGGTCGCTCGATGCACGACTGTTCGTGGGAAGCTGCCGTGTGCAATTAGCCGCCGCGTTTCGCCCACAAAATATACAGTCAACTCATTCCACAGTGTATCCTTTGAAGCGCTTTGAGACGTCTCAAAGACGGGATAAGGCGCTGTCTCAAAGGCAGCGATTGTTCTATAATAATAATAATAATAATAATCCTTGCATTTGATATAGCGCTTTTCACGTCGGGAGGACGTCCCAAAGCGTTTCACAGAACACACTGTAAAGTGAATTGACTGTATATTTGTGGGCGAACGCGGCAGCCAATTGCGCACAGCAATGTCCCACAAACAGTCGTAGATTGAAAATGACCAATTTATTATTGTTTTGGAGGGATTATTATTAGGCTCTGTGTGGAGTAAGGAAAGGGATTATTATTAGGCACTGTGTGGAGTAAGGAAACTTGCCCAAGGTTTCGCCCTCTGCCTGGAATTGAACTCAGGTCTGTCACTTGCAAAGCGAGTGCTCTAACCACTGAGCTACAGGACTCCACAAATCAAATTCTCACAATCAAACCATTAAGAAAGTTGACCTGCAAAGTGCTTTCGGACCCTATTTTTCCCTGTGGTTTACCCACTCCCCACACCACCAACTTTTCTTCTCTTTTCCTTGAAATGACAATAGCGCATTTGAGCTTTAAACTTTAAACTGTTGGAGTGCAATCGCAGCGCTGAGAACATAACCCATTTCCGAGAAATCACGACTCAGATTGAAAGCGAAAGTGCGGCTCAGTCGCTGCCGTTGGAAGGAGGAGAGAGACCGCGTTGGGGGTCACAAACCCCTCCACGATGTCCGCACCCGGTGGAGCTTCCGAGGGGACGACCCTCCTCCTGATCCTCTGGGTTTCCATTGCGGGATCAGGTACAGAAAAGGCGCAAACGTCAGTGACGCTGATCCGCCGCTGAGCGAGAGATCGATTCCCCGTTGCGCTCCTGAGCGGCGCTGTCGGGAGCGGTGCGGGTTTCTGCAGCACTTTATATGTGAAGCAATGTCCGGCTGAGTGCTGGCGGTGGGGTCTTTAACTCAGTGACCCGCGACTCTCCGCAGCCCGTGCGGATTGCCTGGTGTGTGATGTGTCATATTAAGGTCCAGTGCAGTAACTGGAGCAGTAACATTGGGAACATCCGAGAGCCTCAGTTATCTGAGCCCAATCTTGTGAAGCGCCACTGTGTCTGAGAGAAGGGGTCTCACTTCCCCAACTGCCGCCCAGTGCCCAATTGGGAGTGTGTCTCCAGGAGAAGTCGTGTCAACTTGTACACAGTGAGCGAAGTCAGATGCGCAGCCAAGAAAATGAAGAAGATAACTTATTGCGAGTTCCTCCGCACTCACATGTTACATTAACGTATCGCCCTTGATGTAGGAAGCGTCTTGGAGCACTAAACAACAACAACAAATTACGACGGTATCCTGTAGCCTTTCACGTCACGAGGCACTGGACATTCAGGGATTCGGACCGGAGCAGGGATTTGGGATCAGGAGGGATCGAGTGCAGGGAGGATAGGGGTAAGAGGGTGACCAAAGGCACGGTCGAGTAGGAGGGTCTTGAGCCTTGCCTTGAAGGAGGCGAGGGAGTGAGAAAGGCGAAGGGACTGTGGGATGGAGTTCCAAAGAGTGGGGTCAGTGAGAATGAAGGATGGTGGAGCAGACAATGGGGGGGGGGGGGGGGTCATGGAGCAAACCAGAGACTGCTGATCAGAGGGAGCGGACAGGTTGATGGAGTAAGTAGGTCACAGAGGGAGGGGGGAGCAAGACTCTGTAGGGCTTTGAAGGTGAGGACGAGGATGTTGAATTGTATCCTCGTGGGATTGGGGAGCCCGTGGAGCCGGGCAGGGATGGGGGTGATAGCTTCACGGACGGAGCCTGGTGCGGGTGAGGACACGAGCTGCAGAGTTCTGAATGTTCTGTGGCTTGTGGAGGGTTGGGAAGTTCCCAAGAGTTGGGAAGGCCGACAAGCAGGGCGTTTGTCTAGTTCAGCCAAGATGTAATGAATGCGTGGATGAGGGTCTCTGCGGCCTGAGTGGAGAGGCAGTGGGGGAGATGTGCGATGTTGCGGAGGACAGAGAAGGAAGAATGTGTCATGGCATGGAGGTAGGGAAGGAAGGACAGTTGAGCGTCAAACAAGATGGCAAGTTTCCAGACTGGCTCATTGAGGTGGATTATGCACACATGAATGGGACGTCCTCCCGACACGAAAGGCGTTATACAAAAGTAATTTTGTTGTTGTTGTTGGTGGTGGTGTTGCTGTCAGCGCCTGAGTTGTTGAGGTGCTGACTGCAGTCAATCAGGAGGGCCTCGGTCTTGTTGACATTTCGCTGGAGATAGTTAGCTCTCTTCCAGGATTTGATATCTGACGCACATTCTGTCAGGACAGTATTGGTCCTGGAGTCGAGAATGGAGGCAGAGAGATAGAGTTGCGTGTCATCCGCATGTCATCCGGAAGTTGATCACATGTCTGCGTATAACAGCAGAGTGGTGTGTGAGCAGCTCGGAGAGGTAAGGAGGGTCCAGGGTGATTTGAAAGTGAGAGGGAGGATCTTGAAATTGATCGGTTCTGCAACAGGCAGACAGTGGAGTCTGGGATGGTGGGTGTGCTGAGTCTCAAATGGGTGAGGACAAGGGAGGCAGAATTTGGCACAAATCCCAAACCCTCATTCTCTGGATAACCTGCAGCTTACAATTCCACAGACATTGGCTGTTCTCCAGTGCTTTGCCCAAGTGGCCATTCTTTGCACATGCACACTGGCATGCTGTTTAGCATTGTCTCTAATGACATTCTGAACATCTGAGTCCAGGGCTCTCCCTGCCTCCTTGTCTTCTTCGACCTCACTGGTGCCTCGTCCTAACTTCGAAAGCTCCCCACGGCCTTGCGCTCTCTTACCTCACTGACCTGCTTACCCCTTATCAACCTGCCCTCTCCCTGCGTTCATCAGGCTCTGGCCTGCTCCATGTCTCCCGCTCGACATGCCCTGTCATCAGTGGTCAGGCTTTCAGCCTCTCTGTCCCCACCCTTTGGAACCCTATTCCACACTCCCTTCACCTTGTTCCCCCCCCTTGCTTCCTTCAAGGCACTACTCAAGGCCCTCCTTTTTGACCGTGCCTTCAGCCGTCCTCCTGCCTCTGTGTCCTCCCTCATCCCAACTCTACCCCCCCATGCTCGGGTCTTGATCCCTGACTGTTCAACACCTTTGGCATCCTCCGATGTGAAAGGCTCTTTAGAAATGTAATATTGTTGTTGTTGATTCGACACTGTCAACCATTGTATCCTCCTACACCGCCTCTCCTCTCAACTCAATCTTCGTGGACCTGCCCTTGCCTGGTTCGAATCCTTTCCCACCATCTCTGCTTTATTGCTAGTAACGGCTTCTCCTCCAGCTCCTGCACCGTTGTATGTGGTGTCCCTCAGGGTTCTGTCCTTGGCCCACTCCTTTTCAATATCTTTATGCTCCCCCTTGGTGACATCATCTGCAGACATGGGATTAACTTCCACATGTATGTGGATGATACCCAATTCTACTTCTCTGCAACATTGCTCAGTTCCACCACTGTCTGACACCACAGGCCATCGAAACCCTCATACATGCATTCATAACATCCAGGCTCGACTACGCAAACTGCCTGCATGTCGTCCTCCCGATCTCCTCCTTCCTAAGGCTGCAGATCATCCAGAGCTCTGCAACCCAAGTTCTCTCCTGCATCAAGCTCCACAACCCAATCAACCCCACCCTCGCCTGACTCCACTGGCTTCCCATCACAGAGAGGACACAGTTCAAGATCCTCGTCCTCACTTTCAAAGCCCTCCATGGCCTACTTCTGTGACCTCCAAAACCTGTCCACTCCCTACGTTCCCCTCAGCTCTGAAACACTGACTGTTCAGTGCCTTGGGACTTCCTCCCGATGTGAAAGGCGATATACAAATGTAATTTTGTTGTTGTCTCCCTTGGTCACCAAATCCATGGGTAGGACTGAATTCCCTTTCTACAATGTTCTTGAAGCAGCAACTAATCCTAATCCATGGTTTTTAACCTGCTTCTCATCTCAGATAATCAAACCTGCTATTCTGACATTTAAAATGCTTAACTTTCATTAATGTTTTGGAATGCCTCCTGCTTTTACACAGATGCTTTGGGGATGACAATATTTAAAGGTCCACTGGATGTGTTGCTGAATGAAGATGTTGTCCTCAAATGTAATGTGACCCTCAAAACTCTGGAGGGGAAACGCCGTGAAATAGTTGCTGTTCAGTGGTTTTTGGAGTTGGGTGAGGTGTATTCATATAATGGAGGGACGTTTAGAGCTGTCAGAACTGGATCAAGAATAATAATAGAAAACCTGCGGAGAGGAGACGCCTCCCTACATCTTCCGAAGATTCAGATATCCGAAGCAGGAGTGTACAAATGTATTGTTTATTTCTCACCAATTGCATCAAAAGAAGAAAAGAGTTCAGCCGTACTGGTGTCAGGTAAGCACAGTGAAGCATCTTGCCAGGTGTGTATGTTGTAGTGGGGAATTGTAATGCTGTATTCACAAGATCAAAAAATCGGTTCAGATGAAGTTGGCTTTACAGCCCATCTGAGCTCAAGCATCCAGTATACCCATCCTCCCGTCACTGCATCAAGCTATTCCTGTGTCCCGGCCTCAACCATCCTTCCTTGCAACCTGTTCCAGTCATTAATTACCAATTACCGTCTGGATCAAGAAATACTTTCTGGTGTCTGTCCTGAAATTACTAATTGGAACTTTAAACCTGTAACCTCTTGTTCTACCATTTTGGTGCATCATAAAATATGGTCTACGTCAGACTGAGTCAAGCTTATTTTTTCAATCCCATTTCAAATGTTTTACACCTCTATATGTTCCCCTCTGAGAGCCCTAGCTGATGTTGACCACAAATCCCAGTTAATAAACAACCCATCAGTCAGAGTGATTGTAATTGACCCCCTGCTTAAGAAACCATTGATGCCGATGCCATCTCAGTTAACCGATCTCAGTCAGATGCTTAATTTGTGGAAAAAAATAGTTACCTCATTCTTCTGTTGACTTGTAGCAATGCAACTTGTTTCGTTAACTTGCCAAGATTAAATGTGATACGTGTCTATTGCACTGGGCTCAGTTCACAAATCTTGGGTTGAAATTCCATTTAGTCTTAACGCGTCGGAAATTATTTTGTCTTAAAATCTAAGTGTTGTACAAAATTGTTCCATTGGATTGAATTAGGAAGGCAGTCCTTTTCAGAAAAGGGAAAAACTGGCTTCTGAATGAAGACGGATTTGAAAAAAATTCCATCTTCCTATTGCTGAGTCTGAAATAAATATGAGTTGTATTATAAAACTTCCTGCAGCTGAAAGTGGACAAGATGGAAGCCATACTCCTTGGCTACCGTCAACGATTTCACTCCTATGGATCTGAACTCTTCAACCTCCCTGGCCTTACCCTCAGACCCACCGAACCAATCTTCCTTCCCCACATCTGGTCCCTGTCCAGGACCGTCTTCCTCCCCCGCCGCCACATTGCCTGCCTCCGACCTTTCCCCAAATGAAGCCGAAACTCTTGTGCATGCTTTTGTCACATCCCGCCTGGATTACTCAAACACATTCAAAAAATCCAGCTCATTCAGAACTCTGCTGCCCACATACTAACATGGACCAAACTCGGTACAAGGTGACCTTTGGTGAACAGTGGTTCTGGTCTATTCTGGTCAGTCTCCATGAGCTGCCCATCACTGAACAGATCGACTTCAAGATCCTCACACTTGTGTTCAAATCCCTTGACTCCCTGGCACCTCCCTACCTCTCTGACCTCCTCACTCCTCAATCCCACCACCCGGCTCCTCCGCTTAGACTGGCACCAGCCTCCTGCTTGTCCCTTGCACTCTCCCCTCCACCATTGGAGATCGCGCATTCAGCCACTACACCCTGAAACTCTGGAACACTCTCTCTCTCTTCCACCTTGCCCCCTCTCCCCTTTTTCAAGTCCTGCCTGAAAACCTTCCTTTTCGACCATGCTGATGGGCACCTCCCCCCTCCACTGGCTCGGAGGCAAGCTCCGCCAGTGTTAAGCGCTCTGAGACTCTAGCCTGCATGGCGTGCACTACATAAGTGCAAATTGTTGTTGTTGTCACTGGTGTGTATCTTATGGTTAGAAGATAACAATGCTGCTCCAAAAGAGAGTATTCATATAGTGCATTTTTATGATCTCTACAGCTCAGCCAAAGGTCACCGTGTCTCCACGTCACATCATCGTAATCAACGATTCAGTTGTGACTTTGACGTGTAATGTTAATGGATTTTACCCTCAGACGCACAAGATCAGCTGGGTCAAGGTATCACGTGGTGTGGAGATGGAGGTTACAACAGGTATCTTCACACAAGATGTAGTTACCAACGGGGACAGAACATTCAGCGTTTCCAACCTGTTGAGGCTCACACCAACCCTGGATGACGATGGTGATAAGTACAGATGTGTGGTGATGCACAGAGCATTCAGTGATAATTTTACACTGGAGGCAGAGCTGACTGTGGTAGTTAAGAAACCACAGGAACCTGCAGGAAATGGGCCTGGAGCTGTTATTGGAGGTGTCGTTGGCCTGCTGGTGATTGTGCTCCTTGCTGTAGCGGCATTTGGCTTTTGGAAGAAATGGAATCAAGGTAAGGATCTTCACAGTCCTAAAGTACAATGGCAAATGTGGCGGTGAATTATTGAACATTAAATGCTCTTGTGCACATTTTCTATCAACAGAGAACTATCAGCCGACACAATGATCAACTGAAACAAATATTGTGCTAATGACATAGCGAAAGGCTGTGTCTAGGCCTCCGCTCTCTGGACTGCTTACCCAAATCCCTTCTAGAAACTTACCTGCTTGATTGTGCTTTTGGTCACTGTCACCATTCCCCTGCTTTCTCTTGCCCCTTTGCTCAGTGATGAACACTGTAAAGTTCCTATAAAGTGCTTTGAGAAAGTATCAATGTTGGCAAGGTGGTATATAAGGGCAAATTGTTGTTGTAAATGTGTTGATTATTACTCAGGTTTCTTTAGAGAATTTGAATATTTGATGCTACTTTTTGTACGTTTCACAGCTCCTCCCAAGATCACTGAAATCCACAAACCCACTCACTTTATACATGGGCAGCGTGCCGATCTGAGTTGGGAAGTTACTGGATTCAAAGCAAAAGAGATAGAGATTGTGGTATTACTGACGAGGAAAAGAAAAGAACAACTGACGTTATTTGTCTGGAAATTCCCAAAGGATGAAAAGAGGTCATGTCAGATTGAAGAAGGTGTTCCCCTCGTAGATATAAAAGATGGATGTGAGAGGGTGAATTCCTTCACTGCTGAGCCCCCACGATGTGTTCAGCTCAAAAATGGGACCTTCAGTGTAAAGTGTCTGATAGGATTCTGTCCTGATGTATCTGAGGACGACGGAGTTCAAATGACTGTAAAAGTTCATCACAAGACTCTGAAAACGCCTCTCGAAAAATCTGTAAAATTCGAAGTTGAAGGTAAGAATTGGATTGTGCAACCTCTATCCACCCACCCCCGCCCAGCAACACCTACATGTCGGTGTTCAAACATTCGGAATATATAGAATCATAGAAATCCAGGGTTAATAATCCCTTCCAACAACAAAAAATAATACTAATTTGGCCACTCAATCCACGACTACTGTGTGAAATTGGCTGCTGCGTTTTGCCCATAAAATATAGTCAATACATTTTACGGTGTATTGTGTGGAGGGCTTTGAGACGTCTCAACAATGTGATAAGGATTTACATCAAATGCAAGAATTATTATCATTATCATTTATAATTACAGCACAGAGGGCCTTTCACCCCATCACACCTATACTGGTCAAAACACAAAATACTGCAGATGCTGGAATCTGAAACAAAAACAGAGAGAGCTGGGAAAACTCAGCAGGTCAGGCAGCATCTATGGAGAAAGGAAAGTGAGTCAACGTTTCGTTCTGACGAAGGGTCATGGACCCGAAACGTTGACTCACTTTCCTTTCTCCATAGATGCTGCCTGACCTGAGTTTTCCCAGCTCTCTCTGTTGTTGTTACACCTATACTGTTGCTCATTCCTCCACTCGAGCTATCTCCTCTCATCATAATTCTCTTCTCTTCTCTCTTACCCGATCGTATTGACATGCTGCTTCAACACTTCTTCAAATCACCTGGAACATTGTTACTGTCTCAGCTGAGATAGTTACCTCGTGACATATTTTATGCTCCATTAACCCTGTGAGTTCAGGTGACAGATTGACTCAGTTGGTAACACTCGCCTTTGGGTCAGAAGGTTGTGAGTGTTTCAATTGGAATCTGAGAACTTCCCCTTCACCCCTAGCAATATAGACGCTACCTGACTCTCTCTGTAACTCTCACTGTCTGTCGCTCTCTCTTTCGCTCTGTATTATTCTTTTTCTCTCTCTCTCTCTCAGCTTTGGAGAGAGACGAAAGTAGATTGTGGGGGGAAACAGATAGAGAGTGTGAGGAGACATAAAAACACAGAGAGACCGTTTGTGTTCATACCACTTTTATACTTTGGATCATGTCATCAGGAGTTACATGGAAGCTCCTAGATGTCAGTTTAGAGCAGCCTGAGAACTCGTCACATGCTGTCACACTGGAAGTCAGTGGAAGAGGCCCTGGGGAGAGGGCCCTGAGGAGAGGGCACGGGCAGAGGACACGGGTATAGGGCACAGGGAGGCAGCTCAGCGAGCAACTAAAAGTGCTCCTGACGCCCAGCCTGATATTGAAGACCAAGCGGAATCCAGGGGCTCAATGTGAGACCTCAGTGTGAGCCCCTGGATTGATTTTATGATTTGTAGCTGGGCACAGTGTGGCTTGTTACAGAATTACAGTATAATGTTGACCTGCTGCTTGTGTTTTACAGTTCCTCCCACAATGACTGAAATCAAGATGCCCACTGGTATTGTGCACGGTGACAAGGTGGCTCTGACGTGGGAGGTTAATGGCTTCAATCCACAGGCCATTGAAATTGCTGTATTGGTGAAGAGGAAAGTGGATCAGGAAGCAAAGGAACTCTTTCATTGGCAGATCCCAGAGAAAGAAAAGCAGACAATCCCATCAGATATTAACCCCAGTGTTAAGGAGACTACACAGGTTAACTCCTTCACTGCTGAGGTGGCAAAGATAAAACAGACAGATACAGGGACTTTCGGTGTGAATTGCAGCGTTACCATGTGTGCTGATGTATCCAGGGATAATGGTGCTGAATTCACTGTTAGAGTTAAACATATGGCTCTGGAGAATCCTCTCACTGGATGTGTAACATTTTATGTTGCAGGTAAGTTCTATCTCTGTGTGGTCTCCTCTCTCCATGTGGCACTTATATCTGTGAGTTGTAGTACAGGCGTGTGACTGTATGTGTCCCTCTATCCTGCAATCAGTTGTGAACCAATGGTTACTTTTGTAGTGACAGTGATGTATTGTCACATAGGCGACCATACCTATGGTCGCTTCCCCCTCCCCCCTGTACCCATGCTCAGTGTACGAACCCATCACTGTAAATCACTCTGACACGTTATCTGACTTGAGTAACTTAAACAAATCAATTTTGAAATCCTCACACTCGCCTACAAATCACTTCTTGGGATGCCTTGGGACGTCCTCCCGACTTGATAGGCGCCATACAAATGTAATCTTGTTGTAATCCTGTTGTTCTTGCCAGAGCACCTCTCTACCTTTCCAACCTGCTCACATCCACTCCTCAACCCACTGCCGTCATTTGCTCAGGTCGTCTACATGTCCCTTGACCCCCTGTACTATACCATCCGCAGCCTGGCATTCAGCAACAATACCCTGAACCTCTGGATCTCCCTACCTCAACCCTCCACATTGCCTCCCTCTATCCCCCTTCAGATCATACCTGAAGAGTTTTACTCTCTGACGCTGCCTTCCATCACCTTCCCACTCTCCCCACCTCAGTGTCAAACTACGCTATTGTTAAGCACTCAAAAACGCTCCAAGACACTACACTGCACAAAGGCTGCTGTGTAAATGGAAGTTGCTATTGTTGTAATATTGTGTAACTCTGAAGTGTTGCTGCAGGTTTACATTGTAAAGTGTGTGTGAGGCAGTGCGGTGTGTCCTGGAACTGGATTTAATCTTTATCTGCTGCTTGTGTTTGTTTTATAGCTCCTCCCACAATTACTGATATCCATCTGCCCATTGACATGACACATTGTGATTGCTCCACTCTGAGTTGGTCAGTGTCTGGGTTCAATCCACGGCCCATTGAAATTGCTGTATTACTGAAGAGAGAAGGGCAGCAGACACCAGAGAAACTGTTTTATTGGCAGACGATAGAGAAAGAACAACCTGCAGGAAACAAGCCAGTAGGCATTCCAGTTACCTCTCTCACACAGGATGTCTCCATCACTCCCTCGATGGCGGTGATTACACAGAGAACAACTGGGACTTTCGGTGTGAGGTGCGACGTTACCATGTGTGCTGATGTATCCAGGGATGATGGCGCTGAGTTGATTGTTCAAATTAAACACGAGGCTCTGAAGGGATCTCTGAAGGAAGCTAAAATTGGAACATTACACGTTAAAGGGGGTAAGTGCTGCACTGTCTGATCTCCTCCCTCTCTCCCTCACACATAACTGTAGAAATATTTAGGTGAAGCAAATGATTTTACCAACGAGGAGAGTTTGAAATGAACAGTTAATCTCCAGAGGGAGAGTTGAAGCTGTTTGTGAAGGGAGGCTTTATTCAGGGCTCCACAATCACATGGATTATTTTGTAGATTAGAAATAATCTGGTGATTTCTGACAAATACATAATATTAAAATATAATATTTGAAACTATTATATATGCTCTGTTATCTCTTGTCCAGAAAGTTGTGAGTTCACATCAGGACCTGAACTTACAGTCTAGTGTAGGGATTTGTAATAAGGAAATGAGTTGATAATATCTTATAAAGAATTTGGTTGTCGACAATGGTTTCAATTTCAAATAATAATTTCCTTCATTACAATCTAGGATGACGCTGCAGTGTGAGCTGGGGGAGCCCTGCAATGCTGGAGTCTTTCAGTTGAGATGTTAAACCATGATCCCGTCTTGGTGTTCAGCTAAATGTTAAAAATCCCATAGCATTAAAAGAGAAGGGAATTTCTCCCAATGTTTTGTCCTCTACCTCTCTCTCCCTCTGTGTGTGCATCTCTCTCTCTCTCTCTCTCTCTCTTACTTTGCCACTTTCTCTCTTCCTTTCTCTTGTATTCAGTTGGGATAAAATTATTACAGAAGTTCTTAAGTCAGTGGTTATACACATACTAGACAGTATCTAAGTTTCTAGATAAGGTAGTAACTAAATCAGGAGAAGTAGCAGTGATCAGTTACCCTTTCCCTGGGAGAGCTCAGGCAGTCTCTTACTTCTCAGTTTCTTTTTCTTCATCGCTCGTTCTCTCTCACTCATGTGTTAGCAGCTCATACTTATACACAGCATGTTTCTGCAATGACTCAACTTTAACCACAAACGTGCCAAATCACAGCATGTTCTCAGATTCAGTGCACATTGCGGAAGTTACAAACAACCATGCCTTAAGGTCACTTGATCTTGCTCATTAGCAGTAGATGTACCAAGAGACACTATCTGTGTGATAACAACAACAACATAATTACATTTGCATAGCGCCTTTCACGTCGGGAGGACGTCCCAAGGCGCTGGACAGTCAGTGTTTCGGACCTAAGCTGGGGGTCAGGTTTGGGGAGGGTGGAGGGTAGGCGGGAGAAGCAAGGTGATTCAAAACATGGTCAAAGAGGAGGGTCATTGAAGATAAGTCAGCTTTTTGAGGTCAGGGAGTGAAGAAAATCAACATTATCTGTGAGATAAATTAGCTCATGTCTCCTGAAAGTCATTTTCCTCACACATAACTTTCAGTTAAACTCTTTCCTGACAATATGATGCCAATGCAGTCTGTACTGGGCCTCTATCTTTCAATCCCTGTGCTTTGCATCTCTCTCTGTCCCTCTTCCCTCACTTTCTCTCTTCCTTTCCCTTGTATTCATTTGGGATAAAATGGAGAATTTTAAATTATTTATTTGTTGAAAGGACAGTGCACCCTGTCTGGGAGCAGCTCTTGCAGGTTACTGGAGGCTCAGACGGGCTGTGCGCTTATGATGGAGTTTAATGTCATTCTACATCATTCTAAAGCTCCAGCCTGGGGCCCTCTGCCATGACGTCCAGGCTTTTCACTGGTTTCTGTGGATTTGGTTTCCAGTTTGTGTTTGACACAGAAATAGATTTGAATGTTTCCATCGGGTTTGTCATTTTGTTTTGTAGTTCCTCCTAAAATTACAATTACGAAACCCAGGAAAATGACACATGGTGAGAGAGCTGAGCTGCAATGTGCAGTGACTGGGTTCACTCCTGGGACGATATCGATTGTTTCCAGTCTACAGAGGAAAGAACAGCCACTAAGACAACTGTTTCACTGGGAAATTCCAAATAAGAAAGCATTTCGAAGTTCAACAAAATCCTTTCATCTTGAGGACAGATCAGATAGAAACAATAAAGATGCCGCCTTCACTGCTGAGGTGCCCAAATGTGAACCTGACACCAAAGATGGAACCTTCAGAGTTACTTGCAGAATCGTTATGACTCCTAATGAGTCCACGGATGATGGAGCTGTTTTAATTGTTCAGGTTAATCATGAGGCATTGCCTGAGCCTGTCACTGAGCATTTAAGAATAAACATTGCTGGAGGTAGGTTCAGCCATCAGTATTGTGTCCTCTCTGCACCACGTGCTCTGTGACAATATTTAGGATAAAGTAACAGTTTCCTTCCCGATGATCCAACGACTGAGGTCCCCATTCAGTGAAGCCCTGAGCCTCTCCGGTCAGAAAGTCGCTGGCTATGTGCAGCTCTGGTCACTGATCTGTTTATTTTGGACAGCCGGGTGTCTGGCATTTGAGAAAACCCGTCACCGTGCTTCAGGGTATCCAAACCAGACAGTTCATATATGCCAGTTACGCATGGAAACTTCCCCGTGTTTAGAATGGAACGCTCACAGTAGTTATGCATCCTACTTACCTAATACCAGAGAGTATTTGGTGCAGGTTGGCAAGACGCATAGCTTGGGGACCCCTGAGTGTGCGCTGGGATACTGCTGGAGCTTAACAAGGGAAACGCACATAGCTTGCTGTTTCCAGGTAGGACTGCACTACTTGTTAAGGCTTTGGCTTTCAGGATTACCAAGATCTGAGTGGGTAGAATCCCTGATTCCAGTCACTGGTCTTCCTGTCTGAGGCCTGTCGACGAGCCAGGCTGCTGGTTTATAATCAGCAGTGCTCTGGATTGTTGTGAAGCCACTTGGATCGGGAACTTAACTTCCAAGACTGTTCCAGAGGATTGACTGGATTCCAATATTCCGTTCTCAAGCTGTTCAAAAAGAGAAGGGAGTTTGTCCCCATGTCCTGGCCAACAATCTCCCAAATAAAATGCATCACTTACTTCATGGCTGTTTGTGGAACACTGCTGTGTGCAAATTGGCTGACACATTCTCCCTTCAAATACACAGTCAATGTACTTCACTTTAAAATCCTTTGAAGCGCTGTGAGACATCTGGATGATATGTTAAGGTGTTATATCAGTTGCAAGGATTATAAAGATTATTAGCATCTTGTAGCCAGCTCATCTCAGTGGAGACCCCGCCCACCAACGCTTCCCCCCTCCCCCCAGGTGCACTGAGCTGAGGTGGGGCAGTAGCTGTGCTCCTCCATTTGGTCTCCGTGTGTGAATCGTCTGCCCACATTGACTGTCTGGGCTGAGACATGGTAATTAATAGATGAAATGAGCAAAGCTCATCTCCTGTTCAGCACTGTGGACATCTCTCACCTTCACGATATCGGGCAGATCAGATCTTTGCAGCTGGAAAGTAACAGCCTTTATGCACACCGTGCAGAGGATATAAATAATAATAATAATCCTTGCATTTTGATATGCGCCTTATCACATCGTTGAGACATCTCCAAGTGCTGTAGCTCAGTGGTTAATTCGCTTGCCACTCAAGCGAGAGACCTGGCTGAAATGTTGGGCAAGTTTCCTTACTCCACAAGCCTCTGTTTACCTTGCAATAAGCAGGAACCTATTTGTTAGTCGATTGGCGGATCGCTTTTCTGGGGATAATACTCCCTGAAAAAAACCCAATAATAATTTGGTCACTCAATCCACGACTGTTGTGGGTCACTGCTGTGCGCAATTAGCTGCCGATTTTTGTCAACAAAAAGTGGAGTCGATTTGCTTTGCAGTATATTCTGTGAAGGGCATTGAGACCTCTCAAAGACATGATAAGGCGCTATATCAAATGCAAGGATTATTATTGTCTCAAAGCGCTTCACAGAATGTACTGCAAAGTAAATTGACTGTACGTGTTTGTGGGCGAAAGACTCTCAGAGTAACAATATAACAGAATGTAAATGACACAGGACTCATTTTTGTTTCAGTTCCACTGGGTGCTGTGTTTATGTGTCAGCCTGGTGCAGTTGGTACCGCTCATGTCTCTGTGTCAGAAGGTTTTGGGTTCAAGTCCCGCTGAGTGCAATGCTGCAATGTTTATATCATGTTTCTGTTTTACAGACCCTCCTGAAATTAATGGACCCATACTACCCAAGCAAATTATGCATGGTGTGAAAGACACACTGCAATGTCAAGTGACTCGTTTCACTCCTGGAGCAATGGCCATCGTTTTTAGTCTAAGGAGGAAAGAGCAACAGCAAAAAGTGCGACTGTTTCACTGGGAAATTCCAAAAAAGGAAACATTTCAAGAGTTTAAAGGAAGAAATGTTCCTCTCCAGAACCGATCGGATAGAGACAATCAAGTTGTCTCCTTCACTGCTGAGGAGCAAAAATGTGAACCTATTGGAGATGGGAGTTTCAGAGTAAATTGCATCATCAATGTGATTCCTGATATAAACTTGCATGATGGAGCTGAATTAACTGTTGAAGTTCATCATGAGGCTCTTGATGCCTCTATCGTGAAGAGTGTAATATTGCACATTATTCCAGGTAGGTTCTGCTATCAGTGTGGTGTCCTCTCTGTCCCTTGTGCTCTGTGACAATGTTCAGGATATTGTAATGATTTGCTCCCCGATGGCCCAGCAGCTGAGGTCACTGCTCAGTACAGTGTTGAGCCTCTCAGGCCAAAAGCTCTAAGCTTTGAGTGCGGTTGGCAGGGAGCTGATCTGAGCTGACCTGGGGCAGTGGCTGTGCTGCTCCATTTGTATGTCAGCCTGAAGCAGTGGTAGCACTTTTGTCTCTGAGTCAGAAGGTTGTGGGTTCAAGCCCCACGTCAGGACTTGGAATCACATAGTCTAAGCTGACACTCCAATGCGCTGCTGGGGTTTGCTACATTGTTGGAAGTGCTATACTTTGGACGAGATGTTAAACGAAGGTTCCACCCGCGTGTTCAGGTGGATATTAAAGAACCCATCGGCACTATTCGAAAAGAGAAGGGAGTTTCTCCCAGAGTCCAGGACAACAATCCCACAACTAAAATTGGCCACTCACTCAATGGCAATTTCTGGGACATTGCAGTGTGCATGTGGCTGCTGAATTCGCCTACAAAATACATTGTTAATGTTAAACATATGACTCTGAAGGAATCGCTCATCAAATGTGTAACATTACATGTTAAAGGGGGTAAGTGCTGCCTCTGTCTGGTCTCCTCTCTCTCTCTCCCTCACACATCACTGTAGAAATATTCAGGTAAAGGTTATGATTTTGCCAACGAGGAGCGTTTGAAATGAACTGTTAATCTCTCAAGTGAGCGTTGAAGCTGTTTGTGAAGAGAGGCTTTATTCGGGGCTCCACATGATTAAAGTGGATTTATTATTTTATACAGGGTGATAAATAATCTGATAATTTCTGACAAATACATAATATTAAAATGTAACACATTTCACCATTATATATACATAAATATGGGTGTTGGCTCGGAACGTGTAGAACTGTTATCTCTTGTCCAGGAGGTTGTGATTTCACATCCCATCGGGACCTGAACTTACAATCTAATGCAGTGACTTGTAATAAGGAAATGAGTTGATAATATCTTATAAAGAATTTGATTGTTGACAATGGTTTCAATTTCAAATGACAGTTTCCTTTATTGCAGAAGTTCTCAAGTCAATGAAAACTGGGAGAGCTTCCCCTGGGAGAGCTCAGGCAGTCTCTTATTTCTCAGTTTCTTTTCCTTGGTTGCTCGCTCTCCCTCACTCGTGTGTTAGCAGCTCATACACATACAAAGCATGTTTCGGCAATGACTCAACTTTAACCCCAAATGTGCCAACTCACAGCTTGTTCCCAGGTTAAGTGCACATTGCCATATTGCAGAAGTTACAAACAATCATGCCTTAAGGTCACTCATCTTGCTCATAGGCAGTAGATGTACCAAGAAACACTATCTGTGAGATGACAACAACAACAAAATTACATTTGTATAGCGCCTTTTATGTTGGGAGGACGTCTCAAGGCGCTGGACAGTCAGTGTTTCGGACCTGAGCTGAGGATCAGGATTGGGGAGTGTGGGGGGCAGGGTGGGATTCAGGGTGATCGAAAGCACGGTCGAAGAGGAGGGCCACCGAAGATAAATCAGCTTTTTAAGGTCAGGGCGTGAACAAAATCAACGGTATCTGTGAGATAAATTAGCTCATATCTCCTGAAAGTCATTTTCCTCACACATAACTTTCAGTTAAACTCTTTCCTTACACTCGGATGCCACTGCAGTCTGTGCTGTTCCTCTATCTCTCTCTCCCTGTGTGTGGTGCATCTCTCTCTCTGTCCCTCTTCCCTCACTTTCTCTCTTCCTTTCTCTTGTATTCAGTTGGGATAAAATGTAGAGCTTTCAATTATTTATTTGCCCAAAAGACAGTGTACACTCTGTCTGGGAGCAGCTCTTGCAGATTACTGGAGGCTCAGACGGGCTGTGCGCTTATGATGGAGTTTAACACCATTCTACAGTTCCAGCCTGGTGCCTTTTGCCATGACGTGCAGGCTTTTCACTTGTTTCTGTGGATTTGATTTCCAGTTTTCTTGACACAGAAATAGATTTGAAATGCGGTTGCCAATTACTCACAGCAGTGTCCCACAAATATCGTGGATTGAGTGACCAAATTATTATTATTTTTTTTTTTGGAGGGATTATTAACCCTGGAATGTGATCCTCCAATCCACCATCAACAATCACATACTGCTAAGTAAACAGGTGTGTGGTGTAAGGAAATTTAGATTTTGCACTGTATGAGAATTGAACCCGAGTCCTGTTGCTTGATACACGTCAGCTCTAACCAATATGCTACAGGACTAAAATAATAATCCTTGCCTTTTGGTACAATGCCTTATCATGTCTGGAGGACCATCTCAAAGTGCTTCACAAGATTCACTGTGAAATGGAGTGACTGCGTATTTTTAGGCAAATGTGGCAGCACAATTGCACACAGCAATGTCTCACAAAGAGCCAAAGCGGTGAACCAATTTCTTGACAGCGATTGTTGGTCAGGACACCGGGAGAACTCCCTTCTCTTTTTGAATAGTGCCACAGGATCTTTAATGCCCAACTGAACAGGCAAACAAGACTTTGGTTTAACATCTCATCCAAGGGTCACGTCTTTGCAGCTGGGAAGGAACAGCCTCAATACTGTCAACACACTGTGCAGAGGATATAAGTACTCTGAGTAACAATATTACAGTGTGTACATTTTGCAGGATGAGTTGTAGTTGTGTTTGGGAGCAGCTCTGTTGTAGGTTGATGGATAAGTGATGTGACTCTGTGGTCATGGTCCCGCTCAGCATCAGCCGGCAGCATTGTCTGCTGTTCTCTGTAATAGTGTGAAGCTCTTTCTGAAGCTTTGCTGAAGACTTAGATTATAAATTGTGTGTGAAGCATTATGAGAGTTACAAACAACCATGCTTTAAGGTCACTCACATTGCTTATAGGCATTATAAGCAAGGAAACAGTATCTGTGAGATATGTCAGCTTTTTACGGTTGGGGAATGGACAAAGGCTTGTGAGGGAAATTAGCTCTTGTCTCCTGAAAGTCAGTTTTCTCACACACAACTTTCAGTTAAACTCTTTCCAAGGATAGCACTGCAGTGTGTCCTGGGGGAGCCCTGCAATGCTGGAGGTGCCATCTTTTGGTTCAGTTGTTGAACCACAGTCCCGCCTAACTGTTTAGCTAAATGTTAAAAATCCCACAGCACCATCGAAAAGAAAAGGGAGTGTCTCCCATTGTCTATGTCTCTCCCTCTGTGTGAAGATCTCTCCCTCTCTTCCTGTCTCTCTTTGTCCCTCTTTCCCACTTTTTCTCTTCCTTTCTCTTGTCACGATGTCCAGGCTTTTCACTTGTTTCCGTGTATTTGGTTTGTGTCTCACGCAGAAAAAGACTAGAATGTTTACATCAGGTTTGTCATTTTGTTTTGTAGTTCCTCCTAAAATTACTACAATTGAGTCCAAGCCCAAGGAAATTAAACACGGTGAGAAAACCGAGCTGCAATGGGCAGTGACTGGGTTCACTCCTGGGAAAATGTCGATTATTTCCAGTCTACAGAGGAATGGAGAGCAAATTAGGCAACTGTTTCATTGGGAAGCTCAAGATAAGAAAACATTTGAAGGGAAGGGAAGTGCCTTTTCTCTCAAACACCTATCAGATGGACGCAATAAAGATGCCTCGTTCGCTGCTCAGGTGCCCAAATGTGAAAAAGACAAAGACGGAACCTTCAGAGTAAAGTGCAGCATCACCGTGACTCCTGACGTGTCCAGGCATAATGAAGCTGAATTAACTGTTCAGGTTCAGCACGAGGCTCTTGGTGTTTGTGAACCTCTCATTGAGAAGTTAAAATTACACGTTAAGGGAGGTAGGTGTCCTCTCTGTCTCTCGTGCTCTGTGACAATGTTTAGGATATTGTAATGATTTGCTCCCCGATGGCCCAGCAGCTGAAGTCACTGCTCAGTACAGTGTTGAGCTTCTCAGGTCAGAAGCTCCAAGTTTCAAGTGCTGTTCTGGGATCTGATCTGATCTGACCGAGGCAGTAGCTGTGCTGTTCCATTTGGTCTCTGTGTGTGAATCTCCTGCCCACGTTAACTGTCTAAGCTGAGACAGAAGAGTTCCTGGTAATAAGTAGAAAATATAATCAAAGCTCACCCCCTGATCATCACTGTGGTTATCTATCACTTTAAGGATGTTAGGTATACAGATATTTTTGTCCCAATAAAAACCATTGCTGAGCAATAAGCTTCTCCCAAATTGTCTCCACAAGTAAATCAATTTCAAATTCCAGTTTCCTTTGTTAAATAAGTTCTGAAGACAATGGTTATACACGTACCAGACAGTATCCAAGTTTCCAGATAAAGTAGTGACAAACTCAGAAGTAGCAGTGATCAGTTACCTTTCCCCTGAGTGAGCTCATGTGGTCTCTTACTTCTCAGTTTCTTTTCCTTGGCTGTCTCTCTCTCTCTTTCTCCTCTCTCTCTATCTTGTGATTAGTAGCCCATACATATACTCAGCCTGTTTCAGCAATGTCTGAACTTTAACCGCAAATATGCCAACTCACAGCATGTTCCCCAGTTCAGTGCACATTGCAGAAGTTACAAACAACCATGCTTTAAGGTCACTCATCTTGCTCATAGGCATTATAAGCAAGGAAACAGTATCTGTGAGATAAGTCAGCTTTCTAAGGTTGGGGAGTGAACAGTGAATGGCCAGTGAGAGAAATTAGCTCTTGTCTCCTGAAAGTTGTTTTTCTCACACACAACTTTCAGTTAAACTCTTTCTTAGGATGACACTGCAGTGTGTGTTGGGGGAGCCGTGCGATGCTGGAGGTGCCGTTTTCGGTTTAGTTGTTGAACCATAGTCCCGCCTAACTATTCAGCTAAATGTTAAAAATCTCACAGCTCCATCGAAAAGAAAAGGGAGTGTCTCCCAGTGTCTATGTCTCTCCCTCTGTGTGAAGATCTCTCCCTCTCTTACTGTCTCTCTTTGTCCCTCTTTCCCACTTTTTCTCTTCCTTTCTCTTGTCACGGTGTCCAGGCTTTTCACTTGTTTCCGTGTATTTGGTTTGTGTCTCACGCAGAAAAAGACTAGAATGTTTACATCAGGTTTGTCATTTTGTTTTGTAGTTCCTCCTAAAATTACTACAATTGAGTCCAAGCCCAAGGAAATTAAACACGGTGAGAAAACCGAGCTGCAATGGGCAGTGACTGGGTTCACTCCTGGGAAAATGTCGATTATTTCCAGTCTACAGAGGAATGGAGAGCAAATTAGGCAACTGTTTCATTGGGAAGCTCAAGATAAGAAAACATTTGAAGGGAAGGGAAGTGCCTTTTCTCTCAAACACCTATCAGATGGACGCAATAAAGATGCCTCGTTCGCTGCTCAGGTGCCCAAATGTGAAAAAGACAAAGACGGAACCTTCAGAGTAAAGTGCAGCATCACCGTGACTCCTGACGTGTCCAGGCATAATGAAGCTGAATTAACTGTTCAGGTTCAGCACGAGGCTCTTGGTGTTTGTGAACCTCTCATTGAGAAGTTAAAATTACACGTTACGGGAGGTAGGTGTCCTCTCTGTCTCTCGTGCTCTGTGACAATGTTTAGGATATTGTAATGATTTGCTCCCCGATGGCCCAGCAGCTGAAGTCACTGCTCAGAACAGTGTTGAGCTTCTCAGGTCAGAAGATCTTAGGTTCGAGTTCTGGTCTGAGAGCTGATCTGAGCTGACCTGGGGGCAGTAGCTGTGCTGCTCCATTTGGTCTCTGGGGCCCTGTGTGTATGAACTGTCTGGACTGAGACATGAGAAACCCTGGTAATTAATAAAGAATATAAACAAAGCTCACCTCCCGATCAGCACCATGGGTATAATTCACTTCATGGATGTTAAGTATATAAATATGTTTGTCCCAATAATAACCCTTTCTGAGCAATAACTTTCTCTGAAATTTGTCTCCACAGGTGAATCAGCATCTCGCCAAACACAACACAGTGGGAGATTCAAATGAAGAGGCCTCACCATCTGCTCAGAGCTACAATCCTTGTCCACGTAACTACCTATCCTACTTGCTGTCTTCCAGTTCTCCACAGTCACTTTGTTAAATGAAGCAAACNTTTTTTTTAATACTTACAAGTTATGATGAGGTGTTTGTTGGACTGAAATGTGCTGTTTTTGTGATTAATCTATTGAAATTTCCTTTGGTTTAGGAGGTGGAAATGTTCAATCTTCCAGCCGCCAGATGGATGGTTTGTGAAGACAGTGCGATTGCCAGTCTCTCCCCGTGTGTAACAGCCACAGTCATCGTCATGGCTTTCGATTCTGACAACCACAATGTGACTATTGATCAGCTTTGGCAGTTATTGGAAAGTGATGAGAAATGTATCAGTTTTGCAGAAGTATAAAGAAACACTGTGTAATGATAATTCTGTTAAGAGCAAAGGCTTAACGTGTCGGTGCTTTGCTTCTGTCTGTTATTAAACGCTCGCAAACTAGTTTTGTTTTTCACTATGGTGCTTCGCTGCATGTTTCTCAGATTCCTGCTCCCGAGTCAGTCAGTGGAAAGAATCCCAAACCATCATACACGTCACAGTCTGTAAAGCCATAGACTGTGTTATGTGACGTGGGTACAGTGCTGTCCAGGGACGTGCTGCGAGGGACATGAAAGGCGCTCGATAAATGTAATTTTGTTGTTGTTGTCGTTGTTGTTACGGATGGATCTGGTTTCACGAAGGTGGCTTCCCGTCAACGCTGAGCACAAGCCCTGACGCTGTTGAGAAAGGCGCCAATTCCAGGCTGCGATTTTCTGACCTGGAAGAGAAAGTAATTCAGCCCTTCTCACTATCCCCGGACAACAAGACCAATTGGAGCACCCAACTGCTGCCCTGGCTGCGATCAGTGGACTTAGCCCTGAGCAGGAAGTGTGACCTCCTTGTCTGTGTGCTTCAGGTTGTACTTTGACTCATCGGCTATTGGAAAGTGATAATTTTTTGATCGAGTGACTGTCACAAATGAGATGTGCCCAGCCACCATAATAGTTGTTTTTTTCTATGTTCTGTTTTGATCATGCCATCCCATTTTCCTCTCCCCTGTCCCCGGTTCTCCTGTGGCATATCCCAAGGTTCTATCCTTGGTCATCTACTTTTCTTTGTTTATGCTCTGCAGAAATTGGTCAAGTTGCATGTATATGTGGTTGACTGTTTCTCCTTCTCCAGCTGCAACTGCAGGTCCACCGATGTTCTGTCCACTTGCTTGTCAAGGGATGGAGGAGAGTCAACTTTCTGCAGCTGAATGTTGACAAGACAGAAGCCAAAGTCTTTAACTCTGGTTAACATCTTGTCACATGCAACTCCAATTTGTGCTGAAACATCATGGTTGTGTTGCTCTTGCCATATATATGTGTATTATATAGCATTGCTCAGCTTCGCCAGAATGAAACATATATTTGTAATCACTTTAACATTATAGAGCAATTAAGTCAACTATTATACTGTTTTATTATGCATTTTGCATATCATGGAAGTTTCTTAACCTTTGGAGTCCTGTAGCTCAGTGGTTAGAGTACTCGCGTTGCAAGCGAAGGACCTGAGTTCAATTCCAGGCAGAGGGCGAAACCTTGGGCAAGTTTCCTTACTCCACACGCCTAATAATAATCCCTCCAAAAAACAAAAACAATAATTAAATTGGTCATTTTCAATCTACGACTGTTTGTGGGACATTGCTGTGCGCAATTGGCTGCTGCGTTCGCCCACTAATATACAGTCAATTCACTTTACAGTGTGTTCTGTGAAGCGCTTTGGGACGTCCTCCCGACGTGAAAAGCGCTATATCAAATGCAAGGATTATTACTATATTATTATTTGTTCTGCTGTATCTAAAAGTAGGATTTAATAATAATAATTGGGATGTAAAAATGGAAGTTTAGTCAAAGTTCAGTACGAGGTGCCTGAAGAAGCAGTTGGCTAAGACAAGTCATTCCTTTTCCAGAGAAGTTAACTGATCAATAGCATAATCTCTGAATGAGTTGCTACTATATTATGGTCTCTTATAAAGTCGTCATTGCTGCATTTGACTGTGCTTTTATTGGCAGTTTAACTGGATTCACTATTATTGTTGATTAATAAAGTCTATAATTTTTTGAAACCATTTCAGGCGTGATTATTGTCTCGCAAGTGATCCTACAAACTGGTATACTTTGAAGTGAGGTTGTATTGATCATTTTGTGACATTTCTCGGTTTGGACCTGATGGATATTAATTATCCTTTCCTTGGTTCATTGGTTACGTTAAAGAGGAGAAGGGATGCACTACAAGATGATCCATGTCTTGGGTGAGAGTTGGAACAAAGAAACAGCGTTGATGTATGTGTTAATGGGATGGCCTTGGGTCACAAGTGCAGAAATGGTCTTGTGTCATAATTGGAGAAATTGGAGCCTCCTAATCTCATGTCACTGGTTTACTTGTGCAAGCTGTGCTTCCTTATCTAAGTCCCTTGTTTACCAATGTGATCAACATGTAGTCACGGGAGAAGGAATGTTCTAATGATAATTATTGTGTTATAAACCAACCGGTGGTGTTGCAGCTTGTGAATTGAAGAAACGATTAAGCAAGCAAGTGGGAATAAATGTAGCTTTTGTAACTGCTTGTCTTCTGAACAGTCTTGTGAGGAAGATAGAAGAGAAAGATACAAGAATACGCACAAGAAGAATAAAGAAATAGAAGTTATGCTGTTCCCCAACTTTTAAATAACTCTGTATCACGCACATTGCTGTACTGTGTAAAGATTTCTTAAACGTTTCCATGAGCTTGCTTTGAAAACATAAAAAGACTTATGAGTCGTGCTGTTTTTGTGATTAATCTATTGAAATTTCCTTTGGTTTAGATGGTGGAAATTTTCATGCTTCCAGCCGCCAGATGGATGGTTTGTGAAGACAGTGCGATTGCCAGTCTCTCCCCGTGTGTAACAGCCACAGTCATCGTCATGGCTTTCGATTCTGACAACCACAATGTGGCCAAAAGCTCTAAGGTTTGAGTGCGGTTGGCAGGGAGTTGATCTGAGCTGACCTGGGGCAGTGGCTGTGCTGCTCCATTTGTATGTCAGCCTGGAGCAGTGGTAGCACTTTGCAGCTGGGAAGGAACAGCCTCAATACTGTCAACACACTGTGCAGAGGATATAAGTACTCTGAGTAACAATATTACAGTGTGTACATTTTACAGGATGAGGTTGTAGTTGTGTTTGGGTGTAGCTCTGTTGTAGGTTGATGGAGAAGTGATGAGACTCTGTGGTCATGGTCCCGCTCAGCATCAGCCGGCAGCATTGTCTGCTGTTCTCTCTAATAGTGTGAAGCTGTTTCTGAAGCTTTGCTGAAGACTTAGATTATAAATTGTGTGTGAAGCAATGTGAGAGTTACAAACAACCATGCTTTAAGGTCACTCACATTGCTTATAGGCATTATAAGCAAGGAAACAGTATCTGTGAGATATGTCAGCTTTTTACGGTTGGGGAATGGACAAAGGCTTGTGAGGGAAATTAGCTCTTGTCTCCTGAAAGTCAGTTTTCTCACACACAACTTTCAGTTAAACTCTTTCCAAGGATAGCACTGCAGTGTGTCCTGGGGGAGCCCTGCAATGCTGGAGGTGCCATCTTTTGGTTCAGTTGTTGAACCACAGTCCCGCCTAACTGTTTAGCTAAATGTTAAAAATCCCACAGCACCATCGAAAAGAAAAGGGAGTGTCTCCCATTGTCTATGTCTCTCCCTCTGTGTGAAGATCTCTCCCTCTCTTCCTGTCTCTCTTTGTCCCTCTTTCCCACTTTTTCTCTTCCTTTCTCTTGTCACGATGTCCAGGCTTTTCACTTGTTTCCGTGTATTTGGTTTGTGTCTCACGCAGAAAAAGACTAGAATGTTTACATCAGGTTTGTCATTTTGTTTTGTAGTTCCTCCTAAAATTACTACAATTGAGTCCAAGCCCAAGGAAATTAAACACGGTGAGAAAACCGAGCTGCAATGGGCAGTGACTGGGTTCACTCCTGGGAAAATGTCGATTATTTCCAGTCTACAGAGGAATGGAGAGCAAATTAGGCAACTGTTTCATTGGGAAGCTCAAGATAAGAAAACATTTGAAGGGAAGGGAAGTGCCTTTTCTCTCAAACACCTATCAGATGGACGCAATAAAGATGCCTCGTTCGCTGCTCAGGTGCCCAAATGTGAAAAAGACAAAGACGGAACCTTCAGAGTAAAGTGCAGCATCACCGTGACTCCTGACGTGTCCAGGCATAATGAAGCTGAATTAACTGTTCAGGTTCAGCACGAGGCTCTTGGTGTTTGTGAACCTCTCATTGAGAAGTTAAAATTACACGTTACGGGAGGTAGGTGTCCTCTCTGTCTCTCGTGCTCTGTGACAATGTTTAGGATATTGTAATGATTTGCTCCCCGATGGCCCAGCAGCTGAAGTCACTGCTCAGTGCAGTGTTGAGCTTCTCAGGTCAGAAGCTCTAAGTTTCAAGTGCTGTTCTGGGATCTGATCTGACCGAGGCAGTAGCTGTGCTGTCCATTTGGTCTCTGTGTGTGAATCTCCTGCCCACGTTGACTGTCTGAGCTGAGACAGAAGAATTCCTGGTAATAAGTGAAAAATATAATCAAAGCTCACCCCCTGATCAGCACTGTGGTTATCTATCACTTTAAGGATGTTAGGTATATAGATATTTTTGTCCCAATAAAATCCATTGCTGAACAATAAGATTCTCCCAAATTGTCTCCACAAGTAAATCAATTTCAAATTCCAGTTTCCTTTATTAAATAAGTTCTGAAGACAATGGTTATACACGTACCAGACAGTATCCAAGTTTCCAGATAAAGTAGTGACAAACTCAGAAGTAGCAGTGATCAGTTACCTTTCCCCTGGGTGAGCTCATGTGGTCTCTTACTTCTCAGTTTCTTTTCCTTGGCCTGCCTCTCTCTCTCTTTCTCCTCTCTCTCTATCTTGTGATTAGTAGCCCATACATATACTCAGCCTGTTTCAGCAATGTTTGAACTTTAACAACAAATGTGCCAACTCACAGCATGTAAATCAATTTGAAATTCCAGTTTCCAGTAGCTGTGCTGCTCCATTTGGTCTCTGGGGCCCTGTGTGTATGAACTGTCTGGACTGAGACATGAGAAACCCTGGTAATCAATAAAGAATATAAACAAACCTCACCTCCCGATCAGCACCATGGGTATAATTCACTTCATGGATGTTAAGTATATAAATATGTTTGTACCCAATAATAACCCTTTCTGAGCAATAACTTTCTCTGAAATTTGTCTCCACAGGTGAATCAGCATCTCGCCAAACACAACACAGTGGGAGATTCAAATGAAGAGGCCTCACCATCCGCTCAGAGCTACAATCCTCGTCCACGTAACTACCTATCCTACTTGCTGTCTTCCAGTTCTCTACAGTCACTTTGTTAAATGAAGCAAACTTTTTTTTAATACTTACAAGTTATGATGAGGTGTTTGTTGGACTGAAATGTGCAATTTATGTGATTAATCTATTGAAATTTCCTTTGGTTTAGATGGTGGAAATTTTCAGCATTCCACACCCTAGATGTGAGGATCGTGCGATTGCCAGTCTCTCCGCGTGTGTAACAGCCACAGTCATCGTCGCGGCTTTCGATTCTGACAACCACAATGTGAACATTGATCAGCTTTGGCAGTTGTTGGAAAGTTATTAGAAATGTATCAGTTTTGCAGAAGTACAAAGAATCACTGTTTAATGGTAATTCTGTTAAGAGCAAAGGGTTAACGTGTCGGTGCTTTGCTTCTGTCTGTTATTAAACTCTCGCAAACTAGTTTTATTTTTCACATGTATATGTGGTTGACTGTTTCTCCTTCTCCAGCTGCAACTCCAGGTCCACCGATGTTCTGTCCACTTGCTTGTCTTTAACTCGGGTTAACATCTTGTCACATGCAACTCCAATTTGTGCTGAAACATCATGGTTGTGTTGTTCTTGCCATATATATATGTATTATATAGCATTGTTAAGCTTTGCCAGAATGAAACATATATTTGTAATCACTTTAACATTTTAGAGCAATTTAGTCAACTATAATGCTGTTTTTTTATGCATTTTGCATATAATGGAAGTTTCTTAACCTTTGTTCTGCTGTATCTAAAAGTAGGGTTTGGCTGATGATTGTATCTTTGTGACTTGGGTAACCTTGCTAGAAATGATTATCTATCCATCTTGTCTATCTATGTCCTGGCTCTGCCTGGTATTGTAAGGAAAGGGTTCAAATCATTGCTTGATGTGGGGCTGAATGTGTGAAAGGAGTGTGAGTGCACCATGACTAAGCACTGGAATGTGGGGAAGGAGGTGACCAGATGCAGTTGTTGCTGTTGTCCTTTTGTGTGACATGTCTTGATGTAGACTTGATGGATCAGGGTCTCCTTTCCTTATTTGGAATCCTCAAATGAGCAGCCAAAGGAAGCCTCAACAAAGGTTTCATTTCATAGTCTATCCCAAGAAGTGGGATAAGTGGCAATTCTGTGTTTATTAAAGAAAGGGTTTTATGACCTTAGGTGTCAATGTCGGAAAATGGACATTTGGCCTCAACTTCTGACTCCACTGGTTATCATAACATGAAACAAAACCCCAATTCCTTTAGGGTTAGGACATTGAGGTAGTGAGGCTGTGATTGTGCCTACCCCCAGTATGGAAAAGTGATTGGATGAACCAGTTTGTGAATATGATTGGACAATCTAACTGAACTCACATTGGGTAAGATAGCCTCCGTCTCCACCTTTACTCACAGTCATGTGAGCCCACTTTGGGATGTAAAAATGGAAGTTTAGTCAAAGTTCAGTACGAGGTGCCTGAAGAAGCAGTTGGCTAAGACAAGTCATTCCTTTTCCAGAGAAGTTAACTGATCAATAGCATAATCTCTGAATGAGTTGCTACTATATTATGGTCTCTTATAAAGTCGTCATTGCTGCATTTGACTGTGCTTTTATTGGCAGTTTAACTGGATTCACTATTATTGTTGATTAATAAAGTCTATAATTTTTTGAAACCATTTCAGGCGTGATTATTGTCTCGCAAGTGATCCTACAAACTGGTATACTTTGAAGTGAGGTTGTATTGATCATTTTGTGACATTTCTCGGTTTGGACCTGATGGATATTAATTATCCTTTCCTTGGTTCATTGGTTACGTTAAAGAGGAGAAGGGATGCACTACAAGATGATCCATGTCTTGGGTGAGAGGTGGAACAAAGAAACAGCGTTGATGTATGTGTTAATGGGATGGCCTTGGGTCACAAGTGCAGAAATGGTCTTGTGTCATAATTGGAGAAATTGGAGCCTCCTAATCTCATGTCACTGGTTTACTTGTGCAAGCTGTGCTTCCTTATCTAAGTCCCTTGTTTACCAATGTGATCAACATGTAGTCAGGGGGAGAAGGAATGTTCTAATGATAATTATTGTGTTATAAACCAACCGGTGGTGTTGCAGCTTGTGAATTGAAGAAACGATTAAGCAAGCAAGTGGGAATAAATGTAGCTTTTGTAACTGCTTGTCTTCTGAACAGTCTTGTGAGGAAGATAGAAGAGAAAGATACAAGAATACGCACAAGAAGAATAAAGAAATAGAAGTTATGCTGTTCCCCAACTTTTAAATAACTTTCTGTATCACACACATTGCTGTACTGTGTAAAGATTTCTTAAACTTTTCTCTGAGCTTGGTGTCTGAAAACATAAAAAGACTTATGAGTCAATAATTTCATTTAAATTAAATACAGAATAAATATAATTAAGGTATTGTGACAATTTAAGCAAACAGCCATGAAGTGAATGGCCAATTTCATCTGATTGTTTGTTGGCCAGAACACAGCGAGACAGACACTGCCTTCTCTTTTCGAATCATGCCAAGGGATCTTTAATGTTCACCAGAACAGGCAGACAGGATGTCGGTTTAACATCTCATCACAAGAGAGATGGCACTCCCTGCATTGCATTGGAGTGTCAGCCTCGACTGAGTTTAAAGGCTTGAGTGTAAAGACTCACAATGGAAAAACATCAGAATGTTGCACATTGTGGCTGTTGAATGTATTCATACATGTCCAATTTGTGGCCCTTACCTCAGGACCTCCGTGCTTCAATCACTCCCCCCCCAACCCCCACCCCACCGCCCGCAACGTTGTGTGAAGAGTGGGCAGGGAGGCAGTGGTGGTGGTGTGGGGGTGCCGGGGCAAGGGACAGAAATGAAAGGGGAAGGAGTCATTTTCTGCTTGCCTATATTGCTTGAAGATTTTTTTTGATCTGTCAGGTGTCCGACACATGCGGAAATCCACCACCATGCTTACAAGTACCCAAGCAAAGCTGAAATTTCAACGCATCCTATCTACGCGTGGAAATCCCAGAGAGATTGTTGGAATGGAACATGCACTCTCTCCCTGGAAGGACACATCTTGCTTCCCTCATTGTGGAAAGTTTTCCTACGTTTACTTTATTGAGTGTGCTTCCCTGCTTGTCGGGCTTCTCAACTCTTCCCTTCACAAGCTGCAGATCATACAGAACTCTGCAGCTTGTGTCCTCTCCCTCACCAGGCTCTGTGACCCCATCACCCCCACTCCGGCTCTACTGGTTCCCATCCCCAGAAGAGTTCAAAATCCTCGTCTTCAAGTTAAAGCCCTCGATGACCTTGCTCCGCCGTACTTCTGTGACCTACTAACGCCATCCCTGCTCCATGTCCCCTCCTGGGCAGCCCCACCATCGGCAGTCGGGCCTTCAGCCTTTTTGTCCCCATCCCATAATCTCTTCACCTTGCTCCCTCCATTACCTGTCTCAATACCCTCTTCTTCAACCATGCCTTTGGTCATCCTCGTACACCAAATGTAATTTGTTGTTGTTGTTGTTGATGGGCCTTTGTATCTTCCATCAATACCCTCGATCAATAATTTCCAGTAAATCCAGTGATGCACTTTGAGACATCCTCCTGATGTTATAAGGCATATACCAACAACAAATTGCACTTATATAGCACCGCTCACGCAGGATAGCGTCCCAGAGCTTGACAGTGGCAGAACAAGCAGAGGGGAGGGGACAGTAGGCACGGGTCGAAGAGGAAGGCGTTCAGGCATGACCTGAAGACGGGGAAGGAAGGGGAAAGCAGAGGGATAGAGAAAGAGTGTTCCAGAGTTTGGGGGACGTAGCGGCTGAAAGCGCAGCCACCGATGGAGGAAAGGAGTAAGTAGGTCAGAGAGGAAGGGAGGTGCCAGGGTATGAAGGCATTTTAAAAGCTAGCGAGGATCTTTAAATCCATCAATTCCGTGATGGGGAGCCCAGACCAGGACCGGTGTGATTGGGTATGGAGTTCAATACCAGTGAGGAGGCGGGAGGAGGATTTGGGAACTGCTGGATTTTGTGGATGGTGGCGCTGGGGAGACTTGCCAGGAGGGTATTTTGGGTACAAAGATTGCAAAGATTATTATTATTATTATTATTATTATTATCATTATTATAAAAACAACCACAAACAAAGTTGGACCTGTGAAGTGCTTTCAGACACTGGTTTTCCTGCTGTTTCAGCCACGTTCTCCTCGTGTGCCTGAAATGACAATAACGCGTTGCATTTGAATTTAAAACAATATTAAAAAAAGAAACAAACTGTCGGGAGTGCAATCGCAGCGCTGAACGCAAACCCCCCGTTTTTTGCGAGAAATCACGAGACAGAACGAAAGCGAAAGTGCGGCTCAGTCGCTGCCGTTGGAAGGAGGAGAGGGACCGCGTTGGGGGTCACAAACCCCTCCACGATGTCCGCACCCGGTGGGGCTTCCGAGGGGACGACCCTCCTCCTGATCCTCTGGGTTTCCATTGCGGGATCAGGTACAGAAAAGGCGCAAACGTCAGTGACGCTGATCCGCCGCTGAGCGAGAGATCGATTCCCCGTTGCGCTCCTGAGCGGCGCTGTCGGGAGCGGCCGCACCGCGATTGCGGATCGGGGCGAGAACCCGCAGCGCGGAGCGGGTCCTGTGCTGTTGGGGGTTTGAGCTGATGAACGGTTCCGAGAGGCGGCCCGCGGGCCGTCTTCACTGCCCCTCCCGTTTCACTTTGGCCCAACTCCATAACCCGGAACTGTTATGTTTGTGGAATGGAGAACACCAGAGACGTGTTGCCTATGTGTGGCCCCGCGGAGGTTTCCCGAATTAAGTGCCAACTCAACAGCCGAAAGGGCTGAGCATCAGGAATTGTCACTGGTGGGGACTGAGGCCAAAGGGTCAACTTTTATTTCACTTCCACAAACATTTCACAGCAGATTTCCCACAGACGCAGCAATGGTTCATGTGTTTGTTTCGAACCTGAAGGATGATTCGAATAATATGAAAGCAGAATATAAGCGATGCACGTGCCGTGTCTTTAATTATCGCGTGATATTCTGCACAATTTGCCGAAAATTCTGTAAAAGCTGCGTAAGCGGTGTCCCTCCTTGGCGACTGGCGATAAAATTGCCATTTTATGATTGAGGAAGTACGAGTGGGAGTTTTGAAATGAAGGCTGGGCAATTCCCCAGCACTTCATATGTTAAAACAAATGCCCTGCTGTGCGCTGAAGGTGGAGTCTTTTAACTTCATGTTCAGCTATGCCCCTCTGCAGCCTGTGCAAATTGCAGTGTTGTGATGTGTAATATTACCTTACAGTACAATACCTGGGGCAGGTACATTGGGAACATCGAAGAGCCATCAGTTATCGTAACCCAATCTTGTGAAGCGCCCCCCCCCCCCCAGTCTGAGAGAAACTGAGTGGCCATGTTTAAGTATAGAATTAACACCGTAATACAATTCTAATAAATAATCCTTGCATTTGATATAGCGCCTTATCACGTCGTCAAGATGTTCCAAAGCGCTTCACGGGATATATCATCGAGTGGATTGACTGTGTACTTTGTGGGCGAAACACAACAACCAGTTGTGCACAGTACAAGCAACTCCTCATATCTCATCCCTGGCTTAATGTTACTAACACTTAAGTCATCATTCTGTCAATATCCCAGCAGCATTTATTTATGTATTTATACATATACCTAACTCGCCACTCTGGTTAACTTGTCACGGAGCCTCCTTCCCTTGGAGTGATGTGTGGAGTCCTGTAGCTCAGTGGTTAGAGCACTCGCTTTGCAAGCGAGAGACCTGAGTTCAATTCGAGGCAGGTCAGGGCGAAACTTGGGCAAGTTTCCTTACTCCACACAGAGCCGAATAATAATCCCTCCAAAACAAAAAACAATAATAAATTGGTCATTTTCAATCTACGACTGTTTGTGGGACATTGCTGTGCGCAATTGGCTGCCGCGTTCGCCCACAAATATACAGTCAATTCACTTTACCATGTGTTCTGTGAAGCGCTTTGGGATGTCCACCCGACGTGAAAAGCGCTATATCAATTGTAAGGATTATTATTATTACTCTATTAATAATCCTTAGATATGGTATAGCGAATTTCAGGTTGGGAGGGTGCCCCAAAATATTTCACTGTTATGTGGGCGAATGCAGCAGCCAATTTTGGGCACAGCAATATCCCACAAACAATCATGAAGTCAATGGTCAGAATTATCTGAGAGATTGTTTAAAAAGATTGACAATGTAACACATCAGGCCACTCAGTCCAACCAGTCTGTGCTAGTGTTTACACTCCACAAGACTTTCCATTCATTCCTTACTCCCTCCCATACTCTTCTGTGACCCTCTCACTCAAGTGAAAATACTGGAGGAACCTCCCTTCTCTTTTTGAATAGTACCGTGGATCTTTAACGTACAACCAAACAGGTAGTCAGGGCCTAGGTTTTATGCCTCGTCTGAAGGACACCACCTTCAACAATGCAGCCCTCTCTCCAGTGACTGACTGAGCCAGACTGATACACAAGTGTTAAGTCACCCAATGCCAGATTTAATCCATTGCAAACTTTTCCCTGTTGTGTTGTTACAAAGTCATGTAAGATTAAGATGACCTGCCATTTTAAAGAACATTCCTTTGAACTATGCTTTTGGTCATCAACACAATTCTGCGAAAACACAACACGACATTTGTTCCAGTCCAATTTTAGGAGCACTTTGTTCAGATATATTAGACTTCATATAGGATTGAGAAAGTAAATGCAGAAGAATGCTTTCAGATAAATCAATGCAACAGAGTTCCGGGTTACAAAGGATTGTATTGAGTAAAGGGGAACAATTTCACTTGAAGCTAGACAGAAGTTTTATTTTTACTTAGATGGTAATTGATGACTCAATTGGATTACCAGGTAGGGTGTTGGTTAAGGCAAGGACACTCGGCTCATTTAAGAAATTAAGTACTGGGATGGTGGGAGAATAGTTGTATTAGAAGGATGAAATCAGATGAGCGAAAGGGTCTTCTTCATCCAAACCTCGCTTGTGATTTAAGCTTATGGCCTGATTGATGTAGTTACAAAAGCACCTTTATAATCTTTACAGCTCAGCCACAGGTCAGCTTGTCTCCAGAACACATCATCATCACCAATGGCTCGGCAGGCTTTCTGAGATGTGATGCAACTGGATTTTATCCTCAGGAAATCCTGTTCAGATGGGTCAAGGTATCCCACGGAAGGGAGACGGATATTATTCCATCAGATTTCAGCACGGAGTATAAAGGTACCAACAGGGATGGAACATTCAGTGTTTCCAGCCAGTTGAGGATCAGACCAAACCTGGACGACGATGGTAATAAGTACATGTGTGTCGTGACACACAGAACACTCAGTTATAATATTGTACGAGAGGCAAAGCTGAATGTGGAGGAATCTACTATACCATGGCCAATTGTTGGAGGTGTCGTTGGTGGCGTATCTTTGGTATTGTTGCTTGTTTTAGTACTTTGGTGTTGCTGCAAGAAACAAATTAAAGGGACCAAGAAAGGAGGTAAGATTCAGTTATTTGATTTTAAATGGTTGTGTAATATCTGTTGCTGCAAGCAATCGGCAGAATGAGATGCCCACATAAAGGCATAAGGCGGGCAAAAATATGTTGGTTTCCAACTAATTCCTTTCGAAGGAAACTGAGTTAAGAATGAACTCCTTCCAGTAACCAAATGGTGTCTTATAGGATCTGCTGAGAGGCATTGAGACAGCAATCCTGCGAATCAAAGAGACTTTATGCAGATGTGTTATATGGGGAAACACTGAAACAGATTAAAGATTCTATGTGTGGGAATTGTCTGTATTACCAACCGATGATGTTATGCAGATAGGAAATAGTTGAGGCCAAAGGATGGAGTGATACAGTGATTGCCTCAGTGAACCACAGGGATAACTACACAGAAATGGGATAATAATAATAGTAATCCTTGCATTTGATATAGCGCTTTTCACGTCGGGAAGACGTCCCAAAGCGCTTCACAGAACACACTGTAAAGTGAATTGACTGTATATTTGTGGGCGAACGCGGCAGCCAATTGCGCACAGCAATGTCCCACAAACAGTCGTAGATTGAAACTGACCAATTTTTATTATTGTTTTTGGTTTTGGAGGGATTATTATTAGACGTGTGGAGTAAGGAAACTTGCCCAAGCTTTCGCCCTCTGCCTGGAATTGAACTCGGGTCTCTCGCTTGCAAAGCGAGTGCTCTAACCACTGAGCTACAGGACTCCACTGATGAGGAGCTGTTGGGGGAAATTTAGTGTAGATATTTGACAGGGAACCTCAGTGTTATAAACCAGCACCAGTGTCTGTTGATGAACATGAGGTCCAGTCATGTTTCTCATTATTATTAATTCCTGTGAGTGATTGTGGGGAGCTCCTTAACCTGTTTCCCAGCACAAACCTGTGCTGCAAGTCACTTGCCATCAGATGACAGGGACCTGATATTCCTTCTCCTGTTTCGCACGAGTGACGAGTGTCTGAACAAAATTGACACAAGATGTACTTTATTGTCCACATACAGAGGGTGTTGAGTAGGGAAACTTGCCCAATGCGTGTATCATAGAATCGTAGAATCGTACAGCACATTTGGCCAATCACGTCTGTGCCGGCTCCTAAAAGAGCAATCCAACTCAATCCCACTGGCCCGCTTTCTCTCCATAGCCCTGCAATCCTGTCCTCCCCAAATACCTATCTACTTCTCTCTTAAACGTTTTTATTGAATCGGCTTCCACTACCCTTTCAAGTAATGCATTCCAGATCAAAACAACTTGCTGGGTGAAAACATTTTTCCTAACCTCCTCTCTGTTTCTTTTAACAACCATCTTAAATTGGTGTCCTCGGGTTACTGACCCACATGCCAGTGAAAAAAGTTTTTCCCGGTTCAATCTATCAAATCCTCTCATAATCTTGAAAACGTCAATTAAATCCTCTCTTAATCTTCTCTGCTCTAGCGAGAATAATCCTAGTTTCGCTAAGGTCTCCTCATAACTAAGGTCCTTCATTTCTGGTACCATCCTGGTAAATCTCCTTTCACCCACTCCAATACCCCAGCTCTTTTCAGTAAAGCTGTAAAACAGGGTCAAATTTATGCTATTTCTTAATGGAATTCCTTAGTAAGCAATCAATGATAGCCAAACGGGGTTTCCTTCTAAGATCCTTGATGTCTGTTGCACCAAACCAGAGGAATGCTCCAATATGGAGTTATTCCAGGGTAGAGTTATCACAGGTCAATTGGAATTCTAATGAAACCCTTAAAGAACATCACAAATTAGAACCCAATATTGAATGTGAGAGAATTAAAACACAATGTCCGATTTTATTTTAATTCCTTTTTAGTTCCTCCTCGGATCAGTGAATTGAGAAAACCCGACCAGTTTAAGCATGGTGTGGCGTCTCGTATGAACTGGGAAGTTACTGGGTTCATCCCCCGGATGATAACCATTACTTTATTAGTGAGGAGAAAAGGAAAGGAACCACAGCCATTATATGAGTGGAATTTGAAAAATAATGAAGACCCACTAGAATATGACGAGAAAGGTCTTCTCTTAAACTCGTCATATGTACTGGATGGGAATAATAAAGAAGACTCCATTACTGCTGCAATCGCAAAGTGCGTTAAGCAGGATGACGGGACGTTCAGTTTGAAGAGCACAATAACAATCTGTCCTGACGCATCCGAGGATGACGGTGCTGAAGTCACATTGAAAGTTCAACACGAGACCCTTGGGAAGCCACTCACTTCATCTGTGAAGTTAGTCATTGCCAGAGGTAAGGATTGGCTTTTGCAGGTGTCGTTGGTGGTGTATCTTTGATATTGTTGCTTCTATTAGTACTTTGCTGTTGCTGCAAGAAACAAATTAAAGGGACCAAGAAAGAAGGAGATAAGATTCAGTTATTTGATTTTAAATGGTTGTGCAATATCCGTTGCTGCAAGCAATCAGCAGAATGAGATGTCCACATAAAGGCATAAGGGGGGCAAAAATATGTTGCTTTCCAACCAGTTCCTTACGAAGGAAACTGAGTAAGAATGAACTCCTTCCAGTAACCAAATGGTGTCTTATAGGATCTGCTGAGAGGCTTTGAGATAGCAATCCTGAGAATCAAAGAGAATTTATGCAGATGTGTTATATGGGGAAACACTGAAACAGATTAAAGATTTTATGTGTGGGAATTATCTGCATTGCCAATGGATGATGTTATTCAGATAAGAAATAGTTGAGGCCAAAGGATGGAGTGATACAGTGATTGCCTCAGTGAACCCCAGGGATGACTATGCAGAAATAGGATGAGGAGCTGTTGGGAAAAATTTAGTGTAAATATTTGACAGGGACTAAGAATTGGGAACCTCAGTGATATAAACCAGCACCATTGTCTGTTGATGAACATGAGGTGCAGTTATGTTTCTCATTATTATTAATTACTGTGAGTGATTGTGGGGATCTCCTTAACCTGTTTCCCAGCACAAACCTGTGCTGCAAGTCACCTGCCATCAGATGACAGGGACCTGAAATTCCTTCTCCTGTGTCACATGAGTGACAAGTGTCTGAACAAAATTGACACAAGATGGGCTTTATTGTCCACATACAAGGTCTTGTATATGACGAGATCACAGCTGCATTAGTATTTCACTGAACAAATTCTGCACCTTAAAGCAATTAAATATTAATAATAATCCTTGCATTTTGAGACATGCGCTTCACAGAATATATTGTAAAGTGAATTGACTGTATAGTGTGACTGTGTAGTGTGACACGAGCGAAACACGGCAGCCGATAGACCACCAAATTTATTTTTTTTGAAGGGATTATTATCCCCGGAAAAGGTATCCGTCAAGCGACTGACAACTAGTTTCCAATTTACTGCTGGGTGAACAGAAGGTGTTGAGTATGAAGCTTCCCCAATGTGTATATCATAGAATCATAAAATCATACAGCACAGAAAGAGGCCATTCGGCCCATCACGTCTGTGCCGGCTCCTAAAAGTGCCATCCAACTCAATCCCACTGGCCCACTTTCTCTCCATAGCCCTTCAATCCTGTCCTCCCCAAATACCCATCTACTTCTCTCTTAAACATTTTTATTGATTCGGCTTCCATTACCCTTTCAGATAATGCATTCGAGATCCAAACAACTCGTTGGGTGAAAACATTTTTTCTAACCTCCCCTCCGTTTCTTTTAACAACCATCTTAAATTGATGTCCTCAGGTTACTGACACACATGCCAGTGGAAACAGTTTTTCCGGTTCAACCTATCAGTTCCTCTCATAATCTTGAAAACCTTTATTAATTTCCCTATTAATCTTCTCTGCTCTAGGGAGAATAATCCTAGTTTCGCTAACGTCTCCTCATAACTAAGGTCCTTCATTCCTAGTACCATCCTGGTAAACCTCCTTTGCACCCTCTCCAATGCCCCAGCTCTCTTCAGTGTAGCTGGAAAACGGCGTCAAATTTATGCTATTTCTTAACGGATTTCCTTAGTAAGCAATCAATGGTAGCCAAAAGGGATTTCCTTCTAAGACCCTTGATGTCTGTTGCACCAAACCAGCGGAATGCTCCAGTATGGAGTTATTCCAGGGTAGAGTTATCACAGGTCAATTGAAATTCTAATGCAATCCCTTAAAGAATATCACAAATTAGAACCCAATAATGAATGTGAGAGACTTAAACTGTAATGTCCGATTTTGTTTAATTCCTTTTCAGTTCCTCCTCGGATCAGTGAATTGATCAAACCCAAGCAGTTTATGCATGGTGTGGAGTCTTGTATGAACTGGGAAGTTACTGGGTTCACCCCCCGGATGATAACCATTACTTTAATACTGAGGAGAAAAGGAAAGGAACCACAGACATTATATGAGTGGAATTTGAAAAATAATGAAGACCCACTAGAATATGACGAAGAAGGTCTTCTCTTAAATTCATCATATGTACTGGATGGGAATAAGAAAGAAGACTCCATTACTGCTGCAATCGCAAAGTGCATTCAGCTGTTTGACGGGACGTTCAGTGTGAAGTGCACGATAACAGTCTGTCCTGACGCATCCGAGGATGACGGCGCTGAAGTCACATTGAAAGTTCAACACGAGACCCTTGGGAAGCCACTCACTCCATCTGTGAAGTTAGTCATTGCCAGAGGTAAGGAATGGCTTCTGCAGGTGTCGTTGGTGGTGTATCTTTGATATTGTTGCTTCTATTAGTACTTTGCTGTTGCTGCAAGAAACAAATTAAAGGGACCAAGAAAGAAGGAGATAAGATTCAGTTATTTGATTTTAAATGGTAGTGTAATATCTGTTGCTGCAAGCAATCAGCAGAATGAGATGTCCACATGAAGGCATAAGGGGGGCAAAAATATGTTGATTAACCAGTTCCTTACGAAGGAAACTGAGTAAGAAAGAACTCCTTACAGTAACCGAATGGTGTCTCATAGGATCTGTTGACAGGCATTGAGATAGCAATCCTGCGAATCAAAGAGGCTTTATGCAGATGTGATATATGGGAAAACACTGAAACAGATTAAAGATTCTATGTGTGAGAATTGTCTGCATTATCAATGGATGATGTTATTCAGATAGGAAATAGTTGAGGCCAAAGGATGGAGTGATACAGTGATTGCCTCAGTGAACCCCAGGGATGACTATACAGAAATGGGATGAGGAGCTGTTGGGGGAAATTTAGTGTAGATAGTTGACAGGGACTAAGAGTTGGGAACCGCAGTGATATAAACCAGCACCATTGTCTGTTGATGAACATGAGGTCAGTTATGTCTCTCATTATTATTAATTACTGTGAGTGATTGTGGGGATCTCCTTAACCTGTGTCCCAGCACAAACCTGTGCTGTAAATCACTTGCCATCAGATGACATGGACCTGATATTCCTTCTCCTGTGTCACATGAGTGACAAGTGTCTGAATAAAATTGACACAAGATGGACTTTATTGTCCACATACAAGGTCTTGTATATGATTAGATCACAGCTGCATTAGTATTTCACTGAACAAATTCTGCACCTTAAAGCAGTTAAATAATAATAATCCTTGCATTTGGGACATGAGCTTCACAGAATATACTGTAAGGTGAATTGACTGTATAGTGTGACTGTGTAGTGTGACACTAGCGAAACACGGCAGCCAATAGCCCACCAAAATTGTTTTTTGAAGGGATTATTACCCCCGGAAAAGGGATCCGCCAATCAACTAACAACTGGGTTCCAATTTACTGCTGGGTGAACAGAGGCTGTTGAATAAGGAAACTTGCCCAATGTGTGTATCAAAGAATCATAAAATTATACAGCACAGAAAGAGGCCATTCGGCCCATCACGTCTGTGCTGGCTCCTAAAAGAGCAATCCAACTCAATCCCACTGGCCCGCTTTCTCTCCATAACCCTGCAATCCCGTCCTCCCCAAATACCCATCTACTTCTCTCTTAAACGTTTTTATTGAATCGGCTTCCACTACAGGTTCAGGTAATGGATTCTAGATCCAAACAACTTACTGGATGAAATTTTTTTTCTAACCTCCCCTCTGTTTCTTTTAACAGCCATCTTAAATCGGAGTCCTCGGGTTACTGACCTACATGTCAGTGGAAACAGTTTTTCCCAGATTAACCTATTAAATCCTCTCATGATCTTGAAAACCTCTATTAAATCCCCTCTTTATCTTCTCTGCTCTAGGGGGTATAATCCTAGTTTCGCTAACCTCTCCTCATAACTAAAGTTCTTTATTTCTGGTACCATCCTGGTAAACCTCCTTTCATCCCTCTCCAATGCCCAAGCTCTTATCAGTGTAGCTGGAAAACGGGGTCAAATTTGTGCTATTCTTTATGGAATTCCTTCGTAAGCAATCAATGTTAGCCAAAAGGGGTTTCTTTCTAAGACTCTTGATGTCTGACTCACCAAACCAGAGGAAACCTCCAATATGGAGTTATTCCAGCGTAGAGTTATCAAAGGTCAATTGGAATTCTGATGGAACCCCTTAAGGAACACCACAAATTAGAACCCAATGTTGTATGTGAGAGACTTAAAATGTAATGCCGATTTTGTTTTAATTCCATTTTAGTTCCTCCTCGGATCAGTGAATTGAGCAAAACTGACCAGTTTAAGCATGGTGAGGAGTCTCGTACAGGCTGGGAAGTTACTGGGTTCACCCCCCGGATGATAACCATTACTTTAATAGTGAGGAGAAAAGGAAAGGAACCACAGCCATTATATGAGTGGAATTTCAAAAAGAATGAAGACCCACTAGAATATGATGAAAAAGGTCTTCTCTTAAACTCATCATGTATACTCAATGGGAATAAGAAAGAAGACTCCATTACTGCTTCAATCTCAAAGTGCGTTCAGCTGGATGATGGGACGTTCAGTGTGAAGGGCATGATAATAATCTGTCCTGACGCATCCGAGGATGACGGCGCTGAAGTCACACTGAAAGTTCACCATGAGTCCCTTAAGAATCCACTCGCTTCATCTGTGAAGTTGGTCATTGTCGGAGGTAAGGTTTGGCTTCTGCAACCTTCTCCCACCCAACAATACCCACATGTTGAAAAATAGAATCATAGCAATTACAGCACAGGGATGCACTCTGCTTGTCTAATTCCAGAGAATGTTTGGCACATATTGTCCAGAGCGTAGGTTTGGGATCGCCAGAGTGTACTTTGGGATAACTCCTGGAGATTAATTTGCCATTCCGAGCAATATCTGTCAGGCAGTTGTGATGGTAGTACAACAGCAACAACAAGATTCCATTTATAGAGCGCCTTTTACGTCGGGAGGACGTCCCAAGGCGCTGTACAGTTGGGTCAGGACCCGAGCAAGGGGGAAATGGTCAGGGTGAGGGGAGGGAAGGGAGGGAGCGAGGAGGGGGTAGAGAGTCGAGAGGGGAGCTGAAGGCTCGGTCAAAGAGAAAGGTCTTGAGACCGGCCTTGAAGGAGGAGAGGGAGGAAGCAAGGCGAAGGCACTGGGGGACAGAGTTCCAGAGCCTAGGGGCTGAGAGGCTGAAGGCCCGACCACCGATGGTAGGGCGGTTGGGGCGGGGGATGTGAAGCAGACCAGAGCCAGAGAAACGGAGGGTACGGGCAGGTAGGTAGGGGGATAGTAGGTCGGAGAGGTAGGAGGGAGCGAGGCCGTGAATGGCCTTGTAGATGAGGATGAGGATCTTGAATTCGATCCTCTGGGGGATGGGGAGCCAGTGGAGGCGAGCGAGGGTGGGAGTGATGTGGTCCCGAAGCCTGGTGCGGGACAGTACACGAGCTGCAGAGTTCTGAATGACCTGTAGCTTGTGGAGGGAGGTGCCGGGAAGGCCGGTGAGGAGAGAGTTCCCGTAGTCCAGCCTTGAGGTGATAAAGGCGTGAACCAGGGTTTCAGCAGCGTGAGGGATGAGGTAGTGCTGTAGTCTGGCGACATTCCGGGGGTGATGGAAGCCGGTGCCAGTTGTGGCGCGGATATGAGGGAGAAAGGACAGCTCAGGGTCGAACAGAACACCAAGATTCCTGACTGGCTTTGAGAGGTGGAGAGTGCAGCCTTGGATGCTGATGCTGTCAGCGCCTGAGGTGCGGAGGCGCTGACGTGAGCCAATCAGGAGGGCCTCAGTTTTACGCATGTTGAGCTGAAGAAAGTTGTCTCTCGTCCAGGACTCAATGTCGGACAGGCAGCTGTCAGGACATCGGTGGTCGTGGAGTTGAGGGTAGAGGAGGAAAGGTAGAGTTGGGTGTCATCTGCATACATGTGGAAGTTAACCCCATGTCTGCGGATGATGTCACCAAGGGGGAGCACATAGAGGGTGAAGAGGAGGGAACCGAGGACAGAGCCCTGAGGGACACCGCACGAGAAAGTGCGGGGACTGGAGGAAAAACCATTAGTGGAAACAAAGTGAAGACGGTGGGAGAGGTACGACCTAAGTATTGACATGTCCTGATGGCAAAGCCCAAATGGTCTCTTATTGGATTGATGATCAGTATTATCCGAGAAGACCATTTGCTAACAGTTACCCCAACAAACATTGTGGGGTCCCAATTGCTGAAGGGCTGCAGTAGATTTAGTTCGTAATTTGCATCTGTCACTACTTGATATATTACCATCTGACATGGTAACAAGTCTCTAGGAATTCTATAGCATGTTTCTTGAGTGTTCATTAATACCAGCCTTACCCGTTTATGTCTGTTTTATAGTTGCTCCTACGGTGACTGAAATTGACTTGCGTCCCGAGATTAAACATAGTGAAGTGGCCAGTCTGAGTTGGTCAGTCACCGGCTTCACTCCAAAGCCCATTTCCATTGTTTTCTTGCTGAAGAGGAAAGGGGAGCTGAAAGAGAAGAGGCTGTTTCACTGGCGTATCCCAGAGAATGGAGGAATAGATGACGAAGCAAAGATGGGGAGCACTGCTCTCACAGACGTGAGGGATCGCTGTGAAGAAGATGACGCCATCACTACTGTGACACCCCACTGTGTGAGGAAGAACAATGGGACATTCAGTGTAAACTGCAGCATTTGGATGACTGCTGATATGTGCAGGGATGATGGAGCTGAGCTAATTGTCGAAGTGTATCACAAGGCTCTTAAGACTCCTCTCACTAAAACTATGGCATTACATGTTACAGGAGGTAAGAGCTGCATTCATGTATGTGTGTTGACACGTATTCTGAAGTGTGTAGTTGTACGATGAAGTACACGTGTGTGGAGGTATGTGGTTTTAATGACGTACATGTTTAGTGATGTGTGTGATTGTATGAAAGGTACACATGTGTCAAAGTGCATGGTTCTGTGGTGATCCTCTTCATGTATGTCTATTTCATGACATGTGTCAAGTAGTGTATTTTTTGACAACTGATAAACTTCAGCTTATCCCCATTCTGCTGTATTTGCCTGGTATCCTCTGCAATGTTGAGTGATTATTTATCGGTTGTTGTTCCGGATTTAATTTAATAATAATAATCCTTGCATTTGATATAACACCTTATCAAATCTTCGAGACGTCTCAAAGAACTTCACAGAATATACTGTAAAGTGAATTGACTGTACATTTGGTGGGTGAAACCAGGCAGCGCACAGCAGTGTCCCTCAAATAGTCGTGGAATGACTAAATTATTGTTATTTTTTTTAAAAAATTTGATGGATAAGTGATCCTCCAATCGACTAATAACCGGGTTCCTACTTACTGCTACAGAGTAGTGTGGAGTAAGGAAATTTGCCTAAGGTTTCACCCTGCTCATGAATTGAATCAGGGTGCTCTTGAGACAATACGAATTTTAGATTACTAGTACATTTGAGATTAGCAGCTGCCTTGTTGAGCTACAACTAAGGAGGCAACAATCATGTTTTCCACATAAAATTTATATTAAATCCGAAGAAGATATTTAAAAGAAAATGCAGAAGGAGATGATTTATTTTTGCATGTTTGTTCGTCACAGTGAATCATGTTATAGAATTACACCACTGCGTCCATCTAACACTCATTATTGTTTTCTAGTTCCTCCCCAAATCACTGAAATCAAGAAACCCTCTGAGATCACGCCCGGGGAGCTGGCCAGCCTGAGCTGGGCAGTTGTTGGCTTCAGCCCACGGGCCATCTCCATTGTTACCTTTGTGAAAAGGAAAGGGGAGCAGAAGAAAAAGAAAGTCTTTCATTGGCGGATCCCAAAGAAAGACGGGGAACCACAGGAAGCTAAGACGGCCAGTGTTCCCCTCGAAAATGTCACAGAGGGCTGTGAGGAAGATGGCTCCTTCACTGCTGTGATGCCCCACTATGTGCGGAAGAATAATGGGATGTTCAGTGTAAACTGCAGCGTTTGGATGTGTGCTGACCTATCTAAGGATGACGGAGCTGAATTAATGGTTGAGGTTGTCCATGAGGCCCTCAAAGTGCCTCTTATTGGGTCTGTAACATTACAAGTTACAGGTAAGTTCTGCCTCTGAGCGATGTCCTCGCCATCTCGCACGCATCGCTCCACAGTGTTCAGCTAATGATTCTGACAAGACTAAGGGTTTATACAATCCTGTGAATCAATGAGAGAAAACTCTCCAGTGGATAAGCTGTGTTTGAAGATGTGCTTTATCCATTGTCATTGCAGGCACAATGTCAGAGATAGCTTATAATTATTATTTCTACGTCTTTATATCTTTCAGAATTCTATTGTGTAGAAACACAATCATTAATGTACTCGCTCACAAAGACATCACAAAGCACTTCACAGAATGTATTGTAAAATGGATTGATTATACATTTTGTGGGTGAAACATGGCAGCCCATTGTGTACAGCAGTGTCCCACAAACAGCAATAAAATAAAGAAGAGTTTCTCTCCTAATGTGAAACTGAAGTTGGTGAGATCTGTTTGTGGATTGCACTGCGTTGTTTGGGTTATTAATATTTTGAAATTTCCTTTGATTTAGATGGTGGAAATTAAGACTTCCAGCTGCCAGATGTATAGTTTGTGAGGAGAGCGCGATGGCCAGTCTCTCCTCTGGTTACACAAAGGACACATCCACTGAGTGTTCGCAACAGCCACGGTCATCGTCACAGCTTTTGATTCTGACAACCACAATACTGATCAGCTTTGATCAGTCGCTGATCAGTGATTAACAGTATCATCATTCTAGAATGATAGAGAATATGCTATGAAGATTTTTACACTTGAAAGTCCTTTTTCCACTGTAATCAAACGTAGATGTCTTTGTCCACATGTGATCAGAAATAGATTTGGGAGTGCTTGATAACAACAACAACAACAAAATTACATTTGTATAGCGCCTTTCAATAATGGTTGGTTCAAGGAAGGGGCTTATTCTACATGTTAAATTAATTGCTGTGAATGTCAGGATACCTAATGAGTCTAATAAAAATAACAGCTAATATGCCAAATCTTATTGAAACTAATACTACAAAATGTGACAGATTTTGAGTCGTCAAAAGATTATTGACTTGTAAGTACCTGAGGTGTTTAGGAGGGAGATAGATAGGTGCTTGGGAAGTAAACTATCAAGGGGTATTGGTAAAAATGGGGAAATGGAGCCTGCCCATTATGGAAACAACAGGTGCAGTTTGGGGGAAATTAATCAATGAATAATTTTGCCAATGGTGCAAGTCGACGTCATCATTTTCTGTTCTGTAACATGCTTCAGTAACTAACATTAATAAACATTAAATATTGAAATTTGTGTAAGGTTTTTTTCAATATGGACAGTTCAGATATCTGCCAATATACAGCAGTTATCTACAGTTTTCCTATGTAGTTATTACAACAACAGCAATAACGTCAACTTACACTTACATTATACCTTTCATGTTGGGGTGATGTCTCAAGTCACTTCAAACAACTGCCTGGAAGCCCAAATGGGAGGAATGGGCGGAGGATGGGAGAGGGGGCCATAGTTGAGGAGGATGGGGATCAGACAGGGACGTGAAGCAGGCTGGTGATGGCTGAGCAGAGGGAACGGCTGGGGCTGGAGGTTACAGTAAATCACAGAGGTTGGGTGGGACAACCCTGTGGAGGCATTTGAAAGTGAGGATGCGAATCTTGTATCTGATATGATAGAGGATGGGGAGCGGGGTGGGAGGAGGGATGGGCTTGTGGAGCCTGGTGTACTGGAGGACACAAGCTGCAGAATTTTAGATTGCACTATTTGCAGTGAATACAATATATGTTGGAATGGACTAATTCAAAGGACGAATGAGAATTATTCATGTGGATAAGGGGATGTACTTTAAGTGCCTTCACATGTGTGGTGACCATGGAGTTATGTAGGTTAAAGCAACTAGAGATAATTGTGTATCGTTCCACATTTTCTCAACACTCCATTACTAAAATCTACTACTTATGAATACCTTAAGTGACGATCCTTTAAATAACCATCAAAATTGTATCACACAAGATGAAAGAAGCCCAGGGAACCCAAGGGGAAGTGAACATAAACTCCATTCTCTTATGCGCTGGTCATTGCCATGCATATTGTGAACCCCTGGTATAATAGTGTGCAACACATCTGCTCTTAGAAATAACATATACCTAGCATTAAGCGTTATTTGCGCACAGTCAGACAAATCCTGTAAAATCATGGGGTTTTACCTTAAAGTAGAATTACATTATTTAAAAGATTATAATAGCAGTAATCCTTTCATTTGATATAGCACCTTATCACGTCTTTGTGACGTCTCAAAGCGCTTCACAGAATATCTGATAAAACAAATAGACTATATTTTTGTGGACAAAACTAATATCAAATGTGTCTGAATTTTACAAGTCTGTTCTTTTTGAGCCCAATGCAATCACAGCGTGTGCATAAAATCACCCCAAAGAGGTTGTGAGAATGGCCAGTGTAGGAATTAGTAATTTTTTCCTTCTGTTTGGGTCAGGCAGTGTCTGACAAATGCAGAAACCCATCACTATGTTTAAGAGTATCCAAACCATACTGAGAATTCCATGGATCCCACCTACATGGAAATTCCAGAGATAGATTTTTGGAATGGAATGCACACTCTCTTACCTAATTTCAAAAAGTATGAGGCGCAGGTTGGCAGGAGCCAAGGCTTGGGGACCCCACAGTGTGCGTTGGGATACTGCTGGGGTCTAACCAGCTAAAACCGAGAATACTGCTATTGAGAACACTGTATGGCACGCTTTCCCACTGCTTCCCAGCTAGGACCACCCTACCCATTAGCGCTTTGGCTTGCAGGCTTAATGAGAACTGAGTGCAAAGAGTCACTACCCCCAGTGACTGGTCTGCTACAAGTTCTGCTGATAATCCGCCTGGCTGTGTTGTCATCAGCAGTGCCCTGGAGTACTATGGATCCTTGTAATTTCACATTGATCCACTAGTGTTCCGATGTTTTGCCAGAAGAAAAGTTGCTGAGGCAACCTGAGATGCCGCGGTGTAACCAGATGGAATGGGTTTGATGCTGATATTGGGCGTTGTACCAAAAACAGGCACTAAATGTTCTACTTTAATGATCCAGCAATAAACATTATTGTGCTTTGTGCATCATATGACATTGAGCCAAAGCTTGGTTTTGGTTGGGCTTCACCTCTGAGAGTGCCATATGCTTTTCAATCAACGCTCTTGCAGAAAATGTCTTTCAACCTGGATGTTAAAAGTTTTAAAAGTTGGTCATTTACTTTGTGGCTGTGAGATGAAATTGGCTGCTGCCTTCGATAGTTAACACACAATCACTACAATTTGCAGAAACCTTTGAGAAGCTCCCAGAGATGCATTGAGGTCATATAGGTGCTCCATCAAATGCAAGAATTATTATTGTTACTGCAGGGCAGGCTGGCGCAGTGGTAGCAAACTCACCTCTGAGTCAGAAGGTTGTGGGTTCAAGCCCCACATCGGGACTTGGAATCACATAATCTAAGATGACACTACAATGCGGTGCCAGTGGTGAGATGAGATGTTAAACCTAGGTCCCGTCTGCCTGTTCAAGTGAATGTTAAAGATCCCATGGCATTATTCGAAAAGAGAAGGGGCTTTCTCCTGGTGTTCTGGCCAACAATCCCCCAAATAATAAGGTCACTGATTCCTTGACTGTTTGTGGGACATCGCTGTGCAAGACTGACTGCTGCGTTTCGCTCACAAAATACACAGGCAATCCGCATTACAGTACATCATGTGAAGGGCGTTGAGACATCTCGACTTGAAAGGCACTATATCAAATGCAAGGATTATTATATTATTATTATTATCATCTGAAAACAGAGCGCTGTGAACTCAGGGCAACTGCCTAATGGACAGGAGCTAAATTGGAGAAGAAACTTTGTTCTTCACCAAAACCTTTGGACTCGGATCTCAGCCAACTTTCAACTGTACTTTAAAAGATTGATTACCCGCACAGTAGAGTGTACTATATAAGTTTTAGTTTGGGGGGTGATATCAACCTGGTAAATTCATCCAGCAATGTAATATGTTTAAATGAAACTTTTCCATTCTCCGATGTGATTCAAAAGTAAATGTTAAAATTGAATTTGGGGAAAACACTTTGCTGTGTGGCTCCTCAGCTGTACAAGTGTTTAAATTCTGGGCCGAGTAAGGATTTTATTGTGATGTTAAACTCACCTTCCGTTCAAATCCTGGCTTTTGTTCTGTAGAAAGTTATTCACCTCGTGATCCAGAAAAGGGTGTGGAGCAGTGAAAGTGAAAGGGTGAATTCCATGTAGAGACGCTGATAGCCAGGACTCTGGGATAATCGTGGCAAGTCGTTTTATTAAGAAAATCCTGCTTTTGTGGAGGAAAGGATGGCGATTCTAGCTTTGTGTGTTGTCGCTGTCTCCTTTATCTCAACATCAGGTAAATATCACTGACCCCATCTCTTTCCCATCCTCAATTCTTGGTATGTTGAAGAATACGAGCAGAGGAACAGCACAGCTTCACTCCAGCCTCTGTTGTGTTTTCCATTCGCTACTTATTTACTTATTGTTTTTTTTAAATAGAAATCTTTTATTTTCATCAATCAATCGCTAACTTTTGCAAATGTCTAAAGTTATCATTGTAACTATGGAAGTTGCTATGAAATGTAAATGACTTTCCCACAAAATTTAGAGCATACTAGAATATTGCATTTGCTAGTGCTTGGCATTTATGGAAAGGCTGGATGTACTCTATTCATGTAACATAATAATAATCCTTGCATTGGATATAGCGCCTTATCACGTCTTCTAGACGTCTCAAAGCTCTTCACAGAATATACTGTAAAGTGAATTGGCTATATTTTGTGGGTAAAACGCGGCAGCAATTTGGGCACAGCAGTGTCCCACAAACAGTAGTGGATTAAGTGACCAAATTATTTTTTTTAAAAAGGGATCCACCAATCGAATAGACATCCAACTTACTGCTGGTAAACAGAGTTGTGTGGAGTAAGGAAACTTGCCCAAAGTTTAACCCTGCCGGAAATTGAACCCAGGTCTTTTCGCTTGCAAAGTGAGTGCTCTAACCACAAAGATACAGGTCCCTGCAATCTATCAATTGACTAACAACCAGGTTCCTACTTACTCCTCGTTAAACATTTCAGGGTGACCAGAATCTGGCGAATTATTGAATTCAGTCTTAACTTTGAAGTTGGGTTTCTGTAATTCTTCCAGTAAACTTGCCGGAAAATGGCTTCAAAATTAAGGCTGCATTTACAAATAAGCCAAATTCTCAAAGCTCTGAAATGCTACATTCACAGAGTAAACCTCTAACCAGGTGGAATATAGTCAAACATGCCTTCAACAACACTTCAGTGGTTATTATGTAATGGTGGCCTCTAAGTGAGGGTTCGTTGGTAAGGCGAACAGAGCTGAGCAGAGCTGTTCCAGGCTGGTTATTAACAGGGGTTGGTTGCTGAATGGAGGTGGTTGCTTCAACAGATTCGACTGTGTCTCCTCAATGCAAGAAGAAGAAATTGCATTTGTAAAGAGCGCTTCCCATAATGATAACGTCTCAGAGTAGTTTGATTCTTAATGTTTGAACTTTAAATGTGAGGAATACATTCAGCATTGACAGCAGCTTCCATGGCTTTAGAAAGTAGGTGCTAGATGGATGATATGCTGGGTAGGACAGATTGTGCTTCTTCAGGATTAGATGAAGCATCTTCCGGAGTAGGCGCTAGTTCGAAGCAACATCTTACGAGGACACACAGAATACTATAGAGCAGTGGTCGCCAACCTGTGACCCATCCCCGAACGGGCACCAAGAAGTGACTCGCTGAATATCCGCACGAGTCCAGGCAACTCCGCGCCAAATCTATACCTTGTTTCCCATAAATGAAGAAAAATTCAATATAGAAAAATTGATTTGGTAAGCTGACCATAAAGAAAGGTGACGAATGTTATATAGAGGAACCAGTGGCTGAGGATATAACATGGTGAACAATGAGTCAACTAACACCCTTAGTTCTCTCATCTTATCACTTGGCAAATTCTGTCCCGTCCAAGGAGTATGTTTGTTTCCTATTCTTGCTTCCTGTGTGCACTATGTTGTATTTATCTGTATTGATAAGGACCTGGTCAAGATATAACTTCATTTCATTCCTTTTTTTGTAAATTAGCGCTGGAAATGGTGTTATTTCACAGCCCAATGAAAGGTCAAGTGAATGAGACTGTAAAGCTGGAATGCAAGGTGTCTGGCTACAGCAGCCCACAGCTCCAACTCAAAACGGTAGGAGTTCAGTGGATCTTCACATCTACCAGAAAAGAGGTGTATTCTTATATCGGAGGAAAAGCTTCCGCATCTCGAAATGGGGCAACGATATCTGAAGACAATTTAAGGACAGGAGATGCTTCATTGTATCTCCCTAACATACAAATTGAGGATGAAGGAGATTACACATGTGTGGTGATCGTAACCCCAGAAAAGGTAGAAAAGACATCCACACTCCAAGTGTCAGGTAAGGGTCATCAATACTCTATATTAACCATCTAGGGGGAGAAATCCCATTTGGCTCTAGAATTATTCTACTCACTTATCTTTTCAGAGCATCCAGAAATTAGTAATTGATTGAATTCAGGGTTAATTTTGAAACATTTTTTTGTGGTTCTTAAAAGAAATTAAGGTTGTATTTAAGAATTTGGGGGTTTGGGGAGGGGTGGGGGAGGGTGGGGGAGGGGGGGCATGTCCGGTATCACGAGCGTTGACCGGGCTCCAAGATGATATGTTGATGATGGAATGTCGGAATTGAGACAATGACGATCATGGTACTCTGGTTCTTGAGTTTGAACCCATTACTTTCTCACTCATAGCTGAGCATGTTGCCAGCTGAGCCAGGGTGGCATGCAAGAAGATATGAATTGGAATATCGCTTGTCATGTTTGGAGTCCTGTAGCACAATGGGTAGAGCAATTGCCTCGCAAGCAAGAGGACCCAGATTCGATTCCCGGGCAGAGTGAGATGTTAGGCAAGTTTCCTTACTCCACACTCCTCTGTTTACCTAGCAGTAAGGCGGAACCCTGCTGTTAGTCGATTGGCGGATCGCTTATCCAGGGGTAGTAATTTCCTAAAAAAAAATTTTGTAACTAAATCCACGACTGTTTGTGGGACACTGCTGTGTGCAAATGGCTGCCGTGTTTCACCTACAAAATATAGTCAATTCACTTTACAGTATATTCTGTGAAGCGCTTTAACACGTCTTGAAGGCATGATAAGGCTCTATATAAAATGCAAGGATTATGATTATTATTAGTAGTATTATTATTATTATGCCCCTGTGAAACCTCTTCCCAATTTTTCATTCCTCTTCTTTGCAGCTCGGCCGAATGTAATTCTGTTTCCGCAGCCTTTTACAGCTCTGCTTGGTTCAACGACATTTGTGAAATGTAGCGCTACTGGATTTTACCCTCAGGAGCTCGAAATCATCTGGTACAAGATATCACACGAGAAAATGGAAAACATTTCAACAAAAAGCTACAATAAAGGGCTTATTGAAAACAATGATAAAATGTTTAGCATTTCCAGCTTAATGCCCATTCAGCCAACACTGGATGATACTGGGAGTAGGTACAGGTGTGTAGTGAAGCACCGGTCATTACCTGAGAATCACATGGTGGAAGCGAAACTCATTGTCCAAGGTAGGTTTCATTTTCAAGAAGAATCCATTACTTTTCATGGCTTCATTTTTCTCTTTTATGCTTTTTACACGGTTTCAATACTGGGGTAAAGTTTTGTCTCAAAGTCGTTGAAGAGATAGGTGCAGTGAATGCTGGGAAATGTCAGATTGGCCCTTTGCCTGTAAAAGAATCACAAGAAAGGTTTGAGTAAAGAGTCCTGTTGGTCCAGTTGATCTTATGCTTCTAGGATACTTCCTAAAACAGCATCAACTTGATTCTTAAATGCGTCTTGTGCTTTTACCTACATTATCCTTCACAAGAATGTATTCCAGCTGTTGAATATCTCGTTGCCCGATCCTCTATGCCCTCTTGTCCTGGTGGGTTGTTCTGCCTGAAAGTATTGTTTTGGATTTAATGGGTTTTCTCCCACCTTATCTACCCAACCATCAGCAGATTAGCTTTCAGCCATTTTGCCACCACTCTCTGGAACTCCGAACCCAGAGTCCCTGCATCTCACTCTTCCATCACCTCGTTCAATGCCCATCTCAGGATGTACCTCTTTGACCTCATCATCAGGCAACTTACCTTACCCCACTTATTTGGCTGTCACCACCAATCCAGCAGTGAGAGACGATGATATGAAAGACGTTGTATAACATCAATCAATCAATCAATCAATCAATCAATCAATCAATCAACCAACCAACCAATCAATCAATCAATCAATCAATCAATCAATCAATCAATCAATCAATCAGGCAGTCAGTCAGTCATAATATAAATTGAGTTGTGCATATGTAATTTCAACCCTTAGATATCTTCCTGAGAGAAATTTAAAATAATATTTTCGGAAGGTTATCTGAAAGCTTGTATCAAATAATTTAAACAGTAAAGAGTTGCTACCAAAATAAAGTTACTTTTGCCTCAACAATAGCACATAGCCCATCCAGATCCCGGTCTTATATAAGTAAGCTAATTTACTGATCCATGTTTCCATGTTTTACGAAATTACAGAATGTAAGAACCGTAATACCGATGGAATCATTGGAGGAGTAATTGTTCTGTTAGTGTGTGTCTCACTTTGCATTGGATATTTTACCTGGGTGAAATGGCAAAAAGGTAAGCTACTCTTATCTACATAAAAACACAAATGACTATTGTTAAAATCTCCTGTTATTTCCATGTTTCTTTGATAGCTGTTTAGATGTGACAAAACGGGGATTTACCTCAACAGGAGTGAATTATAGAACCACAATGCAGATGGAGCACAAGTAATAGGAATAGTTAAACTAAGAAAGGTAGTTTACCCATCAAAATAAGCAAACTCATGGATAAGCATTTCATGAAGTGGTATTCCCAGCATTTTGGACATTGTTGGTCATGAGTCGAATTACCTATTTAAACTGAGCGGTGTCTGTCACGCTTATAGTGGGAAATCCCATCAGTGCCTCACATAGTCAAAGGAAATGGGAAAAATCCGCAATGGAATTTTTACTTTTCAGTGTTGTATGGCGACTTTCTACATTATTACGCTTAGTTGGTTAGCCATTTTAGAAGATATTGTGTTATGAGTTTACCTAAATAATACTTATATTCAGATGCTGCAAAAAAGTTGTCACTGGTCTCTTGAAAATGTTAAAGATACCACTGATCTACAGTGGTATGAAACATCTTTGAGGTTTAACCTTTTGTGAATTGTAAGCATTGTGACCCCTAAAGAGGCTGTGACAATCTGCAACCCTCAGGTCCAATTGTTACCTGACCACTCCACTGTACATCTTTACTGTGATTTCTAAGCTTGACTGTCTTGGTAAGCTAGTCCACCATCTTGATTGCCTCCTACTGTTTGGAGAGAGTGAGTGATGAGTTCTGTCTCAGGCACAGATGTTGGGGTTGAAGTGTTCTCAGCTGTTTTGACTGTTCTGACTCCCCAGAAATCGGGTTTGTCTTTAAAACTGTATTATCCCCACCACCATCCACATTAAGTATCATTAGGGTTATGTTTGTCAGCATAAGTAAAGATACAATCATATGTAGATCCATTGATCGCATTAAACTTTATCATTTAGTTACTGAGTGAAATTGTTGGGATTGTACATTTGGAGTGGTGCTTCACTTAATATTGTCTTTCATTTGAAAATGTTTCCATCAGTTGTTCTATCCAGTGAATTGCTGTAATTTTTGCTCTTTACACCATGTGTTTTCCTGATCTCCATTGTTTGATCACAGGAGCTCCGACAAATGATGTGGAGTCAAACAATAAAAAACGCAAGTTCATGGTCTTTACAGGTAAAGCGAAATCACAAGGTGCAAGTCTGCGTGCAGCAGGTAATGCTGATCCAGGTATGATAGCCCTCACAATAGAATTGACTGAGAATAAACTACACTGAGAATAGGATCTTGTCTAAAGTTAAACTAAGAGGGATTATCACGCTGTGAAAATTCTGACACTTGTACATAAAAGCTGAAAATAGACAAGGAAATATCAGAGTACAGTTAAACCGCATCAGTCATCTCATTATCAAATCTTGTATAATCATCTAAAGACCCGATTCCCAAACAAGTTTCAAGGTCAAATTCACTTTGCAGTGTATTCTGTGAAGCGCTTTGAGCCGTGTTGAAGACGTGATACAACACTATAATAAATACAAGAATTATTATCAATTATTCCTGTTTAACCAATGTCGTTCATTTCATTTTGTTTGAGCACAGGTTCTAAGGCACAAAATGATGGGAAAATATCAAGTGAAGACAAACATGGTGAAGGAAACTTCCCTGATAAAGCTGAAACAAAGTCAGAAAGTAGATCTGGAGGAAATGGGGCTGATTTTGAACAAACAGGTATAGGACTCAAAAATCTGAAAGTGAAATAATATTTTGAATTAAGTCCTATTGTCAGTATGAGTAAAGATATGTACAATACAAAATTACATTTGTGAAGTGCCTTTTACGTCGGGAGGCTGTCTGAAGGTACTGAACAGTCAGGGATTAGGTCACGAGCAGTGGGGTTTGGATCAGGGAGGGTGGGGGAAGCAGTGTGGCCGAAGGCATGGTCGAAAGTGGGGGCTCTTGAAGTGTGCCTTAAAGGAGGCAAGGGAGGGCGTGAGGCGAAGGGAATGTGCGATGGAGTGTATAACACTTGGCCAGTTAGCCATATTAGAAGATATTATGTTATGAGTTTACCTAAATAATACTTACATTCAAACACTCCAAAAAAGTTGTCACTGGTCTCTTGAAAAAGTTAAAGTTCCCACTGAATTACAGTGGTATGAGACATCTTTGAGATTTAATCTTTGGTGAATTATAAGCATTGTGAAACCATGCACCTGAAATTCTTGGGATTGTACATTTGGAGTGGTGCTTCACGTAATATTGTCTTTCATTTGAAAATGTTTCCATCAGTTGTTCTATCCAGTGTATTGCTGAAATTTTTGCTCTTTACACCATGTTTTTTCCTGATCTCCATTGTTTGATCACAGGAGCTGCGCCAAATGAGGATGAGACAACCAATGAAAAAGACACCCTCCTGGTCCAAACAAGTGATGTGAAATCACAAGAATCAAGTCTGTGTGCAGCAGGTAATTCTGATCCAATATCAATAGAATCAACTGAGAATAAACTCCACTGAGAATAGGATCTTGTCTAAAGTTAAACTAAGAGGGATTATCACGCTGTGTAAATTCTGACACATGTACATAAAAACTGAAAACAGACAAGGAAATATTAGAGTACAGTTAAACCCGCAATAGTCATCTCGTTATCAATTTTATAATTATCTACGCAACCGAGTCCCAAACAGTTTTCTACCAAAAACTGCTTAGATTTCTTTGCAATGGTCATTTTTACAAGTCGGACAAATGGCTAGTCATAATGTTTTCGTGTTCCCAAATAATCCTGAATCTTATTGCAAACCATCTCCAAACTTATAATGCTGCTGAAGCATTTACTGGCTGCATTGATGAAATATCGCTCACACAGTGCTGTGTTTCTAACAGTAAAGCAAACAAAATGAAGTCATGACCCATCACCATGTTGCTGTGCATTGTATAGGTACAGCACAAGGTACTGTAGCTTTGCTTAAGATTGTCAAGTAATTGACTGAGTAACACAGGTAATGTCAAAAAAAAATTTTGAAAATGTAACGAAAGCAGCAACATAATGTCACAAAAGGCAAACTTAACTTTGCGAAAGTCGTATTAAGTCAACTGATACTACTGATGCCAGTTTGCCCGATTCCTTGTACTTTGCATAAGTCGTATTAAAAATTATGGTCCCGACATAGTTATTAGAAAAAAATAAAGTGAGGACAAACAAAATGGAAACATCCCTGATAAAACTGAAACAAAACCAGAAAGTGGAACTGGAGCAAATGAGGCTGATCCTGAACAAACAGCTTTAGTATTAATAGATCTGAAAGTGAAATAATATTTTGAATGAAGCCCCACTGTCAGCATGAGCAAAGATAAAACAATATATAGATCAATTAATCCTGTTCAACCTTACAATTTAATTACTGAACTAAATTGTTAGAAATGTATATCAAGAGGTGTAGTTCACTTAATATCATCTGTCATTTGGAAATGTTATAACCAGTTGTGTTAATAATGAATTGCTATAATTTCTGCTCTTTGCATCTTGTGTTTTCGCTGATGGACTTTGCCTTTTTTTGCTGCTGTATCTTCACTAAATCTTAATGTGACAAACAATAAAGAAGATAAGCACCCGAACACCAAAGGTAACTCAACACCAGATGTAGCAAATCTATATGTGACGGGCAATGCTGATCTAGGTAATGATCAGGTAGTGGTGACCTGTACTATAGTGGTTAGTGCACCTGCCTCGCAAGCGAGAGGATCTGGGTTTGATCCACGAGCGGAGCGAAACGTTAAGCGAGTTTCCTTACTCCACACGCCTCTGTTTACCTAGCACTATGTAGGAACCTGGTTGTTAGTCAATTAGGGTTTACTTTTCTGGGGGTAATGATCCCTTAAAAATAATATTGCATGAAGTTACAGTTACCTTGAAGTTCTATAGCTTTACTGAATCCATTAATGTTGTCCCTGTTTTCCATGTTCTTTCCATGTTCTATCTATGCAACAGAAGGGATGAGGGTCACTGAAGCAACACATGCAGCAGGAGACAGTGGAGTAGAAAGAAATCCCGTCCCTCGAACTGAAGGAGAGCAAAGTGAGCAAGCTGAAGAGAAAGAGAAAGATAAAAGCAAAGATAAGGTTGAAGTTGGAAAGAATAATCAAGGTGAGTTGAGTGGATGTATCTGATCCAATTTAATCTAAAATATCAAGTATTTAATGAGAGGCATTTTTATTCAGCACCATAATTCCTATATTTGAGGCCAATTCATGTATGTAAATGGTGAAGTGTATTTGGCCTAAAATAGATCCCTGCAGAACACCACTTCCTTTGCTTGTCAGTCTGAGAGGCTGCCCTTTACTCCTATTCTTTGACTGCTGTTCTGGCTGCCTGCCATGTTGAGTTTTACATTGTTTTCAATGACCTGCTTTCCATATTGTTTCAATGCAGCAGGAAAGATGGCGAGCACTGAAGCAACAGAGGCAACAGGAGACGGTGGACCAGAAATAAATCCTGCTCCTCAAACTGAAGGAGGCACAGGTGAACAAGCTGAAGAGAAAGGTGAAGATAAACGTGAAGGTAAAGGTGATGTTGGAAAGAATAAAGAAGGTGAGTTGTAGGGAAAGATCTGAGCCAATCTAAATTACCTCTTTGAATGTGCCTATGGTCACATCCCCTCTCTCTCTGGTTCGGTATAATTCTCCACCACGGTTAAGTGCTCCAAGATACTAACCCACATAAAGACGCTAAATAAATGCAAGTTGTTGTTGTTGTAATGTAGATTCCTGATACCTTGTATGAAGTTACAGTTCTGTTGTTTTATAGAATCCACTGATGTTGTTCTTGTCGCCTTTCACTTTGACTCTTGCGCTGTTTTCAATGACCTGTATCTTCCATGTTGTTTTAATGTAACAGCAACAGAGAAGACAAACTCTGAAGCAACAGGAGACAATGGAGCAGCAGGAAACCCTGACGCTCAAACTGTAGAAGACAAATCTACAGAAAAAAGCGAGAAAACTAAAGAGAAAGATAAACATGAAGAAAATGGTAAAGTTGCACAGAAAAATGAAGGTGAATTGAATGAAAGTACCTGATCCAAAATAATCTAAAGTATCAAGGATTTATGGAGAGTCATCTTTGTTCAATGCTATAGCTCATATATTTGAGGCTAATTCATTTATATAAATGGTGAAAAGTATTTGGCTTAAAACAGAACCCTCCCGAACACCACTTGCTTCTCTTGTCAGTCTAAAAGTCTGCCCTTTACTCCTATTGATCTTCTGTTCTTGCTGCCTGTTACATTAGCTTTTCACATTTCGCCCATAAAATTTACAGTCAATTCACGATACTGTATATTCTGTGAAGCACTTTGAGGTGTCTCGAAGATCTGATAAGGCGCTATATCAAATGCAAGGATTATTATTATTCATTGTTTTCAATGACCTGTGTTTTGCATTTTCTTTCATTGCAGCAGTAGCGACACCAGACAGTCAAGGAACAGGTAGAAAAGGAGGCAATGGAGGAGGAGGAAAATCTGACACTCAAACTGATGGAAACCCTCCTTCACAAGAAAGTAAGCAAGGTGAAGAGAAAGATAATGATGAATGTGGTAGTAAAATTGAAGGTGGAAAGAATAATGATATCATTCTCCACCATTGTCAAGAGTTCCAAGACGCTATCCCACGTGAAGGCGTGAAATAAATGCAAGTTGTTGTTGTTGTAATGTAGATTTCTGAGATCTTGTATGAAGCTACAGTTCTGTACTTTTATAGAATCCACTGATGTTGTTCTTGTCGCCTTTCACAGTGTCACTTGCGCTGTATTTAATGACGTGTGCTTTCCATGTGCTTTCAATGTAACAGCAATGGACACGACAAACAGAGCAACAGGAGACAATGAAAAAGCAGGCAACGCTGACACTCAAACAGTAGGAGTCAATCATTTGGGAAATAACGGGAATCCTAATGGTAACAGGATAGATAAACAAAGAGAAAATGGTGAACAAATTGCACAGAATAATAACGGTGAGTTGAGTGGAAGTATCTATTCCAAATAATCCAAAGTATCAAGGATTTAAGCAGTGTCGTATTTGTTCAACAATAAACCTGATATATTTGTGGCCAATTCATTTATGTAAATAGGGAAGAGTATTCGGCTTAAAACAGATCCCTGCAGAACACCATTTCCTTCTCCTGTTAATCTGAAAGGCTGCCCTTTACTCATATTGATCTTCTGTACTTGCTGCCTGTTACATTAGCTTTTCACATTTCGCCCACAAACTATACAATCAATTCACGATACTGTATATTCTGTGAAGCGTTTTGAGGTGTCTCGAAGATCTGATAAGGCGCTATATCAAATGCAAGGATTATTATTTTTCATTGTTTTCAATGACCTGTGTTTTGCATTTTCTTTCATTGCAGCAGTAGCGACACCAGACAGTCAAGGAACAGGTAGAAAAGGAGGCAATGGAGGAGGAGGAAAATCTGACACTCAAACTGATGGAAAGCCTCCTTCACAAGAAAGTAAGCAAGGTGAAGAGAAAGATAATGATGAATGTGGTAGTAAAAGTGAAGGTGGAAAGAATAATGATATCATTCTCCATCATTGTCAAGCGTTCCAAGACGCTATGCCACACGAAGGCGCTAAATACATGCAAGTTTTTGTTGTTGTTGTTGTTGTTGTAATGTAGATTCCTGAGACCTTGTATGAAGCTACAGTTCTGTCGTTTTATAGAATCCACTGATGTTGTTCTTGTCGCCTTTCACTTTGGCTCTTGCGCTGTTTTCAATGACCTGTATCTTCCATGTTGTTTTAATGTAACAGCAACAGAGATGACAAACTCTGAAGCAACAGGAGCCAATGGAGAAGCAGGAAACCCTGACGCTCAAACTGTAGAAGACAAATCTTCAGAAAAAAGCGAGAAAACTAAAGAGAAAGATGAACGTGAAGAAAATGGTAAAGTTGCACAGAAAAATGAAGGTGAATTGAATGAAAGTACCTGATCCAAAATAATCTAAAGTATCAAGGATTTATGGAGAGTCATCTTTGTTCAATGCTATATCTCATATATTTGAGGCCAATTCATTTATATAAATGGTGAAAAGTATTTGGCTTAAAACAGAACCCTCCTGAACATCACTTGCTTCTCTTGTCAGTCTAAAAGGCTGCCCTTTATTCCTATTCTTTGATTTCTTGTTCTTGCTGCCTGTCACATGAGCTTTTCACATTTCGCCCACAAAGTATACAGTCAATTCACTATATAGTATATTCTATGAAGTGCTTTGAGGTGCCTCTAAGATCTGATAAGGCGCTATATTAAATGCAAGGATTATTATTCATTTTAAACAATGACCTGTGTTTTCCATTTTCTTTCATTGCAGCAGGAGAGACGGCAAACAGTGAAGGAACAGATACAACAGGAGACAATGCAGGAGGAGCTCAAACTGATGAACAGCAACGTTCACAAGAAAGTAAGCAAGCTGAAGAGAAAAATAAATTATATTAAATTAAATTATTTAAATTAAATATAATAATTAAATTATGCTATATTAAATGCAAGGATTATTATTCATTTTAAACAATGACCTGTGTTTTGCATTTTCTTTCATTGCAGCAGTAGCGACACCAGACAGTCAAGGAACAGGAACAAAAAGAGGCAATGAAGGAGGAGGAAAACCTGACACTCAAACTGATGGAAACCAATCTTCACAAGAAAGTAAGCAAGGGGAAATGAAAGACCATCATGAACATGGAGTTAAAGGTGAAATTGGAAAGAATAATGAAGATTGAGTTGGATGGAAATATCTGATCCAATATCGTCTAAAATGACCATGATTTAATGAGTCATTTCTGTTAAGCCCCAAACTGCCCATATTTGAGGGTAATTCATTGATGTAAAATATAATGCTCAAGCTGAAGAAGACTAAAGTTCAGAACAAAGTGAGCAAGCTGAAGTGCTACATTATATTGAAAAGAATAATGATAGTCAGTTGGGTGGGAAAAATCTGATCAATGTAATCCAAAATACCAAGGACTGGATTAGAGTTGTCTTTTTTTGTATAATTTTTTCTTCATGTTATAGATTACTGAGATATTCTACAGTCTTATCAGACATCTTGACACCCTCTCTTGTCCATGTTGCTTTTAGCCCATGCTCCCCTTTTTGGATCTTGACCCACATGCTAATTTACACATGCCACATTTTCGTCAATGATCAATATTAGTCTGCAACAAAGTTCTGCATTTATGAGCCAATCTGGACGACGGAGAAATTCAACATTTCTAAGATTTACATTTGGTAAATTACAAGATTCTGTCTGAGGCTGTCTGAATGGGAGTCAAATTATCTCCTGATTGGTATATCCAATCGGCCTTGGAAATTGTCTGAAGTGTTGAACCCAAAGTTACTTTTATTCTCCTAACACTATAAACACTATAAAAAGTTGTTGTTTTGATTCTATATCTGTATAGTGTCACATAGTCGAGGCTAACATTCCATTACAATGCTGGCAGCATATTGCATTGTCAGATAACACATTCAATTGAGGTCCTGTTTGTCTGTTCAGGCAGATAACAAAGATCCCATGACAGTATTTGAAAAGAGAAGGAAGTTTTGCCTGATTTCCTGGCCAACATTGCTCCAGATAAAATTAGTCATTCTCTTCAATGCTGTTTGTGGGACATAGCTGTGTACTAATTGGCGGTCATGATTGTCCACAAAATAAACCATCAATACACTTTACAGTAAATCCTGTTTTGAGACATCATCCCGACTTGAAAGGCTGTTTGTCAAAGACCACGATTACTTAATGATATTGTACAGGGCGGTGGTATTGCTCCTGTTTCTGTTTCCTTGTTATAGTTTGATTTCAGTAAAGTTTCTTTTGCACAAATTCAGAGTCAAGGAGGAATTCCACTGAAGGAAGTGATGCAGTTGACGTGCAAGTTGATGTCAGCACTGACCAAGTCAACTAGACAGAAGAAGGGAACAAATTTCTGTGAAAAACTTTCTTCTTTCTCCACAAAATAAGACCAGAAATCGATCAATGCTCTCACCCTTTCCAATTAAAAAAAACCCTTTTAATCAGGAATACTAAAAGAATACTACAAATTTAGATGTATTATATATATATAAATGCCATATAAATGCAAGCTGTTGTTGTTGTTGAGGTCCCGTTTGCCTGTTTAGGTGGACGTTAAAGATCCCATCGCACTATTGAAAAAGAGAAGGGAGCTTCTCTCTCCTGATTTTTTTAGCCAACAATCCCCCTAATAAATTTGGTCACTCACTCCATGGCTATTTGTAGGACATTGTGGGACATTGCTGTGCCAATTGTGCTGCTATGTTTGTCCATAAATACGCAGTCACAGTGCACAGCAAATACAAGGGTTTTTATTATATATATCAATTGCATATCATGCTGCTGTGTATGAAGAATGTGATCATGTATGTACAGTTTGAATTGCAGGGAATAAAAGTTAGATAACTTTTCAAATGTTATCATGTGATAATGTAATGATCTTTGTATTGGGCTGTTTAATCATTGACCAACGGTTGGAAACTTAATTTGAACTAATTTTTTTTTGGAACAATATTTGCAGAGCCTCGTTTTCCAGCAAAGCTCACTGTATAATTTCTGTCAGATGTCTTTGTGTTGCTGTCACTGTAAAAAAAACATTAAAGTCACCACGAAACTCTTTAACTCAGTTATCTCTGCTTATCATTACTGATCATGTGCTGGCTGCTAATATCAGCTCTTAATTTTGCTGCAGCAGAATGAGCCTTGTCTGGCCTAAACCTGAATAACATTTACTTTAGAAACTCACCCACCATCTCGGCATTAAATCTATATGTGATGCATCTTTAAAAATCGTGAATTTGGTAATATTGTACTCGGAGTTTTAAAGTGTAGCTGTGTAAAAGGGTGGTGAATAATTATAATCCCCTTCCCCTCGCTTGTACATCCCACGCACACAGCACACCCCTCCCACCCACAAGCACACTGATCGGGATTTTGAGCAGTGTTAGAAGCTTCAATGACAAGATATCTGAGTCAATTTCTCTCTAAAGGAGGTTGTTGCACTTTGTAAACTTCAAATTAAGGAGGCAGTTGATCCCAAATATAAAAATAATAATTAGAAAGTATTTCTTATCATGTTGTTGAGGGCTTCACAGAATATACTATAATATGATTTGATTATATTTTGTGGGCAACATGTGGTAGCCAATTGTGCACAGCAGTGTCCCAGAAACAGTTGTGGATTGAGTGAAAACATTTTATTTATTTTTCCTGGGATTCTTATCTGTGGATGTGATGCGCCAATAGACGAACAACCGGGCTCCTATTTACTACTTGGTAAACAGAGGTGTGTGGAGTAAGGAAACTTGCCTTACTTTCACCCTGGCCTGGAATTGAACTTGCGAGGCGAATACTCTAAACCAATGCACCACAAGACTGCACTATGAGGTCAAACAAGAAGAATCAACCCAGTGAAGTGTGATAAAGAACCGGATTAAAGCCAATTTTCCACTCTGCTTCATGTGGCTCTTCACTTTAGAGATTGGTTACCCATATAGTAATAGTTTTTTGCTTGGGGAGATAATATCAACCTGGTATATTTATCCCATTTATGGGATCAGCTGTACGAGTGTTTGAATTCTGTCTCGAGTAAGGATTTTATTGTGATGTTAAACTCACTTTCCATTCAAATCCCAGCTCTTGTTCTGCACAAAGTTATTCACCTCGTGATGTAAAAAAAAGGTGTGGAGCAGTGAAAGTGAAAGGGTGAATTCCAGGTACAGACGCTGATCGTCAGCACTCTGGGATAATTGTGGCAAATTGTTTTATTAAGAAAATCCTGCTTTTGTGGAGGGAAGCATGGCGATTCTAGTGTTGTGTGCTGTTGCTGTCTCGTTTATCTCAATATCAGGTAAATATCACTGACCCCCATGTCTTTCCCGTCCGCAATCCTTAGTAGGTTGAAGGAATGAGCGGAGGATCAGCACAGCTTCACTCCAGCCTCTCTTGCGTTTTCCATTCGCTATTTATAATATTTTTTAAATAGAAATCTTTTATTTTCATTAATCAATCGCTAACTTTTGCAGATGTCTAAAGTTACTGTTGCAGCTACGGAAGTCGCTATGAATTGTAAACGACTTACCCACAAAATAGTAAGAAGCCTTTAGAGCAAACTACAATATTACATTTACCAGTGTTAGCATTTATGGTTTTGTTTTCCATTCGCTAACTTATTGTTTCAAACTGTAACCTTGGTATTCACCTTTGTTTGTTCGCTAACTCTTTGCAAATATCTCTCAAGTTACCATTATAACTGGTAACTACAGACATTTGCAATGGCAAATCCGTGGTGGAATAGAAAGCACAGAGTTCATTTGTCAAGAAATTATTCCTGTTTCTTATATGTACCTTTTTGTTAGTTTATATTATAAAGTTATTCATGTACTTGTCCTTTCTGGAGCGGAAGGAGACTGTGCCTGTCCAGTAATCAAACCTGGGTGTTCTCACTTGCGAGGTGAATGCACTAACTCTAACCCTAACTACAGGATTCTATTCTCTCCCGGTTCCACTGGCTCCCCATTCCCCAGAGGATTGAGTTCAAGATCCTCGTCCTCACTTTGAAATCGCTCTAGTGTCTTGCCCCTCCTTACCTTTGTGATATTCTTAAACCCGACCAACCCACACGCCTTGTTAGTCGGTTGGCGGATCGCTTTTCCGGGGGTTATGGTTCTGGCACTCTGCCCAGCGTTAAACGTGCTATACAAATGCAAATGGTTTTGTAATCCTTTTTTAAAAAACTGGATCACTCAATTCATAACTGTTTGTGGGACACTTGGGTGCATTTCACCTACAAATTACAGTCAATTCATATTAGTAATGAATTCTCTTTATTTTGCCTTTCACTTTACAGTATATTCTGTGAAGCGCTTTGAGACATCTCAAAGACTTGATAAGGCACTATGTCAAATCCAAATGCAAGGATTATTATTATTGTTGTAGGCTCACAAGCCTGGTGCAGGAGAGAACATGAGCTGCAGAATTCTGGATGGTCTGCAGCTTGTGGAGGGAAGAGTTGGGAAGTCGAGTGAGCAGAGAGTTGCCATAGTCTAGCCTGGACGTGATACACGTATAGATGAGGCTTTCGGTCGCCCAAGGGTGGCGGTGGAGGTGAGCAATGTTGCGGAGTTAGGGAAAAGCTGAATGGGTCAGAACATGGATTTGAGGTTTAGTGAAAAAGACTCCAAAGCCTGGATAATGCAATGAATATTGGATTTACTAAGTTAGAGATGAAGATCTTAACTTTGTGTGCAGTCATCATGTCTTTCAGTTGTTCATCAGGTAAATAATGTAAAAAGAGCATTTTTTTGTTTACATTTTCCCCCTTTCTAATGCATGGCGATAAATGGATACAGGCAGGAGTTGAAGTGTTATTGCTAAATTGTTTGATTCTTAGAATTGAGGAGTATTTTGTGATGTGTAGTTTTTTTTAAGAAAAGAAAGTTGAGGTAGGATTCATAGGGGTTATTGTCAGGAACCTGAATGTAGTGTCATCCTGGTTGTTGAGTTCTATCGTGTAAGGTTATTCATGTTCTAATTGGATCTCAGCTTTCACTTCAGTTACACCCTACAGTTTCAGGGAGTGAGAGGGAGGGACATTGGGAGTGCCAGAGGTCATGGGCAGAATGGCTGAAAGGGCAGATAGGGCAGGATACATGAAGCAGGCCAGTGTTTGCTGAGCAAAGGAAGTAAATAATAATAACAATCCTTGCATTTGATATGGTGCATTATCGCGTCATTGAGAGGTCTCAAAGCACTTCACAGAATATACTGTAAAGTGAATTGACTGTGTAATTTGAGGGCGAAATCTTATCTTTTTAAATGTCTATGGCACCTTTGAAAGATGTTTAATGCCCACTAATGTTCTCTTTGAAATATTTGATTTGTATAAAGGTGCCTTGGATTTGGAGATATTTCACTCCCCAAAGAAAGTTTTGGCAAATACAGATGTTCTCCTGAAATGTAAAGCAACTAATTATGATAAATCAGACCTTGACATCAAATTTGTAGCTGTTAAGTGGAAAGTGATTTATTCAAGTGGAGTACAAAAAGACCTATACACATTCAACGGAGGGACTCATGCAATTTCAAGACCTGGAGCGAAAATCTTTGATGATGAAATATTGGAAGGAAATGCCTCGCTTTATCTACCAAACATACAGCTGGAGGAGAGAGGTGTATACTTCTGCACTGTTTATATTACCCCAGAAAAAGAAGAAGTGACCGGAGAGCTGCTTGTGATAGGTAAGTCTGTCAAAACATATCTCATGGCCTGAAATTCTACATAGAATGGTCAAACTCATTGTTTTAGGGCTGTTGACAGTGAAAAAGAAAATAATCTCATTAGTCTGGCATATGTCCGACATGGACTACTTGTTTTCGTACCATATAATTCTGTGTAACTCCAGTATCTGATGGTTTTATTGGGACTTAGAACCATAGAAATTTATGGCACAGAGCAATTGGCCCATCATGTTGTGCCTGCTCCTTCAAAAGCAATCCTTTCAGCCCCATTTACCTCTCGTTTTCCATCCCCCTGTAGTGGACTCTTTGTAGGCTATCTCTCTGGTTCCCTCTTGAAGGACAGTGTGGATTTTGCCTCAGCCACTGCACCCATCAGGGCATTCCATATCTTAACTACTCTGTGCATGAAATTATTTCTCCTAGCCTCCCCATTTGCTCATTTACAAACTAACTTAAAATTGATGCTCTCTAGTTACTGACTCACTGACCAGCGCATATAATTTCTCCCGATTGTTTACTCTATCAAACCCCTCATTATTTTAAAGATCTCTATCAGGTCACCTCTCAACCTTTTGCGTTCCAACAAAGAAAGTCACAGTTCCTTCAGTCTCATAGGTCAAACCATTCATTACAAGTATAATCCCAGTAAATCTCCTCTGCAACCCCCCCACCCAATCCCTTCTACTACCTTGACATATTTCCTAAAGTGGGGTGGCTTGTGTTTATTCATTGCCCCTTTGAGCAAAAATCAGTAAAATTCAGTTTGATGTAGTTTTGCCAACTCATTTTCATCTTGCATAACCTGTTTTTCTTCTCCACAGATCAGCCAGAGATCATCTTATCCACTGCTGGTCACAAGAATTCATCGAGGTCAATCAGATGCGATGTTATCAGATCTTATCCTGAGAAACTTGAGATCAGTTGGTTCAAGACATCACAAGGAAAAACAGAACATGTTTTAAATGATTCTTCAACTGAAACCCCTGTTAGGAACAAAGATGGGGCCTTCAGTGTTTCCAGTACATTGAATGTTGTATCGTCAGGGGATGAAGAAATCGATGACAATGTAAAATATAAATGTGTTGTGAAGTATGAAACATTTCCTGATAACTTTGCAGCAGAAATATCATTTGTAACATCAAATCACGGTAAGCTGTATTTTGAGAGCAATGCAATGTTACTCTTGTAAGTTTTGATTTACGTTACCACTGCTTGTGCTCACTTAAACCAGGGATAAATGAGAGAGTGTAAAGAAATTAAACCTGTTTATAGATTTTACATCCCTCACTAATATAAAGTACTAATATAAAGTAGTCTTCTATCCCACTCATAGCACCAAAACAGCCCACGTTTAAGATACAAATGATGTACATTTAGTCTGTGACCAAGGGCCACTCATCCAACTTAAACATTCTTTGCTGTTTTTGACATTGTTGACCACTCTATCCTCCTCATCTCAGCCACTTTGTCTGGCTCTATCCCTATCCCACATTCAATGTGGCTAAAACCTTCATAGGTGCCTTCATTACGAAATTGGATTTCTCTAATGCTCTCCTCACCAGCTTCACCCAGCTCTACAATTCACAAGCTCATCCAAAATTTGTCTATTTGCTTCTTTACCCACACGTGCTTTTCATTCCCATCCTCACCAGGATTTACTGACTTTCTGTCTCTCTATGGATCATCTTCAAGGTCCTCACTCTCAGCAACAAACCCCTCCATATCTGTGTGATGTTCTACAGCTTCACTTTCCTACCCACTCATCCATTCAGCTGCTCTTCCAGTCACCATCCACAGATCAGCCTTCAGCCACCCATCCCTCTGGAATTCCCTCCCTAAATCCCTCCACCTCTTTGTCTTTTCAAACACTCCTGTAAACCTATTCTTTGACCATGCCTACAATCACCTCTCACAGCCACTCTCCCTCAATCCCTGCTTGGTGCCAGAGACAGGGAAAGAATGTGGAAAAATAAAGGAAATACAGGACAAATAAAAGTGTTCTACATTTTGTATGTGTTTATTAATTTTGGGTTAATATTATTGTAATAAAATGATACTGACCTCAGTAGGGAAAGGATTCAGTCAGCCAGGGTTCTTGTTGCCCAGAGTGAGAGAAAAGGTGATACAGAAACAGGTTTTTGAAGGTAACTAATGACGATGAATAGTTAAAACCTCTGACTTTTTTTTATTGCCGTGGCACAAATCATCTATGTTTCATCATTTCTTGTTGCAGACCCAATTCCAGCAATAGTTGGAGGTGTAATCGGTGGTCTGCTATGTGCCATATGTGCAGCCATTGGGATTTATTGGTGGAAAAATTATAGAGTTAAAGGTAAGATATTTTTCATGAAGAAACAATGCAGATGTTATATAATCATTTAAAAATTATATATTCCTCCTAAATGGTTTTCTTTGAAATGTTTCTTTCGAGACTGAAATTGGTGAGCAAACACTTGGATCTCATATGAAATTTGAAGTGACTGTTTCGGGAAGGAGTCAGGAATGATTTCATCACTACATTTATACTTCATGTGGAGCTGAAACCATTTCATTGGTGGCTTAACTCCTATTCACCCTGCATTTGGTTATTGGGTAAAAGTTGTGGCATAATGTGTTCCTTATGTAAGAGTAAAGAGGAAGGTGAAGCTCTTGTTCGACTCCCAACTGTTCTTTAAACCCCACATCTATGTGTTGACTCGCTCAGCTTTCTCTCAGTAATATTGCCCATCTCCATCACTGCTTCTCCCTTCGGGCCTCTGAGACCGAAATCCATAAATTTATCACATCCAGGGTTGACTACTTCAACACTCTACTTGCCAGACTATCCAACTCTTCCCTACACAAGTTGAAGATTATCCAGAACTCTGAAAGGCTATCCTCATCTTCAAATGCCTTCACAGCCTTGCCCCACCCTATCGCTGAGACTTCCTCAACCATCCTGATCCATCTGTCCACTTTCCTCAGCAAGCACCCGCCTGCTTCATGTCCCCTACCCACCTTCGGCAGTCGAGCTTTCAGTCTAGCTGCCCCCACTCTCTGGAACTCCATCCCAGAGTTCCTTCAACTCGTTCCTTCCCTCCATCTTTGAACGCCTGTCTCAAGACCTTGCTCTGAATGCCCCTTTGATCATTTTCCTCCTCCTCATCCCCCTCTGCTACCACCGCCAGCTTGGGTGGCAAGACAGGACTGTCAAGCAACTTGGGATATCTCCAAAGTCCTGTGGAGTCCTGTAGCTCAGTGGATAGAGCATTCACCTTGCAAGCGAGAGACCTGGGTTCGATTCCTGGCAAGGTGAAACCTTAGGCCAGTTTCCTTACTCCAAATGCCTGATAATAATCCCTTAAGGAAAAAAAAAACAATAAAAATTTGGTCACTCATCCACGGCTGTTTGTGAGATACTGCTGTGCGCAATTGACTGCCGCTTTTCGCCCACAAAATATACAGTCAATTCACTTTACAATATATTCTGTGATGCGCTTTGAGACATCTAGAAGACATGAAAAGCACTATATCAAATGCAAGGATTATTATTAATGTGAATGGTGTCGAAAAAGGTGAAATTTACATTTACGTGCTCCTGAAATCTGGTATTTATTTTAAGTGATATTGCAATGCCAGGCAATGGAACATAGTTGACATGAACACTACTCTTTGCAATTGAAAAAAATCTAGATCCTGTAAAATTAATGCACTAATGTTCAAATATTTCTAATTAGTATTAAATGCGAAGATTACCTTGCCATTCATCCAGCACAAAGTTACTAGACATCTTTTCATGCATGATTGTTCTGTAAAAATCTTCCATCCATTGTTGTTGCCTTACTTCCATTGTTGTTCTTTCTAATGGATCAGGTGCTCAAACTGAAGAACAAACCATATTTTTGAGAAAAGGAAAGAAATCTAAGGAGATGGGTGAAGAAGAAGGTAATTACTATATTTGGATAAGTGTTAGATCAGTGGATCTACTGTTGAGACTAGGCTTTCTGTACAATATCACATCTAATAGGTTCTCAGAGACTTGAGTTTTAACCATTGCAATGGTCTTTTATTGGTGCACCTGGATGATTACAAGACCCACTGGAATAAAATATTCCCATCGTTGAGTGAACGAAAAGGCCTTTGTTTAACAAATCAGACAATAAGGAGGCAGACAAGTTGAGACTTCAGGAAAGACATTTTTTGAAAAAGTAAAAATTGCTCTCAGAATGGATTTGGTAACTGTAATTATTGCAAACTATTTAATGCAGCATGAAAAATATTATAGTGCACTCCCGATAATAAGACCCTGGCTTATATCATCACATGTCTATATCATCATGCTGTCAATATACCGGCAGTTTCCCATACAAAATGTGAATAAAGGATCCCCCCGCCACCTTTATTTCATCACTCGCTTATATAAAGTCGCATTCTCTATGTCAGTTATATCATTGGAATGAACTTACCTGCACCACCTAGCTAACCACCCTGCATACCGGGAGTGTGATGAGCGGCACAGTGCTGAGGGAAAAGGTTGCCTTCCCAAGAAACAAGCAAGACCACTGTGATTAGAAACGTTAGCCTTCTGTGAGGCTCTGCCTGATAGAAATTAAAAGCCTCCATTACCAGTGTTATAGAATTTATTCTGAAATCACTAGAAAATTTAAACATAATTCTCAGTTGGACAGTAAAACCTGTGAATTGGTAATGCATAGTAAAATGATTATTACTTTTGTTATTTTTAAAACAAATTAATTTTTTTTGCTTCACTTGTTGTTTCTTTTAATTAGAACCAACTGAACCAACTTCAACTGAATACAAACGACCTCCCACGTACCCTAAACCACCTCCCACTTACCCTATACCACCTCCCACTTATCTTAAACCATCTCATACTTACCCTAACACTAAACCAACTCCCACATACCCTATACCACCTCCCACTTACCTTAAACCATCTCATACTTACCCTAACACTAAACCAACTCCCACATACCCTATACCACCTCCCACTTACCTTAAACCATCTCATACTTACCCTAACACTAAACCAACTCCCACATACCCTATACCACCTCCCACTTACCTTAAACCATCTCATACTTACCCTAACACTGAACCACCTCCCACTTACCCTAAACCACCTCCCCCCTCCCCTAAACCACCTCCCACTGACACTAAACCACCTCCCACTGACCCTAAACCACCTCCCACTGACGCTAAACCACCTCCCACTGACCCTAAACCACCTCCCACTGATACTAAACCACCTCCCACTGACCCTAAACCATCTCTCACTGACCCTAAACCACCTCCCACTGACGCTAAACCACCTCCCACTGATGCTAAACCACCTCCCACTGACCCTAAACAACCTCCCACAGACACAGAACCATCTCCCACTGACTCTAAACCAACTCCCACTGACCCTAAACCAACTCCCGCTGACCCTGAATCACCTCCCACTGACACTAAACCACCTCCCACTTACCCTAAACCACCTCCCCCGTCCCCTAAACCACCTCCCGCTGACCCTGAATCACCTCCCACTGACCCTAAACCACCTCCCACTGACACTAAACCACCTCCCACTGACCCTAAACCACCTTCCACTGACCCTAAACCAACTCCCATTGACCCTAAATCAACTCCCACTGACCCTAAACCACCTCCCACTGACCCTAAACCACCTCCTACTTACCCTAAACCACCTCCCACTGATGCTAAACCACCTCCCACTGACCTTAAACAAACTTCCACTGAACCAACTCCCACTGACCTTAAACCATCTCCCACTGACCCTAAACCACCTCCCACAGACACTAAACCATCTGCCACTGACCCTAAACCACCTCCCACTGACCCTAAACCATCTCTCACTGACCCTAAGCCACCTCCCACTGATGCTAAACCACCTCCCACTGATGCTAAACCACCTCCCACTGACCCTAAACAACCTCCCACAGACACTGAACCATCTCCCACTGACTCTAAACCAACTCTCACTGACACAAAACCAACTCCCACTAAACGCAAACTGCCTCCCACTGATCTTAAACAAACTTCCATTGAACCATCTCGCACTGACCTTAAACCATCTCCCACTGACCCTAAACCAACTTCCACTGAATGCAAACCACCTCCAACTGACCCTAAGCCAACACCCACTGAACCATCTCCCACTGATACTAAACCAACTCCCACTGAACCCAGTTCTGTTTTCATTGAACCTGAATGTGGTTCCATTGATTCAAACTCTGTTTCCACTGCACCTAGCGCTGTTTTTATTGAATCTCTCCCTTAATCTACCAAGTCATCTACTGAATCCCTCCTTGATTGTACACCACCCCTGATTCCATGGCATCCTTTTACATTACTGCCCACCATGGCTTCATTGAATCCCACCTAATTTTATTAAACCCAATGTTGCCTTTGCACTGATGTCAACAAAAAGTTAAGATTTTCTTAAATGTGAACAAAATGATCAACGAAAGAACTGAGGAAGGAACTAAACTTTGAAGGTGAAAACAAACCTGAGCAGATTAGGTACGAAGAGGAATGATGCAGGCTGGAGACAAGTTGTTGTGTGAAGTCATTTCATAGCCTATGTAAAAAGCTGTTTTTTTTATTTTTCTGGTTACTGTTACTACCTCATTAAATCCAACAAACCACAAATCTTTTTGGTGAACTTTATTAATCTAAACCTGTGCCTAAATTAATGAATACAGTTATATTATGAGCACTATTTCCTGCGCTATTCAACTCTCACCACACACCCCCACCCATCCCAATCTGTCTCCCCTCGTCCTCTCCAACAGCAGTGAGCCTGAGCATGCCCCACTGATCCCTTGCTTCTAGTTTTGGTGTGCATGTATTGGCTGCAGCCCCTGACCCAAGCTGCACTCCTTACCAAATACCCCTCCTCTCTTTCTCACTATGATCACTCAACTCTTCTCACTTATTGCCCATCCTGCCCTCTGCAGCTCAAGTCCTCTCCACGAGTCTATCACTTCCATCCTTGCTTGGTTTCATTAGTACCCCAATTCCCAGAACTTTGACAGCCCAACCATTACCAATTGTACCCGAATGATCACAAATTTCCTGCTGCTGAATGTTGACAAAACGGAAGCCATACTCCTTGGCTCCCATCAATATCTTTTCTCCTGTGGCTCTGACTTCCTCAACCTCACCAGCCTATCAGGTTCCATCCCCAACTGTCCTTCCTATCCCACATGCGATCCCTAACTAGTACCGCTTTCCTCCACCGCAATCACATTGCCCGCTCCAAACATACCTCACAACCAATACAGCTGAGATCATTGTCCATGTTTTCATCACCTCCCATCTGAATTATTCCAATGCACTCCTCGCCTACCACTACTTTCCACTACCACTATCCATACAATCCAACTGTAATTCAGAATTCCACTGCTTGTATACTCACCTGCACTAAGCTCCGTACACCCATCACACCAGTCCTCTCCAGCCTCAACTGACTCCCTATCACAGAATGTATCGACTTCAAGATCCTCACAGTTATCTACAAATACCCTCATATCCTGGCACCTCCCAACCTCTGCCTGTTTGACTGAAAATAATTTCTGTTCCTTAACATTAAAATAATAATAATCCCCGCATTTGCTATTTTTGCATCTCAAAGCGCACAGATTTTTACTTGTGAGTGAATATTCTGTAGGCGAACAATGTGGTCAATTTTCACACAGCAATGCCCCACAAAGATTCCATGAAATTAATGACCAATTTTATCCAGAGGATTATTGCCCAAGACACTAGCAACAACTCCCTTCTCTCTTTGCATAGTAGCATGGAATCTTTAAATTGCCTGCAAAATACACAGTTGCTACACTCAACAGTAAATCATGTGAAGCAGTTTGAGACTTCTCAAGGCACTGTATTAAATACAAGGATTATTATTTAACATACAGTTAAACAGGCAGATGAAACCCAGTTTAACATCTCATCCAAAGAACACAATCATGGTCTATGCAACACTGGTCCCACACTATGCTGGCATGTCCGCTGACACCATGAACTCAAAGTCCCAATATGGAACTTGACCCTACAACCTTCTGATTCAGACACATGAATGCTACCAAATAAACCAGGTTGAGACAATTCATGGGAAGTTAAGAAACAAGGAAATATGCTGCCCATAATATTTGCATATACAAAATCAATTTTGGATGTAAAATGTAATACTGCATATATGAATTATAGTGATTAAAATCTTACTTATTGGAAGTCAATTAACTTTTCAAACATGATTGCTGCCATCATGTAACACTCTTTGTAGTGGCCTTTTTGACCATTTGATCACTGATTGGAAATCAGGCAAATTTGACTTGAAATTGATTTTGTTTAGGAAGGCAGTTTGGAGAAAGCTGCTTTCCAGCAAAGCTCGTTGTATAATTTCTGTTTGATGAGTTTATATTGCCGTGAATGTAAAATCCCTTGTAACTTTGCCTTGTCATTCCAAAACTACAATAAATATTTATTTACTTTACAACCTTAATCTGTCTGTGATGTTTTCAGGCATATTTGTATATCCTGCATATTATTGTTCCCAGAGTTTAAACTGTATCTGACTGTCCCACTGTTTTCTAACTCACTCCTCACTGGTCTCCCTAGCTCCACCATTCACAAACTGCAACTCATCCAAAACTGTGCTGTTTGCATCATCACCTGCACCAAACTCCGCACACCCACCTTCCCAGCCCTTGCCAGTCTCCACTGGCTCCCTATTTCACAGTGGATCAATTTCAAGGTTCTCATCCTCACCTACAAATCCATCCACTCTGTGAAACTCCCTTATTGCTCTGATCTCCTACCCTACTCTTCTGCCCACCTCCTCTGCTCAGCAAACTTAGGCTGGATCCACATCAGTAATCGAGCTTCCAGTTCCAATACCCGTAAACTGTGGATCTCCTTCCCCTTACCACTCCATCTCACCTCTCTTTCTCTCTTTAAATCCTGCCTAAAATCGTGCCTCTTTAAACACCTATGACTCCCATGAAAGATGTTGAAAGATGTTTAATGTCCACTTATGTTCTGTTTGAAATATCTTATTTGTATAAATATGTTTTAGATTTTGAGAAATTTCCCTCCCCAAAGAAAGTTTTGGCAAATACAGATGTTCTCCTGAAATGCAAAGTGACCAGTTACAATAAATCAGAACTTGACATCACTTTTATAGCTGTTAAGTGGAACTTTCGGCAAACAGGAGTAAAGAAATTCTTGTACACATTTCAATGAAGGGAATCATACAGTTACAAGACCTGGAGTGAAAATTTTTGATCATTAATTATTGGAAGGAAATGCCTCCCTTTATCAGTCAAATATATAGCTGGAAGAGAGAGGACTATACACCTGGACTGTTTATATTACCCTAGAAAAAGAAGAGAAGAGCACAGAGCTACATGTTACATAGGTAAGGCTGTCAAATACGATCCCATGTCCTGAAAATAAGACCTAAATTTAGCCTGTAATTCTGTAAATAATAATAATAATCCTTGCATTTGATATAGCGCTTTTCACGTCTTCTAGACGTCCCAAAGCGCTTAACAGAATATACTGTAAAGTGAATTGACTGTATATTTGTGGGAGAACGCGGCAGCCAATTGCGCACAACAGTGTCCCACAAACAGTCGTAGATTGAAAATGACCAATTTATTATTGTTTTTGGTTTTGGAGGGATTATTATTAGGCTCTGTGTGGAGTAAGGAAACTTGCCCAAGGTTTCGCCCTGACCTGCCTGGAATTGAACTCAGGTCTCTCACTTGCAAAGCGAGTGCTCTAACCACTGAGCTACAGGACTCCACAGTTTGTGGGTTCAAGCCCCACATAGCTGATGCTTTAGTGCAGTGCTGGGGTGTGATGTATTGTCTGAGATACTGTCTTTTTCACAAGATCACAAAATTAATTCGAATGAAAAAAGCCCTTTCAGCTCATCTGATCTCATATTTCCAGAATACCCACTCTCGTGTCTTCCCATTACAGGGTAAAATCCCAAACTTTTTTTCAAAATGAGTCCAATGGTCTCACCCACTCTTCCTGGAAACTTGTTGCAGTTATTAACTAATCTCTGGATAAAGAAATTCTTCCTGGTGTCTGTTCTGGACATGGGTTTAGAGTTGTAAAGGGCAATTTCAGGACAGGCACGAGGAAGATTTTCTTCAGCAGCAAGAACAATGCAATATAGACACTATATCAAATGCACAAAACTATTATTGCAATTGTGGCACAGGCCTGTCTACAAAATATACAGTCACTACACTCTACAGCAAAACCTGTGTGACATTTGAAAGATTGGGATTGTGTGACAACACGCTGTGTCAAATACAAGGATTATTTATTATGATTATTATTATTTTAAGCATTAAACTCCCTCTAGTTATTGTTCTTAAAGTGGAATCAGATACAAATGTAGGAAGCAGTTTGGTCAATATAATTTGCTTTACTGATTGCTTTGTTTCTAAAAAAAAGGAAGAAGATGCTAAATATAACACCAATGGAATGTTAATGCCTGAATTAAAGTAATGATGTTAAATATGCCTAAACATACAGAAAGACTGTAGCTCAGTGGTTAGAGCACTTGCCTCGCAAGCGAGAGATCTGGTTCAATTCCTGGCAGGGCGAAATGTTGGGCAGGTTTCCTTACTTCCACACACCTCGGTTTACCTAGCAGTAATAATAATCCTTGCATTTGATATCGCGTTTTCACGTCGGGAGGACGTCCCAAAGCGCTTCACAGAACAAACTGTGAAGTGAATTGACTGTATATTTGTGAGGGAACGCGGCAGCCAATTGCGCACAGCAATGTCCCACAAACAGTCGTAGATTGAAAATGACCAATTTATTATTGTTTTTGGTTTTGGAGGGATTATTATTAGGCATGTGGAGTAAGGAAACTTGCCCAAGGTAGCAACCCGCATGTTAGTTGATTGGCGGAACGTTTTCCGGGGTTAATAATTCTTTCAAAAAAATAATAAATTGGTCACTTCAATCCACGACTGCTTGTGGGACAGTGCTGTGGGCAATTGGCTGCTGCATTTCGCCCACAATATATACAGTCGATTCACTTTACAGTATATTCCGTGAATTCTTTGAGACGTCTCGAAGATGTGACAAAGCGTTGTATCAAATGGAAGGATTATTATGATTATTTAAATTCTGTAACTACTGTATATGTTGGATGAATTCTGTGTGCTGTACTATCGGAAACCACCGAGTGGTGCTACGTAACTCGAATCATTTGAGTCTGCTTTTGGGTGTTTGCGTAAGCTCTCATGAGAGAAAGCGAAACTTAATTCTTAAACAGAAATTTTGGTGGATTTATAAAATGGCTTCGAACAGAGATGGCTGGCGAAAATATCCCAGGGTGAAGCTTCGAGACATGGGACACGATCTGCATGCAGCGACCTTAATGTGGGCTCTGATCTCCTGCAGTCTCTTCTGCCTAGCAGGTAGTGAAGTAACTCGCCTTGTTTTAAGGCACTATGTTTTTTGTTGTTTGGGTGGTGGTGGGTGGAAGGTGGTGGTGGTGGAGAAGGTGTAGAGGCTGGAGAGAGAAATCAATATTTTCCTGTTACCATGATAAAATAATTCTCAGCAAACTGTAGATTTTTAGTGCAAAAGAAAAAATCTGGATGCTTTAGTACTGCCTCTATGCTTGTGTGAATATGTCAGGTTCTTTTAACACTAACTTGAGGCGGGATCCAACCCTTTTTTGACTTTGTCCAGTGAGTGAATTGCTCTGAGCAAAGGCTATTTTCACTAGTAGATCACACTGGGTATGGATAAAGACTCATTTGATCTATTCACCCCTGAATACGTTAAACTGAGGTGCCATTTGCGTGTTCAGGTGTATGTTAAAGTTCCACTTCCTGATAATGTGCTTCAGTCATTAGGAGTCCTGTAGCTCAGTTGTTAGAGCACTTGCTTTGCAAGTGAGAGACCTGGCTGCCGCGTTCCCCCACAAATATACAGTCAATTCACTTTACAGTGTGTTCTGCGAAGCGCTTTGGGACGTCCTCCCGACGTGAAAAGCGCTATATCAAATGCAAGGATTATTATTATTATTATTAATTACCCTCAGGGTAAGGAAATACTCTGAGGAGTCTGCCTTTTCTGACCATTAAATGTGTGTCCCCTTGTTCTGCTGTCTCCGTGCATCTGAAAAGATTGTTTTGGGCTTACTTTCTCAATTCCACTTAAAAACAATCATAACTTGCATTTATATAATGCCCTTCGTGTGTTTCGGAGCGCTTAACAATGGCACAGTTTGATGCAGATCTGGGAAGAATTGAATGTAGACAAGGTTAAAGGAAAAGGTCTTTCGGTAAGATTTGAAGATGGGCCAAGAGGGGGCAAGGTGGAGGGATCGAAGCAAGGAGTTCCAGAGCTTTAGGGCCTATGAACTAAAAGCAGAAGGTGGAGGGGACAACTGATGTGCACAAGGCTGGAAAGATAGGCAGGTGCTGGGCATGAAGTGATTTGTAGGTGAGAGCAGAGATCCTGAAATCGATTCATTCAGCAACAGGATGTCAGTGGAGTCTGGCCAGTACTGGGCTCATGGGAGTGCGGAGTTTGGTATGGGAGAGGCGGTGGAGTTTTGAATCAGTTGGATTTTGTGAATGGTGGAGCTGGGGAGACCGGCATTGTAGTCAGGAGGAGAAATCTTGTAGCAAAGTCAATCTGTTTGAACTTAGCTCAGCAATGGTCTGTACTTTTAAAATGCAACATTAGGTTACAAGTTCTTTACAATGTACAGGAGGAAACCTTGGGCAAGTTTTCTTACTCCACACGCCTAATAATAATCCCTCCAAAACAAAACAACAATAAATTGGTCATTTTCAATCCATGACTGTTTGTGGGAAACTGCTGTGCGCAATTGGCTGCTGCGTTCGGTCACAAATGTACAGTCAATTCACTTTACAGTCTATTCTGTGAAGCACTTCGAAACATTGAGACGACGTGAAAAACCCTATATCAAATGCAAGGATTATTATTATTTTATTATTAGTTGTGTTTGATGTCACATTTGTTAACAATGTTACAAATTGAGTAACAATTGTGTATGTGTCACATCAAATGTTGCAATTCCCTCCTCAAGTTTACTGTGCTTTCCTGTTGATGTAAAAAAGTGTGTTTTTAAATAATAAACCACTCAGAGCAACATTGGTAGACCAACATAAAAGGATGGAAGTTTCAATGTAACACTAAAAATTCCAACACAAACACAATTCAGATGTGCCTTAATATTGTTTGCGGTAAGAGCTACAAGCTTGAAAGGTTCAGTATCTTGAAAACGAGGGAGTGAGTCTCACCTTATAACTCTTAGAAATCAGTCAATTGCCTCATGCTGTTGAATTTGTCAATGAGTGGAGAAGGGTAGGGATGGGTGAAACTTTGTGGGCATAATTTCACAGCACATTATGTCGAAGTTATCACTAATCTGTTGGAGAACCTCAACTTTTATTTTTGCTTTGATATTTGGATTAGATATTAATGTTTCAGCCTTACTCTCTCCCCCCCCACCCCCCCTCCCACCCATCCCCATCTGGCTTGGTTGTCCACCCTGCCATTGTAAAGCGCTCTGAGATGTTATTCTAAGTGAAGGGCGCTGTATAAAGTTGTTGGAATATTCATTTTGTTTTCTGTCGTCTGCAGGTTCTTTTGACGTGACCATATTTAAAAATCCAATGGAAGTGCTATTAGACACAGCAGTTAGGCTGGAGTGCAAAATAACTAACTATGGCTCAGATACACTTAACCTTGACAATCTGGCTGTGCAGTGGTTGTTCTCTTACAAGAACATGACTAAGAAAGAAATCTACGTGTTCAATGGAGGAAAACATATTTCAAAGAAAGCAGGAGTAAGGATGTCAGACGACCTCTTAAAACTAGGAGATGCAACCCTTGAACTTTTGAGAGTACAATTTGAAGACGAGGGACAGTACACGTGTGCTATATTTATTACCCCTTCTAAAGTAGAAAAATCTGCATCAATCCTGGTGTCAGGTAAAGAGATTCAACAAACTGTACATTGGGATGTGTGTTAAGTTGTTAAGAGCATTAGAAGATAGGAACAGGATTAAATCATTCAGTCCGACCAGATTATTTCATTATTTATTAGGTCATGGCTGATCTGCAACTTTCATTTCCCTACCCTTTTATCATATCCCTTGAGTACCCTATCCATCCAATCATGGCCTTGTTCCACCCTCCCTCTGTGATCACCTTCTATAACCCTAAAGCCCCAACCATTACCTTTGCTCAGCAAACACCAGTCTGCTTCATGTCCCCCATCCTCTCCACCCCAATATCAGTGAACAAGCTTGTAAAGAGAATTTTCATTTTCCAGTAACCGCTCCAAAAGAGATGCCAACAATTTAGAGAGGCCTGGAATTCCACCCAGTCTTCGCCTGATAAACCATTGCGGGATAGAAATTCCATCTGAGACTAGATTTGCTGTTTTTTTTAGCACTTTAGAAGGTCCAGAGTTTGGCAAATTGTTGAATTCAATCTTAACATTGAAGCTGATTATTCTGCAGTTCCTGAAAGAACTGAGAGAAAATTTGAAATTTCTGCACCAATTTTTTGTCTTAAAATTTAAGATCAGGCAGAATTTAAAAAAATCTTTAATTCCAGTAATATGGAAGCTGGTTTTCCAAAGCATATACAATAACGGAGACAGGAAAATAGACAACATTTGCAGTAAGATGCGACTTTGCTTGTTTTTCAGTGTGACTGTTCTAAACCTAATGTTTTTCTTTTATGCAGTTAAACCAAGAGTCAGCTTGTCCACAAAACACTTTACTGTGGTGAGCGGTTCAGAGGGCTCTGTGAGGTGCAACATTATCAGGTTTTATCCCCAGGAATACACTATCAAGTGGGTCAAGATCTTATCGGGAAGCACTGAGACAGTTGTCAATGATATCTGCACAGGTGTTCCAGTGCCTGACAAAGATGGAACGTTCAATGTGTCCAGTGTGATACGGATTGAACCAACAATGGTTGACAATGGGGCCATCTACAAGTGTGAGGTTCGGCACAAAACATTTAGTAGCCCATGGATAACAGAGGCCAAACTCACCGTGAAAGGTAAATAGATATCAGATAGCTGCAAGAAGAGTGAAAGGCGATCTTAGGAGAAATATTTTCACACACAGAGAGCTGTTGGGATGTGGAACGGCTCTGTTAGAGGCAAGAGTTCATTGTGGGTTTCCAGAGGAAAGTAGACGGGTATATAAAAAAAAAGCCTTGAAAGGGGTGGGGGAAAAACGGGGCAGTGGGATCAAACAAAAAGCTTGCTCTGAGAGCTGGTGCAGACTCAAAGGGCTGGCCTCTCCTGATCTGTAAATTTCCATGATTCTATTTCATGAGTAAAGTAACGAAATGAACGTCTCTTGTGAATCGTGTACGAAGCTATAAAAATCAGTTTGCACTTTTAGATGCAAGGTCTTAGGTGCAAAGTCAGACTTGTGGCATTCATTTTGGCTTTTGGATTGTGATTCTCGATTTGAGTTTCGAAGAAAGAAATAATATTGGCTCTCGAATCCTGAAAGTTGTGATTGGTTTTCCAGCTCATTTGTTGGAACTTTAGATCCTTTCTGGCGGAGAAATTTGCCATGCGTTAGACACCATGTTGCTTGTGATGCTGCCTTTGCCTCGAAGACTGTACCTTGTTATTTGTTATGTTTCAGAACCAGAGAAAACATCGGGAGGAGCGATTGCTGGGGCTATAATTGGAACCTTGATCCTGAGCACGTTGGCATTTGCTGGACTGTTCTTCGTTTATACAACACGTTTTAAAAAAGGTAAAGTGTTGCTTGGTTGGAGGCTTTCAGTTTACAACGTGCTAGGAATCTGTTCAATGTGATCTTGTGTCTAATCTGCTGTTCATTCCTCCCTTTTTTTCTCATGTATGGATCGAGTTTCCTCTTAAATCCATTGTGAAATGCATAAGTACAGGAACATCAGTTTATATTTATATATCAAATTTCATGTTAGGTTGACGTGCAAAATTGTTTTAACATTTTGAGGTGCTTGAACCTAAGAGGAAGCTATGTAACGCTTGAGGGAGAAGGGGATAGAAGGGTATGGGAGGGAACATGGAGTGTGTGGAGACTTGTGTGGAGAATAAACACCAGCAAGGACTAGTTGGGCCAGAGATTCTAAGTAAAAGCACAGTTGAAAAGATAGGTATTGAGGGAAGTGGGTGAGCCGGAGTCCCAGAGCATGAGGGCAGAAGGGTTAAAGTTGTTCTAATGTGCACGTATGAAACAGTGTCTCCCATTCTATTTTCTTACTGGAATCAGCGCTTAGGTGGCAGTGCGCACACAGAGCAAACACATGCAAACACTCGAATATCTGGTTTTAACTCCTGTTTTCTTTCCTCAGTTTCTCCAAAATTCACTAAAATCAGCAAACCTGCCACTATTAGACACCAAGAAGAAGCCTTAATAAGTTGCCAAGTTATTGGTTTTAGACCGGTTAAGATTTCCATCACTTTATGGGTCAAAAGAAGCGAACAGGAAAAGAAGAAAATTTATTGTTGGAGCAATACTATGTTGAAAAATCCTGATGAGGAAGCGAATCTTCTCTCAAATGGAAAGGGCTGTTGTGATGAATCCTTTACTCCCAATTTCTCACTTACTAGTTTGAAAGATGGGAATTCCACTGTGAATTGTGTCATTAAAATGTGGCCCGACATGTACAGCGATAACGGGATGGAATTAACCTTTGAAGTGCAGCATGAAACTCTTTGGATTGCGATGGAGGAGAAGATAACTCTGGAGGTCGTTGGAGGTAACTAAATGATTTAACACTTTTCACGTGATTCCGCATGATATAATAATAATAATCCTTACATTTGTTGTTGAGATGTCTGAAAGTGCTTCACAGGATTTTACTGTGAACATCTTAATGTGAAAATGCCTTGCTGGTAATCTGGAAATTTAGCAAAAGTTACAATGATCATTCCTATCTCCGTTGGTAGCACTCTCATCAGAAGGTTGTGGGTTCAAGCCCCGTGCCGAGACTTGGAACTCATATAATCCAAGATGACTTTCCAATAAGTTGCTGGGATGTGCTGAGTTGTTCGAGGTGCCTTCCTTTGCATGAGATTAAAAATCAAGGCCATGTCTGCCTGTTCAGGTGGATATCAAAGAGTCCATAGCATTATTTGAAAAGAGAAAGGAGTTTCTCCCAGTGTCCTGGCCAACAATCACCCAAATAAAATTTGTCTATGAACAAATTGGCCGTAGCATTCACCCATAAAATACACAGTCACTGCACTTTACAGTATATTCTGTGAAGTACTTTGGGAAGTCCTACCGACATGGAAGGTGTTATACCAAATATAAGCATTATTATTGTTATTATTATACTGCTGAGCATAATTGGTTGCCTCGCTTCGCCCACAAATTCTACAGTCAATCCACTTTATAGCATATTCTGTGAAGCACTGTGAAGCATCTCAAAGACATAATGCTATATCAATTGCAAGATTCTTAGTATTATTTACATAGCACTTTGATTACATAAAAGTAAGAAATCTCAAATCGTTTTGCATTTCTTCAGGAAAAGCATTGCTACCTTTTAACTGTGGCTTATTCAGAGAAAATTCCAATCAGCAAATGGGACCTTTTCCTTTTCTGATGCATTGTTCTGCTATTTTTCTTTCCCAAAGTTCCACCGAAGATTTCGGACATTTTGCTGCCACCTCGCATCATTCACAATGAGCTGGTGTCCTTGGCCTGTTCCATCAATGGATTTAAACCAAAACCATTGAAAATCATTTGGTACCAACTCTGGGGTGCTGGCAACAAGAAAGAAATTGCTTACCTCGACAAAGACACAAAGAGGTTGCTCGAAACCAACCCCAGTCAGACGAATAAGTTTAACCATTACATCAGTGAGATGCAGTATGAGGATAAAACATATAGCGTCATCAGTGTATTGAATATTATACCAGATATTCAGGAAGACATGGGAATAAAGTATGTTTGTGAGGTGCATCATGAGGCCACTGACAAGGTTGAAAAAAGAGAAACTAAGCTGGATATTAAAGGTAGGTTTATTTTAAAAAATGCTTTATGTTTAAAGTTTACTGAAACAACTCTGAACTGCAGGAGTGAAATACTTTAATTTTGCTCTAGTTAAGAGGTTCTGGAGGCAGTGATTCTGTTAACCTTGCAAGTCAAAGGCTGAATGGGCAGGTTGATCAGAACTGTACAAGCAAGGAAGCCTAGCAGTGTTCGCAATGTCGTGCTCGGAGTTTTAGCTGGTTCTAGTAATGCGGTAGCCCCCAAGCCATGCCTCTTATAAACCTACACTTGCTAATTATACTGGAGGGTGCTGTGGATGTGTGTGTGTGTGTGGGGGGGGGGGTTGGGATGGGGTGGGGTGGTAATTGGGGGAATATTACCTAACATATCAAAGAAAAATTATGTGGCTTAAAATGAACAGACAAAAAGAAAAATTCCTATTTTAATTCCAAAATGTCTGCAATGTCCTTGTATTTAATTGCTGTGTTCATATTGTTCCGCTTTCAGGCACACCCAAACTGGAGCAGATTCAGTCAGTCCCCAAAACACCAGTGGCAGGAGAGTCTTTGAAATTAAGCTGCCGGGTCAATTTCTTTTACCCCAAAACAATCAGAGCTGAATGGTTTAAGGACAATGAGCAGAACCCATTAGAATCGGAAGATAGTGAGCCTATGTTGGGAAACAATGCGTTGTTCTATTTTACATCTAACATGACGACTGTAGCCACGAGAAAGGATGTTGACAGCAAGTATGTTTGTAAAATGTACCACGAGAGCCTAACAGAACCGGCGGAGATCCATTGGGTTCTTGACCGTTTGGGTGAGTATTAATTCTGTGCAGTCAGGATCGCTGTTGATCATCATTTTGTATATTCTATGAAATGTGCTAAATAGCAGAGTGAGGTATTCAATTTGCTATGAAATGTTATGATTTTTTTGTAACATTTCATTGGTTATTTTTCATAGACAGATATAAAATCGCAAATGTATAAATGAATCTTGCATAAAATTCCAAAGTGTTTTGCTACTTATATAAATATGAATGGGTTTCTTAGAGGATAAAGCACAAAGCCTACTTCTAACAATTCTGTCATTCAACCTTTTATACAATTATGGATCAGTTGAACCAGACGAAGGGAGGGACCATTATGTTTTGGTTACGAATTCAGAAGATAATAATTCTTACTTCTGATATAGCGCCTTATCACATCATCAGGACATGTCAAGGAGCTTCACGTGATTTACTAGGAAGTGTAGTGACTGTATTTGTAGGCAAAAGACGGCAGCCAATTTGTATACAGTAATCTCCGACAAAAATCATAAAGTGAATGACCAACTTTATATGGGGGATTATTGGTCAGGACACTGGGAAACTCTCCCTTCTCCTGGGAGCAGAGCAGGTTAAGAGGAGACTTAATGGAAGTTTTCAAAATTATGAGGGGATTCGATAGGGTGAACAAGGAGAAACTAATTCCACTGGTGGGTGGGTCGGTAACCTGAGGGCACCAATTTAAAGTAGTTGTTAAAAGAAACGGGAGGTGAGGAGAAAACTTTTCGCACAGCGAGTTGTTCAGATCTGGAATGTATTGCATGAAAGGGTTGTGGAAGCCAATTCGATAACAACTTTTAAGAGAGAAGTAGATAATTATTTGGGGAGGACAAGTTTGCAGAGCTATGGGGTGAGAGCGGGGGAGTGGGATTGAATAGCTCTTTTCAAAGAGCTGGCACAGACACAAGAGCCGAATGGTCTCCTTCTGTCCTGTATAATTCTATGATTCTATGCAGGATAATTTGTGAAGCACTTTGAGATAACTCAACGACGTGATGAGGCACTAGGATAATTATGCATTATTATTATTATTAAAATATTGAAGGTTTGGGGTGTTATTTTGTTTGAATACTACCCAGTAATGTGAACCAGTTGATTATTTTGTTTGTCAATGTGCAATTGACTAATTTTTTCTTGTTCCAAATAAAGTATCTGCGCCCAAACTGATGGAGATTGAAATTGATCCACCCTCGCCGGAGGCAGGGAAATCCGTTACTCTGTCCTGCAAGGCATATGACTTCTATCCAAAGGAAAATAAAATTTCCTGGATTCGGGGTTTCGATATAACAGGACAAAAATTCGAAAGTGAAGATACTGAACAAGATTTGAGTACCGGACTGTATTATCGCAAGTCCAAGTGGACGTTCATTCCAACAGAACTGGATCATGGCACTGAATACACAATGGAAATTCTTCATGTGGAAACCTCCAGTAAGCCACAGAGGATCAGCCGGATGTTGAACTTAAAGGGTAAATATTATTTTAGCTACAAATGTAAATTTATAGTTATAGAATTTTAACTGTGACAAATAATATTTTATCAGTGGACAGACGTGTGGTGTTTCACATGAGTTTTATCATCGATTTAGATGTGCAAACCTGCTAGCTAAGCTGCCCTACAGGAATGTATTCCTGGTATCCATGTCCAGATGTGATTATTGAGCCCGCATTCATTTTACACAGTGGTGTTTCTAAACAAAAATGATCCAATTATTTTCAGCAATTCAGCAATGTAATTTATAGCAACTTGGGTTTAATGACTATTTTCTTTCTAAGTGTGTATCATTCCGATCAGCCTGGCTCAGTTCGTAGCATCCTTGCTCAGTCAAAAGCTTGTTTGTTCAAGGCCCCATTTTGTGCACATATTTTAAAGTGATACTCCAGTGCGGTGCTGGGGGAAGCACTACATTGTCAGAGGTCCTTCAGATGCGATGTTAAACCAAGGTCCAGTCTGCCTGTCGGATAGACATTAAAGATACCGTGGCACTATGATATTTCATGGGAATTTTTCCATTGTCCTGATCAACAATCCTAAAGATAAAATGTAGTTGTTCACTTTCTGGGCTATTTGTGGGACATTGCTGTGCTCAAATGTATTGCTACATTTGTTGACAAATACACACTCACTACACAACAGTAGATCCTATGAAGTGCTTGAGCCATTTCAACAATGTGATAAGGCGCTATACCAAGTGCACAGGTTATTTTTTTATACATTTAATCTTGGCCTTGAACAAAATAGCTGAAGGCTCTCTTCATTCTGCCGTTTGATCTTTTAAAAGGAAGAAAGGTGCCTTGAAATTCCTAGTCGTAGCCTTTGAGACCAGGTTGTCTTGAAATTTAACATTACCCCGAGATGTGTAATGTTTTAAACCCAGTCTTAATTTGGAACCTTTTTTTATATAAGTGGATCTTTAAAATGACAACTAAATCAAACAATTTTCCACAATTCTGTGCCATCTTGATTTTCAAGGCAAAATGATCCCAAAGGCTAAGATGATGTGAAATTGCAGACCTAAAATTTATCAACAATATCCCATCTGTTCGATTTTTAAACAGGAATCCCATCAATTTCCGACATCATACTTGAGCCGCCAGAGCCTGTGTATGGCAAGGAACTTGTTCTCACCTGCAATGTGAGCAACTTCACAACTCAGAGCATCACAACATCATGGCTTAAGCAGAACAATAAGATCTACGAAGGGATCACTAATCAGGGTCCTGATCCAGATGAAGGTGGATGCTATCGGTTTTCTTCTAGCCTGAAACTGGTGCCAAATGCCCAGGATTACGAAAAGGAATTTTCTTTCCGTGTCGAACATATGAAATTTACCAAGCCAATCGTGAAAAATGCCTTTGTCAGTTTTCCAGGTATGGTTCTGCAGCCCAGAACATTTTTGTCTCTTATTATAGATGCATGGAATTATTTTCCTCAGATTTGTGGCACTTCAACAAATTGGAGTATACTTATATTCACAGCCATAAAAAATCACAATAAATACTGTGTTTACCTGCTTTCTTGACTAACATTTGTGCACGTTTTTCTGTTTCCTCAGCCTTTTCTCCGCAAGTGTCCAAAATTAAAGTTGATCCCGTGTCACCGCAAGTCAATCAAGCAGTATCACTGAGCATTTCGCTGAGCAACTACGTACCCAGTGGTATCACTGTGAAATGGTTCAAAAAATGGAAGCCTTACACAGGGACTGTGATCAATAGCCTTCCGCAAGTGGCTGAAAATGGTCTCTTTTCTTCCATTTCGAAGATAGACTTTCAGGCCACTTTAGATGATCAGAAATGCGAGTTCAGGTGTGAGGTCACTCACGAAGAAACAAAGGAGATTCAGGAGAAGGATTTCATTTTGTGTATCAGAGGTAAATGTCACTCTATCCCATCCCGATTCACTGCAAAACCCTCCAGATGCTTTATTGCTACCAAATTCTACCTTTGATCCCTATTCTCCCACTGTGGGGTAGGGATTCTTGCTACTCAGCTCCTGTTTAATGTGCAAGCCAAAGCCCTCATGCTTAGGGTGGTTCTAACTGAACAGCAGCAGAAAGCTTGCCAGGTAGTGTTTTCAATGGCAAGCTATCAAAAGCTGGTTTAACTACTGAAGTAACCCAAGCACACTGTGGGGTCCACAAGCCTTGGCTCTTGCCAATCTGGACCTAATGCATTCTGTCCAGATTGGGTACGCAAGATGTGTGTCTCCAAGGAAAGAATGCAAATTCCCTGCTAGACAAGGGGAGGTTTTCATTATAGGTGGCAAACATAGGTGAAACTCTGTCTGATTTGGATACACTGAAACATGAGGTAATGTGTTTCTAGATGTGTCAGTCACCTGGCTAAACTCTCGAAAATCATGGAACCATAAAAATTTGCAGCATAGAAGGTGGTCATGTGGCTCATTGTACCTGGCTGGATCTCTGACCATGCTATCTGCTTAATTCCATTCTCTTACCTTTTCTCCCACACTCTTTTACATATCCCTAAAAGCGTATGGAGATTGTGGCTAAACCGTGGCTTCCAGTAGGGAATTCCATATCTTAACACCCCTCTGGGTAACCCATTTGCTTTGCTCCTTTGGTAATTGCCTTAAACCTGCGCTATCTAGTTACCACCTCACCAACTAGTGGAAATAGCTTCTTCCTGTTCACTTCTTCAAAACCATTCATATTTTTAAAAACAACCATCGGGTCTCCTTTCAACCTTCTTTGTTCCAGGAGAAACAGCCTAAATATTTCTCAATTTTTTCCTTAGAAGTAAAAGTTCACAAAGGCATGTTTTGGAACATGCTCCACAGGCTATGGCTTCATCATGCCTCAGTTCTTCATTCATGAATGTTAGCAGGAATTACCAGATGACTCTTGTGTAAGGTATAGCACAACTGAGCAAGATCTTGAACTAATTCCATGGATCAGGAGTGAGAACTCTGCCAGATTTATTTCCCCCTCTTCCCCCTCCATCGCCCAGATGCATTGCCCCTAGTTATGCATGCCCTACTGTCCTCACAGAGAAGTTTACAATGGAAAAGATTGTGGAGGGGTTTGATAGTTCATTAAATGGGTTCATGACATGGACTTTCCATAACACAGTGAAGTGTCTGAACGCTGCCACTGTCCGTAATTTTGCGTGCTTCATAACTCATGTGCTGATATGTTGGAAATGCTGGGGTCAATTTTGCGACATTACTTAATGGGATTTCATAAGAAATCTAAAAGGGATCGTCTTCTGGTAACCCTACATTTGGTTTGCTGACTCGAGAGAGCCGCATCCGAAAATGGATTGAGTTGATTCAGCATTTCCAAGTCCGAATCTTGTGATTCCTAATTTGTTAGCTACAAAATCATGTAGAATCCACCCCACAGTTTACATTGGATGATTTAAGTTACTTTAATGTTGAAAGCTACTGCTGTTTAACTTATTGAAACTACTTGCGTGATCCCGCTGATAATATGCCCAGTCTAATATTCTTGTTTCCCATTTAAGATGGTGATGATGATGAGGTGGATGAACCTGTATCTGATGAAATGAAATCCGATGATGAAGGTAAAATACTCTTAAATTTTACCAAGTTTCTGTTTTTTGATATTTCTGTCAACTTGCACCTATTACTTTCACAAGTGAGTTCAAATGAGGAGGGCCATTTGACTCATTTGATCTCATCTTTCCAGAATACCCAATATACACAAGATTTAGCATGCTCTGAATTATCTAAATGGCCCTCATGGTAAGTAGGGTCTCCCTGGAGGTTAACTGGATCTGAGGAGACACACCGAGACATCAATGCAGGTCTGCAGTTAATCCAAGGCATTGAACATTGCTGAGCAGCTTTTATGGCTCATTAATGAGAATTGGAGGTCTAGGCAAGGACTCGACCCTGAAAGCCAAAGCTGAAAAGAGAAAGGTCATCCTAGCTGGAGACTCATGGTAGCTTCATAGATGTTCAATTAAGATGCTGAGTTACAATCATGTCTTCTCTCTCACTTTCATGGCTTCCTCTCTTCATCCAGAAGACTTTCTGGCTATTCGATTTCTGTAACATCCTGTAAACAACCATGCCACTATTGGGCACCAGGAGAAGTGTATTTGTCGGAGAGATTCCTAAGGAATTGTCTCTTCCACAAGAGCAATACTACCATTGACATAATGCACATAACCCGGGGAAACCCCAGGGAAATGTTCACTCGTGATAGACGAGAGCAATGGTAACTAGGATTTGTAAGGGACAAGGACTCCACGGCACAATGTATCAATAGAACAATGTGTTCATCTTCAAGAACGAGTTACCTAAAACATAGATATGACTGACTGCATTTAATTCTTTACCAAAGGCTTGTTTTTACTTTTTTCCCAGCAGAGGACATGGATTTTGTCTCGGACATCAGGTGTGAAACAGAAAATCCGAAAGCTGGTCAGCCTGTTACTGTGGCCTGCACTATTAAAGGGCACCCCATGGACAGCACGCACATCACTTGGTTTAAGGGTGTATACCCTTATGAAAAGGAAGATGTTGTTAAAAAGATAGCCCTTCCAGATGGAAGTTTCAAGTGTGCACTAACTTTTACAGCAGAGAAGGAGGATGATGGAATCCTATTGCAATGTGATGTGATGACTGAGATGGACCCGATTAGCAAATTCTTTCATCTGAAACTCAGTTGAAGCCTTGGAGCAAGCATGCACCTTATTTTATGAATCCGAAAGTGAAATGTCATTGTGCCTGTGTATCATGCTTGGACTCCTAATCCTTATTGTGACTTCGGAAAGAAAGCCTAATGCATTGATATAATCTAGCTTTTATATTTTCTGTCTGGCAGTTGATTTGCCTTGGTTTGGCTTGGATGTCCCTGAGGAACTGAGTTTGTTTAGCAACTTTGAAAATTGAAGTAATTCTCTCTTCGCATAAATTGGGGGTAAGACTGGTGTGGAATGATGTATAAACACCGGGACAGACTGGTTGGACCAAAGGGCCTGTTTCCGTGCTGTACATTCTTTGCAGATTTTTGCAATTTAGATTCATTCAATCTGCTTGAAATGTATGATCATTTGAAATTAGAAATTAAAGAAATTTCAAATGAAAACCTTCATTTACTGCACCAATAGCTACAGAGGGATTTGGAAAGTGCTGGGGAAATAATTATAGCAAGGAAGAAAAGTTAAGAACGAGGGCAGACTTCTTCACACAAATGAATTCAATTTGCTTTGAACACTACTGTGCAGGTTCCACGCAACAGAGGGTTTGGAAGTTGATTTTAGTGAGAAAATCAAAATCATCTCTAGTAGTAGATTAGAGGAAAAATGTTCAACACTAATTTTCCACTTGGATTTGAAGAAAGAATAAAAATATAAGAATAGTTCTGAATTAGAGTTCAGATGGAGATGCGATTAACAACAACAACAGCAAATTATATTTGAATAGAGCCTTCCATGTCAAGAGGATTAAGGGTAATGATCGACTGGAACAGGAAAGATGGTAGAGACCAGGTTGCAGTACTTATTTAATGTGATGGGGAGACAGTGTGGTGGGTGTTCTGGAAAGATGAAATTGGATGGGCCGAAGAGACTTCTTCATCCAAACCAATCTTGTGATTTTGTGATTAAAAAATTAGAAGTTGAAAGGGGCACTGGTATCAACCAGGCTTTTTGTGTGAGTCTGGCTCAGTGTATCGAATGCTTATGTTTGTTAGCTACAGCGTGGAATAACAATTCCAGGGAAAGAGTGTGCATTCCATTCCAATAATCTATCTCTGGGATTTCCATATGTAGGTGGGATGCATGGTAAACTCAGAATGATTTGGATACTCTTAAGCATCGTGATGGGTTTCCGCATTGTCTGTCTGACCCGGCTGACGAAAAAAAAAAGTAACAACAACAACAACCTGCGTTTATATAGCGCACTTTACTCAGGGTAGTGTCTCAGAGTGCTTAACAGTGGTATTGCAGTAATTAATTATAAGTCTAATTAAATTGAGCTGAATTATAGATTTTTTACCCAAGGGTGATTGTTAGAATTTACACTTTTTGCATAATTGAGCACTCGCTTTGCAAGCGAGAGACCTGAGTTCAATTCCAGGCAGGGCGAAACCTTGGGCAAGTTTCCTTACTCCACACGCCTAATAATAATCCCTCCAAAACCACAAAACAATAATAAATTGGTTATTTTCAATCCATTACTGTTTGTGGGACATTGCTGTGCGCAATTGGCTGCCGCGTTCGCCCACAAATATACAGTCAATTCACTTTACAGTGTGTTCTGTGAAGCGCTTTGGGACGTCCTCCCGACGTGAAAAGCGCTATATCAAATGCAAGGATTATTATTATTATTATTATATAATGTTAGAATCATAATAGATGTTGCGAACGGGTTAACTTTTAAGTTAAGTGTGTTGTGGGCAGCTGGACTGAAACTCATGAGTTTCCCAGGATCACGTGAGTGTCTCAAGGACAAGATGTGTACTACTGTCCTGCACGTACACGAGATAACGGACTGTCTCAAGGAAGGTGTGTTTGTGTGTGTGAGGCACGTACACCCCATGAGATGTTCACGTGAACCCAGCATGATTTTGGCCAGGTGACCTAATGTCAGCACCATGATTGGATGGACACAAGCTTAAGACACCGTGCCAGACCAAGATCGTGTGCCCAGGACAGTACCTACCGTGGATGGAAGACTGAGAGCTAGAAGGCAGATGTAGACGACCACGAGGAGGGATTACGTGGTACTATTGTTCTGTTAGTGAATCTATTGATTATGCTTACTTGCCCACGCCCATCGGGAACTTGGACGGATCCTGGAGTTTAACTACTCTGGTTGCAAAAAGTGGTTGTGTTTGATTGGAACTCGAAAAGAAGATTTTATTTTCTAACATGATGTATATTATTACTCTATAGTTGGTATAACTCTTTAAGACAAAATGTTTAGAGAAAATGTCATTATGCTGTGCCTTGAAGTCTTAAATCGGATCATCCTGATGTTAAAAAAAGGACAATGATGAAAGAAGTATTGCTACACTTTGCTCAGTCAGAATTGGTGTTCGGTCTGAGCTGGTGGGAAAAAAGACATCTTTCTTTTCCTTCGTTCTGCGACTGTTCCAGGTTCCAGCAATTCCAGCAACATCGGAAAAAAAGCCAAAGAGATGAACAGATTGTAAAGATATGAGAATACAGCTGCAACACAACTTTGTGTTTTTTTTATTCAACACCTGCTATTGTCAGCATTCAGCTTCAGAGAAAAGAGGAGTAGACGCAGAAAGTGTTGATTCTTTCAAGAATAAGTGACATCGATTTCTGTTAGGAAATAATATCTCTGAAAACAACACACAGTTTGCAACATGACATGCGACTGCCAGGATGGGTCATGGTCTTCTTTCGCCTAACAAATTCTAGCCATATCTTTTGTCTCAGGCTTCCACTGAGTGGTAATCTCTACTACTGGCCATATCTTTGAAACCAGCAGCCTGAACATTGAGAGAAACGCCCTTCTCTTTTGAATTGTGCCACAGGATCATTAACATCCATCTGAGCAGGGGGCGGTCTTTTTATCTTGAGTCTTTTCAAATACTAAATTTGCAAACTTCCAATAATTCATTTGTTGAAATTTGTTTCATTTGTATTTCCTCGGTGTATATACAGTTTTTTAAGGAAGTATTAATTCAGTCAATATTTGGCTGCGGTTTTATTAATAATTGATCACATATGTTAATGTACAAGCAACACGGTCCACCCATGGGATCTGTATGCATCTGTATTTCTCGAAGCTTCAAAAATGTTGATACATTGTGGAGTCCTGTAGCTCAGTGGTTAGAGCACTTGCTTTGCAAGCAAGACACCTGGGTTCATTTCCAGGCAGGGCGAAACCTTGGGCAAGTTTCCTTACTCCACACGCCTAATAATAATCCCTCCAAAAAACCCAAAACAATAATAAATTGGTCATTTTCAATCTACGACTGTTTGTGGGACATTGCTGTGCGCAATTGGCTGCCGCGTTCGCCCACAAATATACAGTCAATTCACTTTACAGTATATTCTGTGAAGCGCTTTGGGACGTCCTCCCGACGTGAAAAGCGCTATATCAAATGCAAGGATTATTATTATTATTATTACATCTGTTTGCTGTTTTCAGAGGAGAATAAAACAGCCATAATTCCCACTTTTCAGCCTTGCATTTGATACAACATCTTAAAGTGCTTCACCAGATTTTCCTGTAGACTGTAGTGACTGTGTATTTTATGGGCAAATACAGCAGCTAACTTGCGTATAGCAATGTCCCACAAACAGCCATGAAGTGAATGGTCTGGAGGAGTGTTGCTCAGATCACTGGAGGAAACTCCCTTTTCTTTTCACATAGTGTCAGGGATTTGAAAAGTTCAGCTGAACAGCAACAAGATTCCATTTATAGAGCACCTTTCACGTCGGGAGGGCGTCCCAAGGCGCTGTACAGTTGGGTCAGGACCTGAGCAGGGGAGAAATGGTCAGGGTGAGGGGAGGGAAGGGAGGGAGCGAGGAGGGGGTAGAGAGTCGAGAGGGGAGCCGAAGGCTCGGTCAAAGAGAAAGGTCTTGAGACCGGCCTTGAAGGAGGAAAGGGTGGAGGCGGCGAAGGCACTGGGGGTAGAGTTCCAAAGCTACAGACGTGATCTCGGTTTAACATAACATCCAAAGGACGATGCAGAACTCCCCCAGCACTTCAACGAGTGTCAACTTAGTCTGCGAGTTCAAATTCCTGGCAGAAATATCTCTATGAACTTGATCTCTGTCTGAAAGAGTATAATAATAACCATAATAATACTTGCGTTTGATATATCACCTCTCACGAGCAGAGAATGTTCCTAAGCACTTCACAGGGATGTATTGTGTGTCAGCCTAGCTCAGTGGTAGCATTGTTGCGTATGAGTTGGAAGGCTGTGGGTTCAAGCCCCATGTTGGACATGGAATCACAGTCAAAGATGACACTCCAATGCAGTGCTGGGTGAGTGGGGATGGGGTGGGGGTTACTTGTCGAAGGTGTTGTCTTTTGATAATACATTAAACCTAGGTCCCTTCTGCCTGTTCAGATGGATGTTAAAGATCCTATGGCACTATTCAAAAAGAGAAAAACGTCTCTCAGTGTCCTGGCCAACAATCCCCCAAATAAAATTGGTCACTCGCTCCATGGCAGTTTGTGGGATACTGCTGTGTGCAAACTGACTGCTGAATGTTGCCTACAAAATAAACAGGTTATACCAAATGTAAGGATTATTAAGTATTATTGGGATGTGCTCCAGACTTGCAAGGTGCTATATCAAAGCAAATGCATGGATTATTTTATTTCTCCTCACCCCACCACCCACCTCATCTGCAGACTTAGTTACTCTGTTTTCTGGCCACATTATGACATGGAATATTGGGAGAGCTATTGTCATTGACATCGGATGTTGGCTTCAGCTCATCAGTAACTTCAAATCAGTTATGACAGTGGCTGAAAGGATGCTTGCATTCTGCCTCATATGCAATGTGGGATGGAACGCAGACAACATGCTGAGGTAGGATGGAAGCCGGTGTGATTCTCTTCTTTTACAGATCGGAACTTCTCCAGTCTCCGAGGGAAACTCCGGAGGATTGTTAGCCAGGACACCAGTTCACAGGATCTTTAACAGATGGGAAACAGGCAGATGGGAACTGGGTTTAAAGTCTCACCCTTAGAAAGAATTTCCTTTTACAATGTTGAACCTGTAATTTCTTGTCCTGTTGCCTTGTTAAACATTGACTGCGCCTTTGCCTATGTACAACCACCAACAAATTGCATTTGTATAGCGCCTTTCCACATCAGATGTTTCCGAGGCCCTGGACAGTCAGGGATTTGGAACCGGGCTGGGGGTTGGAATCAGGAGGGGTGGAGGGCAGGGAGGGCAGGGAGGAGAGTGACTGAAGACGCGGTTGAAAAGGAGGTAACTTTCACACGAAGGTAACTTTGCTTATCGAGTCGGTGTGCAGCTCACTTTTCATCCAGTCCTTTAATAATAATAATAATCCTTGCATTTGATATAGCGTTTTTCACGTCTTCTAGACGTCCCAAAGCGCTTCACAGAATATACCGTCAAGTGAATTGACTGTATACTTGTGGGCGAACCCGGCAGCCAATTGCGCACAGCAGCGTCCCCACAAACAGTCGTGGTTTGAAAATGACCAATTTATTATTGTTTTTTTTTTGGAGGGATTATTATCAGGCGCGCGGAGCAAGGAAACCCGCCCAAGGTTTCGCCCTGACCTGCCCGGAATTGAGCCCAGGCGTCTCACTTGCAAAGCGAGTGCTCTAACCGCTGAGCTACAGGACTCCCAACTCCCCTTTTTCTATTCCCCAACAAAAGTGTCTGCATTCACCACTGAGTGAGTCCCTCTGAACTGAAGCGCTTCGCAGTACAGGGAGTCCTGTGTAGTGTAGTGCAGTGGGGGGTGGGGTTGGGTTCAAGGGCAAAGGCGCAGTCAATGTGAAAGTGAAAGGAACTGAGAGAGAGAGAGAGAGAGAGGAGGAGGAGGAGAGGGGGAGAAGCACATCTCCACAACCACAGCCCAGATCCCCAGACAGTCAATGGGGGGAATGAGCCCTAATCTGCTGCTGGTGCTGCTGGTGGTGACTTGGCCGCCGCTGTCAGGTACAGTGCGAGTGGAGAGGCGCTCTCGGTGCGGCGGTGAAGTCCTCTCTGCGCGTAAAACCATCGCTACGGAACTTGAACCCCTTTCTGCGGGTTCCCCCCCCACCACCCCCACCCTCACCCCCCCACCCCCACCCTCACCCCCCCACCCCCGAGCAGCGGGGCTTCTGCTCAGTCCAATTGCTCCTAAAAGTGTTGCCGTTTTCCTTATTTGCCCCTCCGCCGCTGCCCCTGAACCCGGTTGTTATCTCCACGTTTATTTAGGGGTTGGGGTTTGGACCCCAGTTGGCAGTTGGGATCAGGAGGGGTGGTGGGGGGTGGGTTTGGACCCCAGTTGGCAGTTGGGATCAGGAGGGGTGGTGGTGGTGGGGTTGGGGTTTGGACCCCAGTTGGCAGTTGGGATCAGGAGGGGTGGTGGTGGTGGGGGGTTGGGGTTTGGACCCCAGCTGGCAGTTGGGATCAGGAGGGGTGGTGGTGGTGGGGTTGGGGTTTGGACCCCAGTTGGCAGTTGGGATCAGGAGGGGTGGTGGTGGAGGGGTGGGGTTTGGACCCCAGTTGGCAGTTGGGATCAGGAGGGGTGGTGGTGGGGGGATGGGGTTTGGACCCCAGTTGGCAGTTGGGATCAGGAGTGGTGGTGGTGGTGGGGGGATGGGGTTTGGACCCCAGCTGGCAGTTGGGATCAGGAGGGGTGGTGGGGGTGGCCGAGGCGTGGTGGAAGAGGAAGGTCTTTAGACGGGACTTGAAGGAGGCACGAGAGGGGAGAGCCGGAGTGGCTATAATGGCTGTCACGTTCGCTTACAAAATATATTATTCACAATAAAATCCTATGAAACTCTTTGAGACGTCTTGACGGCGTGATAAGGCGATGTATTAACATGCAAAGATTACTAAGAAATGGATGTGTTTTTGCAGTTTATCCATTCTATGCAATCCTAAATTTTCAGACAAATTCGTACATTAAATTCGCACTACATCCAGGCTCTAGCACCCTTCTGACCACTGTGATTTACCACGCCCCCATCCCCATGACACTGGCTGCTCCCTCTGCTCAGCAAACACTGACCAGCTTCATGGTTCCCAGGCACTCCATCCTACCATTGGTGAGTGAGCTTTTAGCCACTCTGCTCTCTGGAATTCCAAGCCAGAATCCCTCCACCGAGCCCTCTCCCTCCCTCCCTCCCACACCTCCTTCAAAACTTGCCTTTTATATTTATCTCATCGACTGTGCTTTCAGATACCTTCCCTGCCGCTCCTCAGCTCCCCCCCCGCATCAGCTCAGGCTCCCAGTCATTTGTATGAAACACTTTGAGACTTGCTCCCACTCTGTAATATAAACCGCTGATGTTACAGGCAAAGACTGAGTGGCATTTCAAGCACTTTATGTTTAGACTCAGGTGAAATTTCCTCCCCTTCACTAACTCATTTGGGCACGTTTTGTGACGTGTAAAATTCATTGAAAGTCTGATTATTTTATCCTGGTTGCCCCATATAGAACAGGTTAATAAGTGGGTAATAAAACAAGACATTTTAATATCTGAAGAGTGGATTTTTCTTTCTTTATGATGTATCTAGCATTGTGTTTTTTATGATGAAATGATTTGTGGACTAACCTTAGCTGTTTTGTTAAATTACCACAGTGGAAGATGTCCTCAATGTGCTGATGGATTCAGGACCTGTGAGGGTCGCTGTAAACAAGGATACTTTACTGAAATGTCAGGTACCTGGCTATGAATCGAGAACCATTGACCTTGCAAGTGTTAGTGTTGAATGGTACTTCTCAAAGCCTCCTGATGTCACCAGGAAACTGGTATACAAATTTGTAAACAGTGCACACACACCTCATCGAAAGGGAGCAAAGATATCCGATGATAAATTGAAGAAAGGCATTGCTTCCCTGTTTCTGTTGAGTGTGGGATTCCAGGATGAAGGACAGTATGAATGTGTTGTGTTTATCACACCTGATTCTGGAAGGGGAAACGCGGAAATGTTTGTTTCAGGTAAGTGGCTTGATCAATGGGATTTTTCAAAAGGGAGAATAAATTCTGACTAGGTTTTAAAAGGAAATAATGTTTTCATGCTGTGTTATTCTAATTTTTGCGATCTTGTTATGTTATTGGTATTCTATGTTCAAACAAGACCTTGTACTTGCACAGCGCCTGTCATTTAGGAGAATGTCATGAAGCATTTAATAGGGGCAAATGGAGGTGGGGTGTGTGTGTGGGGGGGCGGGGGGGGTGGTGGGGGAGGTTCTTGACAGAAAGTAGAGTCAAAATACTCTGATTTTGAGGAGGGATCTGAAAGTAGAGAGTGAAGGTGTAATGTGAAGGAATTTTAGGAGGATGAGGGCAAGCAACAAGCTTTTTGATAGAATGTATTTTACTTGGAATTTATGTAGTTTGATCATGGTCCAATATAGGTAGATCAGGTTGGTTATAGGTTCTTACCCCTGTAGATCTGTTGCATACAGAGGATTTCTTGTGATGCCCAGAAGTTTTTTGATTTGGCCTCTTGTAAAGAAGCCACTCCAGTCCTGTATCTCATATGAGGTGTATGGGTTGTGGAGGTCCAGGCTCCATCAATGATTAGTGCCATGGTTGCATAATTCAAAAGACTCAGTAGGTACGGAGAGAAAGTTGCAGAAAAAATACACAAATTTAAGTTTTAAAAATGACGGTTTTAAATATTTAAATGTTTGACGCAGATTTCTGTTCATCTTCACAGCTGAACCAAAGGTGAGTGTAGATCAATCTAGTATCATAATCGAGAACGGCACAGAGAAGTCAATCATGTGCAACATCAACCGCTACTATCCTTTAAAAATTGATGTGAAGTGGATTCACAACAGCGGGGATGGAAAACAAGAGGTTTTAAAGTCGGTCTGCAGAAAATCCCCAGTGAAAAACGAAGATGGAACTTTCAACCTGTCCAGCCGCCTGACCCTCCGACCAGATCTTACAGACAGCGGCAAAACCTACACATGCCTTGTAAACCATAGGACACTCGTTGGTGGTTTGAGCAAGGACGTTCTCCTGACTGTCAAAGGTACCATTTTAATTTCAGAAACGTACACCAATCTCCAAAAAGTAGTTTGTGTTAGAATGCGAAGGTGGAAGTGAAAATATGTGAGTTTAGTATGGGTATTTTTGGGTCCAATGTAGTTAGTCTCAGTGTCCTTAGTCTGGGAAGGGGATAAGTCTTTCATCCATGTTTAATAACCTTCCACCTCCCAGCCGGAAATTGTGCTTCTGTTGGACGCCAAGTGAGGATAGGATTGGGCTCAACTAAGACGTGCCTCCATGCTCGATACTGACTACCAGTCATTCCTGCTCAGGAACAGTCCCCTGAGTGAGCTATCAGAGATTTTCAGGCATACAGAAAGGTTCATGCAATGGTTGCAATTCGCAGAGAGAAGGATGAAATTGGGAAGTAGATTGGGAGAGATGCAGAAAGTGATCACAGACTTTCACACTGTTCAGGAGGCATGCAACTCTGCAATTTGTAAGACCATTCTGTCTTACGATTTGAAATGGCACAGGATTGTGCAAATTTCTTCTATTCAATTTCAATCTGAAGCTGTGTTCTTTTAAGAACCATCAAAAAAACAGCTTCCAAAGGAGTTTTCTATAATTCTGCGCAACCTTAAATTTTAAGACAAGATGATCTGACAGGTGGAATTTCAGGTGTTGAATTGGAATTGGTTTCCATTTTCCAGACAAGTTATATTCGTAACCCACTGTAGAGCTAAATATGTCCTTTTGTCTTCCCCTCAGAGAAAGATATTGTTATACCAGTAGGACGAATAGTGACGAGCGTGTTCATTACTGTCTTGCTATGTGCACTAATCCTGGGAGGAGCATTTTATGCTTACCTTAGAATCAAAAAAGGTAAAACAATTCTTTACATGTCTTATAGTAGTATGTGCACTTCAATTATTTCTTTTTCAATAAAACAATTCGCATATTGACTATTTAATCTATATATCATATGTATTTTTATTCTATTATTAATAATAAGACTTGCATTTGATATAACACTTTAACATATGATTGAAACATCTCAAAGAATTTTGCAGAACTTTACTGTAATGTGTATGGTGTTTTTGATGTGGCATCCTCAGAACAAATAAATTCAAGTGTGCTTTTCAATGTTATTTTAGTTCCTCCAAAAGTTACAAATATCACCAAGCCAGCTCACTTTCTACATCATCAAGAAGCTTTCTTGGACTGTGAGATTTCTGGATACAGACCGGACGGTATTAATATTGAATGGCTACTACAAAGAAGGGAATCGAATACAGTCACAATATACAAGTGGTCTGACAAAGAGTCCACAGAGGATGTCAAGAGTTTACTTCTTTCTGACAGTGAGACCTTAGATCAGACTTTCAATATTGTATCATCTATTGAACAACATAGTGATGGGACTTCCAGTGTCACGTGTCATGTTAAATTGCTGCTTGATATTTTTAAGGATGACAAGGCTATTCTCACGCTTCACGTACGTCATGACAGCACAGAAAGCTTTTTTTCTGAAAGTGTCACTCTGAATGTGGAAGGAGGTAAGTAAAAATTACTATTATTACCAGTTATTGGTGAAACCAGTGTCTTATTTGTTGTACTCTGTTTGAGAAGTTAAAATTGATGGCTTTAATAAGACTTTTACAAAAAGGTTTTCAGTGATTTTAGGCCTCGTCATTATTTCAGCATTGTCAATCAAAGCTCTGATAACTCTGATAAGCGAGCTTAATCAACAGAATATCTGGGAAAATATTGGGAAATATGGGAAAAATCTCAGAGCCGAAAATTCCACTGAGCTTTAGCCTATAAGATTGCCCTCAGTTCATGGGTTAAGGAGGGAGAGGTCAACTAGGACCAGCAACCTCTGATTTTCTGTACCTGCAGATTGAAGTGAAGATTTTAAACCAGTGTTTAAAAAGAATTGAGTTCCAAATGTGTTTCAAAGTGTAAGTTTTTTTTTGCCACAACACGTGCAACTTTAATTTTTCTTTCTTACTCGAAGTCCCACCGATGTTGACTGACATTGTGATGCCGCCTCGTGTCATCCACCAAGAAGTCCTGGCTCTGACTTGCCCAATTAATGGATTCAAGCCAAGGCCACTGGCTATCTCCTGGTACAAAAGACATAACAACGAGGAAGTGGAAATTGTGAAGGTTGAACCAGGGAAACTGAGTGAGACGGTTGGAAATGAAATAGAGAGGCCCAAATATGTCCACAATTTGAATGAGTTGAGATATGAAGACGGTACTTACAGTATCACTAGTATTTTAAAGTTTATTCCAACCATAATTGAAGACAACAATTCACAGTACATTTGCAAAATAACACATCCAGCAACAAGTATAACAAGAACCAAAGAAGTCAGCCTAACTGTTAAAGGTACGGTGTGCATTTTCTGACCATTGTGTTTAAAATGAGATGATGATGATAATATTTGTTACATTTGATAATAAATATTTCTTATATTTGATATCGCGTCTTTAACAGCAGGAAGAGTCTCAAAATGCTTCCCAGGATTTACTGGAAGGTGACACTCCAATACAGTACTGCAGGCTGCTGCATTGTCAGAGATGCAATCCTTCAGATAAATATTCAAATGTGGTGCCACCTGCCTGTTCGGGTAGACATTTAAAGATCCTGCGGCACTAATCGAATAGAGAAGGGAGTTTCTCCTGGTGTCCAGGCCAACAATCCCCCAAAATAAAATTGATCATTCACTCCATGGCTGTTTGTGGGGCTTTGCTGTGACGAGATGAGGCACTTTATCAGATGCAAGTATTATTAATATTATTATTATTTTATTTGTCAGCTTTGCCGAACTTTGATGACATTATACTGCATCCAAAGTCCCCCATTGCGGACGAAATCTTGATCGCCACCTGCAGAGTACATTCCTTTTTTCCAAGAAATATTATAATTGTTTGGAGAAAGGATGACGAAATCTTGGCTGAAATGATCCCTGACGCAGAGGTAACCAGCGGGAAAGATAACTTGTTTTACTTTAAGAGCCGTCTGGAATTCGTTGTGGTCAGAGAAGATTTCGGAAAGCACCTGTATTGTGAAATGCGTTCTGATAGTCCTGGAGAGTGTAGAAGAGCTGAGTGTTCGCTCATTCCAATGGGTGAGTACAATGATAGCCACTTATTTACAGCTTAAATGTGAAGAGTGTCAGCCTGGGACTGCTTAAGGATTGCTCTTCAAAAGAGCCAGCATGGACATAATGGGCTGAAATGGCCATCTTCAGTGCTGTAAATTTCTACGTTCCTATTCTTCAGTCAAATAAGATAGTCAGTGGATGGTAAATCATTGTGCAATAACTTCTAAACAAATTACTTATGAGGTTTAGCACAGTTCAATGCATGCCCAATGATTCCTCGTTGCTATTTTGAATTTCTCAGCAACTTTTTTGACAGCTTATTGATGTGAGTACTAACTTTGTTGTCCTTTCTCTGTTGAAACAGTGGCATCTCCAATAATAGAATACCTAAAATCAGAGCCACCTTTCCAGAGCCAGGCAAAGAAGCAACCATCCAAATCCGAGTGCATAAGTATTTTCCAAAGGATGTTGTCTTCTTGTGGTTCAAAAATAATGAGCGAGTGGAGGAGGCTAACATCCAATCCATTGAGCCTCAGGGAAATATAGAGACTGGTCTTTACTACCGCGAGTCCACGTGGAAATTGTTTATAAATCCAGAAGACCATGGAGCTGAGATTAAGATTGAAGTTCTACATTTTCCAACATCGCACACTCCTATAAAAGCCTTCCTCACCCTGCACCTTGGAGGTACCCAATGACTACATATCATTTTGCTTCTATAATGTACTGCTCGTCAGCCATACTGCGCTTCCACCTCTTATATTTATAGCTCCCACCCCACTCTAAGTTATGGATAAGCACCAAATGGGATTGCTGTTGGTTGAGAATGTAAATGAATAGGTTTTGCAAAGAAAACACAGAGTGATACTTTAGATCATCGTAGGGACCAGGCCAAGGGGGCACAGGTTATGGGTTGTGAAGGGCAATTGTAGGGCGGACACACAAAGTGTTTCTTTATACTGAGAGAAATCAACAACTGGGTCACACTCGTTTCTAGTTTTAAGAAGGGTGGTTGAAGCGAACTAATGCATTAAGCACGGTAAGATTGAACTCAAAAGATGGATTGGAATTTTATACATGTGTATTTATATGCCCTAATTTACTCTAACAAAACTTTATGTGATGTACTAAACCTCACATTTGGCAATGTAGGTTTTTGTTGATTACTGCCCGATAACTTTAAGTGCTGTTTCCATTGATTGAATAACAGTAGGAAGACTAGGGAAAGAAGATGGAGAAATGGAGGAGCAGTGGGTCATTTGACTATCTGAGTTACTCTAGATAAACATCTGCAGCCAGAGTTTAAACTGTGGCAAGAACAGTGGAATGACACCTCTTTCCATGGAAATGAGTTCATGAAAGTCGTATTTCAACTTCGTATTGAGTGCAAGGGCATTGCATAAAACCATCCACGGATTAGGAATAATTGACGTTAAAATGGCAATTATTAACAAATTGTGTTCAAAGTGGCCCGAGATGAATGACTTTGGCTGGAACTCTGCACCACAGGGCGGGCCAACAATGAGTGTTATAAGTAGAGAATTAGAGGCTGACTGATTCTGAGTGCAGTTAGGAACAAAAAAGATTTAGAAACATATCCTGGGGATTTGCTATAATCTTTCTTGCTGCATGGTGACAAAAGGTTTGCGAGAACGGTGAGCAAGGAATTACAGTAGCATCTGGTTCTGACTGACTGCAAGCGTGAGTGGTGGGAAGTGATAACCTGGAAGATACAAGACGTTCAGTGCAGATTGATCAAGCTTGTCTGGCGAGATGGGTAATGGGAAAAGGGATTGCATATATCCTGTTGCATCTCTTTTTTCTGTTATGGGTTTGATACTGTGTGAGATAAGCATAAATATATATCTACAAATAGTTATATATTTTGTTTAAAAAAAATAGCATGGCACAGTTTAGCCAAGAATTTGGAACCAGACACAGTAGCATGAGTCTGAAATTTAAGGTTAGATTCATAAATCCACACATACATTTATTACCAAAATCATTTAACCTCTTCTTTTAAGATTTGATGGAAGTGATGTGAAAAACAATTGTCCTTTGAAAATTGCTTTTCACAGTTGGGTCAACTTAAATTGTTCAGTCAGTTCATTTTATGTTCTTTTTCCTTTTCGATTTGATACTTTTTATTTGGTTTCCACTCTCGTCTGGCTCCACTGATTCCCATCCCCCAGAGGATAGAGTTCAAAATCCTCATCCTCACCTTCAAAACCCTCCACGACTTTGCTCCTTCCTACCTCTGCGACCTGCTAACTCCATATCAACTTGTCCATTCCCTCCGCTTAGCAGGCCCCGACTCCATGTTCCCCGCCTGGCCCATCCCATCATTGGCGGTCAGGTCTTCAGCCTCTCTGCCTCCACCCTTTGGAACTCCATCCCACAGTCCACCCCTCCTGATCCCAACCCCCTACTCGGGTCCAAATACCTGACTGTCCAATGCCTTGGGACATCCTCCCCACGTGAAAGGCGCTATACAAATGTAATTTGTGGTTGTTGTACTGTCTTGCAAAATGTTACTGTGGGACAATATTTCTTCATTCATGAGTAGGTGCAATGATTACTTCTAAGGGAAAACAATTATTTCCTTGTGCTTTCTTGAAACAGGAATTCCGAAAATTTCAGACATCGAGTTTGATTCAAACGAGCCGTCCTATGGACAACCTCTGGTCATTAGGTGTTGTGTGACTAATTTTTCTCCAAAAGAAATCGTAACCACTTGGTTACAAGGTAAAACGACCATCTCCGAAGGAGTAAGAAATATAGGGCCTGAGAAGGATGAAAATGGATATTTCCAGCTGACTTCCTTCTTAACGATGACACCAACCGCTTTGGATCACAATACAACAGTTTCCTTTTTAGTCAAACATAAAGCTTTGCAAGAACCTATTCAAAGAGACATTCTCCTTCTCCTTCCAGGTAGGTTCAAACAGGGGTGACAAACAGAGGCCAGTGAACAGTTTTCCCTTGCACCTTCCCTTATTGGTGTACTTGCACCGATGGCGGAGTCTTCATCTACTATGCTCCTAACCTTTGGAGCTTCCTCCTTTTCGTTCGTCTCACCAATTCTCTATAAGTCTTTAAATTCTGCCTAAAAGCCTTCATCATTGACAGTGCATATTCACCCCTCCTTCTCCTTTGCTTGGCATTCAACCCCACCAATATGAAGTGCTACGAGACGTTATCCTATGCCGAGGCTGCTATATAAACTCATGTTGTTGTTGCATTACATATCCATATGCAGAATGCTGCTTGAACCCATGCTCTATCACAAGAAATAAGGGAGGCACGTTCGTGCTTTTTCCACAAATCGTATTGAGATCTTTATTTACTGATGTGTAAATAACGTACACAAACCACTATTTCACTTCATTTTCTTCTGAATGAAGCTGCCCAGCATCTTCACAAGGGTTAACAATATTTTTTTGTTTTTTTACAAAATTCAATTTTGTACCTTTTTTGCTTGCCTGATTTCTATTTCTATTCAAGTTTCTATTTTTCCTGTATCGAAAAATGTTGATAATTGTGTTGGGGTAAATGCACACACTTATTTCTGTTTGTCAGCCTAACTCATTTGGTAGCACTCTCTTGCCTCTGAGTCAGAAGGTTTTGGGTTCAAGTCCCACTTCATGACTTGAAGCTCATAATCTAATCTGAAATCCCAGTGCAGTACTTGGGTTGCACTATATTGTTGGTGCCGTCCTTCGGATGAAACTTTAAACCTCGATCGATTGACCTATCTAAACCTGTCTACCACCCATCAAGGTCCTTGACATTAAAGATCCTGTGGCACTATGTCACATTAAAAAAGAGAAGGGAGCTCCTTTCTGTGTCCTGGCCAACAATCCCTCAGATAAGAATGGGTAATTCATTTCATGGCTGTTTGTGAGACATTACTGTGTGCAAACTGGCTGTCACATTCACCTACAAAAATATAAAGTCAGTCACTACACTGTATAGTGCATTCTGTGAATGCTTTGCGACATCCTCATGACTTGAAATGTGCTATATTAAACACAAGGGTTATTTATTATATTTTATTGCACTCTTTCAGCTTCTGCTCCCACCGTGTCCGAAATGCAATGCAATCCAACAATTCCAGAGGTAAACAAGCAAACGACTTTCAGTGTTTCACTGAGTGACTACGCTCCTGAAGAAATTGAAGTGAAGTGGTTCAAAGGGAAAGTGCCCTACACAGGCCCAGTGACAAACACCAAGGCGCAGATTGCAGAGAATGGACTCTTTGCTTCAGTTACAAAAATCGAATTTGCCCCCGATCCTTCTGATCAGAACACTGATCTCAGATGCGAGGTTACTCATCCTGAATCCACAGCAGTGAAGGAGATAAAGTACCAAATTTCCAGTTGAGGTGAGTTTTGTTTAAGGAGTTCTGTACCTCATTGGTTAGAGCACTCACCTCGCAAGCCAGAGACTTGGGTTCGATTCCCAGCAGGGCGAAACCTTGGGCAAGTTTCCTTACTCCACATGCCTGATAATAATCCCCCAAGAAAAAAAATGATTTGGTCACTCAATCCACGACTGTTTGCGGGACACTGCTGTGCGCAATCGGCTGCTGCGTTTCGCCCACAAAATATACAGTCAATTAACTTAACAGAATATTCTGTGAAGCACTTTGAGACATCTAAGAGACGTGAAAAGTGCTATATCAAATGCAAGGATTATTATCTGTTTGAACCTGACGCTAAAGATCCTGTGACACTGTTTGGATACCAAGCAGAGGAATGATGGGGGAACTGGAAGATGACCAATGGGCTTGGTCAAAGCAATAGATTTTTCATCGACGTTTGAAGCCAGATGGAGGTGGTATGGTGGAGTGGTATATGGAGGGAGTTTGAGATAATGTGGCAATAGTGGTTGAAAGCTTGGCCGCTGATGGTGAGGTGGAGGGTGGCGGGGTAAGTGCAGCAAGCATGTAAGAAACTGGTTTAGATTTAGGTATTGCCTGCGGTTTCCAGTGGGTTTAACAGTGCATTTTGTTCTCTATAAAGGAATGATTGGAGATATAATCCAATCTGCATTTTCCATCCTGTCGCTGAAGCAAACGGAACTTAGTCCGTCGGAACAAAAGAAGACGTTTCTAAAGAGAAGAGCGAAACGTTTTTAAATACAATATACAACACTGTGAGCTGTATAGTGGTCAACTAAGATGATATTTCAATCAGAACAATGCTATTAGTCACTACAAGATTGTGCCTGAACTTTCTCAAATACCTACACAGAATGAAATTTGCTTTCGATAAAGCGGTTGTGTATTTTGCAATAGAATCATGTACATAGAGGCAAAAGGATATTATACTAGAATTTGTAATTAATATAGATAGTTGTCTACTGTTTTTATACTGTACATGCTGTTTGATATATCATGTTTGTTGCTACACAGGATAATGAGAAGAAGACTCTTGAGCCCATTTGATCTCATCCTACCACCCTACTGTCTTTCCATCACGGCATCAGGCTGTGTTTTTAAATGTCCTGGCCTCAACCACCCTTCCTAGTAACCTGTTTCACTCATTAATTACCCTCATTTAACGGTGACCAGAAAAATATACAGTGCTCTAGGTGATGTTAAAAATCTGATGGTGCTATTTGCAAAGAATAGAGAGATTCTCTCAGTATCCTGGCTGACAATCTTCCTGAATAAAATTGGTCACTCACTTCATTTCTGTTTGTGGACATAAGTGTGCACAAATAGATTGCCATATTCACCTACAAACGCTACACTTTTCAGTAAGTCATGTGAAGTGCTTTGGGATGTCCTTCTGACATGAAAGGAGCTACATCACATGCAAGAATTATTATTATAATTCCCTCCATTGATTAAAATGAACTAGACTGCAAGATACAGTGAATGCCCAACAGTTGGGATTTTTTTTTACAACTCTTATGCAGGATAGCATCTCGGAGTGCTTAACAGTGGTGGCTTGACGCTGAGCCAGGGAGAGCGGGGGGTGACAATAGGCATGGCCGAAGAGGAAGGTCTTCAGTTATGATCTGAAGACTGGGATGGAGGAGACAAAGGCGGAGGGATTAAGGCAGAGTTTCATAGTTTTCGTCGGTAGTCGGTGTGTGTCTTGGTTCTGTGAATGTATGTGTGTGTCTCTGTGGGTCTGTGTACGTTGCTGGGACTTGAGAGGCGGGAGGTGGTGAGCTCTGTAGCCCCGTGGTGTAGTTTTTTTTTGGCGGAGCTTTGGGTCTGCATTGGTGACCCTCCCTCACCCCACCCCTCCAAATGGGCCACTCAGTATTTTGGTAAAGAAATTAATAAAAATGTTTTGCAATAATCTAATGTGTTATTTACTCATGTTTATTATCAATAAAGTTAAAAAATGTAGGTTGGCAGTAAAATGTACTTCAATAGCACCAATCAATTCTCTGGAAATTTTCAAATTTCTACACAATTTCTGGCAAATATTTCCACTTTTCTATTAGCCCAGGCTATCAACCATCTTGTTCCTGCACACCCTGTGAGTCGCTCCCTTATTTTCCCCTCGTTCAAGGCATGTCTGAAAACCTTTCCCCTTTGACCGCACAGCATTGCTAAGCGTTTTGACGTTTTGCCCAAGGTGAAGGGAAATGTAAATTGTATTGTATATTCACAGCACTTCTTTGTTGTGCCTTGAACATAACGATTTTTAATACTTTGTTCAGAAACATGCCATTAGTGAAGAAATATTTGTAAATAAATAAGGTGCCAGCCAAGCTCAGTTTCTAACATTCTCGCTTCTGAATGAGAACGTTGTGGTTTCAAGCTTACGTTGGGTTTATTGGGAGATGCCATCCCTCAGATGAGACATTAAAATAAAGGTCCTGTTTATTTGTTCAGATGGATATTAAGATCCCATGGCACAATTTGAAAAAGGAGTTTCTCCTGGTGCTTTGGTCAACAATCCCCCAGTAAAATTGGGATCAGGGAGGGTGGAGAGCAGGGGGTAAGAAGGATGACTGAAGGCACAGTCAAAGAGGAGGGTCTTCAGACGGGTCTTTGAAGGAGGTAAAGGAGGGGGTGAAGCAGAGGGACTGTGGGATGGAGTTCCAGAGGGTGGGGGCAGAGTGGTTGAAGGCTCACCCACTAATGGTGGCGGGGGCAAGGGACATGAAACAAACGAGCCCACTGAGTGGAGGGAGAAGGTAGGTTGGTAGGGGGTTAGAAAGTCACAGATAGGGAAGAGCAAGGCCATGGAGGGCTTTGAAGGTGAGGACCAGGTTACTGAACTGTATCCTCTGTGTGATGGGAAGTCAGTGGAATCTGGGTGAGGATGGGGGCAATAGGGTCACGGAGCCTGGTACAGGAGAGGACATGGGCTAGAGTTCTGAATGATGTGCAGCCTATGGAAGGAGGAGTTGAGGAGGCCGACAACAGGGAGTTTACGTAATTGAGCCTGGAATATTATGAATGTGTGCACGAGGGTCTCGTGAGATGAAAAAGCAATTGAGAAAGACTTTGAAACAGGATCCCCAAATTAGAGATGAAAAGAGCAATTAAGAAAGGGCAGTGCAAAAGTAAAGTTGTCTGATCTCTCAAAACAAAGGTTTTTCTGTAAACTGAATGTAATCTCAAAGGGCAGGAGAGTCACATCTACAATTTGTTTGAAAAACAAGGCGAGGCAGACGGTAAACTAATTTCAATCAGAATTTTGAAATCAGCACAGCTAAGTCATTTACAACCTGATTATAATCAATAGTTTCACAGTACAGTACTTATTACAGGACAAAGTCCAATGTTCAGGTGTGGAGCAAAAGCAGCGAAAAGCCAAGGTGGGGCCGATCTCCTGTCCCACTTACAGAAGAAAATTTAACATGGTGGCCCAGTTGCTCACTTGCTTAAATTGTCGTTCACTCTATATTTCCAAGATATTATGCATCACAAACTGGTCACATTTTCAAACTAAAACTAGGCTGCTGATTGCCCCTCCTAACAAACTAGCACTTGGCAGTGAAGAGGATTTCGGCTTAGCCATTCTTGACAAGCTGCCAAAACCAGCAGCCACGGGGCAGGAGATGGAGCCTCGCAAGTGAACTGTGCAGAATGTCTCTCCGCTGTCCCCAGTAGGCAGAATTTTGGTATCCACCCATGGCCTCTAACTTTCTTCTCATAGAATCATAATAATAATAATAATAATAATCCTTGCATTTGATATAGCGCCTTTTCACGTCTTCGAGACGTCTCAAAGCGCTTCACAGAATATACTGTAAAGTGAATTGACTGTATATTTCTGGGCGAAATGCGGCAGCCGATTGCGCACAGCGGTGTCCCGCAAACAGTCGTGGATTGAAGCGACCAATTTTATATATCCTTTTTCTTGTGGGATTATTATCAGGCGTGTGGAGTAAGGAAACTTGCCCAAGGTTTCGCCCTCTGCCGGGAATCCAACCCTGGTCTCTCGCTTGCGAGGCGAGCGCTCCGACCACTGAGCTACAGGACTCCATAAAGCACAGAAGGAGGCCATTCGGCCCGTTCTGTCTGCCGGCTCTTTTGAAAGAGCTGTCCAAGTCAATCCCACTCCCCCGCGCTCTCCCCAGAGCCCTGCAAAATTATTCTCCCCAACACGCTCTGTGGGCGACGGCCTGAGACGTCCCGAAGACGTAATAAAGACCAATACCAAATGCCCCCTCACCCCCTCCCGCATGGTCCTCTCCCTCCCCTTTGTTGATCTCTCCCCCCTTCCCCCCCACCTGTGCCCCTCTCCTGCGCCCCTCTAACCCCCTCCTGTGCCCCCCTCCCCCTTCCTGTGCCCCCCTCCCCCTTCCTGTGCCCCCCTCCTGTGCCCCCCTCCCCCTTCCTGTGCCCCCCTCTCCCCCTTCCTGTGCCCCCCTCTCCCCCTCCTGTGCCCCCCTCTCCCTCCCTCCTGTGCCCCCCTCTCCCTCCCATGCCCCCTTCTTCCCCCCTTTCCCCCCCCTCCCGGTTTCTCTCTCTCCCTCTGTACCCCTCACCTCGCTATGCCCCTCTCCCCCCTTTGCTCCCCTCCCTCCCATGCCACCCCCCCCACCCCCCTTTGCCCCACTCCCCCCTCTTTCCCCCTTCCTGTGCCACCCTCTCCCCCCCACCATTCCCACCCTTGTTCCTGTCTCTCCCCTGTACCCCTCTCCCCCCCTCCCATGGCCCCCTCTCCACACTTCGCCCCCAAACCCCCTTTGCCCCTCTCCCCCCCCCGGCACGTGGTGATAGTGAAAGTGAAACTCAGGTCGGGGCGCGGCTGCAGCTCAGGCCGCGGAGAGAGGGAGAGGGAGAGCGCCAGAGGCCTCTCCGACCCCACACCCCCCACACCGGATCAGACCCTCACCCCAACCTCGAGGACCATGTCGGGGCAGCGCCTGGGCCTGGGCCTGGGTCTGGCCGCGCTGCTGCTGCTCCTGTCACCGCCGCCGCGAGGTACAGTCCCGGGGCCCCGGGGGGGGGGGGGGGAGGCCTCGGCTCTTCACTGTCTCATGAGGCCGTCACCCGGAGCATCGCTGGGGTCCGGGATGGGGGGCGCGGGGGGTATGTCACGTGAGAGCGGGAAGAGGTGGAGGTCTTGAACCCAAATATTCAGTAAATGTTGACCCACCACTGTCTTCCCCCCCCCCCCCACCCCCCAGGGTACAGGGTGTCTAAACCCCCCCCCACCCCCCAGGGTACAGGGTGTCTAAACCCCCCCCCACCCCCCAGGGTACAGGGTGTCTAAACCCCCCCCCACCCCCCAGGGTACAGGGTGTCTAAACCCCCCCCCACCCCCCAGGGTACAGGGTGTCTAAACCCCCCCCACCCCCCAGGGTACAGGGTGTCTAAACCCCCCCCACCCCCCAGGGTACAGGGTGTCTAAACCCCCCCCCACCCCCCAGGGTACAGGGTGTCTAAACCCCCCCCCACCCCCCAGGGTACAGGGTGTCTAAACCCCCCCCCACCCCCCAGGGTACAGGGTGTCTAAACCCCCCCCCACCCCCCAGGGTACAGGGTGTCTAAACCCCCCCCCACCCCCCAGGGTACAGGGTGTCTAAACCCCCCCCACCCCCCAGGGTACAGGGTGTCTAAACCCCCCCCACCCCCCAGGGTACAGGGTGTCTAAACCCCCCCCACCCCCCAGGGTACAGGGTGTCTATTCCCCCCTTAGGATACAGGGTGTCTATTCCCCCTTTAGGGTACAGGGTGTCTATTCCCCCCCCCCCCCAGGGTACAGGGTGTCTATTCCCCCCCCAGGGTACAGGGTGTCTAACCCCCCCCCCCCCCAGGGTACAGGGTGTCTAAGCCCCCCCCACCTCTTAGAGTACAGGGTGTCTATTCCCCCCCCCCCCCCCGCCCTACCAGGGTACAGGGTGTCTATTCCCCCCCCCCCAGGGTACAGGGTGTCTAACCCCCCCCCCTTAGGTACAGGGTGTCTATCCCCCTTCCCCCCCCCCCCTAGGGTTCAGGGTGTCTATTCCCCCCTTAGGGTACAGGGTGTCCATTTCCCCCTTAGGGTACAGGGTGTCTATTCCCCCCTTAGGGTACAGGGTGTCCATTTCCCCCCCCCACCCCAGTACAAGTGACACCTATTATAACAATAATAATCCTTGGATTTGATACAGCGCCTCGTCACGTCTTCGAGGCGCCTGAAAGCGCTTCACAGGACACACTGTAAAGGATTTTGAGGGCGAAATTTGGAGTTTCTATTTTGCTTCCAATTGTGCTCGTCTTCAAGTGACGGAATAGATCACGTTGTGACACGCGTAGTCTTTTTGGTCTGTGTTTCCGAGAGGGGCAATGGAGGAATTATTCGCTTGTTAACAGTTTAGGTGGGTCAAATGTATTTACGTTTCTTTTCCTGAATAATACTGAATTGCCTTTATTTATATCGACAGCCGCAAGGATGACATTGAGAACGAGTCCTGCTGAATGTTTGGTAAATGAAGACGTATCCCTACAGTGTGAAATTGCTGACCTGACGGGCATTACGTTGGACAAAAACCACCTTGGAGTTCTGTGGTCCTTCACTGATGATATTTTTAAGTATATTAACGGAGCCTTATTCAAATTGGGGAAAGGCGTTGAGCTGCTGGAATCTTCCATCCTAAAAGGGAACATGTCGCTGTTGTTGAAAAACGTGACGATGAAACAAATGGGAGAATATAAGTGCACAGTATTTGTGCCCCCAAATGAGCAAGCTACTGGCACTGTACGTCTTGAAGTTTTAGGTAAGCTGCTGGTGATTGATGCAAACATTACTTAAGAATCCTATAACCTTGGTTTTGATATACCACCTTTCCCATTGGGAGGATTTCTCAAAGCGCTTGTAGCTTGTAAAAAGGAATGCTAAATGTTTGTTTTGTATACAATAATAATAATCCTTGCATTTGGTGTAGCGCCTTGTCACTTTGATTCATAATTTTAACTGTAAAGTGATAGTGTATTTGTAGGTATTTATGTTACACTACAACACCTGTGTTTGTTCTGGCAGCACGGCCCTCAGTGATTGTGGTTTCAGAAGAAACGGTGGAATTCGGCCTTGGAGGAGAGATGACCTTGGATTGTCAGCTAAATGGATTTTATCCTTGCGAAGCCAGTGCTGAGTGGTTTCAGAAGATGCGACAAGGAGAAAAGAAGCAGTTAACAGATATATGCATTAGCCAAAGAGTCATTGACACTGATGGACTGTGCAATATGTCCATTCAGGTTCGACTGTTACCTGTCAAAGAAGATATTGGCAGCACTTTCGAATGTGAAGCAAAACACAAGACGTTTAAAAAGCCATTCTCCGTGGAAGCTCATGTTACTTTGAAAGGTCAGTTGCAGTGGTCTTTGTTGTTTATTAAAATGGCAAACATAACCTCTGATTCAAAACGTAGGTGGAAAGGTGACGAGGTACAAATCGGAGAGATTTTTTTAAAAAGGGTTTTGAAGATAGGGCTAAGGCGTGGACTTCTAGATGAAATTCTAAGATTGAGATTGAGATGAGGGATTTTGGGAGGGAGTTTCAGAGAACGGAAGCATAGTTTGTTCAAGCTTGGCCACTGATGGTGGGGAAGCCAGACATGCCAGAGGACTCAGTTTGTGGAGTGGGCAGGAGAGTGAGGCTGGAGGAAATTGGAGAAGTTTGAATGTGACAAAGGTGTGGAGGGATTTACCAATGTCAGGATCTTGAAGTTGATCTGATGAGGGTACAGGGAACAGTGGAGCTAGGCAAGGATGAGGGTGTTGGTTAACACACAGATCCTTGTGTGGGAGAGGATGTGCGATAAACTGTGCTACCTACTGTTCAGCAGAAACAGCCACATTAAGTTGCAAGGCCATAGACCTGCGAGGCACTTGTTTTAACACAGGTGAAAATTCTCAACCAAGATGAAGTATTGAGAAAGTATGCTTGAAATATCCTTACTGGGTAATGACACAGCCCATTTTCTCCAGAAAATTCCATGTTGTTCTGCAAAATGTACGATACTGATAGGTCTGATCTTTGTTGGTCTCCCTGATTAAGTATTAGGCACTTGTTATTCTCTGCTGTAGCATTCTGAGCAATTGAAAACCAAAGTTAATTTGAAAAGTATTTTAACAAAATGTTATTTATTTTTGTTCACAGAGGCAGAAATTCGTATTTCTCAAGGATCGGTCGTTGCAAGTATCGTCATGAGCATTATATTCACTGTTGCAGCAATAATATTTGGGATCTATGCTTACATGAAGTACTTTTATAAAGGTAATCATTTGGAAATTTTGTGTGCTACTAATAGGGAATATATCTGTGGTAAGGTGACCCTGCGCAAACTAGCAGTTTAAGGGGGTGAAAGCTCCTCTGTCCAGTAGTTATGTAGATTTTCTTATGTATCTTGTATGGAACAGACATGTTGTAGTTGCTTGATTATCTCTTTTTCCCTCCACTCTAACTTATTCATAGACACTTTTGTTTGGCCAGTTAAGTGTCGACTCCCCTTGTCATCCCATCATGTGTGTCCTGTCTGTACTAAAGAGCAATCCTTTCAGTCCCATTTATCTGCCCTTTCTCCATACCTCTCCTTTTTAGGTATGAATCTAGTTCCCTCTCTCAAGCTAATATTAAGAGGGTATCAGATGCGAATGGAGCTGCTCATAAAAATATAATAATCCTTGCATTTGATATAGCGCTTTTCACGACTTCTAGATAATAATAATAATAATCCTTGCATTTGATATAGCGCTTTTCACGTCGGGAGGACGTCCCAAAGCGCTTCACAGAACACACTGTAAAGTAAATTGACTGTATATTTGTGGGCGAACGCGGCAGCCAATTGCGCACAGCAATGTCCCACAAACAGTCGTAGCTTGAAAATGACCAATTTATTATTGTTTTTGGTTTTGGAGGGATTATTATTAGGCTCTGTGTGGAGTAAGGAAACTTGCCCAAGGTTTCGCCCTGACCTGCCTGGAATTGAACTCAGGTCTCTCGCTTGCAAAGCGAGTGCTCTAACCACTGAGCTACAGGACTCCACATGTCTCAAAGCGCTTCACAGAATATACTGTAAAGTGAATTGGTTGTATATTTGTGGGAGAAACACGGAAGCCAATTGCGCACAGCAGCGTCCCACAAACAGTCGTGGATTGAAGATGTTAGAGAAACGCAATTTGAAATGTTCTCGGCTTTGACTTATTTCGTTTTATTCTCAGTTCCACCAAAAATTTCAGGTATCAAAATACCCGCTCGTATTGTACACCGAGAATTGGCTGAATTAATGTGCCACGTCTCTGGATTCCAACCCGAAGCTATTTCTATTTTCTGGTACCTGAAGAACATGAAGGAAGGGCAGAATAAATTGATTGGGCAATATGTTAAAAGTCAAATGCAAAGTTTACCTTTTGGTGGTAAAAAGAACAAAAACCCAGACTCTGAGATCGCAATCTACGAGAATCTTCATCAGTGGGAAGTCAAAACAGCCAATGTTTATAAAAATAAAGATGGAACATTCAGTCTCTCCAGCATTCTTTGTATCTTTCCTGACATAAATGAGCACAACCAAGCCAAAATCATGTGCGAAGTGATCCATCCATCTGGCAAAGGAGTCATCAAAACCCTCTCTTTAGATGTTACTGGAAGTAAGTGAACAAATGTCAATTAATAGTAACTTCTATTACGCGTAGCTGCTGTGAAATTTTTTGCTTGGAGCACACATGTCTCCAATTTGTGCCCATTGTAATTATAGTCGCAAGTTGCTATGGCAATGCCTTCTCAAACCTCATCGTTTATGGGCGATCTAAATCTGTACCGAAGATCCATGATTTTGAATTCTTGGGTTAATGTCTTGTTGAATTCTCTCCACCATCTTTTCCCCAATTACTTTCTGGTGAATAAAACAGCACATCCATACAGTTCACTCAGATGCTGCACTCCAGCATCTGATTACACTGGTTTCTGGATCTAATCTGTTAGTCAGATACCAAATCTGTATCCTTAAATCCAGTCCAGGAGTGTTTGAGATGTGCCTGAAAATCTTTCATTTGGAAATTGCACAGCATTGTGACAAATCTTTAAATTTGGTCTTAATTTGGAAACTGCAGTTTATATATTTTAAAAAAACTTCCAAATTAAAAGTAAATTTTCTACAATTCCATGCAGCCTTAAGCCCAAATTCACACTGTAATAAACAGTAGTATCAACTATCTCTGGTTCCTTGGTTTGATTGTTTTACCAAATCCCAAGTTAGTAATTCATGATACATTGTAGAAAAATAATGTGTTCTCTATCAACAAATGATATTACTATCAAGTGACTATTTACCTTCACAGCTAATGTGGGATTCCAACCAAAGTAATGTTTTTTTTTTCTTTCCCTTTAGTTCCTCCGAAATTGGATGAAATAATTCAACCTCCTATTGTGCTTCATAACAATTCAGTCATGTTGACGTGTCCCATTAATTTTTTCAAACCAAGTCACTTGGTTATCAAGTGGTACAAAATAAAGGATGATGGGGAGAAGCGTCCCATAGTAAAATGTATTAATGGAGTTGATGAAAGCTGGTGTGCAGCAGAGTTTTCCCATAGTCTGAGTGAATTCAGTTATCCTGACCACACTCAGAGTGTTCGCAGTATGCTGCTATTCAATGCAACAATTGAAGAAACTGAAAACAGTCAGTACTTTTGTGAAGTTCAGCATATTGCCTTGCAGAACCCAGTTGAGAAATTTGTCAAACTGCAAGTTAAAGGTAATTCTTTTACATTCACCTACAAATAAGCAGTCACTACACTTTACGTAAAAGCACATTGATACGTTTCAACGGCTGATAAGATGCTTTATCAAATGCAAGGATTACTGTATGAAATATGTTGGAAGCAGTTATAAGCTGTTCATTTTCTTTTCCAGCTTTTCCAATCCTGAATACCATTGTGAGTGACCCACCAAACTCTGTAGTTGGAGAGAAACTGACTTTGTCCTGCAAAGTGCATTCATTTTATCCGAAAGAAATAGTGGTTCGTTGGTTTAAAGACAAGGATCTTATTGAAACCGATGAGGTGCTGAAGATAACTCAAGGTTCTCTTGAGAAAAACGTGTTTGAACTGACCAGTCAATATGCATTTACTGTGTCGCTCTTAGACCTGAAATGTGTGTACAAATGTGAGGTTAATCATGAGAGTCTTATGTATCCAAGAGTCGAAGAATACATTCCTGAAAACCTGGGTATGTTTGAAGTTTTTTTCTGCCAAGTAATTTTGTGAAGCACATATTCCAGAAGAATACATTTGTTTTTTGTTTCAATTATTGATACTTATTGAATTAATTTGGATGAACATATATGTTGGGATGAAGATTGAGAGTTTTCACCTATTTTGTGCTTTTCAGTTGATTTGAAACCGTAATCGTACCTTACATTTTTTCTTCCACTTTCTCTGTATTTCAGTGGCTTTCCCAAAGGTATCAGAAGTGTTGAGCGACCCTTCCATCCCTGAAATCGGAAAGGAATTGACTTTAACCTGCACGATAAAAGAGTTTTATCCAAAAGACATTCAGGTCGAGTGGTTCAGAGACAATGTGGCAATGGAAATGAATGGGAAGTACGGAACAATTACGAAAGAATCATCCAGTGAATATGGTCTGAACTGTATAGTTACCACAGTCACCCTTACTCCAACCACTGATGACCATCAAGCCAAATACACAGTAGAAATTTGCCATTCAAAATCATCAACCAAACCTTACAGGCATACTTATCAACTGTTGATTAAAGGTAACTTGAACAATATTTAATTGCAGGACATTACAAATGTCCATCAATACGTAAGGAAATGAGGTGGGAACTATGAGCAATGTAGGGGATGAGAGTAATCCCAAAAATTATGCTAGACCAATAGGTATGCTGTTACTATACCATGTTGCTTTTGAAGTGGTAACTTTAATAAACCATTTGAAGTAAAACTGGACAATCCAGGACAAATGATGGTATACAGTATATATATTAGTCTGTGCTCAGGGAAAATCGAAGTCCAATTGTCCCCAGAAAATATAACTTTTACCATTAGACTGATGCTAAGTCTTTATTAATCTTCATCGCTCTGCTTCCCTTTTTCCAAAGTTCTAAAGGCGAACAACAAAGAAGAAATTCAAAGGACAGTCTTTACCGATTTTTTTGCTATTCTGTTTGTGTTTAAAGGTAGCAAAAGAAACACAAGACTGTACTGGCACCTTTCTTTCCTCCTCGCGCCCCCCCCACCCTCAAAATAAATTGTACCTGAAGCTAGTGTTTTATGTAAGATAATGTGCCCGTGAAAAAGATGCTTAATTCTTTGTGTTCCCAGCTCTCTTTGCCATGATTTGCTGGTTTAACACAAGCTTTATTCAAATAGAAATTGTGTCTCTTGCACTGGTTAGTGCTTGTTCATGTTATCAGAAACCATGGAGAGTTAACAATTTGTGTAGACATGACATATCTAGACAGTTTAATAAAATAGATTCATCAGGACTTATTCATATTTGTACCTATTAAGAATTTTTCTAATCTTGTTACAGGTTCTCCCAGATTTTCAGAATTCGTACTGGAACCAAAGATTCTTAAGTTTGGTAAACACTTAACTGTGTCCCAAACAATGAATGGCCTTTGTCATAAAGATTTTAGTATTGAGTGGTACAAAGGGGACAATCGTGTTACTGAAGGAGTTGTGAATTCCAGTCTAACTCAGGAACTTCAAAACACTTACAGCATGATAAGTTGTTTGAAATTCCTCCTGACTGCAGACGACTTTGAAAAAGATTTAATTTTTCATTACAAAGAAAATAACAAAACAGACGTGTTCAAAAGACGTTGTCATTTGCCTCTAAAACGTGAGTATATTCTGAGCATTTAATATATTTCTGAAATCTTGCAACAAATTTTCACATTACTGACCTTTTTTGGACTTAATAGTGTTCATTGCATGGGTAGAAGGTCTTATTTAGCATGAGACTGATGCACTTTTGCATTTTATTGTTGGATTGTCAGTCTTTTCCGTTGAAGCATATTATTAATGATAAGACATTACCTCCATTTATGCAGTGCAATCTCCAGCATTGTTTTGGAATGTCAGCCTGGACTGGCTTGAACTCACTACTTCTGGCTCGGAGGCAAGTGAGTAGCACTGAGCCAGCCTGACACATAACATCTTGTTAAAGTTCAGAACAGTTTTATTCCTTCTCGTTAATTGTGTCATCATGTGGTTGCTATCGTGGATCTTACATTAAGCATTGCTTCTGTGTTTTCAGGTGTACCTCCTAAGGTGTCAGAAATCATACACAAACCTGATCGACCCAAAATTGGTGAAACATTAACATTGTCTTGCACGGTTGATGACTTTTGCCCAGGGGACATTGCCATTCTGTGGAGTAAGGGATGGACGGATTTTGCCGAAGAACAATTTGTACAGGTGCCCCGCATTGGTGAAAATGGACTTTACTCTACATTTACACAGCTAGAAGTTGAGCTGAAACCAGATGATGAACCAGAGGAATTTAGTTGTGAAATTCGACATGCAAAAACAAATGATGTTGTGGAGAAGTTTACCAGCCTGTTGGTTTAGGTATGTCCTCTTCTTACTTAGAAAATTTCCACGATACACTTGTTATATTTCTAGTGATTGGGAGACATCTGGAAACAGATGGGTGAGTGCTCCAACGGATATAAAATCTCTATAACTGGACTATTTCTTTGGTGTGTGGAGCAGAGCAAGGGCTCAAAATGTGGGAATCCATGAATGGATAAGGTGTGTTTTGAGATGATTTTTAATGAAAAATGTAAATAAATATAAAGTTCAGAAGACGTAAATGGATTTATTTTAATTTTATTACACAGACTGTTTCCATCGGTGAGTGCCACATAAGCAACACTGAGATAAAATGGAATGGCTGAAAAAAATTGGACAATCTGTGCGTGAACCTTGATAGTGATGACTTTGGCTTTTGATATGGTGTCTGATCTCGTATTGATTGCATTAAATGTATTGCACCAATGGGTATGAGGGTTAGGATTTTTAGTATATCATAGAATCATGGAATTATACAGCACAGAAGGAGGCCCTTCGGCCCATCACGTCTGTGCCGGCTTTTAAAAGACCTATCCAAATCAATCCCACTGCCCTTTCCCCATAGCCCTGCAAACTTGTCCTCCCCAAATAATTATCTGAAGTCAATATATACTTTGTGAAACAGTACTGCTTATATTATGAAAAATGTTCCAGTCATTTACCACAACTGGACGATGTACAATGAGGTTTATATAAAAGTGGAGAGGCTTTTTTCAAATAACAAAAAGACATTTCTTTCAAGAAAAATGCCTTGCAGAATAATAATAATAATAATAATCCTTGCATTTGATATAGCGCTTTTCACGTCGGGAGGACGTCCCAAAGCGCTTCACAGAACACACTGTAAAGTGAACTGACTGTATATTTGTGGGCGAACACGGCAGCCAATTGCGCACAGCAATGTCCCACAAACAGTCGTAGATTAAAAATAACCAATTTTATTATTGTTTTTGGTTTTGGAGGGATTATTATTAGACGTGTGGAGTAAGGAAACTTGCCCAAGGTTTCGCCCTCTGCCTGGAATTGAACTCAGGTCTCTCGCTTGCAAAGCGAGTGCTCTGACCACTGAGCTACAGGACTCCACAATTGAGATTATTTAGAAATGAAGTGAATGTAATGCAGCCAAACAGGGCAGCTAATTTGTACAACAATGAGATGAGTAACCAATTAATTTGAATGGGGTAGGGGATTTTGATAATCAGGAAAGAGTCTCCATGTTTCTTTAAAGTTGTTTTATTGGATTGGGGAGAGATATTCACAAGATCGGTTTGGATAACGATGGCCCTTGGCCTCTGGTTCTTCCACAACACCCACCCAACTGTTCCCCCTCTGGACAGCACCAAACTGCTTTTTAAATGAGTTTAATGTCTCAATCACCCTTCTTGCCAACCATTTCCAGTCATAAATAACAGTGGTCTGGGCAGTTTATTTAAATCTGTAGTTAAATGAAGGGTAGTGTAAAGAATTGAAGAAGGGAGAAAAGAGAATGTGGAAAACAGAGAGATGAGGAGTTTTGGTCCAAAGTGACGGCCAATTTGTGAACTCAGAGAGAATTAGAAACTTCAGATCAAGTACCCTCTCTCTATAAAATTTTAACACTCTGAGTCATGCACACATAGTTCCTTTAACACCAAATGTTTCTTACCCCACCCACACCTACAAGCGAAACTTTGACAGAAAAAATATTGTATTCTCAGCTCACAGTGTTGGCATTGAATGTTTACTCTTGCTCTTTGCCAAATCACCTATGACTCGCACTTTGAAACTACACAACTGGTCAAAAGAAAGCGACTCAGACAATACTGAGATATGTTTGGTATTTTAAGAAATCATTTTAGAATAGAAGCCTACTTTAGAGATTCAAACTGCAAGCCAAAAAATATCTTGAAGCTGTACAAAAAAAGGATGGTGTGTCTACACACGGTGCTAATGAGATGGACATATGTTTGCACTACATTTTTAATAATGTGCCTTATTTTCTTTTCAATATTCATTGTTTTGTAAAGGTAATGTACATTTGTAAATATTTTAAATACTTTTGTAAAACTGTGACTACATTGTACTAGGTCAAATGAACTAACATTTGATGAAAAAGAATGAAAATGTTATCACATAATCAATGTGTGCACTAATGAACTTGTGTAAATTTCCTTTCGAATGGAGTTTAATTAAATGCATGGCTCAAAACATTTTTATATTTTTATAATATGTTTAATTGTACCATGCTAAATAAATATACAGAGCATTGTGTTCCATGTGTTGCTTGAATTATAACAAAAACACTAAATTCATGGAGAAGAACTTCATTTAAAACCATAAATATTTCCAAAAGGCTGAATGTCCTGTGCAGAACAGAGTACTTTTTATTGCACCTTATTCGGTCAATGTCTCAAAGGGCTTTATAGTAACTGGTGCTGTGCATTTTCATTGACAAATGCAGCAACTGTTTACACAACTGAGGTCCCACAATCAGCCTTGAGCAGAATGAACAATTAATCTGGACAAAGGGGGAAACACATTTTATTTAGCTTGTGTCAGCCTGGCTCAGTGGTAGCACTCCTGCCTCTGAATCAGACGTTTGTGGGTTCAAAACCTACATTGCTGCGCTGAATTGTACTACCGCACTAGCCCACAGATACACAGTCCCTCCCTCCATTTCACAGTAACTCCTGTGAAGCGTTTTGAGACACCTGAGCCAGGCAGGTCTGCAAGTACTCCAGGGCACCGCTAATGACAGCACAGTCTTGCTCATTAGTAGGACTTCGAAGGGCAGACAAGTGGTATAAACTTTTCCTGCTCAGCCCTCATTAACCCTGCTAGCCAAAGCCCTAATGGTTAGGGTGGTCGTAGCTGGACAAGCAGCCTGAAAGCTTGCCAGACGATAATAATAATAATTATTGCATTTGATATAGCGCTTTTCACGTCGGGAGGACGTCCCAAAGCGCTTCACAGAACACACTGTAAAGTGAATTGACTGTATATTTGTGGGCGAACGCGGCAGCCAATTGCCCACAGCAATGTCCCACAAACAGTCGTAGATTGAAAATGACCAATTTATTATTGTTTTCGGTTTTGGAGGGATTATTATTAGGCGTGTGGAATAAGGAAACTTGCCCAATGCTCTCAATGGCTAGCTATAAATGCAGCTTTAGCTGGTTAGACTCCAGCAGTACCCTAATGGATACTCTGGAATCCCCAAGCTTTGGCTCTTTCCTTTCTGCACCTGATGCTCTCTGGAATTAGGTAAACAAAATGAATCACTCCAGAGATATATCACACATTCCATTCCAATAAATATCTCTGGAATTTCCATGTGTAGATGGATGAAACTATGTTCAGTTTGGAAACTCTTAAGCACAGTGATGGGTTTGTGCATGGATCAGACACCCTGCTGACCAAAAACAGTGCATCTGACGTTGCTGTGCTTCCTCCATCCTCTCCAAAAATTGCTGCTATGATCTCAAATTCTCTGTCTAAAGCTTAGCAGTACAAGTAAACAAAAGACTCACATTTGGTTTACTTGTTTACACTGATACATTTCTCCCTGCCGGGACTCTAATCCACCTACAGCAGTATTAAAGCAAAGACGATTTATATCTGGTTGACACCTGAGATCTGACCCCACATCAGTTGTGTTCAAGAAGTAAACAGCGTAGTAATGGCAACACTACACTGGATGCTATGATCTCAAATTCCAGCAGGAGGATTGAACCCATAACTCCATTGATCCAGAGATCAATTATACTAGCCAACATGTGCTAGTTGCTAAATTTAGGTCTTGGGACATCGCTATTCAAATGTAGTTCGTTAATATTATTATTATTGGCTGTTGTTCTTTTGGCATAAATAACTAATCTTATAGAAGCTCCCTCGCACATGGCCTGGGGGGAATGGAGGATGGGAGAAGGGGGGGAGATGATCATAGGCGCAGTGGAAGAGGTAGGTTTTCAGGTGAATAATGAGGGGTAAAGCAGAGTTGATGAGTTTGCAGAGGTTCGGACCCATGAAAGTGCTGATAACTGGACTATCGTAAATTAACTCTCATTTGCAACTGATTTGGGAAATGCTTTTTACAGCAGGTTTGAATCCATATATTGTGAACCCATCAATTGCTAAAGTATTAATATTGCGTGGAAATGGTGCGGGACGCAATTTGCACATGGTGTGATTTCTGTTTGCATCTAATTTCGAACGAGTTGCAGGTGTTCCGTCCACAAACACTTAACAAGCTGGAGCTGTGAGCAATCTGTGAAAGATCTGCAGTTTGTTTTCGACGTGGGGAAGGAACGAAGAGGGTCTTGATATGTGCCCCATGGGGGAGTTTAAAGCTGTGTTACCTCCTGCAAAACAAGGATCTTCGCCACTTCGTGAACCCGATGTAAGTGTTTTAACATCACCTCACGGTTTTACACACCAAACACAACTGACGCGGTCCCAGGTCTCAGGTGTCAACCACATGTAAATCATGTTTGCTTTTGCACTGGGGTTGGTTTGGAGCGTTGATCTGGTGAAATGTATCACCAGTGTTAGCCCAAGGTGATTGTTTTATCTACCTGTCCTGCCGTGCTTTGGAGAGACAGACGTGCAGGAAAATTGCCCTTTTTAATGACATGCAATGGAAGATTAAGCTGCAGGAGTTGAAATTTGACCTTGGCAGGTGTGTTTAGCCCTTTGTACTTTGGTAGACTTTTGCAGTACGGTACCAACGTTAGTTCAACAAGAAGCATATTAATTGCCTTCATGCAGTGCGTGCAATTGCAATAAAATACTCCCCCCATACCCTTCTAACCGGCATTTGATTGCCAAACAGCTCGTTGAGACATGCTTTGCCTTAGCTTTCTCTCCTCCCACCAGCACCATTTTGTATGTAAGGAAATTCAGAGCGTTTTAATCATTTACAGTGGAGTCTGTAACAAAATGCTTCCTTTGGATCTTGAGAAACCAATGGTTGGCTTAATCCCAACTGAAGAGCCACTCTGGAACAGTGTACCTAAGGCTACTTGACCAACGTTGTAATGTAATGGGTCTTGATGTAAAGATCTGACTACAGTACACATTCCTTGACTTGCATTAAGAGGAATAAGTGTTGTGTTTCCTGTGATATTTCGCTAAATGAACGAGTGGTGTTATCGTACAAGTCAGCAGGGACTTATCATGACCAGGAACTTGTCAATCAAGTGCTTGTTATTCTGCTCCCCAGAGAGCGAGAATCAGGGAATAGGCTCTGTGGTTATGTTGGTTTCAACAAATTAAAAAGTCTGGTCTGTGCATTTCCCAGAAATTTCTTTCTCTGTGACTGTGTCGTGTTTCCCGTACACCTCACCCTTAACATTGCGGTTAGACTTCCAACTGTGCACTCAGTGAATCGTGTGTATTGGACTGTATGTTTGCGCCATCCAGTGGGCAATTGGGCGCTGCAGGAACACCTCGTTTGATAATAATAATAATCATCTTTGTATGTAATGTAGAACCTGGTCACGCCGTCGAGATGTCTCCAAGTGCTTTTCAGGATATACTTTCGCCCGCAAAATATACAGTCAATTCACTTTATTGTGTATTCTGTGGAGCGCTTTAAGGGCTCCTGGATGCTACCCTGCATGTAGGATGCTTTATAAATGCAAGTTGTTGTTGTCTCCAAGAGGTGATAAGGCGCTATGTCAAAACACCAGGATTATTATTACTGTAAAGTAGATTGACTGTGTATTTTATGGGCAAAATGTGCTGTTGGATGTTATCTAAGCTGGAGTTAGAGTTGCCGTGTGGCCAAAATTGTGTTTTAACGGATTTGATATGAAATGAATTTTGCACTTTTCACCCCTATATCGGATATGAAGGTGGTATAGCCATGATCTATACTGCACCACTTGTGTCCTGAGCCCATTTATCAAATGCTAACAACCAAAGCAGAGGATTGATGGACGTGTATGAACTTGAAAGATATTTGAATGGCTTGGAGCCAGCCAGAGGGGTTTTCAAGGATGCAAAAAAAGTTTCACTCACAAAACATAGTCAATTCACTTTACAGTATACTCTGTGAAGTGCTTTGTGACATCTCAAAGTGAGAAAGTGCTATATCAAATGAAACGATTATTACTATTATCAAGGTTAGAAAGTGGAAAGATGAATTGTCTACAACTAGCCAACAACAACAATCTTGCATTTTTATAGGACCCCTCATACAGGGTAGCGTCCCAGAACTCACTACGCTTCACAGAAAACTCTGAAGCACACTGAGACACATTTGACATAAGACACGATGTCCAATGCAAGGATTATTTTTCACTGTGGCCAGACTAATTTGAAATGCAGTAAAGTATGACAAATGGAAACAATTGAAACTATTTCTTAATAACGAAGTAGACTATATGGATTGCATTGTGTGATTTATTCCGTAAATGAATCCTGCAATGGGGTCTTAACTTGTGGTTGTGTTTTAAGGGGATTTGAATCCTTGCGGGGCAAATCCTTTAAATAGACTGAGAAATGCTGTGCCAGTTTTTGTCAGTGAAGGTCACAGCCATTTTATGAACAGCAATGGGTAATATGAGGAAGCACTACTCTTTCAAAAGGGAAGTGCAGACTCGATGAGCTGAAGAATTGTGTCGTATTCTGTGTATTTCTATTTTCCTGAATTGTATAGTAGTCTTTTGTAGGTCAATTGTCTGCACATTTTATAGTCATTTTAAATGCTCTGGAACTGTGGTGGAAGCTAGTTTATTTAAGAATGTCTTGCAGTAAATCCAGCTGAATAAAGTAGAATAAAATACCTTGGCCAAACCAGTGCAATGTGATTTAACAAAATATCATGGCCTTTTTGTTTGTTTGGTCAACTGGGAGTCTTCACACCTGTAATCGGCACATTTAAGTACCCAAAGGCCAGTATTCTACAGGGAAAAAACATAGAAATTACATAGAAATAGAAAGCATCTGAATGAATCAGGCACAGGTTAGCAAGAACCAAGGCGTATTGGCCAACCAGTGTCAAAAAGTGCTCACCCCCCCCCAACATTCGCACGTGTCTAGGTAAGTCCGTGTTCGATCGGTAGTGTGTTCAGTTTTTTCTTGATTGAATATTTCTTGATTAATAGCATAAATTTATAGCCTAAATCAAGAAATATTCAATCACAGAAATTTATTTTGTTGGCTGACCATAATGGTTGGCCACCCCTGTTAAGGTGTGTATCTACTAGAGTTTTACTAGCCAAAACTGCACAGGTCACCACTGCAAATGTTGTCTGGTAAACTTCCTACCGATTGTCCTGCTGCTTGGCCACTTTACTCATTGGGTCTTAGACTTCCAGCATTAATGAGAGATGACTATGTAAAACACCCGCCCACCCCAAATGGCTGATCTATCTCTTCCAAGTCCATCTGAGTAATCAGCTGTTAACCATAACTTAAGAGTCCTGAGCTCCTATCTTGCTCAGGAATGGGACTACTGTGTAAAAATGTAGTCCTGAAGCTCAGTGGTTAGAGCACTTGCCTGGCAAGCGAGAGACTTGGGTTTGATTCCCGGTACGGTGAAACCTTGGGCAAGTTTCCTTACTCCACACACCCGATAATAATCCCTCAAGAAAAAAAACAATAATAAATTGGTCACTTCAATACGCGACTGTTTGTGGGACACTGCTGTTTGTAATTGGCTGCTCCGTTTTGTCCAGAAATATACAGTCAATTCACTTTACAGTACATTCTGTGAAGCGCTTTGTGACACCTCGAAGATGTGAAAAGTGCTATATCAAAATCAAGGATTATTATTATAATTTTCCCCACAAAATATAATCTATTTGTTTTATAGCATGTCCTGTGAACTATTTTGAAATGTCTCAACTATGTAATATGCTACTATATCAAATGCAAGTATTTATTATTAATTATTATTGCCAACATCAACACAGTGGATCTATTGCCTTAAAGGTCTCCCCTCTTCCTCCTTCCCTCTCTGAACTGTATCTACAAGTGAAGTCCTGAAGCATATTGGTTAGAGCTCTCGCCTCGCAAGTGAGAGAGCTTGGGTTCAATTCCTGGGCAGGGCGAAGCGTGAGGTAAATGTCCTTACTCCACATGTCTCTGTTTACCTAGCAGTAACTAGGATCCCGGTAGCTATAATCGATTGGCGGATCGCTTTTCCGGGAGTAATAATCCTTTCAAAATAAATAATAATTTGGTCACTCAATCCACAACTATTTGTGGGACACTGCTGTGCGCAATTGGCTGCCATGTTTCGCACACAAAATATACAGTCAATCCACTTTACAGTAGTCTGTGGTGTTTTAAGACATCTTGAAGACATGATGATAATAATAATAATCCTTGCATTTGGCACAGTAACTTATGTCTTATCAAATGCAAGTATTATTGTTGTTGCGAATGTTGTAGTACAGAACAGGTGGAGTTCCTTAAGAGTTGGTTGATGTTGGGGCAGTGCAGGCTAAGCTTTGACATTAAGTGAAGTTGTTGAATTGGAATGGCAGCAGCAGGTGCCAGTGTTAAATTAGCTCAGCTGCACAGTGTGAGAGCCAATAACTATGGCAGCCCTTTAATGCTCACAACAAAAATATATACTGTAATACATTTGTGGCTGTGTTAAGTCTTTTATGCAAAACTGGCTGGCTGTGTATATGACTGGTTCCACAAACCCAAGTTGCAAAATTGAAGTGGTTAATATTGAGGACGAAAATTGAGGATATGTGTAAGATCATTAAGTATAGCACTTGATAAAGGGCTAAAATCAACAGAAGGTTCAAAATCATAGAATTCATCAGTACAGAAGAAGGTCCATCTCTTTATAAGAGCTATATTCAGTCCTACTCCCCTACCTTTACCCATGAATGTGTTTTTCCAAATATTTATCTAATAATAATAATAATCCTTGCATTTGATGTAGCACTTTGAGACATCTCAAAGCGCTTCACAGAATATACTGTCAAGTGAATTGACTATGTTTTGGGGGTGAAATGTGGCAGTCAATTGTGCGCAGCTGTATCCCACAAATAGTTGGATTGAGTGACCACATTATTATTATTAGCCAATCGATTAAATGGGTTCCCATTTACTGCTAGGTAAACAGAGGTTTATGGAGCAAGGAAACTTGTCTAAGGTTTCAACCTGCCCGGGACTCGAACCCGGGTCCTCTCACTTGCGAAGCAAGTGCTCCATCCAATATTCTACAGGACCCCTCTTTATTCCCTAATCCTATTCACAACCTCCCTTTATATAAAACAGCTCAACGTCTTTTTTAGATGATCCAAATTAACCAATGGTAACAGCAATTGTTAATAAATGGCCTGCAGTTTTATTTGCTGATACAAACAGTTAAATTACGCGAGCTTTTTCCGAATAGCGATCTGACATGCAGCAGATGTTTTTGAATTACACAAGAGAAAGCAACGGTGAGTTTGTGAACCATTTGGGCACAAACTCATGCGCTGGGTGTACCTCCTCCTTGGGTAGGTGTAAGACTTCCGTGTGGTTTTCACGTGTCCTGGAAGCCATTTGTCATTCGAAGGTCGCCTTGGGAGAGACGGGTCGCCTTCTCATCGAGCCCCGGTTTGACAGCAACTCAAAGACGGGTGCCCTGAGTGTGAGACCCTCAGATTCCAGGCTCTGTGCGCTAAAGTTCGGGGTGGGCACCTTGACCGTGTTTCCAAACTTGGAGTAATCCACCGAGTACCTGCCCTCTTCCTCCGTCACCACTGGCACGAAACGATGGCCCCAGAGAATCTCGTCGGACAGGTAGGAGGTCCTGGCTTGGGTGGTGATGCCTGTGGTCTCCACCACCCCCTCCAGGACCACGATGACTTCTAGCTCCTGGCGCTGGAGATCGCTGGGCGTCACTTCGTACAGGGGACTGTCCTTGTCGATGATGTGCGAGATGACCAGCGGCGACACCAGGAAGATGCCATTGGTGTCCACCGAGTTGTCCATGCGGATGTCAATCTGGTGGAGGGGCTGGACCTCACCCTCGGTGGTCTCGGTCTTGCAGACCACCTGCATGCGGATGCTGGCGCTGATAATCATGCTCTTCCTGAGGTCACCCACCCTGAACATGAAGCACAGATGGTTGTCCCTGGGAGCGATGACGGCGTACTTGCTGAAGATGAGGGTCTCGGCTCGCCGGTGGGCTTGCGAGGTCTTCATGAAGATGCAGCCCAGCATGATGGCATTGATGACCAGCCCCACGATGTTCTGGACGATGAGCACGGTGATGGCGCTGGGACACTCCTCGGTGATCATGCGGCCCCCGAAGCCTATGGTCACCTGGACCTCGATGGAGAAGAGGAAGGCGGAGGCGAAGGAGTGGATGCTGGTGATGCAGGGCACGGGGGCGGACTGGTCGCTCGGCTTGCTGTGCAGGTCGCCGTGGGCGAAGGCGATGAGCCACCAGATCATGGCGAAGAGGAGCCAACTGCACAGGAAGCTCATGGTGAACACCACCAAGGTATAGGGCCACTTGAAGTCCACCAGGGTGGTGAAGACGTCCTGCAGGAAGCGCCCCTGCTCGCGGATGTTGGTGTGCGCCACATTGCAGGTGCCGTTCTTGGCTACGAAGCGAGCCTTGCGTCGCCTCTCCTTGTAGACGGGCCGCGACACGTCCTCTGCCAAACGCAGCACATACTCCTCCGGTCGGAGCCCTTTGCTGGCCAACATGCCTGGCCCATGCTACGGGCAGGAGGTTGAGGTGATGGGTTGGGGTGCGCCCTGGATGGATGTGGGGGGGGAGTTGAGGAGGAGAAGGGACAGGGGAAGGGGATGGAGGCTGCCTTCAGTGAGAGCTGGAGCAGGAGCCTGGAGCAGGAGTCTGGTGCAGGAGTCTGGAGTCTGGTGCAGGAGTCTGGTGCAGGAGTCTGGAGTCTGGTGCAGGAGTCTGGTGCAGGAGTCTGGAGTCTGGTGCAGGAGTCTGGAGTCTGGTGCAGGAGTCTGGTGCAGGAGTCTGGAGTCTGGTGCAGGAGTCTGGTGCAGGAGTGTGGAGTCTGGTGCAGAACTGACCTGTGTCGCTGCTTTTAGGGGACACCCGAAAGGAAGGAAGGAAGGAAGGCAGGGAGGGAGGACGTGCCTTTCGTGCCGAGTTCCTCTCGGCTTTCAGCTGCCCACACCAGTCAGTCAGTCCGTCAGTCAGCACAGCAATCGGATACGTGAGCTCAGTGAAGCGGCACAGAGCAGATAAAAAAGGCTGCAATAAACAAGGAAGGGGGTGGGGGAGTGGGGGGGGGGGGGTGTGGGGAGGGGGTGGAGGGGTTGCAGCAAGGGATGAGATGGTGTTTTTTTGTGTGTGGGGGGGAGGGGGAGGCAGAGAGACCCAGAGATGCTGATGCTCCTGTTGTGTTCAGGGATGGGGAGTGGGCAGGTGGGTTCATGCATGAGATCCTCCTTGAGTGACAGACGGCCGTTTTAAAGGGTCCCGTTGATCTGCCGCACTGTCGACTCGACTCCTTTTTCCAGGAAATATCTCCAAACCCCTTTGGGAATGGAGGTTTGACGCGGCTTGCGGAGGACGCAGCTGGAATGCGAGCGGGACGCCCTCTGAGAGACTCGCCGTCCTTTCGGAGGCGAGCTGCTGCGCTGTCGGTGGGTGGCCTGGAGTTTGGTGCGTTGTGTGCGGGGGCATTTTTTTTTAAAAGGGATTGGCCTCCTTAGGGAGGAGGGTGGGTGGGGCGTGGTAAACGGGATAGCCGTTTGAGCTAAACTGGCTCCCCAAGGTGACACGCCTGGCAACGGAATGTCAGAATCGAGCCGGGCCTCCGTGACTGGCACTAGTCCAGTTCCTCAGTCAGGCGGGTCCGCAGTATTCCCGGACACGACTGATGACAGCACCAGCCCAGCTTGGCTCATCGGCAGGACTCGGAAGGGCAGACCAGACCAGTGCACTGGGGGAGGGATTTATCCCACTCAGCTCCTGTTAACCCTGAAAGCCAAAGCCCTAATGCATAGGCTGGACAAGCCATGGGAAAGCTTGCCAGACAACGGTCTAAGGAATTGTCACTGGCGAGGACTGAACTCAAAGGGGCACTTTTACCTCACATTCAAAACAGATTTCTACAGACGAAGCACTGCGTCAAGTATTTGTTTCAAACCTTAGGATGATTAAAATAATATGAAAGCAGAATATACGTGATACACATACCATGTTTAATTATCAAATAATATTCTGTAAAATTTGCCTAAGATTTTGTAAAAATTGCATAAACGGTGACCCTCAGGCAACTGCTGACAAAATTGCCATTAATTTTATTATAGAAGGGCAATGTAATGGTGGGGAATTTTGAAATGACTGCTGGAAAATTCTTTTGGACTGGTGGGAGTTTCCCCCAGCACTTTATACATAATTTAAGAATTGCCCTGGTTGTAATGGGTTGTGATGCGCAGCTAGCTGGGGAGGTGCTGGTAGGATTTATGCTGAATTGAAGGTTATTGTCCGTATTACAGTGGGCAGGAAGCTTCCCACGTTGAAATCTTGCTATCAATAGTACTTAGAATTGTGGTAATCTAAAAGTGAACTAGGATTTTTTTAAAAAGTTTTGATTTGTCCTCACTTGTTTTTAAAGGTCTCAATGTATGCATGAGGCTTAGAGCTGAAACTGGATCAATTGTATGTGTGCAGTTGTGTTGGGACACCACTATTTTTGCCCCCTCTTTAGCCACAACTTTTTTTTGGTCAACTGGGTGATTGACAGGTGGAGATCCATCCATCCATCAACAGTATCCAAACCAGAGTTTTACGTGTATCACCTGCACAGAGACATGTTTCTGTCTTTGGAATGGAATGCTCACTTTCTGCCTGGAGGGATACACCCAGTTTACCTAATTCTAGACAGTATTATGCGTGGGTTGGAAAGAACCAAGACTTGGGGACCCCGGATTGAGATACTGCTGGAGTTTAACCAGCTAAAACCCTGGAGCTTGCCATTGAGTACTGTCTGGTAAGCCTCACACTACATGGCCAGCCAGGATCACCTTACCCATTAGGAATTTAGCTTGCAGGATTAACAGGATCTGATTGGGAAGAATACCTGCTCCCAATGCCTCTCCAAATGCTGCTGATAAGCCAGAATTCCCTGCAGTAATGTGAACCTGCCTGGCTCAGGCACTGACTGATACTGTCAGTTTGTCTCCATTCTGATATTTTCCTCAAACGTAACCTTGAAGCCAGACTAAACCCTGCTTACCTTCCTCTGCCCTACCTCAGGATAGTCTTAGCTGCATGAAAATCCACAAATCCTGAGGCACATGGTTCTGGTCCATTTTGTGACTCCACTTTGAGATCTGTCACTTCCTCCTATCTTAATAGCACATCCTCATGATTGCTTCACTTCATGTACCACATAAGAAGTGGGGCAAAATGTAAGTGATCATTTGTGTCCATTTTTATCTCGTCTTGTATTCTCTATTAATGGTCATGAAGCATTAGCAAAGTTGGCCTGGCTTGTGCGATCTTGTAAACTAGTGACATGTTATGCCCTTGGTTAAGGAAGTAATGTATTTGTGTGTATCAGGTTTTCTCTGGAGATTTGATATGGAAAGTTATAGAAAGACAATTAGGCTGGTTGTTTCACTCCTTATTATGCAAACGTCTTGACCTTCCCTTTAATTTGTGTCCTTTTACAGACAACACTTTGGAGTAGAAATTGATTTATGTGCCAAAGCTACAAGGTTTCTGATTTTTTTTCACTTGGTGACTTTAAGGTAGTGAATAAACACCATATCAAATGCAAAAATCATAGTTAAAACAAAGCTAATTTGACTTCCTCCCACCTTACAGCCTCTCAATATTAACACTTTATGAATAATAATCCTTGGATTTAATATAGCACCTCATCATCATGGCAGCTCAAAGTGCTTCACCAGATATACTAGAAAAGTGGTTTTGACTATTTTTGTGGGTAGAATCAAGTGTTTTTAAAGTTTATATTGTGCACGAATGGGAGAGGAATGTCTCCTGGACAATCGGAACAGCACAGAATCCTTGCAAATCTACCTTTATTTACAAATAAGACATTAAGAGAAATTATAGCCAAAATCCAGATGTTATTTGTCCGCACGTACAAAAGATGCAAACATTCCATCCACGTATTCCAACAACGTGTTCGGGGTGTCGTACTCCTGAATCTGTCCTCTTCTCATCACGATCACTAAATCTGCTTTCAAAATTGTGTGCACTCGATGCTAGGAGACAAAAGGGACAGGGAGCATATTAGTAGCTACAGAACACACAGGAGCTTTCTGCATATGCTTTTAGTCACTGACACCATCCATGCACCTCCATTTCAGCCAAAATGTCAATCTCTGCTTAATCCTGCCCTCTGCTGGTGTTAGTTTACCAGTGCCTGAAAAGCAAACGTTGTAAATGTATCAGGTTAAGAAGCAACTCATGACCCAAACTGCTTTTGTTAGTGCCACTCAGTGCTTTACTTGCAAGAATGAAACATGCTGTTTGTCACCCATCTTGCAAATGAGATACACATCACCTCTTGAAACAGCTCTACTGATGGGCCTTCACCAGAGCAGCAAAGGTGCTATCCCTTGCCAGCAAATTGGCCACAGAATCATTTTCTTCAACCGTGCCCTCCTTTAGAACTAAGATCTGGTCTGCATCCAGAAGTAGGCAAACCCGAGGCTATGAAGGTAAAGGATCAAAGATCTTTCAGTGTTGCATAAGTCTGTTCTGGAGCCATGAAACAATGGCTGCGATGGCAGCAGATCTTATCTCAAATGTTCACCACTCACTATTTCTCATTTTCATTGACTTATAGCCTGGGCCCATAGAAAAGTGTGGAAATATTTGCCAAAAATGACAGGGAAATTTGAATTGTGGCTGTGGGATCACATCTTCTCTAGTAGAGAGGAGCTGGGTTTTGTGTGCAAGCATTGATGGAATAAATTCATACATTACCTTTCAGGATCTGTGACAATCATTAATCTCTCCAAGTGTGTGGGCTTTGCAGCTGGAAGCCAGTTTATCTACTCTCTCTTACCTTCACTCTCTTTTGGAATCACTCTGCAGGCAGTTGTAACACCACTGTACTTTTCTGATAAATATCCGTAATAACTTTACATTCACTTGCATAAAATTTCAACTCTATTACAGCATCTACCACTCACCTTATGCAATGTGCAGTGTGGTAACAAGCCATTACCTTATCATTCAATGAGAATTGACCATTTGGCAAGTTGGTTAAGTTGAGGGAGTCTATTAAGATTAGTATTTGGAAAAGAAGAACAAAGTGGAGTCCTGTAGCTCAGTGGTTAGAGCACTTGCCTCGCAAGCTAGAGACCTGGGTTTGATTCCCGGCAGTGCAAAACTTTGGTCAAGTTTCCTTACAACAACAAGATTCCATTTATTGAGCGCCTTTCACGTTGGGAGGACGTCCCAAGGCGCTGTACAGTTGGGTCAGGACCCGAGCAGGGGGGAAATGGTGAGGGGAGGGAAGGGAGGGAGCGAGGAGGGGGTAGAGAGTCGAGAGGGGAGCTGAAGGCACGGCCTCGAGGCACTCCAAACGCCTCGATTAACTAGGATCCCAGTTCTTATTTAATTGGCAGATTGCTTTTCCAGGGATATTAGTCTCTCAAAAAAATGTGGTCATTCAATCCATGACCGTTTGTGGGACACATTGTGCCCACAAATATACAGTCAATTCACTTTACTATATTCTGTGAAGCACTTTGAGACATCTAGATGATGTGATAAGGCGCTATACCAAATGCAATTATTATTATTACTCAGAGGGTTATTAGGACATGGGACCCTCTATCAAACAATGGTCGATGAAGAATCTACAATAGCTTTTAAAAGGAATTAGATAAATATTAAAAGCATAAGAATGGAAAAAGGAAAGAATAGGCCTAAATGGAAAGTATTTTCAGATAGTTGGCAAAGGTATAATGGACCAGGTGGTCTCCTGCTGTAATCCAATTATTAATAGCATTTTCATAATAACTGCAGTGACAGCAGTTAAGTATCATTTTTCACTGGAATTTTCAAAGAAACGTCACTTTAGCCATTACATCAGCAACAATATGGTGCACATTAGCCTGCAGTTCTCTCTTGTTTTTAGATGCATGCGTACATTCATTCTTAATTTCTGATCGACTGGCAGAACAAGCCCACTCTACATTCCAGCTTACAATTCTTCATGAACTTTGTGCATTCTGTAACTGAACAAATTAAACCAGATGGTTTAATTTCAAAATAACCATTTACTTCTCAGATTTGTATTGCTAGACGAAAGAAAAACAAGGCCCATCCAGTTCACCATCCTGGCAGGTGCATGCACATGTCATGTCCCAAATGATATATTATTTCCTAAAATAAATCTATCTAATTTACTTTTGAAAAAATTGATAATACATATTTCAATGCAACAGGACAAAAATTGGCACTTACTGCAATCGTCACCACCGTGCGATCAGCAAATGCTGTCATCACTACCTTCTGCAAAATATTTTCCTGCAAGAAAAACATGGCTCAAGATCACACCTACAAAATCCAATCACACTAGTAGTGAATTATTCAGTGCTCTTGTCTGCTTACTGTGTTATAATAGGAGGGTACAGATGAAAGCAATGAACGTGATACTCAGTTTTAGAGGGATTAGCAATGTGCAAAGACTGTCTAAACCGTCTCTTCAGCCTCAATAGGAGATTTCTCAGGAACCTTGAAAGAGGTGTATAAGCTGCTAAACAAAATAGAGGATGTAAACTCACAATAATATTTCCAGGTACAAGATAAGGAATACCGGTTCAGGACCAAAACCCTGACTCATGTTACAAACTTAGGCCCCTCCAGACCCAACAAGTCTACGGCAAGGAAACAACTCATATCATATTCAAAGATCATGTATATCATATAATCATTACATCTCATCAACTCAACACAATTCAAAGCTCTTTACACCTTGTGAATTATTGACAGGTGTGGGTTGAATGACCAATATAGGGAAATTGACCAAGGAACAATAGTGGTCTGTCAGATCGCCAGCAGAACATCCTCCATTTAGGTGGAACCTTGTTTTTTTTTTTTTTGTCCAGCGTTTCTTATTATCTTATACAGGTAGTTTGGGACATCTGTGCATGTGCTCACGTGGAAGGCAAACTAGATGTACCTTGGTCTTTTCTCGTCTAGCATTTCTTAACTTATTTCTTCAAACTATTATCAATAACATCCACTCGCACACCCATACAAAGGCGTTCCTGACTGTCAATTTGGTTCATTGGCTCAAATCTTATTCATCTCCATCTTGTGACTTTCTGACTCAATGAACAGAGTCAAACAGATCCTCTGGCACTGGGACCTATTTATACTCAGGTCACACATAATTAGTTCAATTTCATCAAAGGAAACATTTTCTCAGCAACTTGATTTCAGAAGACAAGTGACAAATCAGGCCAGTGTTCTCTCCGTCATTGAGTTGTGAAAGAGTTGCGCTGAGTTCTAGTTACACACTTCAATATTAAGATAGCTGTACTTACTGTTGCCATGTCTATAGAGGCTGTGGCTTCATCCATGATCAGTACACTGCTCTTTCGCACGAATGCTCTGGCCAAACAGAAGAGCTGTCGCTGACCGAGACTGAAGTTTTCTCCTCCCTCTGTAACTGTTGCATCTGTCGTTTAAAGGATAAAGTGAAATTCTTCAGTAGCACCACAACTGGATGGCAGAGGCATCTTATGTAAATCACTATTTATTCCTGATAGAACAACACTAACCTCCCTTTTCTTTGCTAAATCCTTTTTAATGAAAATGTTTACAACTGCACAGAGGTATGCAAGAATGCCAGAGCCTGTAAGGCATAGTTATAACCTGGGCCAACAGAAAAGTACGAAAATGTTTGTCAACAATTGTAAGGAAATTTGCCAATTTTTTGTAGAAATGTGCTGGAGGTTGATTGGTGCTATTGAGGTACATTTTACTACCAACCTATATTTTTCACTTTATTGATAAAAACATTTTGATTTAAATTGGTCCTTTGGATATTTGCTCCATGTGCAAGTTAAGTGAGTTGTTTTAAATGCTAATAAAGCTAACACTCGTCAGTTTGCATCTGTACCCTTATCAGCAATTTCTCCTACATCAACAAGGAAGTCGTCTTCAGCTGAATGTCGCACCCAAAGGACAGCACCTCCAACATGTAGTGCTCCCCGAGCACTTCACTTGAATGTCAGCTAGTCTGAGCTAAAAAGGCACGTGGGGCTTGAACCTGTAACCTGATTCAGAGGCAAGAGTACTACCAATTGAGTCAGGCAGACAAAGATCAGCTGATACAATGCTAATTAAGCATCAATTATAGAACCTTCCTTCCATTTAGCATCACATTTAGCTGTGTAATTACTTAAATAAGCCATTACAAACTTGGCTAAATTGCTGCTTTTATGCACCAACCCACTTCTCCTTAAAAATCAGCATCCCATTGAGGTTTGACCACAATGTAACAGTGGGGTTTATCAAATGACCATAAATTTAATTCAGGAGGACCTAGTTAAACCATAGCATAGAGTTATTACACTTTATTTCAGGTTACCATTAATAATTATAACCATTACCTAAACCTCCCGGTAATGCTTTCACCACGTGCTTTAGCTGTGCGATCTCCAGAGCCTCCCACAGCATGCTGTCTGTACACTTTTTCTCTGGATCCAAATTGAATCTGTCACAGGAAAAACCTTTACAAAGTATTCTTCCTAAATCCACTCTTATCTCAGTTTACCATATTCAGTAATGTGGAAATTGTGCCTTCCAAACTACTGTACATCTTTCACTGACGCACAGGGCTGCTGACAGGCACAAGACACAGAACAATACATTCACATCCGTAGGGAAATAGTGACAAAAGGGCAGAGGCACAAGAACATTTTGAATGAAAAAGGCTCTTCAGCCCATTTGACTTCATCCTTCTTTATTCCGTTCTCCCATCATAGCATCAAACTGTTTTTAAATGAGCATCAACCACCCTTCCTTGAAACCTTTTCCAGTCTTTCATTACCCTCTAGGTGTCCAGTGCCTTAGGATATCCTCCTGACATGAAAGGCGCTATACAAACAATTTTGTTGTAGGTAAAACCTTTTTTTTCCCTGGTGTCTACCTCAAATTTGCTATATAAGTGCAAGTTGTTGTTAATTGGCTACAAAAGAATTCTGTGATTAAAAAATAACCTACCTAAACAAAGTGCACTTAAAATATTCAACAGTTTCAGCTGACCTCATCCCAACCTGCTCCTCTCCCCCCACCCACCCAATAGACTCACCGTATCGAGCCGCTGAATAACACGGGATCCTGAAGAATGATGGACAGCCTGGATCGTAAGGTGTTTAGTGGGAGCTTGGAAATGTCAATTCCGTCAATAAATATTCTCCCTAGAATATAACAAACACACCACCTTGTTCAGCACCCGGTTCTTTGCACCAGCCTCCAATAACAACAAATTGCATTTATATAGCACCCATTACATAGGGAGGACATTCCAAGGTGCTAAAACACTCATCATGTACAGAACAATTCACTTTACAGTGTGTTCTGTGAAGCGCTTTGGGACGTCCTCCCGACGTGAAAAGCGCTATATCAAAGGCCAGGATTATTATTATTATTATTATGTAAATCTATGTGTATTATCTGCTTCAATGGCCACTGATGGGAGTGAGTTCCACACAGTGCTGCCCTCTGTCTGAAGAAGTTCCTTCTGAATTCCCATTTCAATCCTCAGTCACTATCTTACACTCGTGTTTCTCTGTGAAGTCTTGGTCACAAATAGGAACCACCTGTTTGAGCTGTGATACCATGTTGTATTGGTGTCACTTGTGGGATTGCAATCAGTGCTGCAGCTCAGGGGGAGTCCTGTAACTCAGGGGTTAGAGCACTCGCTTTGCAAGTGAGAGACCTGAGTTCAATCCCCGGGGGGTCAGTCAGGGCGAAACCTTGGGCACGTTTCCTCACTCCACACAGAGCCCTAATAATAATCCCTCCAAAACCAAAAACAATAATAAATTGGTCATTTTCAATCCACGACTGTTTGTGGGACATTGCTGTGCGCAATTGGCTGCCGCGTTCGCCCACAAATATACAGTTACTTCACTTTACAGTGTGTTCTGTGAAGCGCTTTGGGACGTCCTCCCGACGTGAAAAGTGCTATATCAAATGCAAGGATTATTATTATTATAACAATGACTTGCTCAATTCTCCAGTTATTACCCTCTGCAGCAAATCCTGAAGCACTTTGAGATGTTTTGATGGCATGATAAGGTGTTATATCAAATATGATTTACAAAAAAACTCAACTGAAGTAATGTATAAACAGCACAACAGATTTCAACCCTGAAATCAGCATTTATTTTGATTTCTTCAAAAGAAAAAAATTCCTTTCCCCATCCAACGACCTATTTACCATCCTCTAGTCTTCACATACAGCTTCAGTGTTTACAGAAAACTTAAGAAATATTAAGCAAAGCCCCATCTTGTTTCCTCTTGAATTTATTTTATGTTTCCCTTTTGCATAGATTACATCTCCTCCAAACCTAAAAGCTAGATAATAATAATCCTTGCATTTGATAAAGTGCCTCATCACGTCTGTGAGACGTTTCAAAGCGCTTCACAGAATATACTGGAAAATGAATTGACTGTATATTTTGTGAGCGAAACACGGCAGCCAGTTGCACTCAGCAGTGCCCCACAAACAGCCGTGGATTGAGTGACCAAATTATTATTATTTAAAAAAAAATGTTTTTGAAGATGGTAGAATTAAACGCTGGTTGCTTATAATTTTAGTGAACTGGCTGCAGTGATGCACCGATAAACTGGTGGCTTCTCTAACGAGCCCGGTTCCTCACTCAAAGCCCACTCGTTGCAGTAGTCCAGATCCAAGTGAATGATGTAGAGTGAGGAGGATGTGATCGGTCACTCTTGTGCATCACAAACTAAGCACAGTCTGTAACCAAAGCAGCAAAGCTACAAAGCCATACCTTCAAACATATCCACCATTCTGAAAAAGGCTAAAGAGAAGGAGGACTTCCCACTGCCAGTCCGTCCACAGATCCCAACCTGGGAAAGAAAACCATTTTAATGTGTAAAACCATGAACAACAATGACTCCTGTTTGCAATAAGAGGGGACCCGGAGGGAGATTAAAAAATAAAGTCTTATCTAATGTCCCAAATCCTTTTGAGGCTAGCCTCCATTTTCTCACAGATTGAGAGTGAACAAATTGAACAGAGTGAGATAGGCTTAACTTTCCTATAAAATAATAATAATGCTTGCATTTTATATTGCGCCTGTCACATCAGAAGGAAGTCTCAAAGCACTTGATCATTCACTGTAAAGCTTTCCATTAGTGAAAGCTTCCAAGCTGCTTATGAGGGGCCACCATTGTCCATGAAAATGTATATGATATTCCTATTGGGTTCAGTATCACGCTGTCTGGTACTTTTCACAGACATTTGCAAGACATTTGGCTACAGATATTGTTCTGCCAAGTGGATAAATGAAGTTGGGGTTGGGTGTCAGTTTCAATAAGCGAGCAAGAAAGACGATGGGGAGTGCAGGAGAAATTTCAGTGCAAGGCTGATGTGGAATGAAATATGACACAATGGAAATTTGCATTTATGCAGCGTCTTCCATGTCATGAGGACATGGCCAAAGCGCTTGACATGGCTGACTGCGCACTGGGCTACAAGTGGGAGTGGAAAGATGACCGAAAGCATGGTCAAAGAGGTAAGTCTTGAGACACAGTATTAACAATGAGAAAAGCTTGCATTTGTAGCACTCTTCATGCAGGGTAGCATCTCAGAGACTTAACCTAGTGTTGGGGGTAACTCAGTAATATAAAATATGCAGGGGGACCTCTGAATGATAAAGGGGTTTGAAAGAGGCTAAACAAGTTCCTAGAAATGTAAAAGATTCAGGCTTATTAGAGTTAATCAATGAGTCAAAGGAATCTTCTGGGAAGTTGAATAGGATAAATTCTTTACCTCTTCCTGAAATGGTTTCTATTTTTCTAAGAGCCCAACATGACGTGTTACCTTCTGCCCTGGACTGAAGTGGGCATTGACGTTCTTTAAGACCGGCTTGAGGGTGCTGTCGTACCGTACACTCAGGTTCTGGATTTTGATCTCCCCTTCATTGGGCCAGTTTGGGGGAATCTGGGCAGAAGCTGCAACCGAATAATAACAACAATAATTCTTGCATTTGATATAGCGCCTTATCATGTCTTCTAGAAGTCTCAAAGCACTTCACAGAATATACTGCAAAGCGGAGTGACTATTTTATGGGCGAAACATAGTAGTCAATTGCGCACAACAGTGTCCCACAAACAATCGTGGATTGAGTGGCCAAATTTTGTTTTGAGGGATTATTATCCCTGGAAAGTGAAAAGCCATTTGACTATCAACTGGGTTCCTACTTACTGAATTACCGATTCAATGGCCTGGCACACCGCACCACAGCACACAGGGTCCTGCGAGAAAACCTGTGATGCTGCAGAGCTCCCGAGGAGAGGAGTGCACAAACATGAGGACCAGTGCCCTTTCTGGTGGTGTTAACTCATTGATAAATTATGCTGCTAAGAGTGGAACATGTTTGGGGAATGCTCACAGAGGAGTCCGTCGTAATTCTCAGTTTCGATCTGTAGAAGGGCGTTTATTCTTTTCACCGCACCCAGTTGCACTTCCATGTCTGCCAGGTTGCGGACCAGCCAGTTCAAGTAGTTGGAAATCTGTGGGAAAGGAAATGCCAGAAAGCTGATCAAAACCATGGCTGTCTCCTTGCCAGATTTACACTAAACCAAGCCTACTGAGAGCAGCCTTCCCACTTGTAACAACAAAGGTAATCACTGATTGAGTGAGTAAATGCTTCTACACATCACATCCAAGGAGCATTTTCTGATGCATTTAATGCCAATTGTAATCTATCCAATGCACAATGATCAATGCCCAATGTTTACTGATAAAGTGCTGCCCTCCATGAACATGTCAAAGCCCAGAACTCGATAACTGTATAACAACAATAATAACTGTGTCTACTTTAACTCCTCTTATCACACAGGGCATTTCACTTGAATGGATTCCAAAGTTTCAAATCCAGGAAAATTCAAACCTAGGATCCTGGTAAATTAAACATACATTAGCGTAACAGAAATCAGGAGTAGTCGATTTCAGAACTGAGAAATCTAATTTTGTTTTATGTAGTCACTGATAATAAAATATCTTACCATGAGCGCGTAAGTGAGCCCCAGACCCACGAGACCCGAGGCCAGGCCGTAGTACAGGGAATTGGTGATGGAAGCCACAGCCGCAATAAGAACCACACAGGCCCCTATATATTCCTACAGAAATCACAGCAATCAACAGTCACAACCAGACAGCTTTGGATGAAGCCAACAGCAGTGAGCACAGCTGGTGTAAACCCAGACAAGCTCAGGAATTTATAAACCATCAGTAAAGCTTTGTGCCAAAAAGCCATCTGCCATTTGGCTGTCACCTCAGCACAGTCGTTTATTTTCCTTTTAATCATTACATTCCTTAATAATAATAATAATAATCCTTGCATTTGATATAGTGCTTTTCACGTCGGGAGGATGTCCCAAAGCGCTTCACAGAATAGACTGTAAAGTGAATTGACTGTATATTTGTGGGCGAACGTGGCAGCCAATTGCGCACAGCAATGTCCCACAAACAGTCGTAGATTGAAAATGACCAATTTATTATTGTTTTGTTTTGGAGGGATTATTATTAGACATGTGGAGTAAGAAAACTTGCCCAAGGTTTCGCCCTGTCTGGAATTGAACTCAGGTCTCTCACTTGCAAAGCGAGTGCTCTAACCACTGAGCTACAGGACTCCACTTCCTTCCTCAATCATTGCAATCCGTTGTTCGGTTGCTGTCACATTAAGACATCTCACCGTGATTGACCAGCAGAGAGTCAAGAGGTCTAGTTGGCCAATGTCTGTAAATTTAGTCAACTCTCCCCAGTTCCCCCCAGCCACCAATCTCTTCAACTGTTCCAGCTGCTAGGATATGTTCTTTAATCTATGAATTTCTGTGTAAATAGCTCCCATAATGAAAAGGTATAAGTGGTTAGAGCACTCGCCTCGCAAGCGAGAGACCTGGGTTGAATTCCGGGCAGAGCGAAACCTTGGGCAAGTTTCCTTACTCCACACACCTGATAATAATCCCTCAAGAAAAAAACAATAATAAACTGGTCACTTCAATCCATGACTGTTTGTGAGACACTGCTGTGTGCAATTGGCTGCCGCATTTTGCCCACAAATATACAGTCAATTCATTCTGTCATTCATTCATTCTGTCAGTACATTCTGTGAAGCACTTTGAGACGTCTAGAAGACATGAAAAGCGCTACATCAAATGCAACGATTTTTATTATTATTATTAAAGGTTACTTGTTCCCATTCTAATACTATTTTCAATAGGGTACCACGGCAAAGACAATGACCGGACTAATGCAAAGCATGAGCTGATCTGTTGCCATAACATTGTTGCCGGGGTTCTCTGATCAGTGCTGCAGGATATATGTGAAAGTTAACTTGTCTTTCCTAGGCAAAAACACCAAGTCGTTACTATGTGTGTCAACAATGGTCAGCCAACACCATTCACCAGAGCACAGACACTGCCCCCCGTCATCTTTTAAAGATGGTGTCACAAAAGTGTCACATTCTGTTGTGGTGTTAAATATCTCATTGGTGGATTTTGGCTGACTTGCTCATTGCTCCATTGAAGTGGCAAAACAACAACAATTTACATTTATGTAGCTCCATTCATGATGGGAGGTCACACAGCGGGTGGGGGGTGGGGAGTATGAATAATGTAATCGTCAGAGCTCAATACCATGCGAACTTCTAGCCACCGGTTGGCAGCGGTCAGGAACAAAGAGGCAATGTTGTTGGCGTCAGTGTGTTCCAGTAGCTGCTGTCTGAAGCGACTCTCCTGCCTGTAAGATACAGTGACGCACATTTCACCCACAGCCAGAGCACTGGATGGACATCCACACACAGAATCAAGGAGCAGGAAATTAACTCACAATTTTAAAACCCAGAGCTGGAACTAAAACAAGAAATCATCAGACATGCATAGCATCAGGAGAATGACAGATCAGTGGTGTCATTGGTTACTTAAGGTATGGATCCTAGTGCCAATGCTCGGCAAGGGTTAGTATGTCAAATTGGCTCTGTGATAGCGCTCTCGCATCTGAGTCAGCGGGTTGTGGGTTCAAATCCCACGTCGGGACTTGAACTCACATAGTCTAAGATGACACTCCAATGCAGTGCTAGGGGTGTGTTGCATTGTCAAAAGTGCCGTTTTTTCAGATGAAACATTAAACCAAAGTTCCATCTGCCCATTCAGGTAGATATTGAAGATCCCATGGCATTATTGAAAAAGGGAAGGAAGTTTCTCCTGGTATCCTGGCCAACTATCCTCCCAATAAAAAATAGTCACTCACTCCATGGCTGTTTGTGGGTCTTTGCTGTGTGTAATTGGCTGCCACGTTTGCCTATAAATACAGGATCGATCCATTTCACAGTAAATCCTGTGAAATGTTTTGAGATGTCCTTCTGATGTGATAAGTCTCTATACCAATTATTATTAGTAGTAAACAGCACATAATAATTCCCTACTGTGGCACAGAAAGAGGTTATAAACCAGATTCTGTTTAAAGGCCATTGAGAAGCAAAGCACCAAGTTAGAGTACACGTCTGTACCTGATATAAACACCGGCCACTTCAGCACCGTGTGCACTTTTCTTTGTCGATAACTATGATTTTAAGTTAAAGGAGACTTATTAATTTTTAATAATCCTACTGCCTTGTGTGGTTTCACATGAAGCAGAGAACACAAAAGGTAATTTGGCCTAACAATCCCTGCACCCTGCATATGCCAAGCTAAACTATCCCACCAGCCATTCTCACTATAAGGATGTATTGCACATGTACTCCTTGGAATAAACAGTCATTGTGAAAACCCATCGTTCAATGAAAGAGAGAACATTCCTGCCAGTCACTGAGGTTGGTGCTGTGAAGTTGTCGAACATTTTCCTCCACTTCCCTGACCCGAGCTGCTTTCCCTTACTTGCCTCCATTATAAACTCTCCAGGAAGGTTGGTAACATTTAACAAGAAGCAGAATTTCTCCTACGCCTGTCTAATGGACAGGTCAGATAACTCAACCCCGTCAGCTCATTACTGCAGTTAGGGTGAGTAAGTGCATCCTTATTAAAGTTTAAATACCAATTGAGAATTCAATTTCACCACTCGTCTGTGCTACTCTCAACTCCACAGCAACATCTCTCATGCAGAACATCCAGACAGTCAATAAAACCAGATTTATTTTTTGGCCATTTTACAATCAGACCTCTTTGTTGCCCTCAGTGAAATATTTGCTCTTCTCTTTGCTGCTCAACTCTGGTAGAAAGCAACAGATAGGTGCATTTACTTCTCTAGTTTATTATTATTATTTTATAGTCTCTCCTGTGCTAACGTCTCCCAGCGAGTAATCAGCCCAACTTTTTCCTGCTCTCCTTGTGTTTCACCACATGTAGAAAAATACGTTTCATGCCCAAAAGGAGGCCATCTCGCACATTGTGTGTGTACAACTTTTATCTCTTTGGCCCTTTTTTTAATAAATCCCACGTTCCATCTTTCTCCCCGCATTACGTAGCAATTTTACGCATCAGGTGCTTGTTACATCTCCCTTTTTTATTACTCTGTTGTGCTAGTTACAAACAGTATTGCTCAGGTCTTTTGCACTGAGTGTTTCCTGCTGCCCACACTGACTCCATGCAACAGAAGAGAACAAATGAACAATCTTTCAAAAACATCACTCTCGCCAATGAATTCAGTCTCACTGCATGTCCATGTAAAAAGACAGTAGCTCTGGAGTCCTGTAGCTCAGTGGTTAGAGCACTCGCCTTGCAAGCGAGACACCTGGGCTCAATTCCAGGCAGGGTGAAACCTTGGGCATGTTCCTTACTCCACACGCCTAATAATAATCCCTCCAAACAACAAAAATAATAATAAATTGGTCATTTTCAATCCACGACTGTTTGTGGGACACTGCTGTGTGCAATTGGCTGCCATGCTTCGCCCACAAATATACGGTCAATTCACTTTACAGCATATTCTGTGAAACACTTTGAAACGTCTAGAAGATGTGAAAAGCGCTATATCAAATGCAAGAATTATTATTATAAACACTGGACACAGTAAATATCCCTCTGAAACAAAATCACTCATGCACAGATCTCACCTGATCAATAAACTACGGGAGAGTTATGGCTAACATGACACTACCCACCATTTGTATCAATTATAGTAGTTTATAGACAAGAAGAATCTTTGCAGTAATCCTTTCATTTGAAAGCGTTTTGAAAGCGTTTCACAGGATTTCACATATGTGTATCAATTCATATATATTATATATAATAAATACATGTATATATGTATAAAGCTGATTCACCACATAGTCGGTTATAATAAAATAAATATTGTAAACAAATAACATATCAAACGTGCAGGAAAAAAAGCAGAAGAAACATTCCTTTTCCTCCTTTAGAGTTTACATCCATTGCTTTACCTCAAAGCCCTTATGGTGGTTAGACCCTCCACGGTCTCTGAGAAGTGTGACAGGAGGGGAAGCTGGGTGCTGTCATCCAGTTGCTGAAGATCCCTGTAACAGCACAGTCAACAGGAGCAAGTCATAAGTCTATCCACATGTGCTGCACATCTTATAACATGTCAGCACAGGTGCTTACAACACACAGGTTGGGAGGTTGGGAGAGGGAAAGGGGTTATGGTTAATGCGAGACAAAAATACATTTACCACTTTGGGGGAAGCAGGTGAGAGAAATAAACTTATCCTCAGCTGTAAATTAAAAGTCCCTGTTATATGACTGATACATAATGGGGAACAACATAGTATTTGTATTTTCTAATAAGTACGAGAGAATGTGGCCTTACACATTGGGAGATATCTTAAAGCGCTTCACAGGATTTTACTGTAAAGTACAGTTACTGTGTATTTTGTAGGCAAATGCAGGAGCTAATATGCACACAGTGATGTCCCACAAACAGTCATGAAGTGAATGACCAATTCTATGTGAGGTGATAGATGGCCAGATCACAGTAATGCCATGGGATCTTTGATGTCCACTTGAACAGGCATACAAGGGCCTTAATTTTAAAGTCTCATCCAAAGGATGGCAAGTCTCACCTCCCAGAGAATTCAGTAGTTTACAAGCTGTGAAGTTGCTCTGGAGTTGGGAAGCTCTTCTGAAACTATATAGTAATGATTGGGTTAAAGACAAGTTTGATTCATTCGGTTTCAATCAGGTTTATTATAAACGCAGAGGATACTCCAATGTGCCCCATGATGTCACTTAAGCTGCACTTTAAACCTTTCCAGATAGGATCTACTGGCATATTTCAAAGCCCTCCAGGATGCTACCCCATGTGAAAGGCGCTATATAAATTAAACTGATTTCAACTCAGCAAGCTCCCTTCAACACCAAGGCAACGTTTCCTTGTGCAATTACAGATAAACCTCACATGCAGACTTAACTCTGAAGCCAGTTTCCTGTGGGTTCTTTTAAAGACCACAGAAAAGCAGCTTCAAAATAGAGGCAGAACTTAAGAATTTCTCAAATTCTTCATGCTTTGAAACACTAAGAAAACAGTCAATCTAGACCCAGGCAAAATTTCGCCACGCATTTGTTCCATGGAGAAAACAACATACAATTACTCCCCCAACCTCCCATAGGCAATATATCTTGTGATAAATTGTTTTGAATCAGCGTACATATTATAAATCTCCTTTCTTCCGACCGACATAAAGCACTTACCTGGAGGCTACTCTGAAGTATTTCTGGATGAAGTAGCAAGCCACAGCGAGGGGGACGAGGGCAATCAGGAACACTGGCGTCACATAAGAGATCACAGCCAAGGCAGAGACACACAGAAGGGTTGAGCGACTGAGACACTCCAGCGTGGCAGGGATGTGCTGAAAGAGAGAAGCAACTTTAATTCCCCAGAGTCCGTTCAAAGGCCAGGCCACTGGACTCCAGGTTTACAGCACGCACACAACGGCAGCAAAGAATAATGCTAAAGATTCTTGCAACTGATGAAGCATCTTATTGTGTCGTTGAAAAGACTCAAAGTGCTTTAGGGATTTTGCTGTAGTGACTGTTGTTCGTCCGTGAACAGCCTCCTTCTTGTGCTGTGAGCATCCAGGAATCAATGCCACAGCCTTAGAACATTGTGCACATTAAACAGCAATCTCTGTGAATAAAGCTCAGATTTGCTGGAAGTTGTATGCTGTGAATGTCAAGTGAGATTAGGATTGGGTTGGCTATGATCGTTCCCTCCACCCAACATGGTTGTATGACTTGCTAACTCGTCAAAGCTCACACGTGATAATTCCCACTTGCAAGCGGTAACTAAAAATAATCCTAACAATTGATATACTGCCTTTCACATCAGGTGGACATCTTAAAGCGCTTCACAAGATATACTGTACAGTTTAATAGGTGTAATTGTAGGTGAATGCAACTGCTAATTTACACACGGCAATGTTCCACAAACAGACTTGAAATGAATGAGTAATTTTATCGGGGGAATTGTTGACCAGAAACTGCTGTCTTGTTTTGAATAGTGCAATGGGACCTTTAACATTCATCTGAGCAAGTGGGTCATTCATTGGTTTAACATCTCACCCAAAGGACAGCACGTTTGAAAATGCAGTGCCCCCCAGCACTGCATTGCAACGTCAGCCTAGACAAAGCAATTTCTTCAGAATAGAAAAGGGAGAGTGAAATGCGAACAGAAAAACACTGTGTTATGCTTTATATAAGCTGCTCGAGACCATTCCTCAAAAGTTTTGCATTTTCTTTCCACCTATTCAACATCTGAACATTGTACTGTATCTACACTGAAGTTGTCTAATTGACTTTGCTATTAGACACAAGTATTAATACTTCCAAACTTGATACGCATTCTGCATGCTCCATGCATTATTTATTCATATTAAAGGGCCTGATTTCTCAATTAAATGGCAATTAAAGGGGAAGCATATCACAGTTAGATACCCCTTAATCCAAACATACACTGAGGCAAGTATCTGTTTATCATTGGAGTGTTTCCATTCACACTTTATTAGCATTTTGTTCTTCCAGACATTCTATTTGTAGACACTCTTAACGACATTCAGAAATAGATCTCGATCTGAAACTAGAAAGCCCCATTCACCTTGTAGCATAGGGTGTGCTTTATTCAATATGTCTGCTGCCAACCAGTCTCTCAGCAAGAGCTCAACAATGCCTTGTGCTGAAGGGATGTAGTCTCATCCCCTTTGTCAATAATTTAACACTTAGCAGATTGAGTCACTGAGTTCACTGAGCACCAGACTCGACAATCACAAGTTTCTGGGTAGCTTTGAGTCACATTGAGGGAACCCACTGGAGGTTGATTTAGCAATATTGTGTCTGAACAAGTATCCTCCTTTAATTGAGGAGGTGGATGGGGGAATATATGTGAGGATTAATTGGCTCAGGGGCAATCCAAAGCATTTTTGATGGCGACCCAACATGTCCGGCGTATCAATGAGACGAGCCATGGTCTTAGCCTTGCAAGACAAAGACTGAATGACTAGATTTGTGGCTACATTTTCTCAGCACAAAATGACTTGGTTACAATGCCAGTTTAGAAAACTATATGAACCAAGGGACAAGCATGAGGAAATTCACACAGATCTACCTTTAGGGCATTCAGGCATTGTGGGAAGGGGTGGGGGGGGAGTGGGGAGGGAAGGAAATCAACAGAACGGAGCATACCTGTGAAGGATAAATTGAAACCACCACCTTACCTGATCGATGGTGTTGGCATCGGCAGAGAATCGGTTCAGGATGCTCCCAAGTGGGGTGGTTTCGAAAAACCTGAAACAAGTAAGTTAGATCGCTCTTGAGCAACAGTCCTTGTATTTGATTGCAGTAGTTATAATGTCTCAAAGAGGATCAGAGGGAATTGCTAACATTTGTGAATGTGGTTATCGTTCTCTTTGTTGCCCTCCATTGTGTTCCCTTCTTCCCGTGACTTGTCCCAGTGGTATCTGCAGTGCCCTCTTGTGGCTACCTAGCAATCCAGCATAAATTCCACGATAAACCACGTTGGCTCTCGATGGGACAGAAGTTAGCGACACAATGACAACAGCCCCATTTTCTTCACCGCAAACCTTTTGATGTCTGGTATATTCTTGGTCCATTGGGTTGGGCTCCAAGACACTACCCTGGGTGAAGGGCGCAATATAAATGTAAGCTGTTGTTGGTGAAAGATCTTAATTCTCTGTGTCAATGCACATAATATTTCATATTAAAGAGAACTCAACCTTCAAGTCAGGGGAAGTCTCGAAGAGCTTCACAGGATTTTATTGTAAAATGTAATGACGATATTTGCAGGTGGATGCAGCAGACAGTTTGCACACAGCAATGCCCAACAAACAGCCATGAAGTGAATGACCAATTTTATTTGGAGGATTGTTGGGCAGGACATGGGGCAAACCCCCCCCCCCCCTCCTCTTTTTGAATAGTGCTACGAAATCTTTAACTTCCACTTGAACAGGCACACAGGACCTCAGTTTAACGTCTCATTGAAAGGAAAGCACCTCACGTAATGCGGGACTCCCCCAGCACAGAATTATATGAGTGTCAGCGTCGATTATGTGAACTCAAAGTCCTGATGTGAGACTTCAACCCACAACTTCTGTGCAATTTGGAGAGAAATTCCCCCTCTTAAAAGCTAATATGGACTCTCCCTCTACTGTCTTTCTTGCTAGGGCATTCCATGTCCTTACAACCCTCCATGTAATACAAATCTATCCTAACCTCTCCCTCGACTCTTGATAATTATCTTAAATCGATGTCCTCTAGTTAACAACTCACCGACTGGTGGAAATAAATTTCTTCCTGTTCAGCTAATACTGGATCTTTACTGCAACTCCAAAGCCGACCCCTTAAATCAATAAGGTCACTTCACTTGAAGATAATGGCAGCGTGTAAATCTTTCGCCTTGTGAATTTACAGTAATTAATGCAACACCTTCACCGTCGGAAACTACCATGGAATGATGGGACACCAGCTCAAACACTTGGGAGTTGACCTCAGCACAAGCATCTAAGTGTCAGGTTAAGCCCATTGTAACTGCATGTGAACAGCTGTCTCTCCCGTTAGCATTGCATGCGATTTAAACAATCTCTGAATGGTAAAATGCCAAAGGTGACTATGTCATCTCCTGTGCCCTCAATTCATTGGGAATAATGTCCCCTTTCTTGAGTACACTTGCTTTATTTTTATGAAACAGTACATCCCAGAAATACATTGGACACTTTTACTGTCATTAATTCACAATGATATGAAGAGACAGTTGAACTAATGCATCTAAAAGACATTTCATGGCTGCCTGGTGGCATTTCCCTTTGTCAGAATAAAAACCTGAATCAGAATTACAGTGCATTCCAGGACATGATATTAACCCTCGTTGTGACAGCAACACTTAACCATATAAAAAGCTATCTCATTAACTGTGTCTTCAGACCCCTGCCCCTCTTGTCTCCCTCCAAACTCGGGGCCCCCACTTGGTCTTTATAAAGCACCTTGAGATGCTCTCCCTACTGAAATTAACCATTGTCGACTACTGGTGGGATTATGAAGACAGCAGAAGGGAGACGATAAATACTCAGGTTTCCTTCAATCGTTCACAATGATTATGTGAGAGAAACAAAGCATGTTTCATTTCAAACACCTTGCAAATAGCATGTCACGTGCTTGACTGACCCTCTTGGATCTTCTTAAAAGGGCAATGCCTCGCTTTGAATCTTTTTTCCTGCATAAGAGCTCTATTAACGGAGTGAAACCCAATAACTGGTGGTGGATGAAGAGAAGATATAACAAGCCTTGCATTTGATACAACAACAACAAAAAAATTACATTTGTAGAGTTCCTTTCACGTCCCAAAGCGCTCATACAGACGCAAATACAGACCCTTTTGTGTGGTGAGGTTATCTCAAAGCGCATTACAGGATTTATTGTAAAGTGTGTGTTTAAGGTGAACTTCTTTCTCAACGCGCTGCCCTCCAACCAACCCCAAGATCGACACATGCCCTTTTTCTCAGACACATCGTTAAAATCGCACTATGTCCAATCGTTGCGTGGGATTGAATCATGCCCATTGACAATATGAGATTGAGACAGGCAGTACCTCATAGGTGCCAGGATGATCTTGTTGAGCAAGTTCTTGTGTAGCTCCTTTGTCACTTTAAGGCCTGTCCACTCCACAGCGATGGAGGTGACCAGACACAGCACAATGCCCAGGCAGCAGAGAATGCTGAACACGATGCTATACGAGGAGTGGCTGAATCGGCAGTCCTGGGTGAGAAATATCGAAACGTTCAAGCTGGCAGCAGTGGCTTACTACTACTAATAATCTTTGCATTTGATATAGTGCTTTATCACGTCTTCGAGATGTCTCAAAGAGCCTCACAGAATATACTGTAAAGTGAATTGATTGTATATTTTTGTGGGCAAAACGTGGCAGCCAATTGCACACAGTAGTGTTCCACAAACAGTTGTGGATTGAGTGACCAATTTATTATTATTATTTTTATTTTGAAGGAATTAATAAGATGGAAAAGCGATCTGCTAATTGACTAACAACCAGGTTCCTACTTACTGCCAGGTAAACAGAGGCGTGTGGAGTAAGGAAACTTGCCCAACGTTTCGCCCTGCCGGGAATTGAACCCAGGTTGCTAGGCGAATGCTCTAACCACTGAGCTACACAATATTAAGTTACAAGACTGAAACTCGACCTGCTCTTAAATTCTAGAATTTAAGATTGTGCTGAACAATGGAAAAATCTTAAAATCCATGGGAAAGTGAAAGCCCGTTTCCCATAATTAGAGCCTGCTTGGGAATTAAGACCGCGTTTATGAAATTTCTCCAGTTCTGCGCAATACTTTAAATTTGAAGTCAAAAAGGTCTTACAGGCTAAGATTAGGTAGAATATTAGGCCTGTAGTTTTTAAACCAACGGGATTGAGAATCGTATGAATGAGAGCTATTTATTGATCGGGCATTTTCAGTTGTGCTTCTGTGCATGTTATTACAATCTGGTTGCTAAGGCAGAGTGCTGAGCACTGTGCTGTTCAACCAGTTTAATTTAGCTTTAATATGTCAGTGAATCCACTTCTCGTGATCTGGGAAAGCAGAGCTCCAACAGCATCAGCAATAACCAGCGTGTAAAGCAATTGCTGGATGCTTTGGACTCAACTCAGTGTTAAGAAATTGCAAAGCACCAGTCTGCCCACACTTCAAATCTGTTCCATTTTAGTCACAACTTCATGAACGATGCAAGAACCAATGTCACTGGCTCTTTAATAACCTTAAAAGATAAGGAGCTCTGTGGAAGTTTTCCCCGCGCTCCCCCACTCCCTGCCATTGATAGAGTTACAGCTTAAACCGAGCCTTCACCTCGACGTTTGAACAGTTTGTTCTCTCGGCCTCGATCTTCAGCTGAATGGCGTCAGACGTCCACTTTGCCAGCCAGTAGTCAATGGCCACCATGACTGTGTGTTTAAACAGCTGGGAGAGGATGAGCAGAGGCAGCAGGAGGCAGCCTGCTGCACTCAGGTACTTGCCACAGGCTCGCCAGGGCAACTTGGCTCGCTGCCGCAAAACCGAAGAAAGGTTGTCTTCATCGTCACTCTCCAAAGTGTCCTCTGCAGAAAACAAAGATACCCACAAACTCGTACGGGCACACAGACGCACACAGAGGCACAAAACAATCCTTTAGAACTGCAGCCTTCTCTTACACTGTCTTTGTGTTATTCTCGTAACCTCCTACCCAAGACTGCACCATCTATATCGTGCCTTTCCTTGGTAAGTCACTGATATTCATTTTCTGATTTAGCACAGAATAAATCAGGATTTAGAGACCAACAGGGAGAGAATCAGGCTGGAACCCAGCTGCTGAAACCGCCTAACTGGAGGGAGCAGATATGGACCGCCAATCAACTAATAACCCGGTTCCTAGGCAAACAGAGGCGTGTGAAGTAAGGAAACTTGCCTAAGGTTTTGCCCTGTCCAAGAATCGAACCCAGATCCTCTAGCATGCAAGGCGACCGCTCTAACCAATTTGCTACAGGATTTGTTATGAACACTGTTTAAATATAAAATGTTCTTACCTTCATCCTCATCCTCCTGCTGCACTTTGAGGAGCGCCTCCCGGGAGTACATTGCCCTCCGCAGGTTCTTCCGCTCCAATGCAGTCTTGCTTTCAGCCACAGTCTCCTGCAGAACATGAGGAGAACTTTACCTTTCTTGCACTCTCAATTTAGATTCAACAAGAGACAGAGAGAGATAGTGGGCGGGGGTGGTGCGGAGGGGGGGTGTGAGAAGAACGCCACATTCCCTTTAACACTCAGAAATGGGAAAATGCAGACTGGTTGGGCAAAGAATTTACTCTTGCCGTCTGAAACATTGGGTGAATATATATTTGAAGCAAAAACCTGCACAGTTCAGCACAAAAGGGATGGTTGAGATTCATTTAAAAAAAAAACACACAGCTTTATGCTATGATGGGAGGACAATTGGGTGGGTATCCTGGAGAGATGAGATTGGATGGGCTGAAAGGTCTTCTTAGTCCAAACCAATCTTGTCTCTCAACTATTATTCATACTATGAGTGTTGGACCCATTACACCAAGGTGATCTCAGGAGGCAGATCCCAGCACCAATCCTCTGGCCTCATGCCCTCACATTGACGCGGTTATCTATGGAAAAGGACTGTATAAACCTGGCATATGTCTTGCATGGTTCTTCAATGCTTAATTTTAGTCTTTGCGTTCAGGCGCACTGAAGGAACATTTGCTTTGCTTGAGTTGCTGTACTGGGGCTAAATTCAGAAGATGGTATTGACAGTCATGAGAGCCCATTGGAAATCCCAGCCCCTATCACTGTTAAATTGTGGTTTCAATGGTCAGATCCCTAGGAGCACTACCACCACAGTCAATGTTGATCAAGGTGGAATTTCTCTCCAATATATAATAGCAACAGTGAACAGCAAGATGTGGAAATATCACACTTTTTAGCTTCACAAGTTATTTGGACACTTGTCATCTTATATAAACATATCACATCCAAGTTTGTCTCATGTGCTGAGCTCCCAGTCACTAATCACACCTGTACCCATTCGATATTGAGTTAATTTCTGAACGATTTAATAAACCATGTGCGATATCAGGCAAATCTCTGTGCTCCCGAAGATTTAAGAACCTTTTCCAGTTGCTGATCCTGGCGGTTCATCAGGGTTTTCCAGTGCTCGAAGAGTTCCGGATCGGAATTCTGGATGTCCTTGAGGGTTCCCTCTCTCTGAATGGTCCCGTCCTTCATTGCAATGATCTGTGAGGAATAGATCATCACAGCGTTAGCATCAATTGGGCTACTACAATGTAGTGGGGTGGGGATGGGAGGTAACACACACCGGTGAATTAATACACACAATGTGTATTAATAAGTATCAACCTTACCAATTTACATTATTGAACATTATTCAGATTTCATATTAATATTACACATTTGCTTAAATATTGGATACAGTGCCAAATAAGCTTGGGCTTTTCAGGAAACAAAAGATATTTCAGAATGGACTTTTAAGAGGTAGCTTCAATTAGACTGAAAATTCTATTCAGCCTTAGGCTTAATGTCTTTGGCGATTCAGCCACTAATGGGATCTCCATTTCCCCATTCCCCACAGTCGCCTGTTCTGCCAGTTTTCGCCCTGCCTGACCCGAGTTCAATTCCAGGCAGGGCGAAACCTTGGTCAAGTTTCCTTACTCCACACGCCTAATAATAATCCCTCCAAAACCAAAAACAATAATAAATTGGTCATTTTCAATCTACGACTGTTTGTGGGACATTGCTGTGCACAATTGGCTGCCACGTTCGCCCACAAATATACAGTCAATTCACTTTACAGTGTGTTCTGTGAAGCGCTTTGGGACGTCCTCCCGACGTGAAAAGCGCTATATCAAATGCAAGGATTATTATTATTATCATCATCATGTTAGAGGTGAGGGATAGGACTTCATTGCCTGGATTTTCTGTAAACAACTCCTCATTGCAAAACCAGAAGCATACAACAATGGCTGGAGATGTCTCACCCAGTCAGCATGGGGCAGGTACTGCAACTTGTGGGTGACCAGCACCACAGTCCGCTTCTCCTCCTGCAGCAATTTGAGGATTCCATCCTGCATCAGGTGGTCGCTCAGATGGACATCCAGGGCTGAGAATGGATCATCCTAAGATCAACGACATCATTTCACATTTATCATCCAACCAGCAAGTGGAAACTTTTTTGGTCAGACACACAGAACCCCATCACAAATATCCAGGCCAGCCTGAAAGTTCCTCATATGTATTCCCTCTACACATGAAAATTTCCCAGTGTCTGTGAATGGAACGCTCACTCTTTCCTTTGAGAGATGTACCCAGCTTACCTGATCACCTTTTAATGCATCGATTTTGTAAAATATTTGATGTGAGTAAATTAAAACTTAAATTTGCTCCATTGAGAACAAATAGTCTGTACCTACCAGAAATACCACATTTGTCTGCTGGTACAAAGATCTTGCCACACTGATGCGTTGGCGCTGCCCACCGCTCAGATTGATGCCCTGGGGAGGGTCAGATGAACAAAGTCAGCGAAACAAGGCAACCTCAACACAACCGCTTAACTGGAGAAAAGAGCTGTAAAGCGCAAAGATTATTGCTTGTTCCCATTATGTTTTTACTCAGTATCCACTGTTGTCAACAAAGGTAATCCAATACCAAGTTACAGCTCAGAGTTTCTGAGTGCAAGTCACACAAGCTTTTGAAGTTCAATCTTGTCTGAATCACTGGTGAGCTCACGGTTACGGTAGTGTGTGCAATTTTGGACGTTCGATTTTTAGAATGATTGTTGATGCATTAAACAGGGTAAAGAATGCTAAAGGGGGAGGATTCCTCTTAGTCAAGTTCCCGGCTCGCGGTTCGGGTGGACGTTAAATGACGGCCATGGCATTAATTCTAAAAAAGAGAAGGGAGTTTCTCCCAGTGTCCTGGCCAACAATCTCCCAAACAAAATTTGGGCAATTGGTCACTTCATAGCTGTTTGTGGGACATTGCTGTGTGTAAATTGGCTGTCCCTTCATCTACAAACACACAGCACATATAACATAAATTAACCCATTTTTGTTGTGATGTCTCTGCAAGAGCTATCTGCTTAGCATAAAAGGGGAAAGGCAATGGGTGCAATACACCACTCCTTTGCAATCCTACATTAGGAAAAATAACCTTTTCTCAGTGTACAGTCAGAAGGCCACACAAGTTGAAATTCTACTGACCCTCTCCCCGATCAGGGTCTGATCTCCCTGAGGAAGGATGTCGATGTCTGGCTCCAGTGAACAAGCATCAATAACAGTCTTATACCTGCGAAAAGAAGGGCAGAGTTAATGAGGGTCACTGTCATTGCTACACACCATTACATTTACTGGCAATTGATTCAGAGCTAGTCAAACAGAAACTGGAAAGTAAGGCAAAAATCCTTCTTAGCTTTAACTGAGACACAGATGGGATCCTAGCGACGAGCAGTCAGTTGTCTCTTCTGTTGCTTTGTTAATGGGGGTAATGAGCCAAACTTGATTTCCACAGATTTGCACATTTTAACAAACTGGCACTTAACCCAGTTGAAGTGGCCAAACAGTACCACAAGACATGGTTTTATTCTGTGTGTTCTGAAGATAAGAACTGACTGATAATGCTGATTGATCACACTGCTTGTGCCCGACAATATTGGAGTGCTTTTGGAATCATAAGGTGAATGGAACAAAGAGCTCGCTTACAGTGCCTGCAATGGGGCTCAATCCCACTCTCTAGCCCTGCTCAGTCAATGGAACAAGTCAATTATACAGACTCGTCTTTGAGGACTAATAGCAGAATCAGCAATGGCTCGGATGCATTCTGAGTTCATGCAATTCCTTGAGAAAGACCTTTATCAGGAGCAATCCTGAACCCCATCCATCTAGAGTTCGCAAGTAGCATTAGTTTTATTTTTATTCAAAGAATAATAATAATAATTATTGGTTACTCAATCCACAACTAATTGTGGGGGTACTTCTGTGTGTGATTGGCTGCTGCGTTTCGCCCACAAAATATTCAGTCAATTCACTTTACAATATATTCTGTAAAGTGCTTTGAGGCATTGCAACAATGTGATAAGGCGCTATATCAAATGCAAGGATTATTATTATAGTGACATCCAGAATTGCTCAGTCCACGTGTACTGTATGGGTCCACAATCAGCTTCAACACTCTGCAGCAGTGGGGCATCAGACCTGACCTCAGTGCACCTGAATGTGAGGCACCAGATTGTGCAATAGCCCACTCCTTCTCCTGCTCCCTGTACCTTCTCTGGAAAAACAAATCAGTGAACTGTATGAAGCACAGCAGGCAAAACCCAAAACACCATCTGCTCTGCTCCGAGCCTCCTGAATAAAGCACTGGCATTTTATCATAAGACGATTGCTTTGCAAATGATTAAACTTCTGCAAATATTGACAGAGAGCCTCACAACACTGTGGTTCTACCGTGACATCTGTATTCCGGGCTATTTATGCAATGCACACAACGCTCAGTGCATCTATATGGTGCAAATGAGATTTTTGTGCTTGGATTCACCCTGTAAATGACATAATAAAGTGAATGGGATCATCAATCAGAAAAAGCCAAAGAATTGTAGGTGATGCAAAGGGAAATATTTAAACTCTGTCCTCAGTATCAGATCTAAAAGTCCCTTTGCTGCTTTACTTCAAAGATCCCATGGCATTTTTCATAGAATTGCATAAAATAATATAGCCCAGAAACAGGCCATTTGGCCTAACTAGTCCACTCCTTTCGCCACTCCTATTCCCTTTCCTATTCAAAAAGAAAAGTGAGTTTCTCCTAGTTCTTTGGCCAACAATCCCACAGATAAATCATCATTAAATAGGGCTGAAGGGTAGTCAAACCTTGTCAGCGGTTACTCTTACCCATTTTGCTTAGATCAGGGTGGTCCAACAGATGGCCTGGGAGTTGAATTAATCTTCCTCCTCCATTTCACCTGGCCCACAGACTCCCTCCATAATCCATAAAAGTTAAGTTAGGTTTCTGGAAGGGACACCCACGGATGTTTCTCAAACAGGGCATCCTACCCTCAGCATCCAAAAGGTTAGACCACCCTATGTTAGACGAAAGTTCCCAGAACCCAAGGTCTGTTCCAGTTGCCAGCCGCATCATTTAGTGCTTTGTGAAGCTGAAGAGACCAGTTGAATAGTGGCAGTGTAGGACACCTTCCTCCCTTAAAAGCAATGAGATTGAACTTGCTCTGACATACAGCCTATATTCTGGTGGTTTTACGATCAGAAGACTTGCATTTCACTTCCTACTTTTCTACTGCTCAACTCCAATGTTGGTCAGGTCACCAGCGCTGACATTTCGCACCCTGGTGCCAAATACATTCCCTGCTACCAGTTACCTAGTGGAATGGGGATATTGTCAGTTGAGCTGGGCTGATGCTGGATGTGCAGAATATGACCTTCCAATGGCCCTCTTTCAACACCGAGTAGATTAATCCAGCCATCAAATACACTATCAACTACTTAGAGGATATTATAACCAACTGATGGATGTTGCAATTAGGAAATCACCACCATCAATTCCATTCAAAACAATATTCTGGGCCTCCCAACCCAGAATTAGTTAGAATGCCTTATGTGGTACTGAGCCAAGTTGAATCCCTGCTCTGTGCTAAGTTTGTTTATCTCAGCAGAGCTAATGGAGAAGAGGCTTTACAGTTGATCCAATTTAGTCCAAGGACGTCACCTCCATCAATAAGGCAACACTACATTTGGAGTGTCAGAGAAGACTAGAAGTCCAAAATCCCAATGTGGTGTGGGGCGTGAACCCACAAGCTTCTGATTCAGGTGAGAGTGGAACCTAGTGAGCCTGGCTGAAACCTGATATACATCAGACACACATACACCTATTCACCCACACCCCCCCACACACATTTTGTTTGGCTCACATTTACCTTTGTTTGTTAAAAGGGTTTCCAAAGATAATGTTCTCTTCTACTGTTGTATTCATTAGCCAGGGCTTCTGTGCAGCATATGCCACTGAGCTCTTCCTCCTGCGAGATAACAGAAAGAGCTTTTTTTTAAACAAAAGTCTTGCTTTCAGCTGTTTGAGCTAAAGTGCTGTGATTGTTACGGTGAACCAGTTATCTCAGCATATCAAAACTCTGGCTCTCACTCATTCCATCCCAGGGTCTGAAGGTATTGGAGTTCTTTTAATCCCATTTTCCTGCATTTTCCTCATCTCTCTTCAATAGCCTTACTTTTCAAGTACTCAAGTCCTTTTTTAAGCAATAAGGTAGAAATGACTGAATGTTTAAAAAGGACTTGAGCGCTTGAAACAAAGTCTTGTGAGTATTCCACATGCTCACAAGCCTCTGCGTGAAGAAGTATTTTCAAATTGGTCATCACACTTGATATCAGTGGTCATTTTCACATCCCTCTATTGCCCCAGACTTCCACAGTGAAAATGATTAAATCAGTTCAGACCATTTTGATTCACAATCATTCGGTGCACAAAGAACGAGCACGGGAGGTGGCAATTGCACCGAAGCACATAACAAGGCGCTGAACGAAGCTCAACAACAAAACCCCCAAAAATCACCATCTTTGTATGCAACATACACAAGGAACAGTAAGGGTCCAATACAGAAGCATCAGCGATAAGTCACAAAGACGGGAGAGAGAGGGAGGGAGGGTGTGGAATGACACCGAAAGCTAGCAAAGCCCGGGGAACACGCTGAGATAAAATGTCGTCTACTATCTGCCATCACCAAACACCACTGGGGAGGAACTAGGGCAAAAATAATGCTTGCCCATTGAGTGGGAAAAAGTATACCTCACATCAACAGCTGTGTCCTGCTCGGTATTGCTGCAATATGTTAAACAGAGAGAGGATAAGGTATTAAACAGCCCTAGCCAAGCAACGATCACTGTAGTGAAACCCCCTTAAAAGCAATAAGCGTCAAAGACCAACGTACTTCAAGGTATCAGTTTCAGATGCAGCAGTGTGTACCATTGAAGTGTTGTATCCAAACAAATACCCTTTTCTCTTTCAGATACAAACTGACCAACGGTACATTTTAAGTCCGCTAGACTTTATATCCCCAGCATCCAGACCTTTCCCTTTACTTCTCCTATAGAACCATAGCAATTTGCAGCCCAGAAGAAGTCCATTCAGCCTGCTGTGTTCACTCTGATTGTTTGAAAGCGCAATCTATTCAGTCGCATTGACCTTTTCCCACCTATACCATTATAAATTATTCCTTTTAATCTATTTACCTATTTCCCTCTTTCGCCCTCAACATAGTCAATCCACTTCACAGTATATCCTGTGAAGCGCTTTGAGACATCCTTTTGAAGTGAAAGACGCTAAATCAAATCCAAGGTTTATCATCATTATTAAAGCAAATTCCAGCCTGTTGTCACAATAGCTTGAATCAAACTTCCTTGCAAACCCTTCCCTGCCTGAGCACGTTTATTTTACAAGTAGGCAGACACAACGTTCAGCTCACTCTAACTCATGCTGACATTGTAACACACACCCCTGCATTCAGGGAAGTCAAAGGATGATTTTCATTCACATTGGAGATTTTACTGCCTTCTTTATTTGTTCCCATTCACCCACCAGTGTAGGTGCTGAAATTAATGCTGTGGAGCAGAGGAGATATGTAGGAGGTAAAAATCAAGCAGATCCGACAGATACACCCAGGCGATACATTCCCCTTCCTCGCTCTTGCCTACACAAGCGTTTCTTCATATTCACTTAACCTTTCAACTGACCTTGGTGCAAAAGTTATCTGGGAAGATTATTTCAATGTTAACCTGTTTTTCTAAATTAATTTTATTTAAAAAAAATACTCATTTTACAGGTGACTACTTATTTATTTTACCGCTTTGCATAAAAAACAAAGTGCTTAAATGGTTCAAAAAAATATTCACCGCTCCTTCCTGGTAACTTCAATGTACAATCCATTTAGCTTGAACAAACTGCACCAAACACTGAGGTTTTATTAGAGACATTGGAAAAACATTTTTTTAAATGCAGAGCCTTTAATACAATTAGTGCACACATAAAACTGAAGGAAACCAAATAGACGTGGCACAATAAACCAGACTAGGCCCTATACCTGCCATCACTGTCCGCAATCTCTCTGTCAGGAATGCTGCAGAAACACAAATGAGTCTGAGTTAGAAAAAGCAACAATCAGGTTTCAGATGTGGAATTGGGGTGATTACACATACAATGTGATAGCGAGACGATAGCTAGACAATAGCGAGCGATCCAAGGTAGATAATATGCTGGATTGTTAAATTTTTTGTTCAGCCAGGACTCTGATACATGCAGAAACCCAGCACTGAGCTAGTCTCTCACCCAGACAGAGTTCCACATGTGTATGTCACTACATTTGCAAATTTCTGTGTGTCTGGAATGGATTGTACACTCTCTCCTTGAGAACCGCAGATGTGCCAGGCTCAGGAACCGAATGGACTGGCTCCAACTCAGCTCCAAGGAGAACCTGTTCACTTGCCCCCACCCCACCACATCCAAGGAGGATAGTCACTCTGTATGGTTACCACAGTGAATGTAATTGATATATCAAAGCAAAGAGTGAATGGTGACCACTTTGTGATCTATGAGGCAATGATACTGTATGAACCTACAGCTAAGATAGACTGAATGGCATATCTATACATTATTCTGTACGGTAGATACCTGTTCCAGCAGATACTTCCGGATTTTTTTTGCATTTCACCAAGAGTTGCCAAGAGGAGGGAGGATTTGCCACATCCAACTTGGCCAACTATCATGGTCAACTGTCCTAGAGAAAGAACATACATTTCAGATTCACATTAGCTGTGCGAGCACCATTTCACCATTCAGTTCTGATCCACAGGCTTCTGTGAAGAGAAATTCTACCTGGGTCTAGTTCATTTACAAATACACAGTACCGAAATTATACAGTAATTCCTGTGAAGCACTTTGATGTTTCAATTATATGATAAGGCGTTATATCAAATGCAAGGTTTATTGTATTATTAACTATTTATTTAGCATTTCAGAGAATTTAGGATTTGGCAAATTATGGAAAGAAGTCACAGAAAACAGGCATCAAAATTAAGACTATTTAAAAATTGCCAAATTGTGGACGCTCTGAAATACGACACAAATGAATCAAATGGAATTTCTACCCTCCAATAAGTTTAACTCCATTTACCTTACAATGGAGTTGTTATATTTTCAGTATTTTTTTTAGCAAATAAAAGCCTACAAACTTACAATTTAATTTTTAAGAGGGTACCAATTCAAATGGCAAAGAAGCACGGTGCCTGCATTCATCAGGAACAAGACTCTTTGAACTGCACTGTCACCATTGGTGACCAGCCTTCAATGGGACAAATCAATGGGACAATCGGCTCATTGTCTGATGCATTTTGCTTTCACTGTCAACTAAACTCAGCGTTGTTAGCCGACCTACCTTGAGGGATCTTGATGTCAATGTTGGACAGAGTCGGTGCCCCATCGGTTGTCCAGGTAAAATACCCACTGGTCACCTGTATTTGTATGGTAAGTTAATAGGTACATCAGGGAGAAGTTAAACATCACAGTAGAAATGTTTCCACGAACTTCTGTATTGAGGCTGTGCTCTCGAAATTCAAATTCACAGTTGAATACAGTGACATTTCTGAATTGGTACATGCTCACTGTATGTGTGTACTTGGTCTTCACTTTACTCAGGGCCAATTTAACTGTCTTCAGTCAACAGGCAATCAAAGCAGCACTGGTGAACCCCGGGGAAACTCCTTGATGCACCACAAGTCAAACTATGTACACAGTAAACACATAGGAAGTGCGCCATGAATCATTACAACTCAATCTGGCCGGGCAAACACACAAGTGCATTTCAGGATTCAGGAAGTCTCTGGCTTGTCAGGACCACATGAGGGTGACCAGAAGCAGGGTCCAGGGTAGGATTCTGATTTCTGACAAAGATGTGCTGATTTCATAGTGAAGTCAACGCGTCCCATGCATTCAAATGGCACCACACCCAGTGGGAGAAAATTCTATTCCATTGTGTGAGCCCAGCAGCTATCCTTTTGTAACACTTGAGAGGTCTGTAACTGAAGGAATAAATACCCCATTTCCCCAGTTGTTGTATCATCTATATACATAAGGTTGGTCATTTACCAGCCAGCCAAATTGGCCACAAAGTGAAATATGGGGCTGCTCACCTGTCTCCAGTCATTCATCATCACATAAATAGACTGTTGCGTGGAATTGACGTCATTGTAATCCTTGCATTTGCTGCAGCGCCAATAACATTTGCAGCGCAATGTTGTACGGCACTTCAATGTCAAGCACAGTGACTGCTTTTGTACGCAAGAGCTGTGCAGGCACCGCAGCCAATCTTCCAGAGATTCACTTTTTAGTGGTTCATTAAAACTGTCTGAATGTTCACAGTGGCTGTATGGATTGCCAGGAAAACAAGGAGACAGGATAGGCAATTTACACACAGATCCAGGTGGGAGAATCCTTGAGTAGGAAATCAACTAGTTGGTTACCTCTGAGGAGACGAGAGGGGCACCCAATGGGAAGAATGAAAGTAACCCTGTAGTAACCCTACGGCAATTGAAACAAACAAGCAGCAAACATCATTCACTTACAAGACCACAGGAGTGTTACAAATAACAACTTCGGAGGACAGTAATATACTAGACGTTCCACAGCTTATAGCTCACAAGCAGAATGAGATTTCCAGTGACCTCCGCCCTACATCCTGTATTTACTAAGTCGTGCAAATGCACGGATCCTGGCTGTTCCACTAACCATAACTCAACATCTTAAACTCTGGTGCTCTAAAGTGTTAGTCCGACAGAGTGGGTCTTTCAATTCTCCATCAGTGCCAAGTTACTCTATAATCACTTACCACTGCCTGCTGCTAAACAACTTTCCTTGAGATAAACTTTTGTTCATATTAATAATGCTTGCATTTGATATAGCTGCCAGAAGGTCAAACATCTCAAAGTGCTTTACAGTAGTGTTAAATGCAATGAATGTAGTTGCTGGTCAACGTGACAGCCAATTTATTTATAGCATTGTCCCACAAATAGCCAGGAGGTAAATGACCAATTTAACTGGAGGATTGTTGGCCAGGACACTGGAAGACTCTTCTGTCTATTTAATGCAGTTTCCAGAGTTCTTGTTCCTCGGGTTTGAAGCGCTTTGAGGTGTTTTGACATGATAAGGCACTATATCAAATGCAAGGATTATTATTATTATTTCTACACAGTCAATACACTGTAGAAAACTCTTGGAAGCACTTTGAGAGCTTTCAACATTGTAGGAACTATAGCGAACGTAGGATTATTGCAATATTTAACAACATTTGACTTGCTTTCCTTCAAACTTTCCACTGAGCCAAATAGCTGGTTATGTGCCCGCACACGAAAGCAATTTCTCATCATACGCCATTTCCTCCTCCTCTCTGGTGGCCACAGTTTAAACTGCAACTCACCAGGCCTGAACTCCGGGGGCAAAATGTGCATTGCCAGCAGGGACTAAGCGAGGAAAAGGACCCTTGAACCAACTTCCTGGCAGTTCAAAGCCACACATCCCCTATGTGGCAAAATACACATAAAAGTGTCAGCCAGATCATTAGTATGACTTCATTTGCACAGACTATTTCAAACTTTACTTAAAACAAAATCAACATCAGATTAATCTCTCTTGTTAGCGACTATCTTGTATTTTGGTTTCCAAGGCTAACCTATTTTGATGGCTGTCAGTTTAGAAACCAAACAGGTAGCTCTGCAACCCTTTCCTTCCTTGTGCTCTTACATCTCAAACGTGCTCTGACTATAGAGAGCTCTGAGATAGTGTGAGCACTAATGGTGCTTTGTTAGAAATAGGCAACCTTCAAATATTCATCAACCACAAAGGAAAATACTGTAGACACTGCAAAATAGGTAAAATTGTCTATGATTTTCACCTTGATACAAACATCATCTCCTTCTGTGCTGAGTATTTGTTGCCTGGGCTGAGGATCGTAATTATGCCATTCCTCTCTGGTGGGCCGTTTGCGGTTAATAACTTTAAGGGGCTGTGCGAGAGTGAGTGGAAAACGGAAGGGTAAGAGGTCATTGCAAGAGAAGTGCAAATTAAACACACACGCACACAATCAAAGCTTCAGTTCTACAAAACACATTCCTTACAGCTTGTGCATTACAGTAGGGATGTTATTAATAATAAAAATTACCGTGTTTGAATTTCAGCAACAGGGAGACTATTCTACAACAGTCTGGGAAGATTCTGGGAATGACAAAGACAGCTGGGCATGCAGCATGCCTGATTCGCTGCTCTGTACTCACTACGGCTTGGTACATGCTGTTGCTTTCGACATTGAGTTGCACCGTGGCTCGGTCGTGGTCCTCTCCAATCTCTTCACTGGAGAAGAATTCGCTGAGCTTCTGCACACTGATGGGAAGACAGACAAGAGGGGATTAATGCATTCCAGCACATCGGGAGGAAAAGAACTCGCATTTTTAAAGCGTCCTACTCTTTGAAATGTGTCGCAAGCATTAACTGACAAGTGTAATGAATGTTTTTGTAGGCAAACATGACAGACATTTGTACCAACCAAGTCCCATAAATAGCCAAATGATTATAGAGGCGATTGATCAACTAATCGGGGGAACCAAGAGAAACCCTCCCCTTTTCAAATGGTACATTAATTCCCAGGCAGGAGGGGAGTTGGTTTAAAGCCTTCTCTGAAAAATGGCACCTCAAACAATTCATTCACTCCCCTAGCACTGCACCGGAATGTAACTTTAACGTCCCAACATGGAATAACTCACGTTATAATCACCCAATTCAATGTTAATTATTTTTCTGTAAATCAACAGCTCTGTTGTATACTGAGTTTCAATCAATCTCACTTAATTTTAAGGACATGAGCAGTACACTCCTGTGTGAAATCCCATTGTGCACAGTATTGTATTAAGCAGACTTGCTGTGGTGCAATTACAGTGGTGAGGGTAGCATGGGAGGAAGGATAATATTAATAATAATAATCCTTGCATTTGATATAGCACTTTTCACGCCTTCGAGATGTCTCAAAGTCCTTCACAGAATATGTTGTAAAGTGAATTGACTGTATAGTTGTGGGCGAAATGTGGCAGCCAATTGCACACAGCAGTGTCCCACAAACAGTTGTGGATTGAAGTGGCCAATTTATTATTGTTTTTTTTCTTGAAGGATTATTATCAGGCGTGTGGATATCCGTTTTATATAATATCCTTGTATTTGATAGTGTTTTTCATGTTGGGAGGACGTCGCAAAGAGCTTTACAGCATTACTGTAAATTGTAGTGACTGTGTATTTTGTACGCAAAATGTCAACCAGAAGGGTAGAGAAGAAAATGGTTCATTACATATGATCTATTTCTGAAAGCAGTAATCTTTCAGAAATATATTTTGTCGCAATGTTCATACTATCTGTACCAGGAAGGTTGTTTAAGGCCAGGAGATTGGATTCTTTCAAAAAAAACAGCCTGATGCTGTGATGGAAGGATGGGTGTTCGAGAAGGATGAGCTCAGATGGACCTCTCTTGTGCATGTAACTGAAGGAGAGTAGTTTAAATGACTGCTACTATCAGATATGCACTTGCATGTAGCAAGGAGTCATTAAATGCACAGAAATAACCCACTGTTGACAGACGGAGGACACTGGCTGCACACATTTACTCTGGAAGCTTTATAACCACTGTTCCTCAGTGTACATCAACCAGGTGGAAAACTGAGTTCGTAACGAGCCTACAGTGGCTCATTTACTTGTCAAAAAATGGATTAAAACTAAGCTGCATCATGAAAAAGGGACAAATACAGTGAAATTGATAGGCCAGTCAGGGATAAAATAGGAATCAAAGCCATCGGTAATATCAAATAATGTATAATTTCTCCAAATGTTCAATATTTTACAGTCAATTCACTATACAGTATATTCTGTGAAGCGCTTCGAGACATCTTAGACGTGATAAGGCGCTATATCAAATGCAAGGATTATTATTATTGATAGTGGTGAACTCCCATAGAGACTGCTCAGCCTTGCCTCGATTTCCCAAGGTTGTGTAGAAAGATGTGTTATAGGACGTGATCAAGTTGATCAGGCGATGTGGTACCTGACGACGGCCTTGACAGTGGAACGCACCACGCTGGACAACAGGAAGAGAGGCGTGATGAGAATGTGGAAAAGGGAGAGGGAGGCGAAGGCCACAGCTGGCGAGAGGTCAGCGTCCTCAGACAGGTGGGTGTGAACCACGAACGTCTTTGGGAGAAATCAAAAACATCTGCAATCAGTTCTTTGTGTAAAGGGAACGCATCTGTATTCATTCTCAGAAACATCCAGCCATGGAAATTCACAGCGCAGGAGAGCCCACCACTGCTCTCCGAAACAGCTATGCATTTATGATAAAAATAATAATAATAATCCTTGCATTTGATAAGTGCCTTGTATGTTGGGAGGATGTCACAAACTCTTCACAGGAACATTACTGTAAAGTGTGGTACATTAACTGGTTTTGGATTCCTGCCTTCTCCCTCCCCACTGCAACTAATTTGCAGGTGGCAATGTCGTAAAAGCCATGAATTGGCAGTCTATACATTCTATTAAGAGTGAATTAGATAAAATAATAATCGCCTCATTTGATATAGCACCTTTCATGTCAAGAGGACGTCTCAAAGCACTTCACATGATTTACTGTAGTAGTGCAATGATTGTGTATTTGTGGTGCTCAATAAAGTAGATTATTAAAGAGTAAAGGGACCCAGTGGGAGTGGGAGATTGGACCATTAAAAACAATTAATTTCCTCAATAAAGATTTGCTTCAGGTGTTACTCTCAATGGATTATTTGTTGCAATGCATTTTGCCTCCAGGGGGACGGACCTAAGGCAGTTGCTGCCATTAGCGAAGAGACTACCAGCTGTGCTAAGGCAAAAGAAACACTGGCTACTTACTGTAAGGACTGCGGCGATGGGTATTGCTGCATTCATGAAAACTGCAAGTAAAATGAGAAATTCATGAACGAATGGAGCGGAACATGCTCAATCCTACCTAATCTAGAAAACATAAATAAGTTTATTCTGACCGTGTGGCCTCAATGTTACCCTCACACACGGTCTCAATGAACGTGTGAACGTTTACAACTCGACTGACCTCAAGCATTTCCCAAAGAACCAAGTTCCTGCCCACTTATCCCTCCTGGTTCATGCAGTTAGAATGTGTTTGGATGCAAAGATATGGGTGCAGATTGATCAACCCCATGAAACCCCTTTCTCTTTGACTGTGCCTTCAGCTCCCCTCTCGACTCTTTACCCCCTCCTCGCTCCTTCCCTTCCTTCCCCTTACCCTGACCATTTCTCCCCTGCTCGGGTCCTGACCCAACTGTACAGCGCCTTGGGACGTCCTCCCGACGTGAAAGGTGCTTGTTGTTGGAAGGGGTTTATTCAAGTTTTTCTATTCTGTTTTGAGTGTTATTGATGGATTTAAGCAATGTAGCATGTAATTTATAGAAGACATTAGTTTTTCTTATAAGTAACGTAAAGTCAATGTAATAAATAACATATAATAAAATGTACAAAATACATGTAAAAGCAGATAACTCCTGGTAATCTGCTGCTGTAAAACACACTGAAAAGCACACACTCCATAACATCACCCGACTCCGCCACTACCTCACCCCTCAGGCCGCTGAAACTCTTGTTCATGCCTTTGTTACCTCCAGGCTCGACTGTGCAAATGCCCTGCTTGTCAGCCTTCCCAATTCCTCCCTCCACAGGCTGCAGATAATCCAGAACTCTGCAGCCCGTGTCCTCTCCTGCACCAAACTCCATGACCCCATCTCCCCCACTCTCGCCCGACTCCATTGGCTCCTTATCCTTCAGAGGATCCAGTTCATAATCCTGGTCCTCACATACAAAACCCTCCATGGCCTCGCCCCACCCTACTTCTGCGACCTCCTAACCCCCTACCAATCCGCCCTTTCCTCCGCTCAGCCGGCTCTGGCCTGCTCCACGTCCCCCGACCCACCCACCCCACCATTGGCAGGAGAGCCTTCAGCCACTCTGCCCCCAACCTCTGGAATTCCATCACCAGTCACTCCGCCTCGCCCCCTCCTTAGCCTCCTTCAAGTCCCGCCTCAAGACCCTCCTCTTCGACCATGCCATCGGTCACCCCCCCCTTCCCCTACTTTCCCCACCCAATCCCAGCTCGGGTCTGAAATGCTGTACTCTGTCCAGCGCCTTGGGACGTCCTCCCGACGTGAAAGGCGCTATACACATGTAATCTTGTTGTTGTGTGACAGCGAAGTTAAAGAAAAGACATAAGATCCGTTGCTACATAACTATCAGATTTACTGTCCCCATTACCTTTATTACAGTACAACACAAGCCTGTTGCAAAACCATAAAACAAAGTTCAAATCAAACAATAAAATAAAACTACACATTAAATTTTACAATGCTTAATAAATAGCTGGCAGCACGTTGAGAAAAGCAATGCAGCTCTAGTATTCACGAACAGCAAAAGGGACCTCATTTCCGCTCCACTGAATGATGGAGGCACTGCAGCCTGTGAAGGGTGCTATATAAATGCAAGTAATTGTTGTTGTTGTTGGATCTTTTAACTCACTTTCAGCAATCTTCTCTCATCTATATCAGTGTTAGGATTACTCAAAGAGCTTTCAGACTGAAAAGTTGCTGGGAAGAAACAACTTGGAGTAAAATAATAATAATAATTCTTGCATTTGATATAGCACTTTTCACGTCTTCTAGACGTCTCAAAGCGCTTCACTGAATATACTGTAAAGTGAATTGACTGTATATTTGTGTGCGAAATGTGGCAGCCAATTGCAGACAGCAGTGTCCCACAAACAGTCGTGGATTGAAGTGACCAATTTATTATTTTTTTCTTTAGGGATTATTATTAGGTAAATGGAGTAAGGAAACTTGCCCAAGGTTTTGCCTTGCTGGGAATCGAACCTAGGTCTCCCGCTTGAGAGGCGAGTGCTCTAACCACTGAGCAACAGGACTCCACTAAAGATGATGGGACAAAACCCTAACCGAGACGTGACCTGGGCTGATAGTATGTTTAGTTCCTATTCTATTTACCAGTGTCATACAACCAGGTCACCTAACAGATGAGATTACATTGGTCATGACGTGTTGGGTCCCAGACTGGATCTCATCCAGTAACCCATGTGGATTGAGGACAGAGTATTTTTGGAGCATCGAACCATGGGCAATTGGGAAGTGGGTGCAAGAAATGGAAAATGGAGAGAATGTAGAGTGAGCACAGAAACAGTGAATTCAGGAATTAAGTTCTATAACTTGTGCTTTCCTCCTGGATCTTGTTTTCTTTCCTTTGTTTTCTGTTCTGTTGGGAGTAGTGGACGAGGCAACAAAAACAATTATACATTGTTATAGAACCTTTCACATCAGTAGGGCATCTCAAAGTGCTTCGCAAAGCTGATAGGGAGCATAGGTTCGGGGGCAAGGGGATGGGTGAGGAGAAAGAGATGGAGCTCAGGAAACACAACTTCTATTCTTAAATCAGAAACTTTGAAGAAAGGAAATGCATTAAGTGACTAACATCTTCAAGCTAATTGCCAGAAGATAATGTTGGAGAAGATAATGTTGACTGTTACTTGATATGGAGGTGTAGAGAGCGAAGGACTTGAGGCTCGTCAGCTCCTTGCGCCGTGTCTCCTCTACACTGTTGTGGAAGATGTGCTCCCAGGCATACAGCTTGAGGACCTTGATCCCTCGCAGCATCTCATTAGTTTTCCTCAGCCGCTCACTTGAATATTCCTGCCGGAGTGAGAACAAAGAGCCACCGATCTGACGACAGACTAAAGTATCTCAGGATCATCTCACCTCACGGTCAGCCTCTCTGCACTGGAACACATACACAAATACAGCACCTCCGGCATATTCCTTATGCTGGATAGATTTCCTGATCCTTGCAAAACCAAACTACAAAACACTTGGTTTCTTCTTTCCAGAATTGTAACAAAGTGTGAAGTGCATTATTTCAACCACAAAAATGTGAACGCTGGCGAGCAATACTTTATGACTTGGCCAAAGTACGGCTTGGACTAAATCTAGCACAAATCTCCTTCAGCTCTGCCTGAAGCTAGATACTACTGTGGACAGATGGAAGGAATGGCAGGCCAAACAGCTCAAGTTGCTCAGGAGCACCCCCTTGTGGTTACTCAAAGTTCAGCAAAGGGTGGTGATTGACTGTAGGTCTTATCTCATCGTGGAATATGGCTTGGGGTACAATAATAAAACACAACAAAAAATAACAAAATGTAATTCTAGTAGAGAAAGCAGGATTTTCCGAGAAAAATAATACACACATTTGATACATCAATTGAAGAGGTACTTACCAATGTGCTTCTTTGGGCCTGAGAAAGCTTGGTTGCTACAAAATATTGAACTGGGGCCAGCACTGCAATCACTGTTGCTCCAATTAAGGCACTGATTCCAAGGAGGTAGTACAGAAGGATCACACCCACAATGATCTGGTACAACAGAGAATGACAGTTCAGACAGGATCCACAGTGTCCCATTAACATAGCAGCAGTGAAACATCCTGTAAATGAGTCAAAGCTTTCATATCCAGTCAAGAAGCCAGGTCTGACACATGCGGAAACCCATCATCATGCTGAAGAGCACCCAAACCAAACTGAGATTTCCATGCATCCCACCTACACATGAAATTCTCAAAGATAGTTTGTTGGAATGGAATGCACACACTCTCTCCCTGGAGGGACACATCCTGCTTACTCAATTCCGGAAAGTATTAGATGCAGGTTGGCAAGAGCCAAGGCTTGGGGACCCAAGAGTGGGGTACTGCTGGAGTCTAACCAGTTAAAACCTGGCCATTGATCTTGCTGTCCAGCAAGCAACTAAGGCTTGTGTGACTTGATGTTTTTTTTAAAATCAAAGCTGCAAAGAGCTGACACCAAGTATTCTCCCTGTTGGATTTTCCCCAGGTTTGTGCTACACCAAATAAACAGTGAACATTATCCCCAAAAAGCCCAATTTAGCTGAAGACTTAAATATACTTTCCATTTTCTCGCTGTTCTAATATCTCTCTTATAAACCTAACAGAATACAAGACTTGTTAGCAATCCATTTTCTCCTAAGCTTCTAATTCACTGTCCCACAAGTTCTTAAGGGAAACCAATTTTTTCACACAATAAGAAACTGCTTCAAGTTATAATGGGAGGATGGTTAGGTTTGTATTCTGGAAGAATGAAAACAAATGGTCTGAATCGTTTTCATCTCCAAATTTTTTCTTGTGATCTATCATTCCTTCTTCCCCAGGTCCCCAAGTCTATACAATTTCCCAACTCCCTCAGTCTTCCATCCTTCACATAATCTGTAGGTTTTCAGTGTACTCGTGTGACCTTGTTCCTTTTCTGATTAATCGGTTTCTCAATTTTCTTTCTCAACCTTGGTGGAGTCCTTCACTGTGAGCCACAGTACATTAAATCTATACGATTTCTTACCCACCCCCAACAAAATCTAAGTAGACTTTAATCCTCAATACTAATCCAAAATATTTCAATGACTTTCTAAATTCTGACAAAAATTCATGCATCATTAATGAAGACCGTGGCTTCACAACAGTCCCTTTCCAAGGAATATGAATTAAATAGAATTTGCTGATGCAGATTGAGCAATCTCTTTACTGTCTGAAACTGATCTCCACCAGCTGCTCCAAGATTGCGGCGGATGCTTTTTAGCTGCCAGGGAAAACATTGCACAAGCCCCTGGAGATTTAGCAATGGGAGATCTTCCCGTGAGGTCCTCCACAAATAGTCTTTATTCACAGAAAGAATGTAGGAAGAGAGGGCCAATAGCCTGGCAAGGCTGTTCTGCCATTTTATTAAATCATTGCACATTTTTAATGTCACTGCCCTACGCCTTTTAATGCTCTTATTTCCAAAATATAATTTGGGATTATGTGAGTTCATAGAGTGAAATGCCAGAAATTCCCAGTTACTCCTTTGTGTGTTCCTGACCTCACATCCATCTCCTTCCATGTCGAGTTACTGCTGGCAGTGAGACACTTTCTCCCATTATCCAATCGCTCTCTCTTCAACTGCTTTGGTTACATGGTGTATCGCTAATCCTCAAAGATGAAAGTGATGCTTATTTTTAATCAATCGCTGGTTTACTAGTCCTTCAGAAATTAACGATTGATATGACTGGGATCAGGGTGTGAAAGGGAACAGTAGGCCCTGAATTGTTGGTATATTCGCAACTGAAACACTCATGACACAGAGTGCATGGTGTCAATTGAGATTGCCCTTCAAAAACCTAAAAGTTCAGGAAATTGTCCGTAGGATATTGCATGTTTCATTGCTCTGTACAGCAAGCAAGGGGAGGTAATCAAACAAGCAGAATTAAAGTCTTGGATGTCAGTGATTTGGCCCCAGAACCTGCCTGTGTTGAAGAGGCACAGAGCTGAAAAAGTGATTAACAAAACTTCAGAAACAGTGTGTCATGGAATCTAATGGGGGGTGGGGGGAGATAGGTGCGAGAGACTTTCCATTGCAAAGTCTGCACCATCTGTGATTGTAATATGTACCATGTGTAGTTGGGCTGTATGTTGGCCCCTGCTGTACTTTATCCTTGAATCTGATAATAATCCAATTTTAACCATTCAAAAACATAAGAAAGTGTCTGGTGGGTATGGTATCATCGCTCAGTTGATAAACAGATTGCTACAATTGTTCTTTGCCAGTCCCACTTCCCCTTCTCAGGCGTAACAAGGGAGATGGGAGAGGAACAGCTGGAAAGAGTGGTGTATGTGTACACGTCAAGCAAGGACAGGAGCCACCAAATATTCTGCCTAGTCTACCCTGTGAGACCAGAACTCAACTCGCAGTACTGTTGCCTCTGCATCAGAGGGTTGAGTTTTTCATGCTTTATGAGTATGGGAAACGGGCAGGTAAATGGAACTGAAACGATTGCTCTTCAAAAAGTACAGACCCAAAGGTTGAATGGCCTTCTTCAGTGATGTAAATTGCTATGGTTCTATGTTTCCAGGTCAGGCATTCCAAGTAAATACATTCCCTTAACCTCTCGGTTTCCTTTTGGGCAAATTACTTTAATACAGTTATGGGAGTATAAGTCACTAAGGTTTATAGAGTTTCTTCCCCACACACATTTATAATAGCACTGAACAACTTACACTTGTATTAGCACCAATCATGTAAAATTAACATCTTGAGACAGTTAAGTAAGATACAGAGCTCTGAGCCGGGAGAGTTAATTGACTAACAGCATGATTTAAAGGACATGTTTTGTGGAGAATCGCGAAAGCTTGGACAGGGAAATAATGGCAAAGAGAATTCCAGAGGACAGAGGTGTAGTGATTGACTGGTGGAGGCAATTGCAATTGGACCAAAAATCAGTTAAATGGGAGATGACTGCCCAATCTCTTCTTGTACATCAGCATCTGGTCATGAATCATTCTATTGTTCACCTACCAATATACAATCACTACACTTTACTGTGAAGACCTATAGGATTTAAGAGTACCAGAGTGCCGTGGGAACTTTGTCATCAATTCTCTGACCATGCAAAGCATTAATGCCAAATGAAAGGATTATTAGTATTATTTATCACAACACCCAGTGTCACATTCATCCAAATGGAGGACAGTGGGCTGAGAGGAATGGACTGAGGCTGCCAGAGTTAATTGCTATCCCAGAGTCTTAACTATTACCTGAAACAGATTATTTTGCCAGAGTCACGCTTGAATGATTTGCTGTCAAAACTGTGAAGAGATTTTACAATAGTGCAATGTATTCCCTTATTTCAGACCTGCGCAGAAAATGATCAGCATACAATGATCATCAAAATGTCCGTTCAATAATTACAACCCAGCTTGAAAGATTCCTCTTGTCAAACCTTCTTCCCCTGGTCTGATAGCTGTTTCCTCACTAACCTTTGAATCACTGCCTGACAAGTCTTTTTTCGTGACTTCTTTAATGTCATTGTAGTCATTGTTCCTTTAGGTTCTTCCTCCTCATCTCCACCTACTCTTGTTTTTTACAATGTATTTAAGAGAAAGCTTGATGCATACATGTGGGAGTAAGGAATAGAAGAGGTATAGTGAGGGCATTAGACTAAAGTGGAGTATAAACATGGACTAGTGGGCCCAATGGTCTGTTTCTGTGGCTCAATGCTCTATGTAGTTCTGTGTAAGATTGCTTCTCACTGTGCTGAAATTAACATTCATTGCAGTGGCTCCTGTTTCCCCAGGATCTTCAGGCCCTGGAGCTCATATCGCTCAGTTTTCCCTTCCTCCCACATTCTGCAAACATTTTTTGCTCATGCGTGAGCCTGGGCAGTGAAGGTTGACAAACCATTTGGGGTCTCAGACAAGCTCGATCCTGTCCTCACCAACAGCCCAAACACATGCATTTGAGTGAGTTATTAGGAGCAGGAACCCTGGTTCATTGTCCCACAAATAGCCATGAAGGGAAGACTTGGGTTAAGATTCACTGGGAGATAATAATAACATTGGTCCGGTGGGAAACGCACAGTATGAAACCTTATTACTGGCACTAATAGAGTTAAATGGCTTTGTCCCACCAACTCTAGTGCCAAAGCAAGCAGAGAACATCAGCAGGAAACAACCACCAACAAGATGCATTGAAACATAAAGGGAGACAAGACAATACCTCGCAAACCTATGATTCCATTACTGTCATTATTCTTCCACAACAAGAAGTTATTGTGCAATACTGCAGGTCTGTGCCAAGTTCCCATCTATGTGTGGGGCCATGGCAGATGCTAGCCTGTGTTGTCATAGTTACCAAAATGGAACATCTGCCACACTCCAGTGACAAATAGTAGGGGCTTCACACCCAGAGCACTGAAAGTCACTTAATACCATCACAATCTTCACTATCAAAACACTGCATAACAAGCAGTTACAAAGATTCTCGATTGGAGCCAAGAAAATAATGAGGGAGGAATGGACACAATAATAACAATCCTTGCATTTAATATAGTAATTGAGACGCCTCAAACCACTTTGCAGAATATATTGTAAAATGGATTGACTGTATCTTGTGGACGAAATGCAGCAACCATTTGTGCACAGCAGTGTTCCACAAACAGTTGTGGAATGAGTGACCAATTTTATTTATTTTGGAGGGATTATAACCCTTGGAACGCAATACGCCAATTGAGTAACAACCATGTTCCTACTTACTGATAGGTTACCAGAGACGTATGGTGTAAAGAGAACTTGCTTAAGGTAACAATCTTTTGTCAGCCTGGCTCAGTTGGTAACACATTCACTTCGGATTCTAAAGATGTTGGTTCAAGCCCAACATCCAGACTTGGAACTCAAACAGCTTCACCTTTATCAAATAAATGATGATTAATTCCTATTTCAGCTGGTGCATATCAACGCTGTAGCAGTGATGGTTTAAGAGTTAATATCTCCTCAGTGTTGTTCAGCTAACTCCCCTTTGACTGCTCTCAATCACTCTCAGGTAAATAAGATATACTGTTTCCCAGTGATAAGAGTGACCCAAATCTTTCACAAACAATTCTTTTCACCTATCTGAAATGAATTGCACAATATGTTTAATTCACAAAGGTGTCTGTTCTGTTTCTAAGCTTCACTTAATTACATAGAGTGATTTCATCTCTCTCTCACTCACATAAAACACACACTCACCAATAGACACTTGACTGCTCAGATGTTCAAAACAAGCTGTAGATGGGGATAATGAAATGGCATTAAAGAGCCCAAACAAGACATGTGGAATCCTGCAGAGCACTCATCTCATAATCGAGAGGACTTAGGTTCAATCCCTGGGCAGGGCAAAACGTTAGACAAGTTTCCTTACTCCATATGCCTCTATTTACCTACAGTAAGTAGGAACCCGTTTGTTAGTTGATTGGCTGATCGCTTTTCCAGAAGTAATAATCCCTCAAAAACAAATGTGGTTACTCAATCAATGACTCTTTGTGGGACACTGCTGTTTCACCCACAAAATATACTGTCAATTCACTTTGCAGTATATGCTGTGAAGTGTTTTGAGACATCTCAAAGATGCGATAAAAGGCCATATCAAATGCAAGCATGATTATTAATATCACTATTAGGGTTTCGCTGGTTTGAATGGACATACCAGGAAAACAAAAAAATGACAGTTAAACTCCAAATTGGAGCCATTTGTAGCCCATGAAGCATCAATAGCATTATGCTGTCTGGCAAGCTTCCCACTGCCTATCCAGCTGGAACCACTCTACCCATTAAGGTTTAAGGTGCAGGGTTAACAAGAGCCAGTTGGGAAGGATCCCTTTGCCCTGTGACTATTCTGCCAGTTCATTTCCAAGGAGATCCCATTTCAGTCACAAACAGACCATGTTCAAGATCTTTCTGAGTGACTTAATAATAAAGATTGTCTGGAAAATATCTTACTTGAAGTTTGTTCATTTTAAACTCATTAATCTATTAATCAATTTCCAAAGGAAGCTTTTCCTGGTTTCCTGGCCAACAATCCCCCAAATAAAATCAGTTGTTCATTTCATGGTTGTTTGTGGGACATTGCTTTGTACAAATTGGCTGTCATGTTTGCCTACAAACATGGTCACTTCACTTTGCAGTAAATCCTGTGAAGTGCTTTGAGACATTAACAACATGACAAGGCACTATATGAAATGCAAGGATTATTATTATTACTTCAGAACTTGCAGGCTAAGTTCAACAGCCTGATTTTTACTACTTCTGTCATCTGTGTCTCTTAGCATTTTAATTGCCTTGATCACATCCTCCTCATTTGTCTTTTTCTAAGAAAACAATTCAGTTCCTTACGTCTCTTGGAACAATACACGAGGGAGAGGTTACAAAGGACAAGGATATAATTAGTGGCTAAAGTTTATATGTGACACAATGAGTCAATAAAAAAAAGAAGGGAGGGAAAGTGGGAAAGAGACTGGGGCAAAAGATAATAATTTGCTTTGCCCACAGAAATTATTGTAGTTCAGTGAGATTTACCAATACAGTCAAAGACTAGAAATACTTAACATGTTACGATAATTCTGCCTATAAACGGTGGCATGAAGAATCAAATCATTCCCTTGTGTATGAGGGTTCTGTAATCTATCTTACGCTAAAAATAGTCATGTTGTAGTTATAATGGGAGACATTATCTGTTGCTTCCTAACCAATGAAAACCCCAGTGCCAGCCAAGTGTGCTCAATACAGCACTTTCAGAACTGAGGCCTAGACAGCTCCAGTTCAGCTCCCAAGCAGGTTCAAAGCTACCATTCCCGTTAATAATAATAAATATAATCCTTGCATCTGATACAACGCCTTATCAAGTCACTGAGATGTCTCAAAGCACCTCACAGGATATACTGTAAAGTGGAGTGACTGTATTTTGTGGGTGAAATGAGGTAACACAATTGCACACAGCAATGTCCCATAAACAGTAAGTGACCGATTTTATTTGGGGAATGTTAGCCAGGACACTGGAAGAGAGAAACTCGCTTCTCTTTTTGAATAGTGCCATGAGATCTTTATCATCCACGCGAACAGAACGGACCTTGGTTTATTGTCTCATCCAAAGTTTTCATTGAAAATACATGGCTCAGTCACGGCAAGATCCTAGCAGAGAGTAGAGATGGGTCCCAGGTATCCTCTGGATGCAGGGATTTCACATTAAAGTTTGGATATATGTTTAGCAATATACAATTATTTTGCTATAGTGAGGCACAGAAAGTTTTAAAAAAATACATTTATAAAGTTTCCATGAAAGATTACAAGAGAGGTACAGTTGAAGAAGATCCTTCGAACGATTTAATTTCAATCTTCCAGAATACATACTCAGCTGCCCTTAATTCAATCCAGTGCCTTGGCTTTCACTGCTCCACCCGGTCAATCTTTACATAAAGAAAAACCTCAAGGTGTCTGTGCTAAAATTGCCCTTCACTCTCCTGAACCTGTATCTCTTCACCTGCTGCTTTGCAACATCTGAAAGGATGATATGAAGAACTCTAACTTCATACAAGAATCAGCTCAATTGCTCATTGCTTAATGTGATATGGCGAGTTACACTGTAGACTGATTGCAGTGATAACAATGCAATAAATAATATCACAAACTCAGTGATATTATCTCAATTAAGGTCAATTGTTCCCCAGGGAAAGTAATAATACAATAATAAATCACTGCAGGAATATGCTGCCTTCCAAGCCAGGAGAATATCACATTGGGACTTTGAGTGTACAGTCTAGACTGACACTCCATTGCAGTGCTGGTCCTCATCTTCAAAAACCTCTATGGTTTTGCTCTACCTCTGCCACCTCCTAATATCCTGCCAACCTGCCCGCTCCCTCACGCAGCGGACTCCGGCCTGCTTCACATCCCCGCCTCACTCGCCCCACCATTGGCAGGCAGGCTGTCAGCCACTCTGGCCCCATCCTCTGGAACTCCATCCCACAGTCCCTCTGCATCACCCTTTCCCTTGCCACCTTCAAGACCTCTGAACCCCGTCTTCGACTGTGCCTTCGGTCACCCTCCTTCCCTCTCGGCTCTCCACCCTCTCCGATCCCGACCCCCAGCTCGGGCCCTTGTCCAGCGCCTTGGGACATTCTCCCGATGTGAAAGACTCTATTCAAACGTAATTTTGTTGTTTTTGGGGTGTGCATCAGCAATTGTTGGAGGTGCCATCCTTTGGATGAGACTTTAAACTGAAGCATCCCTGCACCCGTTGATGCGGATGTTAAAGATCCCATGACCCTAATAGAAAACGGAAGAGACTTTCTTTCCCGATTTCCTAGTCAACAATCCCGAGATAAAACTGATCATTCATTTCATGGCAGTGTGTGGGATATTGCTGTGTGCAAATTAGCTGCTGCATTTGCCTACTTAAAAAATCCAGTCACTACACTTTACAGTAAATGCTGTGAAGCGCTTGGAGACATCCTCCTGATGTGAAAGACGATGTATTAAATGGAACGATTATTCTGATATTCTTGGAGAGAGATTGGTTTTATCACACACTTACCTGCACTGGCATGGCCCACAGGTTGGGAGAGAGAAAGAAAAACCACATCAGCTGGTTTGTATCTATGGCCACCAGGTTGCAGATCTGCCCCATTGTCATCTCCCCCATGGACATGTTTGAGGTCGACAGACGGAGAATCTTGTTGTAGATTTTTGTCTGAAATTTAAATAAAATAAATGAGACTTGTAATCTTTCTCACAATTTCACCAAGGTAAGAAACATATATAAAGAACATCTGCAATTTCTGGGAAATGAGCAAGAACCCAGCTCCAACTGTGCCCATCTACTGCAATAATATTATATTTCTGATTCAGCATTCAGTGGTGACAAGAGGCTGTAGGTTAGTGGTGGAAATACAAAGAAACTGGAATAAAGCCAATCTCAAAACATAGTTAGGATGGTGCAATGATTTTCCAAATTCCCCTCACACACAATCATAGAAGGACTTTGCAGCCTCATGAACTGTGACAATGCAAGGCTACCAACATTCATTTATGAAGCTACAGAGGTGCATTATTCACACATTAGAGTTAATTCTACTTAACCTTGGAATAGAACAGCAAATCCATCTTCTTACTACTGTGTAGAGTTTGAGTGTCAAATGTTCTGGGTAATCAACTGATACCATTCAGCAGCCAGTCTGTCAGTCATAGACTAACTGAGGCATAACCCATGAATACAAAATACGGTCAAACCACTTCACAGTATATCCTGTGAAATGCTTTGAGATATTTCCATGACAAGATAAGGCACATATCAAATGCAAGGATTATTATTATTATCTTCCTAATCTATGAGTAAGTAACCTCCCCTACATGAGAAGCTAAAACCTCTCACTGGGGGTANTTTTTACAATGTCAGTTACTTCGATCCATACAAATCGCACCCTACATTTAATTTCCTCCTACATAAAAGGAGGAAATTAAAATGAATGGAATAATGTTAGTAGACTTCAAAAGCAAATTGTTCAGTTACTTCAATGCATACACATTTTACCCCTGCCATAAAAGAAATTAAAATGAATAGAATAATGTTAGTAGAGTTCAAAAGCAAATCGTACTTTCATTCAAGAAATCAAACGAAAATATTAAATCCTCTGCAAAGCACAATTCTCGTACAGACCATGGAGTAAACCAGCTTGAAGCATTTCTTAGTTATCCTGAGTGAAGGTAGAAATCAATCGCTGCAGCAAGCAGTTTCACTGTGGCTCAGTTGGTAGCACTCTCACCTCTACATCAGAAGGTTGTGGGTTCAAGACCCACATCAGGACTTAGCTTAGACACGATGAGTTCTGACACTACAAGGCAGTGGTAGAGATTTGCTGCATTACTGGAGATGCCATACTTTGGATGAGATGTTAAACTGACCCCTTCAGACTATGATAATCCTTGCATTTGATATAGTGCTTTTCACGTCTTCTAGACGTCCCAAAGCTCTTCACAGAATATACTGTAAAGTGAATTGACTGTATATTTGTGGACAAAACTCAACATCCAATTGCGCACAGCAACGTTCCGCAAACAATCATGGATTGAGTGACCAAATTGTTGTTTTATTTATTTCCTTGAGGGATTATTACCAGGCACGTGGAGTAAGGAAATTTACCAAAGGTTTTACCCTGCCAGGTCTCTCATTTGCGAGGTGAGTGCTCTAACCACTGAGCTTCAGGACTCCAGTGGGATAGCTACAAGTCTATCTGTTCAGAAGGAAACTGAAGATCCTACGCTGCTATTTGAAAAGAGAGGGGAGTTTCTCCCAGTGTTTTGGGCAACAATCCCAGTTATTCACTTCCTGGCTGTTTGGGGGACACTGCTGTGAGCTAAGTACATGCCGCATTTGCCCACAAAACAGTCACTGCACTTTATGTGAAGAGCTTTTGAAGCACATTGAGACAGCTTCCAGATGTAAAAGGCATTGTATCAAATGGATAAGGATTATTATTATTTCAAGTGTTTATGGCTTGTGTTCACTTTATCACAAGGAACCAAAAGAAGTGTCAAGTTCAGCAGTAGGTCATGGATTTTACTATTTCAGGAAAAAGCATGCTAGTTAACACCAGCCTCATATGCGAACTTTCAAACTCTTAAAATAAAATCTATTGAGGGTAGTCAGGTAGAGCTCTTTATTTTCCATCTGGTGGTCCTGAAATAAAAACATTTACATGCAGCTCAGTCTATCACGCTCAATTTGATCACTTCAACCAAAAAAATCTAATTGCCTCTCAAATTGGTTCACGTAATCTAATCTGCCTGAGCCCACCTGCCTGGACAATCAATTCTGCATGTGCCCCATTCTCTTTGCAAGGTTATTAAGTCTAAAGTGTCTACTCTCCTTCCCTGAGCTTTAGTCCCATTACAGAACCATTGCCTGGCAAGATATGTGCAGCTCTTTAAGAGAAGAGTGTACCTGGTGGTACCTTGTCTAAGACTCAAGCCTTGCTCAGTGGAAAGCTATTCAGATTCTGCTGGTTTGCAGGTTTAGCAGGAGAGTTAATAGGATGAAAAGATCAGATAATAATAATAATAATAATAATCCTTGCATTTGATATAGCGCTTTTCACGTCGGGAGGACGTCCCAAAGCGCTTCACAGAACACACTGTAAAGTGAATTGACTGTATATTTGTGGGCGAACGCGGCAGCCAATTGCGCACAGCAATGTCCCACAAACAGTCGTAGATTGAATATGACCAATTTATTATTGTTTTTGGTTTTGGAGGGATTATTATTAGGCTCTGTGTGGAGTAAGGAAACTTGCCCAAGGTTTCGCCCTGTCTGGAATTGAACTCAGATCTCTCACTTGCAAAGCGAGTGCTCTAACCACTGAGCTACAGGACTCCATATGAAGAGGGGGCTTTGACAAGCAGCATTGCAGGGTGCCTGGTCTGATAGAAGGAAAACAAGAGTCAAAATACTGCAACAAGAAAGGGAGAAAAGAGACCAATTGGCAGAAACCATCCCAAGAGGAAATATCTTAGCAACACGACAAATTCTAACCTGAATAATCAATCAGTACCTGGATGGCTCCTCGTAGGTTAATTCCAGTTTCTATGGCAACGTAGTATGATGCCTGGAGAAATGTCCTTTGGAGAAGCAGGGCCAGAAATAAAAGGACAGCGAGGACATAGGCATTGGCCAGGAATTCCTGGGACGAAATGAAGTAAACTCCCTGCAGTTTGACCTGCGAAGGAAGAGCAGGGGCTGTGAGTAATGCATCACATTCCACATTACAAAATATAGTATTTTAGACATTCTGTTTTTTAATAATGTGTTGGCACCAAAGGAAGTCCTTTTGCCACTGCAAATCCCAAGTCAACTCAAAGGGACAGTAGTTTATTACTGGGACCCCAACCTATCCGCTTTGCTGTATTGAAGACCACTTATAACAATGCAATCCTGAAAACCACATGCAATTCAGTGTTCCGAATTGAAAACTAATCCCTAAACTATTCTAGCATCAATCAAGGCTTTTGCTGTGAAATGTCAGGCTGACTAAGCCCACTACAAGTGCTTTTCATGACAGTAATTATTTTGTCCCCACATTACAATGGAAACTTACAACAGCGCTGACCTTTCTCTTCTATAGATTGAAACAAGACATGCACTTCTAAAATATTACTTTACAGTCATATGATGTAATCAGTACAGGTAAGAGAGCTACCAACTGAGCTAGTCTGGCACAAAAGGGATTAGGAATAGGGAAACAATAATCCTTGCATTTGATACAGCGCCTTTTACATCAGTAGGAAGTTCCAAAGCACTTCACGGGATTTAATATAAAGTATTCTATTTCAGTAGCCAATCCATGCACAGCAATGTCCCACAAAGTCATATGTGGAAACACTATTTTGATGAGCGACTGGTAAATCTATGGAACAGGCTCCCTAGGGAGTCTGTGGAAGTAGAAAGTGTCGATTCTTTCAAATGCAAATTAAGATAGATTTCTTTTAGGAAATAATATTCTTGGATACAGTATATGAGTAGTTCCAGACAAGACATGTGCATGCGACTCCCAGGATGGTGGGAGGTGAACTGGATGGACATTGGTCTTTGATCCTCTAGCATTTCCTAAGTTCCTATAATTCTCCTCTATCACTTCAATGTTTCTGAAATCAAACTGGCTCAGTAGGTAGCACCTCCAACAATAATAGCACTCTTCCAACATTGCACTGCCGTGTCAGCCTAGATTGTGAGTAACACCTTCACTTTGAATAATACCTCTAAATGCTTTACAGACATGGGGGTGGAGTAAGGGAAAGATGGTGGGGGTTGGTGGGAGGGTGTTGGCAGGTGACCACAGATGCAGCCAAAGAAATAGGGTTTCAGATGGGATTTCAAGACAAATAGAGGTGAGACAGAAAGGCAGAGAGAGAGAATTCCAGAGGTTGCCGGTGGTTCAGATGAAGGTTCAGCTATCAATGGTGTCAAGCTGAGGAGTGGGGTAAGAGAAGATCACAGTGGTAGGGAGGTGGTACTAGCATGAAGAGATTTACAGGTGAGGGGGAGGACCTTAAAGTTGAAAGGTAGCTTGAACCCCACTGTACCTGAGGTCGGAAGGTTTTGTTTTCATCGCTCAGGTGATGTACAATCCCAGAGATGCACAGAGGGCCTGCGAATCCCAGTAAGTCGGCCATGATGCGGAATGTACTGCTGAGGACGATGGGACGCCCGAACGCCTGCCGTAACACTCGCCAAATCAGCTTTGAGCCCTGGGGGCCAATGGAGGTCTTCTTCTACAATAGACAGAAGCACATTCAACGTTAAAGCAAGCGCATAGTACGATGCATTTTAATAGTCAATTCCTTAACGTAGCAAATCATATCAAGTAAAATACCGTGGGATTGTGTTATAAGGCGGTAGTTGGGGTTCGTAAAATTCTAATCCCCATTATAACACAGTACTTGGCAACACCAGAGACGACACTGCGCATGCCGACTCCATCCCCACGTGAAATCCCGCTGTCACATTTCATACCCGTCGTCGCCCACTTTGTGTTCAGGTAGGAAAATGTTTTGGAGCACAAACCGCGTTATAGGTAAATGTGCGTTTTAGCAAAGTGGTTTGGAACCAAGTTCAATGGTATTTGCATTCGATACCACAGCTTACGTCACAAGGTCTCAATGCACTTCATACATTGTTTTCAAGTCACTTATCTGAGCATATACAGTAATTTGCTTTTAAGCACAACGACTGATTCTGTGTAATTAATCATTGCAGCTAATATGCACCAACAAGGTCTAAAACCAGCTGTGAGGTGGAAATTTAATGCATTGACATTTTGGTGAGTTCGGATGAGGGGGGAATATTGGCCAAGAAACTGGGAACTCATCGTTGAAATGGTATCCTTCTAACATGGACCTGAATCACTAGTACAGGATTTCAGCACAGATCCCATATTTCAGTGGTGGCTTTACCTGAGCTATTGCAGAAGCAGCATTGCTTTTGAAAACTATGTACCTTTAAGAATGTACTTCCGTATTTTAATTTTAAGCATGTAATAAATATACTCATTTTCAATTATTTAAGTGAATATTTGGAGATTTACATTTCAAGTGTAAAACAAGTCCAGCTTCCAAATTATATTCAATTGAAGTGTGTGCAATAATATAGTATAAATGTAAAGAAAAACCTTGTATTTCAAAAAGCACCTGTAACATGTGCAAGATGTCTGAAATCATTTCGCAGGATTTAATATGCTTTGTCAGTGAATGTAGATCTTCGTGTACAGGTTTTTCTTGAAGTCAATGTACATCTGTGTGTGTGGCTATCAAAACCTGCAAAGAGCCTTTTCTGTTCTGAAGGCTGATATAATACAAAACGCAACTGAAAATGAAAGCCTTTTGGGTGTGAAATTAGTTCAGCTGCAAAATATTGGGCATAATCAGTGAAATTTAAGAGGGTGTTGTTTAAGTAATATTTTGATACATTTTTCTAGCAATTATGGACACAAGCACAGACACTGCATTATTGTTTTGAAAGAAGTTGGACTCATTATTTAGCACTGCAGTGAATGTCTGAGGAATTAAACCGAGCGAGACCCTGTCATAGGAGGATTTATGTTACATGTTAAGTTTCTTCTTAAGTGTATTGATGCTTTCGGATTCACCCACAGCTTCTGGCAGAGACACCCTCTGGATTGAGAAGTTCCTCCTAAACTCCCTTTTAGATCTGCTCCAGGGTGTTTCATATTTATGCCTCCTCAATTTTGACTCACCAACAAGTAGATACAGCCTGTTAATGTCATGAGCCTTGAATGTGAAAAAGGCTTCCCTCATTGACGCAGGGGTTGCTTGATTAATTCCTCGAATCTCATGCTCCCTCTGACATGACGTGACAATGTAATTAGATGCACGAGAGGCAAAGATAACACGTGTATTCAGTTTGTATTGCTACTTAAGTGAGTTAATGCATAAAATTTACACATGATAAAGAGGACCATATCGTTAACAGGGGTGGAGGGAGATGGGGGATTTGAAGCTTCTTCTAACCTGGCATTCCTCGTCCTGAGAAATTGGTCTTACATGCAGAGAATGAATGAGTATTATTGCATGTACAGGGTGTAGGGCAGTGAGAAACTGATGGCAACGTGTATTGCCTGCCTTAGTTTATTTGGAGGCAAAACGCAGATTCTCGCTCTCTAGGCCAACCACAATGGCTATGAAGAGGCCTTCAACAAAATTGATCTCTGCCTATTCATCCATTCGTCATGAGTAATGAAATCCTTTACCTTTTGTGCGTCATAAGCGTCCTTCAAGTCGATGTAATTGGTGGCGGCCCTCATTGCGAAAGGAAGCTTGCCGATGGCCTTCAGGTCAATCGGCCGCTTGTGTGCAGTTGTGATGAAGGTGTTCATCCACCAGTAAGTACCTTTGGACAGCAGGTTGACAAAGGGCTGTAGGAATCGCACCCCCAAATCCTGTAGGTCCTCTGGAGGTTTCACCTCCCGTGAATGCTTGTAGAAGATGTAACGCTAAGATAGTACAAACAACCCAGTCAGCAATATTAATCCTTGCATTTGATATAGCACCTTATCAAGTCTTCGAGCTGTCTCAAAGCACTTCACAGAAAATACTGTAAAGTGAACTGACTATATTTTGTGGGTGAAAAGTGGCAGCCAATTGAGCACAGCAGTGTCCCACTAACAGTTATGAATTGAATGGCCAAATTACTATTTTGAATTATTTATTTTTTGAAGGCATTATTACTCCCAGAATAGCAATCCACCAATCACAAACAACCGGATTTTATTTACTGCTAAGTAAACAGAGGCATGTGGAGTAAGGAAACTTGCTCAATGTTTCGCCCTGTTTGGGAAACAAACCCAAGTCCTCTCGCTTGCGAGACAAGTGCTCTAACCAATACACTAAGACTTCACTTCTCCTAAAAACAGCCAAGGGAAGCATGTTGGGAGCTTATCACATCAGCAGTCTGAGCAGAGCAAATTCACAGCCTCTGGCAATTGATCTCAGAATTGTTAACATCCTTTTGTAGCCATCAACTGATGTCTGACATCAAAAACTTCACTGAAAGCAGCCTGGAATAGAATTCTCTGAATATTATAGTAATCCTTGCATCTGATGCAACACCTTTCATGTTGGCTCCCAAGCCTTTGCTAGTGTCAGTCTTGTTATGTTTGCACTAAATCATCCCAAGGCAACTCCAACACTAGTTTCCCCTTTCTCCCTATGGAGAAGCCCCTTCTGCATTTCCCTCTGTCACTGAAGTGAAGACCAGACACATGCAAGGTAAAGAAGAACCCGAGACATTACAGCTAACCAATTCACACACTTTACACTACCTTCCTCTTTCCTTGGCAGCCTGCAGAGATATGCATAGTAGAAATGTCATAGGGTACTAAGCTTAGGGTAGAAGTAACTTGACAGAGGTTGCCTGAATTCACATCTCCAGGCACAAGAAGTATTGCTGAAGCCTGTAATGTTCCCTGCAGTCATGACCAGCAATTAAATGTAAACCGATCAAACTTGAAGAATACTTTATCAAAATGCTTTTCGCACTAAATTATTTGCAAAGTAATTTGAAAATATCTCTCTTGCAATGCTGAGTTTATTGGCTCTGCACTTTGGAAAGTCTGTGCTGTTGGCAATACCCATCCGAAGTGGACAAATAACAAGCCCTTGTAATACCATTTCTGCTCTAAGGTCAATTTGATTTCTTGTTTCTCTCTCGATACAAAGGCCATCAGATATACAAGAAAGACTGCTTCCATTTGATATGCTGCTGTATTTCAGGTGTATTATACAGTTCTATTTCCACATGGTGTGCAATGGATTACATTGTCCTGGATGTTTGAACTTCCTTTTACTTCCCCAATTTATAATTTGACCTCTTTAGTTTAGTACACAAGTGCATCTGACATTACTGAGTGGTCACTGTTGATCACAACAGAAATTGGAATGATGTTCAGATATCTAAGAGATTTCTTTGGATTCCTGTAGGCCAGGCAGAACACAAGGCTTCCTAATTGTTAGAATCCTTAAGAGAAAGTCACCAGCATTTCTTCTCAGTCTAACAAGTACGACCAATTTAGAAAGTATCTCAGGCTGAACTATAAAGGCATCTGGACCAAAATAGAAAGTCAGGGACAGAATTGGATCGGAAATCATTTCAATCCTTATATTTGGAGGCATAAGAGCAGGCCTCAGATCAAAGCCAGTGACTTCAGTAACAAGAAACATTGTTAAAAATATATGTATGCAAGAATCAATTGCAAGGATTTTATTTAGTTACTTATAACAGTGTTCTATGTTTATTTAATGAATCAACTGCCAGATGGGGATAAGTGTATATTTTAATGAAGCCACTGGTGTGTGAAATACAATCATATTAAAATGCAGCCTTTGAAAAGTGGTGAACAGTCGTGTGCAAGCTTGGGGGAAACATAGCAATAAAGCAGAATTGGAATTACAGCACGTAATTCAATACTTCTGCAGCTGTCGCTCTAGTAAATAAATACACTCAACAGCACATCTCCCACACCCAGTCTCCAGGCTGCTATAACTGGTTTGAAATGGACAAGATCTGTATCAGGAACCTCCTAGGGCTCAGATTTAGATTCACCTTAGACCGAAGACTTGCTACGCTTCTTCCCTCAGCACTATGCCAGCTTAATGTAAGAATCATCCTCAGGGCCCAGGACATATGAACACACAGTACAATGTGTGTTTCGCCCACAAAACATACAGTCAATTCATTACAGTATATTCTGTGAAGCGCTTTGAGATGTCTTGAAGACTTGATAAGGCGCAATATCAAATGCAAGGATTATAATATGTCCAACTGGCAGTGCCCTTACCAAGTGAATGTGGATGTCGCTGGATTTTATTTAAATTCCTGCACTAGGAATGTTACTGAAATGCAAAAAAAAACTATTCAGCCTGTTAACTCTATACATTTTCATGTGTCAACCTGGCTCAGCCGGTTGCACGCTCGCCTCGGAGGCCAATGTTGTGGGTTCAAGCCCCACATTGGGATTTTGAACTCACATAGTCTAAGATGACATTGCAGAGACAGACACTGCCCACACCCACTTACCCGCACTCTGATGACGTTGATTTCCACCACCAATAGCATCCCATATAACACGACCAGCAGTGCAGCAATGCAGAAGCGGAGCTGGCTCAACCCAATGCCCAGCTCACAAAACTTGGCAAATTTTATTGTTTTTGTGATGAAGGCAATAGTCCAGTAGCCCAGCAAGGCTGCAAGGTAAAGGAACACCATTCTTAGCATCCCAACTAAGCCAAAAATAGAGCAAATGCCAGAATTGACACAGTTAATGAAGTTTTCTGTTAAAGAAACCAGAAACATAAGGCCTTGAGGGGAAATATCTTGGTTTGTATCTTCAAGTTCTTGCTATTATAGCTTACAATAATAATCTTTGCATTTGATATAGTGCCTTATCATGTCTATGAGACATCTCAAAGGCTTCACAGAATATACTGTGAAGTAAATTGACTGTATATTTTGTGGGCGAAATTTAGCAACCAATTGTAGCCAATATACTAGATTATAAAGTCTAATTATTTGTACTAAGCTTCAGTGGTAAAGACTACTTTGTGCTAAGTTTAGGAAGAATTTCTTCATGCAGAGGATGGCAACAATGTGGAACTCACTGCTGGAAGGTTTGTGTGGAGTACAAACACTGACATGGACTAGTTAAGCCAAATGGCCTATTTCCATGCTGATTGACTGTGTATCTGTATACAAAAAAGGATATCAATACAGTCTTTCAAAGAATTTGAAACCCAGATTCCCTAGTTATTTGTCCCTGCAAACCCTTTTTTTTAATATCAAAGATGTTAAGTTTTGTGATAGACCTCAGGCTTTTAATTACCATCTATGAGGTTTCAGTTTTATTGGAGTAATACATACAGGTGAGAGGACACACACGTACACGCGGATGTGAAGGTCACTTAATATCAGGGATTTACAACTTCGCTGCTCACTGAATCTCTACTAGTGGTTTGTGAGGCTATGTGAATCCAAGGGAGGAGGAAATCACTGCCCGTTTTTTCCTATATTTCCTTTCGCCCACAAAATTTACAGCCAATTCACTTTACAGTATATTCTGCGGAGCTTTTTGAGATGTCTTGAAGATGTGATAAGGTGCTATATCAAATGCAAGGAGTATTATTAATATTTATTAATTCCCATAAAACAAACCAGCCTGCACATGCTTCCATCTAACTTTAATTTAAAGGGTTAAAATAATCACTGCATATTGTGTCCACGTCTTGCTGGATTAAAACTTTTGCTTCAGAGGATTCGGTTGGGATTTGACCAATTGTTGCGCCGAATACTTTTTTTGATGAATGTTTCTAGTTCAATTCTTCAATACTTAACGGATAAATTTAGGGTTGGTTCTTAACCCTGTATGAGCCAAAGCCCTGACAGATCCAAATACTCTGCGAAATGAGTTACTTTATGTTGTGGGCAGAAGGCAGGCATTTGTGGCTCTTTCTTAACACGAGAAGCCATTCAATTAAAAGTACATAGTCACTACACTGGGTGTGGGTATGGTGGGTGGGGGGGAGGCGAGAGGTTGGGAAGAGCACCACAAGTGATTGATGATTAACGAATATCGTTGCTAATTCAGGAATATGAATACAATTGCAGGGTTTTCTTAGCCCATTCCATCTGCTAATTAAAACTTTAAATAAAAACTTTCATTTGGTCCCCTGGCTGACAATGCCCCAAATAAAATTGGTGGCTGTTTATGGGACAGTCATATGTGCAAATTGGCTGCCACCTTTGCCTATGAATTATACAGTATCACGCATTACAGTAAAATCCTGTCAGGCACTTTAAGATGCCCTCTTGATGTGAAAAGTACAGTATTAAATGTAAAGATTTACAGTCTTTACATTTAATACTGTACTGTACTCCAAGACACTACCCAGTGTGAAGAGCACTATACAAGTTAGTGCTGATTATCTCAAGTCAGGTGGGTGTCACAAAGTGCTTCATGGGATTTACTGAAAAGCGTAGCGAATGGATTATTTTGGAGACGGATCGTGACAGCCAATTTGCACACAGCAATGTTCAGCAGTTGTCACAAGGAACAACTTTTTTTTAAAAAAGTTGAAAAATAAGCACTGCATATCTTAGTCACTATTCCTCACCTTCTGGCAACAGCAATGACTACAAAAACACTATTTACATTTATACAGCATCTCTCATTTTGAAAGGATGACTTAACGTGTTTAAAACAACCAGGTAGTATAGTACTCATTAGGCAAGCATTGCCTTACCTGTCAGGGCTTTGACTCACTGATGCAGCAGGGCAGTAATAACACAACCACAACAACTTGTATTTATATAATGCCTTTCCTCTTCGGGAGGATGACTCAAAACTTTCTCCGACCCACGGTGAGTCCCTTTACAGCCACATTCAGGTGGCCTGGATATAGATACTTTTAACTATTAGATTAAATCTACAATATATCATCTCATGATGTAGGTTAGTACAATGTTCAACCACTATGATCTGTTACACTATCAGTCACTCAGAGATATCGTTGTGTACCATAGTGATGGTTAAGGTTGATACCATCCTTCAGCAGTGGACAACACAAGTTATTTCAGGAGCATTGACGTGCTTCTGCCAGCCTGACCATGTGCAGAGAAAGAGAGAGACAGTCTCTTCTTAAAGGGACAGTTCAACAGAATTCATATTAATAGTCTACAGGTTCACGTGCCAAGAAGCAGCTTTGGCTACAAATTACGGCTATACAGGCAATGAGCCTTTAAAGAACATAATCAGTTGGTCATTATATGGTATCCAGTTGACCCTTTAGTTGTGATTGTGCCATTAACGGGTGCCCAAGGGAGTGCACTTATTGACTGCTTAATTAGTTCAACCCAACAAAAGTGCCTCGTTTAACAAAGATCTCAGCCATTTCTGTCTAAATATTGGCAGAAAGAAACTCATTCATGAAACTCACTCTGTGTAGATGTGAAGCATACCTCCAATACTTTGCAAGAACTGGCAGTGCAGGGCGACCCTGGTATAAGCTTTTGGTTTAAGGGTAGGTTTGCTTGTGGTACAGCGCAATGGTCCTGTGTACCTGCACTATCTACAAATACCAACCAGCTTTCCGCACAAAAACAAAGTTCAAACATCACTGGAATCACTTCCTATGTACCAGAAGCACTGCTGATGTCACTTCATACAGGAATAACGATAATCCTTGCATTTGGTATTGCAGCTTTCACACCAGGACCACATCTCAAAACGCTTCACGGGACATACTGTAAGGTCGTTATTGTTTTGTGAGCGAACGATAGCAGTGCCCGAAAAAAAAAGCAGTACAAGTCTATCAGCACTACAAAGAGACATACCTAGTAATAGTTTGGGAAAGTTTGATGTTTCGATGTTGTGATAATAAACAATCGAAGTGACGGCAGCCATGAAGCCCATGCCAGCTGGCATGTAGAGGTGCAGATGACTGGATTCCGAAAACCTGAGATCACACAAACAAAAGGTCAACTTACCAAAAATGTTACCACAATGCATTTGTTTCTAAAAGAATCAGTGTTCCACTATTCTTAAGATGATTCTTAAAATAACTTTCCTTATAACTGCATTGCCCAGTTATAGAGCAATGGAGTCCTGTTATAGTGGATTGCTATAGTCGAATCCTGTAGCATATTAGTTAGAGCACTCACTTCCCAAGTGGGAGGACATGGGTTCAATTCCCGGGCAGGGCAAAACATTAGGCAAGTTTTCTCATTTCACACACCTCTGTTTACCTAGCAGTAAGTATGAACCCAGTTGTTAATGGATTGGCAGATTGTTTTCCTGGAAGGATGAGAATGGACCGAAAGGTCCCCTTCACCTGAACCTTTTGTGTGATCATCTGATATAAATTCTCTTTTCTTTTACAAGAAAATTCAGTGATGGTTATCCCAGAAATGAGATGGCAAGTACAGATTTCAAGGAATATAGCAGGAAGGTAGAGCTAGGATAGATTATGGTACACGGGCCATAGAATGGTAAGGTGGAATGGGCTTGATGGGATGAATTCTGTTCCTAATTCCCTGTTCCTTTGGGATTCCTGATGATAGTTAGTGGATCCCCCAATAACAATATTTGCAGTTAATAAAGGGTCTCGTCACTTTGTTGAGACGTCTCAGAGCACTTTACAGGATTTCATGCGGGTAAACCTCTATATATTTGAAAAGATGTGCAGCCTAGTCAAGACTTCACATCAAGGTTGTATGCATCCTCCCATGGGAAAGTTATCCATTACACAATATTGAACCAGACTTCTGTCTGAGTCAAGAAATCTTTCTGCATTACTGGCAATGCTTGCCATGGGTCCAGTTTGCCCTCAAAGTGAACACACTACCCATTATTTTAGAGACTATTTCTCTTTCGCAGGTGAGGGGGTGGGGCTCAACACAGGAATAATAATCCTTGCATCTGATATAGCATCTTATCAATTGTTAGAGACGTCTCAAAGCGCATCACGGGATATACTGTGATGTGAATTAATTGTATATTTTAAGGGCGAACCGCAGCAGCCGATTGTACATAATCAGCACCAATCAATGCTTTTCTCTCCTTAGAAATGATGGGGCTTTTATGTTAGCACAGCTCAGAGTTAAGAGCAGGTTCATATTAAGAGAGAATGGCACCAGTGAGATGAAATACAATAGCACTATTAGTTTGAAACCTCAGAATCCGTCTTCAAAGGGAAGCCTTGCAAAATGTGCAAGTTACACTTTGTCAGGCTACATTTCACATGGTGTTGTAATAACCTTCTAGTACTGGCATAATATTCTGCTCAATTCTGTAATATTTTGATTGTTGTTCTGCACACGTTTAACTAAATATGTGGGTAGCTGGTGATTTCTTTTGGCAACAATCTTATTTGTGCGTGTGATTTGGAGGGGTGATATGAAGGAGTTTCTTCAGTAGGTTAATAACGTGAAGGTGAATCACATGCTCAGTCACACTGCAGGGAAGAGGGGGATAGAACCCGCTTGGTCTAGGTACACAGACACAGAGAAAAAGAGAAACACACACTCAGAGACACACAGACAGAGACTCAGAGACGCACACACACAGACAGAGACTCAGAGACGCACACACACAGACAGAGACTCAGAGACGCACACACACAGACAGAGACTCAGAGACGCACACACACAGACAGAGACTCAGAGACGCACACACACAGACAGAGACTCAGAGACGCACACACACAGACAGAGACTCAGAGACGCACACACACAGACAGAGACTCAGAGACGCACACACACACATAGACTCAGAGACACAGACTCACACACAGACAGACACAGAAAGAAACACAGACAGACAGAGACTCAGTGACACACACAGACAGAGACTCAGAAACGCACACACAGAGACACACACACACACACACACACAGACTCAGAGACACACACACAGACAGACTCCGAGAGACACACATACACAGACGGACACTCAGAGAGACACACACACACACACACACACAGACAGACAGACAGACAGACACACACAGACAGACTGACAGACTCTGAGAGACACACACAGACAGACTCAGAGAGACACACACACACACACACAGACTCCGAGAGACACACACACACAGACAGACAGACTCAGAGACACACAGACGGACAGAGAGACAAACGCAGACTCAGCAAGTGAGTGAGAGTGAGAGTGAGCGAGAGTGAGAGAGAGAGAGAGTAAAAATAGCACCAACAGACCGAGCCGTAAACCACACTCACCCGTCCGAAACGATGCCCTCCGCAATCTCGCACACCAGCACGAACAGGAGAATAAAAGTGAGGATCCATCGCAGGTTGTGGCCCGGGAAGTGCAGCCAAGTGCTGTGGTGGATGTGCACTTTGGAACTTTGACTGCCCCATCCTTTCAAAACACGGGGAGAGAGGGAGAGAGGGAGAGAGAGAGAGAGAGGAGAGAGGGAGAGAGAGAGAGATTGCAGTGGAAATGTCACATGCGGAATAAAAAAAAATGCATTTGTACAATTTTCTCTCTGGGATTTTTTTTTTTTTTTTGAGAGGTGGGTGGGGGAGGGAATGGGGAGGGGGGAGGGAGTTGGGGAGGGGGAATGCAAACAAAATAAATGACCGCAAACGCGTAAAATAAAACGCTCGTGATTTTGCAGGAGGAGGGAGGGGGAGTGGGGGGGTTTGGGGGGGAGGGGAGTGGGTGGTGGGAGTGGGGGGGGGAGTGGGGGGTTTGGGGGTGGTGGGGGGGGGGGGAGAGCTTACCTATAAATAGGATGGGGAAGGTGATGAAGAGCAGGAATACGTGTGGGACCACATTGAGCGCGTCCACGAAGCAGCCGTTGTTGAGGACCCCCTGGTCCACGTTGTAAGCCGCCGTGTCGTTGTCATTGCCACAGAAAGCCAAGGACATGGTGGCACTGGGGGTCTGAGCACAATCCACGGAGGAGGAGGAAGGAGGAGGAGGAGGGGGGGGGGGGGGGCAACAAGAAGAAAGGAGAGAAAAAAAGGTTTAGCGCATTCTCAGGAAGGAAAACACATGTCTATCGTTGAAGGGAGGGAAGAGGGGGTGTGGGGGTGTGGGGGGTTGGGGTTGGTGGTGGGGTGGGGGTGGGGGTGGGGGGGTAAAGGGATGAGGATCGCAGACGGGACGAGCTGTGAATGAACTGACAGCGATCTCCTGACTGACGAGTGCGGAGATCCATTCCTCTCATTTACATCAGTGACTGACAGTGACTGTGTGACTGTGACTGACTGACCCCCCGGTCCCAACTTGGGGGATCGAGTTGTGTGGGTCTGAGTAGGTTTGCAGAGCCGCCCCCGACACAGTCAGCCCTGCACACAGCCACCAACCCCCCAACCCCCCTCCATACACCCACCCACACCCCGGGAGACCCGACACCCCCCACACCCCCCCCCCCCACCCACACCCCGGGAGACCCGACACCCCCCACCCCCCCCCCCCCCACCCCGGGAATCCAACCATTCCTTTGGGTGCGCAAAGCCTCAGATGAACAACAAAAAAAATCTGCTGTGACCCGAGTGGACTTATTTTCAGTCTGAATGTGAGTGAGTGAGTGTTCCGCTCTCTGAACGCTGGGATTTACGGTTATACTGTTACTGTCTCAATATTCTTTCTCTTTAGTCACCCTCCCCACCCCCGTCCCCCTTTTTGCCCTCTACCCCTCTTGACTCCAACCCCCCAACTAAGGAGCCTTCACTGGGATGTCCTCCCGATGTGGAACTAAATTGATGCAATTATGATGGTTGTCTGCAGCAGTTTTCATTTTGCATTCGTAAAGAGCCTTTTTCACGAGGAATGTCCCCAAAACAAAGGCAGCTTCGGGAAATGGCACCGGGAATTAATGATTGCACAACTCCATCACCATATCAATATAGTAGCAACGCAGGAAAAAAAAATACTGTACCGCAAATATACAAAATAACTCACTGTACGATTACTCTTTTTTTCTTGTCGCATCTATAGAGAGCAGTAACACTCTGCAGGACAGAACCCTCCAGGGTTAACGATGGGATTAGTGTGAGAACAGACCTAAAGGACCGTCCCTCTGCTTTATGTCTTCCTCCCTCCCTCCCCACTGTTTCCCCTCGACTTAAAATTACATAGAATGTTATAGGAAGCCATTTGGCCCAACGAGTCATTGCCAATGTTTATCCTCCACATGGGTCGACTCCCTTTATAACCCCCTCTTGCATATTCTCTATTCCCTTCTCCCTGTGTGCACACCTACAAAGGGATTTACGAATATAGGAATATTAATGTCGAGGACCAGGACCACCCAAGAGTCCACTGGGCTGTCCCATTTCCTATGTCACTTAACGGGTTTTTAGTCTATTTGCCCCTATTCTCTGGAACTCCATCCCAGAGACCCTCTGACTTCAGTCTTCTTCACTTTATTCAAGTTCTGTTTCAAAACCTATCTCTTTGCCTGCACTTTGGTCTCCCCCCCCACCGCCATTTTAAGCACCTTGGGGTGTCCTCCTAAAGTGTAAGAACTATATACGTGTAAATTGTTTACCCCCTTCAAATCTCCTTTCTGTGCCAAAAAATATTGAATTCCTTCCAGCCCATCCATGGTAGCACTCTTCATTGCCTCTCTGGGGCAAACTGTTCAATATATTGGCCACTCTATGCATAAACTATTTACATCTAAAATGTTCTATTGCCTCTTTGCCTTCTGGTTTGTATATTTGTATTCCACAAAAGCCTTGGCATTGTGTGGCTGTGCGACATTATTAGTCCTGAAAAAGCAATCTGCCAATTGACTAAAAACTGGGTTCCTACTTACTGCTGGGTAAATAGAGGCACGTGGAATAAGTAAACTTGCCTACCATTTATTGGCCCTGCCCCGGAATCAATGCATCATATTCCATTTATTCTGTTTGCTGCACAAGACACCACTTTTAGGTTTCCAGTTACATCCAACATATTCCTGACTGGCCTCTTCCTGGTGAAGAAGCAGATCACTGGGACCCTCCGAATGATTGACTGATAGTAAATTACAAGCATTTCATTCCCTACTTTAGTTTCCACATGCAGACACCTTTCAATTGCAACACTCAATGCAAGCTTTTAAAAGTTTTAAAATTAACCTAAAAAAACTAATTTATCAGATTCAAAAAAGGTCATTGGCCCATTAATCATCATGTAGTAGAATTCGGATAACTAACCTGAAGGAATCCTTTAATCAGATTAAACACACATTCAACAGCACGCCCCTACCTACAGGCATTGACAGGTGGCTGACTCACATAGGCACATTTGCACCAAGTGTTAATTTGATCCTAGCTCAGTGCAGGGAAAGCCATTGCTTCTCAAAATAACTTGCTGGCTCGTCAGTCCAAAGGACTGTAGAATAGCACCTTTCTCGTGTTCTGCCCATACATCTTGTCGGTTTGAGCTGCCAAATGGGCCGTTCTTTAAACTGTGAAAATTCACAGTTCTTATAAACCAAAGTAGCCACACTGCCCAGAACAGTACATTAGCTTGAAGTTTCTCACACAGCACCAAAATCGGGCTTTGTTTTTACATGAGTCAAAACCACAAGACCTTCTTAAAATTCCTTACTTTTAGCTATGATAACTTAAATTTGGATAGGGCCTCTCGTGTAAAAATAAGGGCACACAATTCTTGGTAGGAGATGAATTGAAAATGAAGTGAATGTTATATGGTGTCAGCCCGGCTCACTTGCTCAGACTCTCACCTCCGAGTTACAAGGTTATGGTCTTAAACTCCAAGTCACAACTGACCACAACTCAGTCTTGGCTGAGCCTCCTTCTTGATTGTATACCATAGTGGCCAACATAATTGTTGAAAAACAGATCAATGCCTCATACACGGAGCAGAAAATTCCCCTGGCGGAGCCTGCCCCTTTAATTAGCTCAGTCTGATACACAGCATTAATAATAGTCTGGCAGGTACAATTAATTTGAATTATTGCAAAGTATTATATCAAAGTGAAATAAACATTCATCAAAACAAGAAACAATAACTCACCAATTTCCCCACTATGCCAGAGTCCATATTAATAGGCTCTTTGATCACACAACTGCAACCTATCAGGGCTAAGTAAACCCAAAACAACTGACTGTATGTGCTTTAAGTTTTGCAAATCCTACTCCATTATAGTTCAAGGTTCCTGGCTGTGCTAATAATCCTTCCATAATGCTTATAAATCAAGAAGGTCTCAAAGCATTTCACAACATTTCTGTGAAGTGCAGTGATTCTTTGTTGTAGGCAAACACAGCAACCAATTTTGCACACAGCAGCATCACAGAAACAGTCTGAAGATAATGATCAGTTTTTTTTCTTCTCTAGAGGATTGTTTGACAAGACATTAGAAGAAACTCACTTTTCTTTTCAAGAGGTGTCATGGGATCTTTAACATCCCCCTGAACAGACAGAGGGGACCCTTGGTTTAAATGTTTCACCTGATTGACTGACCTCTGATAACACGGCACTCCCATAGCAATGTACTAAAGCGCAGCCTAGACCACAAGTTTATAATTATTGATGTGGGGCTTGAACCCACATCCTTCTGGCCTAGAGGTGAAGATGCTTGAACTTGAGCCAGGCTGACACCTATTGCATGAGAATCCATACCAATGTTATCCAAGGGTATTTTAACATTGTGGAGGAACCAATTCCCTTTGGCCGCAGCACTAGTTAAGATTTTGTGATTTCTGCGTGAAAGACAGCTGCAGCTGTTTGCATACTAAGGCCTCCCCCGTCCAAGCCACAAATGAAAGGACTCAAGTGTTAATTACCACCTGTAGAGTTAACTTTTCACTGGACTAAACAAATGTAAAACAGATGAAATGGTGCAGGGTGAAAGCTTTATTGCATTTACATTCACTGCATCAACCCAGGAAAAATGCAGTAATCATAATCCTTGCATTTAATATAACTCATTATCAGGTCTTTGAAACATCTCAAAGTGCTTTGCAAGATTTACTGTAAAGTGTGGTGACTGGGTAATCATAGGCAACCATGCAATTAATTATTGTTCCCACCCTCTGGAGCTCCATCCGAGAGTCCCTTTGCCTCACCACCTCTCTCGCCCTCTTCAAGACGCATCCCAAAACTTGCCTATGGTCATGTTCCCATCCCACCTCCCTTACTTTCCACCCCCCTCCCTCGACTCCAACCCCCATCTCAGGTGGAAACCACTTTGTTTCCTCACGTGAAAAGCGCTATATAAATGCAATTTGTTGTTGCTGTTGAACTTAGCAACTTAGCTTTAAATGCATCTAAAAAGGGAACTAAATGGAACTAAATCAGGAAACATTTGCTACATTTCTCCGCAATCTGGTCACATTACCAAAGAAAAGCACCCCATGCGATATAAATTTCCTTAAACAAATGTGTAAACAAACTGCCTGCAGTTTTAGTCCCATCGCAGATTGTTAATAGTAATATACCCATTTGACAGTGATATCAATTCAATGACACTGACATCCAAAATGATTGGTTATTGAAGAGAGATTACATATGTGTGGCCGATATGTACTTTAGACCAAACTATTTTATGACACAGGAGACCTGACATTTCACATGGTTTTAGGCTTAATACCATTGTCTTTAAATGAGGGATAGTGCTGAACTTTTGGAAAATAAATACATTTGGAAACTGTTTTTCTCTAAATCTTAAAAGTTGTGAGGGAAACTGCTTTATAAATTAAGAGTGAATTTTACCACTGACTGGTCAGGATTACTGTTCCAGCAAACATTTATAGCCCCAATACAATAGATATTCCAAATCAGACCACTTTTTTCTTAATTACCAATTGCTGCTCTCATTTACACTATCAACACCAAAGGTCTTTTTCATCCCTTTGACAGAACAGCCCTAGTGCAGCAAAGACATGTGTAAAACAAGTAAATGTGTAAAAATGTGAAAGACGTATAGAGAAGTACATGTGTCGCAATGTAAAAAA